TCAGTTTCGAGAGTGTTGATCCATTCATTGCTGCATTGTCCTGCAAAACAGGTCCCAGGGCGATCGATGCATAGACTGATAAGGAAGCTGAGGAATACATGGTTGGAGTCTGGATTTGCATTGGTGCTGTCCCGAATCGCCAGAGAAACTCATGAAACACAAGATTGCCTCCCATGTACCCGTCAATGCTTTTGTGTGTGGGGGAGCTGAATAGAACAAGTTTCTTATCATTAGCCTCGGATCAATTGGCTGCATTGGCGTTAACGATTGCATCGAGCACATTATTGGTTTCCGAACATCGGACCTTCTGAAACTGGTTGTCAAAAACGCGAGCGTCCTGTTAGGGAACTTTGTGGTGCAGTATGTGCCCAGCGTTGAGGATGAGTTGCTAAATGAGAGTATCTGCCTTAAGCTTTCAAGGCAATTTGTTGAACTAGCTCAGAAGAAAGGAGGAAGTCACTGGGTGGAGATATGCCTGCTGTATTCGGACTTTGGCGATCACTCGTGTTGAAGGAGATTTCCAGGAATGAGAAAAAACTGTTAATGCTTGCTAAACCATCATTTCACAATGCTGTATGACCAGAACATGTATCACAGACTAGTTAAGGTGATCACTGATCAGACGCATTGCTAGAAACTTGTAGAGAATTTTGAAGGAAAATAATGTCTTCAACAACATCAGTAAAATAGTTTTAGAGAGATTAACGAAAAGTTTTACTTGCTTAGATTTTGTACGGGGAAAAAGAATAAAGAAAAAGAAAGAAGGCAAAAGAGCTGCTGGGCTGCAACTTGTTCCAGAATGTTGAAATTCTACTTCAAGAATAGTGGACAACAATGGCTGCACTAGATCAAAGAACAAGAGGAAGAATTTATGGTTAGGACAAAAGAAAGTTTTGTCTCCAAGTCACAATTAAACTTGCTTTCCTTTAGACTAAATTCGCCCACTATACAGTGCAATTGTCTAGGCGAATTTCCTATGAGATAAAATGGAGATCATGTTGTTTCACTATGTACTTTAGTGTCTATAGTTTAGTCAGGAGCTACTTGACTAAACTATCCAAATGATCCATATTTATAGAGTTAGAGGAAACTCTTGAGGATTAGACGTAACTCTTAGTTATGGTCCTAGATATAACTTTTCGTTAATGTCTTTCCATATGGAGTTCATAGGCACAACATATTAGTTGTGTCTCTACAATATATTGAAAACATCCAATAGGCACAACATATTAATTGTGTCCCTACAATATATTGAAAATAACTCCAACAAGAAGTTGCGGATCGCTCTTGCCGTTATTTCCCACTTTTTGTTTTGGTGCCTAAAGGCTTTTTCCTCCAAAAAATTGGCCCCAACTTCAGTCGGTGCTCTTCTTATAAATGCCCCCTTCCCTTTTATTCTTCATTCATCCTGCTTGCATTTTACTTGCCTCTTCTGATTCTGGCTTCTTTTCTCTTTTTTTTTTTTTGGTTTCAATTTTAACTTTATGGAGGAGAATATCTACACCAATTTGTATGATTTGAGCCTCCTCCTCAAACCAACAGTGGTTGCTAAGTTTTGTGGTGTTTACCAAGTCCGGTGCTAGATGTGTTTACCAAGGGCGCCAAGCAGGATATGTTTAATCGGAGAAATTCCAGTTCTTCCCATCTTCTTCTCGGCGGATCAAATCCTCAACAGAAGGTGGTAGATTATTTTTTTTTTCGAAATCTCAATGTGTAATTTTTTACTTTTTGGATTTATAAGCTGCTTATTACTTCTTATTAATTGTTACAGAAGAGGATTGAAGAGATGATCCCTCTCTGTGATCCCATTGAGAAGATGGTTGCATAATCTTCAAAGCTCATGGGTGTCTGATATGTAGTTATTGATGATAAGTATGATGGGATTGTAGTAATGGTTATATATTTAGGCAGAGATTAAAAAGATGATGTGCATTTGTAGTCGGATCGAGAAGGATATGAGTAATATGATTAACCAAAACAAAATTCCTTTTCCCTAATGGGCTCAACTGATGAAGAACGTGTAAATTTTTTCTTCTTAAAATGTTTTTCTACTCAGTTTGTATGTTTGAATTTTTACTTTTATTATTTTCAGGTGGAGATTAAAAAATTAACGTTGACTTGTACACATATTGAGAAAATTGTCAAAGAATCTCTTATTGAATTTAAGTTTATCAGTTTGCAAGCAAATTTACTATAGGATGATCGTGGGTATGATTGATACGAAGCTATGAGATTCTTGAATAAGTAGGTTAATGGGTGTAAGGACTCTTGAATAAGCAGTATGTTGATGGTCGGCGATCATATCAATTCCCTCTATTATTCCATATAACGTATGGAAAAGAAGATAATTGAAGAAACTTTACCTTCTTATATATGGTAGTAGACTAATAAAATTTAGCAAAAGTTATAAAAGAGACTAGATGTAAAAGATGCGATTTACGCGCATGTGAGTCATATAAAAACATTGTGAAAAATTTCTTAACAACTTAGCGCAAATACACTTATTATTCTAACTCGCGAAAGAAAATGACAAACACACATACATTGAGTAGAAATAATAATTAGTTGATTTACATTCAATGAATAAAAATAGTAATTAGTTTATTAGAACGATGAGTAAAAATAATGATTAGTTGATTACTTTCAATGAGTTTTTAATGGAGAGTCCTTAAAGTGTATTAGACAAATACTTGAAAAAAGAAAAAGATAGATGTGAGAGAACTCTTGTTATTGAGAATTATATATTTACAAATTTAAAATACAAAACTTAATTTTAGTATTCTATTTGATTTATAAAATAATATTTCTAACTTTCATCAAAGAAATGTTCATATTCAAGGAAGAAAAAAGAAAAAGAAAAAACAATGAAAAATTTAAAGAGGCATCGTTAAAACGCGTGTCAAACTTTGCCTCATAATGAAAACTAATTTGTTTATAATCTTTAAAATAAATAAAAGAGGAAAATTAATGGGAGAAGATCAAAGGTCAGAGTATTGTATTCTGCAATTATTATTGAGAGAAGAGAAGAGGAGAAAAAGAGAAGAGTTATATATTTACAAATTCAAAATGCAAAATCTTAGTATTCTATTTGATAATTTTTCAGAACTCATTAGTGAAATCTTAAGATTAAAAAAAGAAAAGAAAAAAAGACAATAGAAAATTTAAAGTGTCAAAACTCGTTAAAACTATTTATTGGCATATCAAACTTTACCTCATAATGAACACTAATTTGTTTATAATGTTTAAAAAAAAAAGAAAAGAAAATTAATGAGAGAATCTCAATAGCCAAAGTATTAAAAATTACATAACAGTGTTAATACCACCAAACTCAAACTTAATGATGATGATGAGTAAGATGATAATGAAGATAAGATGAAAAGATTACATAACAAAAAGACAAAATTAAAAATAATTATGAAGAAGAAGATGAAAAAGATAAAATTAAAGAAAATTGAAAATATTAATGTATCTGGTAAAACAAAAAGACTCATGGACGGACTACATATAGAAGTTGTTGATGATGATAATGATAATAAGTTGATGGATTAATAAGTTAACAAATTATCAAAATTATCATTCACAGGTCGATATTAAAATTTTGTCCAAACTCACTCCTATATATATATATATATATATATATATATATATATATCCTATTATATTAGAAGTAAAAACTCCCCTTTCAAACATCTCCCATGATTGTCACGTGACATGAAAAAAGTACTAAATTGCTCTTTTGTCTAACCGTAACTAATTACTAAATCCCTCTTTACACTTTATGTGACATATTTTTTTTTGTAAAATTTTTTTTTCTTTATGTTTCATTCAATTAGAGTGGTTTTCTTTTCTTAATTATGGAGTCTAAATTGAATTGATCAATTAGGTTTTTGTTACAAAGTGTCAATTTTGTTTTAAGCGTATACCCTTCGAATGAAACTTATTACAAAGCTATTAAAAATCTCCAAAACTAAGTATTGATTTGGCACGACCAATGGAGAACATCAATAAATCATCTTACTAATATTTAAACTTATTAGGATGCTTTTATATTTTGTCTAACATTTACTTCAACACATATATTCGACTAAGTCTATTTATATTAATAAGTAACACTTATAAAACATTTCTAAAACATACATGACGAAATATAATTTCTTTTTTTTGTTAAATACAAATATTTTTATGATCATACTTATAAAACATTTTTAAATCTTTCAAACATTTCTAAAATATATCGCTCCAAATACAAATTTTTTTTTTCAAATATAAACATTTATAAGATCTACAGATAGATTGGGCCAGGATCGCGCATTGCTCGACCAGACATCATTAATATATATATATATATATATATATATATATATAGATTTTGATGGTGTAAAAATATTAGCCAAAATGGTTATGATCATAAAATTCTTCAATCTGTATGCATATAGAAACACAAGATCAGTTTAAAGTCTTCCTTCAATTCGTAAGCAACAATTTTTTTTTCCTCCAAAATTATCTTTAAATAAATTCATGTTAGGAAAATGTCTTTTTTGATGGTAAATATGCAAGGAATACTTTCATTTATAGATGTGCAAAAAATAATGGGGAAGGGTGCTTATATGTAGAAGGCGACTAATTTTTTTTTTTTTTTAAAGGGAACATGACGATACTTTATTAGCTAAGATAATTGAACGATTGAAATTCACTTGTTAAAATTCAAAATTTATGTGACGAAAAAGTAATTGACGAGTTCTATTGGTATTTTTTTATAAAACATTTTAATTTGCCTTAAGTTTTATTTGTATGTTTTTCTAATTGAAAATAAAATATAAAAAATATTTTAAAATAAAAATATATTTTTAAAAATTTTATAATAATTGAGAAAAATATATTCAAATGAAATGTGTATGATAAATCAAAATGTCTTATAATGAAGATAGGAGGAAGTATAGAAATTTGTAAGATATAACTAAAAATTTGATCTTATTGATGTGATCATTTTACTGTGACAATAAGACCAATAATTAAAGTTAGTAGCAATACTACTTTTCTCCTTTCTAATAATAGGCCACTTAAGTAGAGTGACTCTCTTCCCACCAGAAAGATCCATTTCCCCGCATCCATCCGCCCGTTTGATGAGCCACCATGTCGGATTCTTCCGCCGTTGAATCATCTCCGCCACCGCCTTCCACTTTCTCCCCCACCGCCGCAGCAGCAACAGCAGCAACCACCACGCCGACGACCCCTTCTCCCGTTTACATACACCCAAGAAGGGAGCCATTCGAGCACGGCCTTCTCCCCATCCCTAAGCTCATTTTCTCCGATGGCACCCAATCGTTAGCTCCAATCAAAGACAAGCTGTTGTCCCTGTCCTCCTCCTCATCTGAGTCGGGTATCCTTCCTCCTCACCGGGTCAGCCCGGCTGTTATTGCTGAAACCCTCCAGATCTCGCCTGAACATTCCCGGCTTGTCCTCGAGACCATCGCCTCTGTTCTGCATAATGATGCTGATCCTCTCGTCAATGCCAATCCCTTGGAGATTGATGACGTGGGTGTTGACGTCTTTGATTTGGTGGTGTTCTTATATGTGCAGAGCTATAAGAGACTAGTGCCCAAAGGACACCGTGATTCGGCTGCGGTTGCCGATGTCTGGCCCTCCACCTCCGCCTTTGATGGCTTTTTGTCGGCTCTTTCCCCTTTGCAGGTGAATAGTGTTAATTCTGTACTAGTACACATAATAATCAGTCGAATTGAATTTAATTGAATTAGTTCACTGGCTGGGCTGCGAATTTGGAATGGAAATGCGGGTATGGGGTAGTGACTTGCTTTGTTTTGAAATGGTTTTTTTCGGCCTAGGGGAAAGGGTTGGGTTTTGATGCGGATGTGGAGTAGAGTTTGAAATGGCCTAACTAAGGTGTGGAAGTGAGAAATTCTTATTGCCTTTTGGTTTCCCAATTGGTAATAATATTATAAGAGATTCCTAAATTTTGTTTTGCTGCTCAAAATAATAAGTGCTTCCGAATAAGCTTTGTTCAAAACTCTGTCCATGAGCTGATGATGCACTGAAACAAGTGTTGTTTTAAAACATTTGTGTATAGTTGATAATGGAGTGCTCTTTTTGTTCTGGTTTATAAGTTAATAGCTCAAGCTTTTAGATAGTGCTGCTTCACTTGTATATTGGTTCTTACTTATAGGTTTCTATTCTCTTTTTGTTGCAGCTTGTTCGAAGTAACAGTAGACGGTTTATGCCATCACAAGCTGATGAAGAGGCTCATCAGTTGTCGTATTTACATAAGCATTTGGGCAACATTCTCTCTCTTTTGGCAGACCCGGTTGAAGGAGAAGTCGAAGGCGAAGAATCTCTGGTTTGTTGATTCCCTGTTTAGTTCTCCATATTGATCAAAAGTTTGTTGTAGCATTATATCATGTTGCTGGGCAAAGAGGTTCAGATAGGGATTGGAAAAAATAGAGAACTGTGTTAGAGACATGTCAATAAGAAAAAATTATTCTGTCTTTGAAACAAACTACATAGGTTTCTTGGGCAAAGTAATGCTACTGGAAAATGTTTTTCCAACTGTGATAATCTTTGGTTGTTTTATAGTTTGGCTCAGGCATATTGTCCATTTCTTTCTATGATAAACCTTCATCACTCCTAGAAATATGCTAGATTGGACTGGTAGGTTACTGTTGGATAACCTTGAAGCTACAAAGATTGGTCTCTCCATTTCGTACTTCAAACTCCCAGGAACTTTTCCTAGTCTATTGTCTTTGAAGATCTGTTGTACTTGGAATCATTAGATTATTTAAGATTTCATCTTTATGTGAGAAACTTGCTGATCTGTACTTTTATATAGGTGATGTAAAATGCTAACATTCTTGAGGGATAGGTGGTGAAGGATGTCTTACCGTGCTGCTATGGAATCACTTGAATATTTAGCAGTATAATTAGAGAGTTTTGAGTGAGATTTTACGGGCTTTAACTTAGGAAGAAGTCCTGGTCTGTGTGATATTTTCTGTAGAATAATCTTCCTTCCAAACCATTAAAGAATGTGACATGCAACTTCAACCCATGAGTAAGACGATGGGTTTGCAAATTCCGGGGCTGTCAGATATCTTATCGCTGGAGTTTTTATAGGATCTGTTTAAATGCATGATATAATGAGTTACTTGTCACCTGGATATTTGCTTTAGCTGTTAAAAATTTTCAACCTTTAGTTGGGCCATTCAGTTTGTATCCGCTTTCCAGAGTATCTCAACTTCTTGATTTTTTTGCTTTAAATTTTTGCTGATTCAGAGAACTTCGTACTTGTCTTATCAGGTTTTATCGATGGAGAAGCTTGAGCATCTCAGTTTTCTGGTTTATTTTGGCGAAAAGGGATCAGAGAGAATGCCCCTGAGTCAAAATGCTCCATTTTTTGCAAATTCAGACCCCGACATGCCAGCTGTTCCGGTCCCTGCAGCACAAGTTCTTGATTGGCTCCTCCAAAACATTGCCTCCACTTTGGAGCATAATTCTGAGAGAGTTTCTGTGAAAGAAAATGGACCAACTAATACCGGTGATCAAGATGTTCAGATGGCTGATGTTTGCACAAGTTCTGTCAAAGGCTCAACAAGTGGTAGGGGCCCAAGTTACATTGAGGGGATATCTAAATCAGCCTATATAAAGCATGCATCTGATCTTAAAAGCTCTTCTGTGAAGGCAAGTTCCGTTCATGAAAATTTTAATATTCTCCAAAGCTTCTGCAAGTTTATGTTCTTTTTTTGAGTGATTTGAGTTGATTAATATCATGTTATCCTTGTCAAAGTTTTTTTCATCAAAATTTGTGAGGTGAGATATCTTTTTATGATAGATGTTGGCTTCATATGGTAGAGAGTTATGAGATACTAGAATTGCATAGATTTGAAAATTGCAGTAGATGAAAAGCGTTGGAGGTATGAAATTAATTGTAGGATAAAAGAAAAACACTATATCAAATAACGGAATAATAACAATTGACTATTGAATGAAAGAACTCTAGTATTTATCATGTAGTTGGTCTACTTTTTCAAATGCTAAGTTAATCTCTGTGTTTCGTTTTGGATGAAATGATTCTGTGACTAATTGCAATCATTTTAGATCTGGTTTTTTATGGTCTCCTTGTGGGATGAGTTTTATGTTCTATCTTCCGAAATTGTAGTTCAGACTTGGTCATTAATTATATTTCTGTTCTTGTTTGTTCATTATCCTGTCGTCTGATTAGATGCCTGTTTGGTTTTTCAGGTAATAAATTGCCATGAGTCAGTAATTTACATTTTTGCACCTTTGAGATATGCAACTGTGTATGGATGCTCGGATGCAACAATAGTTCTGGGAGCAGTTGGGAAGGTACTTGTCCCTGGATAATATCTCGTACTTCCCATTCCAACATGTGACTATTGTATGTTGCTTGTGGCTCAAAATTGCTGAATTGATAGAGAAGTTTTTTTTTTTTTTTTAAATTTTTTTTTTTATAATATGTAACCTGAAGATGTAATTCGAGCTTTATTATTTGCATGTAACGGAGATATGAATGTAGAATGTTCTGAATTTAAAAGGTTCTAACCGTATTCAGTTTTTTTGACACATTTGTTTATAATCTATTTTCCTTTTGATTGAGTGAGTTTGATGTCGTGCCCACATGTTACACTTTTCAGGCTGTCAGAGTTGAACACTGTGAACGTGTTCATGTGATCACAGCAGCAAAGCGTATCTGCATCGCTAACTGCCGTGAGTGTGTATTCTTTTTAGGGGTCAACCAACAACCCCTTATTGTTGGTGATAACCATAAGTTGCAGGTCAGTAATTTGTAACTTTGTGCGCTTCAATGTGTCACATTTTATGTATGTGCTTATGGTGAAGTTGTCCCATAAGTCAGCTTTGCTTCTATGAGTCTCCAAACTCCATTTGGGCTTTCTCTATTTAAAAAAAGGGGAAAAATGTTGTTCATCTTTTGATAGGGGATGTATAAGAAGGAAGAGGGTCTTTAAATGGAAATTGCTTAGTGCTCTAATAACACTACTGAATTTTCTTAATATGGCTTTAGATTATTTATGTACGTATATATGTTTTTCTTAATCAGGTTGCTCCATATAACACGTATTACGCCCAACTAGAGGAGCATATGAATCAAGTTGGTGTTGTGCCAACCATCAATAAGTGGGATGAGCCGCTAGCTCTCGGTGTGGTTGATCCACACGATTCGTTATCTCATCCAGCTGGAGTCTCGGATGTCCAGGCTGAGTCTGCCCACCGCTTGGACCCTGATCAGTTCACAAATTTTTTGGTATTTGCTTTTATTCAACTGATGATAGTTGGACTAAACTGTCTTTTATTTATGCTAATTTCTAATACATGAGTCTTTATTGTGATTAGATTCCCAACTGGTTCGGTGATCAAGAAGGTGGGTTGACGAAAGACAATCCATTCCCTTTACCAGATGCTTACAGGGTGTCTCAACAAAGAAATGTATGTAATCATCCAAGATTTTGAATTGAAAGAATGTTATTAACCTTTTAGCCAGTTGGCTACGTGTTTTTGGTTGAGGATGTGTTTTCTAACTTTATTATATGGGAGGAGGGAGGGGTTGAATTGGTTGATTTTGGTGTTTTGGGGGTGGGTTGAGGTTTGTAACTAGGAGGTCCCAGGCTCAAAACCTTAAAACACCTTGGTCTTGAACTTGGTATCTGTAATAAGATACCTCTTTATTGTTAATTACAGGACAAAAATTTGGGGGAGGTTAAGCAACTTCTGAAGGAAACTCAGCTCGAAGAGAACCGGAAGCGGGAACTAGCAAGTGCGCTTCATTCATGCTTTAAGGATTGGCTATATGGTAATGTTTATGTCCTCATGTATTTCTGGTTCTACTATGATATCTGATGATATTGCCTGAACGACTTAGTTCTACAAATAGTTACTTTGAATGTTTTGTGATTATTGTTTGGCAATAGGTCAAATTTGTAGAATATCTTGGAAGCACTTTGATGCTTTGAGTATCTGGGTTACCCAATAAATCATTTTTCTTTCCAAAAAGGGGGTACGATAGTTCGTTGGTGTGCGCACTGATTATTGTCTCTGTTCAATATTTCAATTGTCTACTGCGCAGCTCTTTTCAATTTTTTCCCCTTCTTTTTCAATAAAAACTAGGTCAAAAGTTGACAATGCTTTCATTTAATATACTAAACAAATTTGATTAGCAATTTAGATAATGAATGGCGTACATCGGTATTTCTGTCTTTGATGTATAAGGGTCATTTGGTGTTTAGGTGATGAAACAGGTGCTGTACATTGTAGAAGGACTTATGATTGCCTTCCCGCTTGATATATTACTTTCCTGATCCATTTAACTTGAATGTGTTCTGTTAGTTGTTTCCATTATTTGCATCCGTTTGTAAGTATCATGCTAATATGTCACTAGTAAACTCATAGATGACCAAACTCCACCAGTTAGCATTGCACCTTTATAGTGTTGGCTCCAATGGGTTAATTCAGCTAACTTATGCAACTTCATTTTTTTTTTTTTTGGGTAAAAGGGTAAATAAATTAAACCAAAAAACCCAGCACATTTACAACTCAACACTGTTTTCCTGGTCTGCTATTTACATATATATACCTAACCTGGCCAAAAGGTTCCTCTCAGATTGAGTAGAAGTTTTACAAGAAACTTGAACCCTCCCTTTGATTTCCTGCTGGATGTTGATGACTCTGTCCTCTTATCTTCAAGCGTTTTTGCTGAAACTTTCTACCATTCCTTTCGGACCAAACATGATAAATAACGGCCACCACAGCTTGAAACAATAACCTCTGCTCCATCCAATAAACTTATGCAACTTTATGAAGTGATATATTTCATTTTCGTTTTAATTTCATGATTTATCCTCCTCGTTTGGAGGCCTGTTCTATGTTTTTTTTGTTTGAATGGCTGTCTAATTCAACATTTGAAAGATGAATTTGCTATATGGATAACATCTGCTGAGGTTACTATTTCTCCACCTTGGAGCATCCCTGTGTTTGTCTTAGAATTGTTTTGCACATTCAACTTTCGTATATCATTACCATGAGTTAAAAAAATGTCAGTTCTATTTACAGGTGAATGATGATGGGTTAATAATTTTTGTTTGGCAGCCGACTTTTCTTTCAAGAAAGATGGTTTTGTTGATTTGTTATTGTCCTGTTGCATTTAATGCCCTATGTAACTGTAGTGCTGCTGTATTGTTAACGTGTCATTGACTTCTTTTGTTGTTCATGCAACAGCTTCAGGAAACATTCGTCAACTTTACTGCTTACAAGGTGAATGAAGATTGAGGAAACATATGTGACAATAACAGAACACGAATTTTAGGATGTACTTTCCCACTTCTGATCTGCCTTTTTTGCTTTACCGGGTGCTACTGGGAGCTTGGAATTATGCTAAGCTGAGATCTGACGCGTATTTTGATCACTGTGTAGATCCATCCAATAGTAGTAGTGACAAGAGGCTTGGCTAACTTGTAATTCTTTCTTTTAATATCAAAACTGTTTTATTAGCACCTCTATTTCTTTCTCAGCCTCAGTAAGTTTATTCAAATCGTGTTACATGTTTTCTGTGAGGCTGATAGTTCTTTCAATTTGTGTTGATGATGTACATGAATGAAATAAAGTGTCTTAAGCTCATGAAATGGTTTGAAGTTGTATTCTGGATCTCTATTTCTCCGCTGGCCTTTTTTTTTTTTTTTGGGATGAAAAGAAGAATATTCATTCACTGCAGTATTAGAAATATCACTGCACATCACACAGTGGCAGATGTAGAATGGCCACACCCACAAAGACATCAGGAGAAGAAAGAATTTGCTTGAGAAACAGGTCCACAGTCGAATGATTTCTACAAATTCTGCTCCACAATAAACAAGTCTTTAATAATTATTTTTTTAATTATTTTTTTATTTGGAGACTAACATCAGAAACTTATGATTATTCCCAAAGTTCGTAGATTACAATTGATTCTTGCGATGATCGTATGATTTTTGGGACCCTTCCCAAAAACAAAAATGAATAAAGGTTGCAAGGAATGGTTTGAATCAATGACAATTATTTGAATGAAATAAGATTTGTGTTATAGGATGTAAAACAACATTAGGAGAAAAAAAAGAGGTCGCTAAAGAAATTAGAGAGAACGTAAACTGATTTGCAACTAGAAAAGACTCAAACCTATTCTTCATTGTGTATCTTCTATTACTCTTTCCGTCCCAAAATTATTGTCCAGTTTGAGATTTTATTTTTAGTACTCCCTCCATTTTGAAATATATGTCGTTTTAGGGTTTGGTAAATTTTTTTAAATATATATCGTTTTCACAAATCGATGCACATTTGACCATTTTTTTTAATCAAAATTGCTCTTACATCGGAAATGAAACAATATTAATAATGAATTTCTATTGGTTTGTGATGGGTTTTATAGACAATTAATAAGGATAAATTTGTATTTTAACTACATTAATTAATGTATTCTTGGTTTTGATGAATTCTCTATAAAAGATCTATAAAAAAAATGGAGGGAGTACAATTTGAACTATAAATGAAAATTCAAACTGAATAATAATTATGAGACGAAGGCTACTTTACATAACAATAATAAGTGAACAACACATCATCCATGAATGGAATGATAATCACCAACACTACCTAAATGTAAAATCTCCCGGGGGTGGATCGTTGACATCGGCAGTATAGAAACCAAAATGTCTCACTGACCCATAACAAACATTTCGGCACCACTTTTGATTTTTGAACTATGTCAAGGCTAAAAACAGTCACTTCAGTTTGCCAGGAATTCCCATCATAAAAACGGCAATTCCATCTAAAAGATCGAAAATCAGTGTCCCAGTGGAAATCATCTCCAACCTTGAGGCTTTGATACCCTTTTTCCTCTTTCCTCGCAGATCTGCATCGAACACCGAATAAAATGGCCTCATTATCCAGGTTATTCAATATATGAATCAGGAAAGATATGGTTGCATCTGCTAAATTCATGCATATAAATTGCAATGATAGGAGGCTAATCAGTGATGGAAAAACAAGGATTTTTGTTCGATTTTGGCTCATCATCTTTTTTATTAATAAGACATGGTGATTTTTTTTTTAGTCGCACCTAATGATAGTTTGGAGGTACTTAGGCTATTACAACGGGGTTGAGCCTACTGGAGAAGGGAATAGTACTACTAGGGAGAGACTCCGTTCGCGTGCGTCTCTTGCTCGACGTGTCCGATCCATTGTGGCCGATGATGATAGGCCTCCTGCCTGCTTAAGCTGGCTGCTGGTCAGCTACCTGGTTCATCCTTCACCTGCCTGCTTCCCGCGTCTGCGGTAGGAATCGAACCCTCAACCTCGCCCTAACCACTTGGGCACTACTCAATTCCTAGACATGGTGTTCGATCGTCACCAGAATTACAAGCTTGATGGTTCCTAATGGTTGACCACTTGACCTTGCAATAATTCCCTTTCCTCCGTTACATTTGAATTCACTTTCCGCGCATTCTAGGAAAAAAATGTCGTTTTTATCCAAAACTTTGCTCTTGTTGTCAATTATACCCAATAGATTTTCGGTTAACTAACTTTATCCTAATGTTTGAAATTTTTGCCAATTTCGTCCAATTGGCCCATTTTCCGTCTAAATTAACGGATCTCCGTTAGTTTTTTAATAAAATAATAAATTTAATTACAAAAACACTCCAATAATTTTTAAAAATTTTAAAAATAACCCCTAAAATATATAAAAATAACAAACAGTCCCTTTTTACTTTTTTTTTTTAATTTTATTTTTCTCTATCTTATTCCATTTCTCTTTACTACTTTTAATGACCATAAAAGTCTATTATATGAGTTTTAAAAAGGACTCACCTGTAAAAATTAATCTTTTTATAGTTGTAACCCATGATTGTATTTATATAAGTATGTTAATTTTTTTAATAATATAGTTTAGCAATAAAGACACTATTTTTATGATTTATTTTATTCTTCCTAACATAAAGATTAAAAATATTTGAATGAAACTAATATTACACATAAAAATAAAATATTAACTCAAATAAAAAAATATTAACATATTTTAGTGTATTATAATTTAACTCAAGAGACTATAACTTGTATTAATATAATTCATGAATAAATAAATAAAATATAAAATAATTAAAACCTTAAAGAAATCCTCCAAACATAAGTTTTCTTTCTTGAATCTAAAACTTATTTTCTACCACAAAAACTTATTACTATATTGTTACCTCCATTCATTTATTTTAAACTAAAATCATATAGAATAAGCTAGTAAGACATCCTCTATAGTAAGATATATTAATATCTCAAATAATTATTACAAAATGTTAAATCCTCGCATTGATAAGTATAAATTTTTTTTATTATATTATGCCATGTAGTCTCTCTAGTTAAATTATACTACACTAAACTATACTAATATATTATTTTTTATTTGAGTTAATATTTTATTTTTATGTAGAATATTAGTTTCATTTAAATATTTTTAATATTTATATTAGGAAGAATAAAATAAATCATAAAAATAGTGTCTTTATTGCTAAATTATATTATTAAAAAGATTAACATACTTATATAAATACAATCATGTGTTACAACTATACAAAGATTAATTTTTACGGTAGAGTTTGAAAATAAATAAATATTTTTTTAAAACTCATATAATATACTTTTATGGTCATTAAAAGTAGTTGAAAGAAATGGAACAAAATAGAGAAAAATAAAATAAAAAAATAAAAAAGGGACTATTTTGTTATTTTTATATATTTTAGGAGTTATTTTTAAAAATTTTAAAAACTATTGGGGTATTTTTGTATTTAAATATATTATTTTATTAAAAAACTAACGGAGATATTTTAATTTGGATGGAAAATGGACCGATTGGACGAAATTGGCAAAAATTTTAAACATTAGAGTAAAATTGGCTAACCAAAAATGTATTAGATATGATTGACAACGAAGGCAAAGTTTTAGATAGAAACGACATTTTTTCCGCCCATTCTATACTGTAGTAATGATAATATATCTTTATTAATTGGTAAACAAATTTGTTGCCTATATCCTAGTAAAATTCAGCATAGCTTTATCTTCATTTCTAGTTTCACTTTATTTTTCTCATTTTATATTTTTCCCCGAATATTTATCTGGTCACTTGACTTTTGCCACAACTATTATAACGAGGAAAAAATATGTTGTGGTGTTGCTCTCTATTGACCAAAAATAAAATCTTTCATTTTAGTAAAACTGGACAATAATTATGGGACGGAGGGAGTATTTATTTTTATTGATAGCCTATTAACTGTACACTATTTTTATGAGATGGTAGAAGAAATACTTCCTCCGTCCCATAATTATTTTCCAGTTTTACTAAAATGAAAGATTTTATTTTTTGTCAAACTTAACTATATTTTACCTTAAACAACCAGATATATCCCTACATAAGTAATTGTTTAACCACTAAGATTTTATGAATAATGTTTTTTACTAAGGACAAATGTGTAACTTGATCCATAAAAAGTCAAATTGGACAATAATTTTGGGACAAAATTTTTTAGGCAAAGTGGACAATAATTATAGGACGGAGGGAGTACTATATTTGATTACTACAAAAGAAAATTGGGTTATGCCTCGTCCACTGATATTAATTCCATTTCTTTTTCTTTTTGGGCTTCAAATTTAAAACCTTCAAATCCCTGAAATGGGAAATCGCAATGATTTTTAATCCTTTACTAATTTTATTATATCTAGGAGCATCTACATGAAACACTTTAGAAATAAATCCAAACCAAACTTTTTGAGTCCTCATAAAAAAGATCAATAAAAACTTTTGTTATAAATTCATGGGTGCATTACTAGAAAAATCTATTTTGCAAGTTTTGGAATGAAACAATTCTAAAATAGTTTAGATATGAGATTTCGGATGTCTCGATTGGTTCATTCTCGTCCTTATAATATATCGACCAACCCAAAAAAAAAGTTGACGAATTATTATTAGCAAACGTAGAAGAAGTTGCAAATAAACTTTGCGGTTCAATCCTTTTTCGTAATAGGTAAGAACTTAAAAAAAAAAGAAGTATATAATATTGACCCCCTAACAATGAAGTTCTGGTTCCGCCACTAATTCACCGGCAAAGTGATGGAGACTGTCTTGCTTCTTTTGATAGATTTGTCTAGAAATATTGTGTTTTGAGTGATACTTACCGTTTACCAAAAAAATAGAGGTTAAAAATCCTCATAGCCTATTACCACTCTCAATGTAATTTCTCCTAATCTTTATTAATATATGCTCCATTAATCCAAAAAACAAAAGGAACTGATAAAATCGGGAGCCCACGCGTAGCGTGGGTAGAAGTAACCTAGTATCATGAATAAAAGATACTTTCTCTGTCCCAAAATTATTGTCCAATTTGAGATTTCATTTTTAGTATAAAAATATAAACTCAAACTGGACAATAATTATAGGACGGAGGGAGTATAACTTATATAAATACAAGGAAATAAGCCTAAATCACCAATTCCTGAAAAATGCGAAATCGTCAGGAGATGGGTTGGGCACCCCGGCAAAGTAGAAACCATTAAATCTCACCGACCAAGAGCAGACATCCGGGCACCTTGTTTGGCTGAAATTTGTACTGTAAACAGAAAACTGAACCTCCCTGAAATTCCAATCCAAGAAATCACAGTTCCAAACGGAACCCGGGTGAGCCTGCCATGTATACACTTGCCCCAGATCCAGGCTCTGGAGTTTTTTATCCAGACCCGTGGTGGATTTGCAGCGAAGCCCTAATGGATACCCCGGTTCAACCAGGTTGTTCAATACCCGAATCGTCGTCACTTTTGCTTCTGCTAATTGCATTGGAATTGAATACAATGATAATAGGGAGATGATTAGTAAATCAACAGTAAGGCTGCTTTTTTGCCTCATCTTTGGTTTCCACATTATTCAAGTTATATGAAATGCCTTGTTCGGGAACCTATTTTCACCATGTACTAGATGTGCATGTATTTATATATACCTTACATATCCACAATTCAGACAATGGTTTTGCTTAATTACCGGGTGTCTGAAAAAAAACTCTGAATCAGCTCTCTTCCAATAATACTAATTCAATGTACCAGAAGGTGGTATTTTGGGAAAAAATTTTAATGAGTATTTTGAACCCTTCAATGTTGTTGGGTTAAATCATAAATGTATCTCATGTTCCTCCAAATCGTGTTCGTTTGTTTTGACAGAAATGAACTACAACCACAACGGCAAATGAATCTCTTATCGACGTTCTACATGTCAAAATGTATCCTCATCTAAGTACAAGAGCATTTTCTCCTCCAGAAAAGAAATGCGAAAGGAGAAATGAATGGCCTAACGCTAGCTTGAAGGAACCAATTGAAATAGCTTTTCTGCTTGGTCAGGGAAGAGAGTTATGAAAAGATAGGCGCCTGCAATTTGGATCAATTTAAGCACTAATGATGGGAGAGAATTTAAGTGGCATTGTATTGTAACACGATATTATATGATGGTTCATAAAAAAACTTACAGACGAGAACTGTTCCAAGAACAGCTGATATCTTCCCTTGTATTGTAACCAGGCCAGCTTTTCCAGCATTTTGCAGCTCATACGAACCAACCGACTCAAACGTGTCTAGAATTCGTAAGAGATCAGATCCCTGTGGTTATCCTACTTAAAGTTGGAATGGAGGCACTGAGGGTTTAGAATTCTGCATACTTACCTGGTTTTACAGATTGAAGCCCAGATGTTATGCAAGCCAAATTTTCATAACCAGCTGCTTCCAATTTCTGGGCAGCTCCAGCAGACCTTTGAATAAAAATAGATCATTAGAGCAAAACTTACCTCAAAAAATTGATAAATTTTGGCAAAGGGAAGTTCCCTAAATTGCTCATTGTCCAGACATTGGTGCATCTTTTTTTTTTTGAAAAAGGGACATTGGTGGATTTGAAATGCATTAACACCTAGGAACATCTGAGTCAATTACAGACCCATGCCTGATTTCTGAAGAGTTACAAATTAAAACTGAAAATGTGCACTGTTATCTGAAGTTTCTTGAGCAAATTAAACAGTTACCTATGTGCTTGGCAAGTTCATACTTCAGTTATGATTAAACATTGCCAGTGGGTTACTGGGTACTAGGAAACCAGAAATCGCACTTCAAAGTGTTTGTAGCTTAACCTTAAGCAAGTTCAAATTTTTGAGGATGTTCAACAAATTAGGTTTATCAAGATAAGTCAACAATCTCATAAGCTTCAAGGTTGGGCACTTTAGGCTGCTTTTGACTGGCAATGAGAAGCATATGTTATTGTGAGCAATGTGGAACCTTACTAAATCGTATGCACCGAGTAAAGCAAGTTTCACAAAAGAAATCTGTACCTCAGTCCTTCTTGACAGACAAGCAAGAGCTTGCTTTTTGGTGAGAGCTGGTTCTTCACAGATTGCACAAATTCTGGATTTGGCTTTGTAAATGGTATTCCAAAAAACAGACCCGAGAAGTTGTTATGTACAGTCCTCTTGATAACAGTTCCTGAACACAAGGCAAATATGTACATTAGTTGCAGGACTTTCAGGCAATGAAGGAACCTCAAAAAACCTCTGACGCAGTAAACAAGAACTTATTTACCAAAGTCATTGTCTTCATTTTCGATGAACAAAGGAACATGATAGCAGTCCTTTATATGTGCTCGACCATACTGAGTTTTGTCCCTGACATCTAGAATTTTATATCCCTCTGCAGCTACTAGTTTCTGTGCTTCTTCAGCATCCACATAGCTTATATCAGCTCTGACTGCCAAAGAACTCCTGTGTAGAGTTTTCCCAGTCGTTGTTCCTCCGTGATGAGTCCGGACTACCAGCAACGAAGTTGTTATATTGCTGAAATAAAATCCCAAATTCTGATTCCATTGTGTATCAATATTCAACTTTCCATCTTTACACTACTCGAATAATAAACGGTTCTAGTCAAGACTCTGTTCAGAAGCTGAAATCACATGGCAAGTCAACCCGCTTCTCACATGTAAGGATTTGCAAGCCCAAGGAGAACATCAATTTCATGATCAATACAAACTCAAATAGTGGATTAGCAAAAAAGTTGTTGCTGATTTTCACAGAAATGAGATCACTCCAATCTATAGTAAATTACATTTATCAGAGAGAACAAAGCAGGAACGGAAACAAGTTTCCAGAAGGACAATGCTTTAAGGATATTGAAATCATTTATCAGTACAGACTCGAAAGGGCCATTCTTATCTTGAATTTAATTAAAAGAATATCAACACTACTATATGAAACATGGTCTGCTTTTGAGTTGATGAGTCATTTCCTGAATCAGAAACTAACAAGCATGCCAAACAGCTGTAATTGATTATCAGTAACCTAAAGCTGAAATTCAAAAATTTTAAGTTATTTTTTAAGAATCAAGAGCTTTCCTTCCTTCCTTTTATATATTCTTCATTAATTTTCCCTGAGGATAAAGTGGCTTTCTGAGCTTGCTAGAAGCTAAGCAAAAATGCATGAGCTTACATAAAAAAATTACCTGCCAAAAGAGAGGGAGCAACCAATCCCTGCCATTTTCAGAGAGGCTGCAATAACTGTTCCTCAGTATCTTCTTCGTCAGCTCCAGAAATTACTGCTTGTGGGAATTCTTGGCCATGGAGGACCCAGAAATTCAAGAGGAGAAATGGGTTTCTGCCACGTGGACAAACAATGAAGAGCTGGATTGCCGATTGGATATCTTTTGCACATCCCAGGAGACCTCCAAAAATGCGGATACCTTAATGGGCTGCTTCCGTACTTACTATGTCAAGTTGGGCTTCTGAGCTTGTGACGGACACGAACTTCTTAAAACACTGCTTATTTTAAGCGGGCTCCAATATTTTGAGATCCATAAGACCATAATATTCAACTAAATGCTTGGCCCAAGCAGATGCTCGGACGCCCCTCTATTTTAAATTTATGTTAATAGATAAATAAATTCTTGATTTGGAAAAAATAAAATAGCTACACATTTGGTTTTTTTCTTCTTTTTTTAGTCAAAAATAAAAATAAAAATAAAAAATCATCTGCCAAAGTAAAAAAAAATTAAAAAGTACAACGATATAGAAATCATACAAAAGAATGTGGAGTAATAAAGGGGATAAGTTTATGGATAAATTTAAATGTTATTTTAATTTGATTGATAAATGATAAATATTAGGAGTTAAAATTGTGTAGTTATTATTGTAAAGTAACTTTATTTCTCGGGATAAGATTTTTTTTTTCTTTTAAAAAGAGAATGACACGTGACAGAATGGTCAATGCAATATGGTGCATTTGGAGCCAAAAAGTTTTAATAAGAAGTTACCACATCAACATCCTGTATTCTGCTTTAATAGGGTAAATAAAGGAGATTTCAGTCACTTATTTATTTTTATTTTTTTTTGAAGAATTTATTTCCGTCACTCAGGAAAGAAGGATTTTATTGGTAAACAAAGAATCCAGGTAACACCAAACATACCGCAGTCTGTAAGCTAATCCAGAAATGAGTATAAATTTCATTCACAATTACAGCTGTTATCTAAATAGAATTGAAATTAGATCTCTACAAAACACCCTGGAGACTAGTTCCAGAAAAGTGATTTTAACCATCAAACAGCTTTGTCACAAGAAGAAACTGAGAAGGAGAACTCCGAATCTTTTTATTGAAATATTTGAGGCAATGGAGCATAGGAAAAAAAGAAGGCACTTCCAGGAGTACGGATACATCTCTTTTACAAACAAATTAAAAGGCAGCAAACTAACGGAAACAGTTTAACCCTCCCACTTATGTATGTGCTAGATGCCTTCTTCAACACCTAGAATCTAGTCTGCGCTAGCCCTCTTCTTGGTGGTGTAGGGATAGTACTCCTTGCCATTATCGATTCTGGTGGTTTGACCTCCGATGTCAATTACAGAAGAAGTAAATGCAAGGGCAGCTCCTGCAGAGAGTGCTGTAGAGATGCTTTTCCCTGTGGAAAGTAAACATTACATCAACAGGGGGTGTGTCCAAACACAATACCAGCTACTCATAGTTGCTTCAGAGAGGAGTGGTCCTGTAACCTAGAACTGTCCGTTCTCACATTTAAGTACCAAGGTCAAATTGCATTAAAGGGAGGGCTTCCATTTAACATTACGCACAAGTAAGCTCCATCCAAATGGCTTAGAGGTTTCAGGCTAGACAGACGTCATTTATAAAAGTGATGACCCAATTACATGCTTGATTTAAAACAGAAGACCCTTTACAAGTATACAGTGTGGGAAAGTTTCTAAGACAGTCATGTTTATTGTCGTCAGTCATTGTCACACAATGCCTTTGACTCTAGACTGCAAGGATCTCAGGAGAAGAAATGATTTCTGAAATTAATGTTTCAGAATGTAGGCTAGATCACATAGTTTTTTAAGTCATCGAACTATTACAAATGTCAATAGAAGGCACAGGAGCATGCAATCAAGGATGAAAGACAGGAAGAGCAGAGGCAAAAAGTACTCAGATACTTAATAGCAAAACATTCAACACAAGCAATAAGTGTCATTTTCTTCAGCATCATTAACGAGTGTTCTATCATCAGTATTATGCATATCGACCCTACAAAACAATATGACGTTGTTGGCAATCCTACAACAAGGAGTAATTCATTTAAGCTCTCAGGCAATTGCATCTTCAAAAAATCAATCAATAAAACAACAAACTGTAAGCGCATATCTTTCTCCACATAGTGTACAATAAAACATCCAGCAGACTATCTCTTAAGCGAGGATAGTTTGAAAGGAAGTTTACCTTTATAACCCAAAACAGTAGCACCTGCTGCAAAACCGCCAACAGCTCCATTGATGAAGTCTCTCTTCATCCTAAAATTTTGCGTCAGTTGTTCGACACCAATATAGACTCCACCAATTGCAGCAAAAGTCAATCCATGGTTTCCCATCATCTTTAGTGTCCGAATCAAGCCAGGGAGTGCAACTCTTCTCTCAACACGAGGTACATCGTGCCAAGTGGCAACAATAGTTCCAAATATAGTTCCGGTCACAAGCCCATAGGTTGCCCCCTTGATAGTTTTCATGATAGGAGTATCTTTATCTTCCACATATCTCAGCTCTGTAGGGTCCATATCTTACCCTAACTGACCACAAAAACCAAGACCTACCATCAGTTTAGCTTACTAAAGAAATACATTCCTAACTCGAAGTATGCAATGGAGATGACAGCTCGAAACTAGTCGTAAGAACTTAAACAGAAAATGAATATCTGGTACAGTTTTACATTTCTCTTACATACCAAACAATAAGCAGTATTAACAGGCAACAACACAAGGTACCACATGTAATTGATCGGATATACCAGAAGGAGAAAACAGAACCTTGTTTTTAAGGACTTGTGACCTATTTAGATCATACACAGTGCAAAAGAAGAAGAGATCCTCAAATGATAGCCCCCCATTAATACAAGACATTCAACCAGCAAATTCATAGAGAATTCCGCATCCAAACCCAAACCTCCAAATGATAAATCAAAACATAGAATCATTTTAACCATTGGAATCCTTTAGCCAGCATCTTCCTGATCCTAAAAATCTCAATACCCACCCATAAAACCCGGTATTCATTAGCATTTCCAGGAAGTATACATACAATGGCATAGAACAAAACAAATCCATACAAACTTAAGAGCGAAAAGTTGGAAGAAAAAGAAGAAATAAAAAATACAATCCATCAAATTAAGAGAGGATCAGACAACAACTACGTATTAAAATTATCGAATGACCAGAAAAATCATAAACCTAATTGTCAACGTGTTCGACTATAACAAACAGAACGGAATAATTCGAACGTCTTTAAACCCTAGACCAAGAATATCCATCTCCAACAACATGTCGCTTCTGAATATGCATCGGAATAAAATAAAAATAAAATCCCGCAATGAAAATGAACGAATTCTACGAAATGACGAGTAACTACTAAGCCTTAACATCATAGGAAACGAAAGAAGAACAATTACCAGGTGGGTCAGTTGATCTGTTCTTGCTGTATCAGAGAAGAGAGAGAGTAAACGACAGTGGAGAGAGAGAGAGAGACGAGCTGAGAGAGTGTTAGTATCGGAATGATGGGCTTTATAAATGGGCCACTTGATGCTTTAATTATTTTTAGGCCGAAACTCTAAAAAGAAGCATAAAGCAATTTAGAACTATGGGCCTTATAGCCCAAAAGTCTCTCTGTAGTCTCTCCGTTCGCTTGGCGGCTGGCGCCACCGACTCCACCTCCGGTGGAGAGAAGACGTTCAATTCTGCGAGTTTTGACTCCCAAAAATCAAAGGTTCTCCGATCCTTTTCCAGTTTCTGACTATTTTTAGCTTTTATATCTTCTACTAGTATTTGGTTGATCGATTTCCGTATGCTATGTGTTTGATATAATGCTCCTATTAGTCTAGGCGGACGACAAAATCAGAGGTATTATTGTAGTTTTTGGACTTGTGAGTCGTTATTAAGTTATTATTTCGATTGTACGTGTCTAATTGGCGACATTTTGTTAGTTGAATTCTGTATATGCATTAAAGAAATTCCCTTTTCATTAATTCATTCCGAGGAAACTTGAACATGGCTACCCTGTATCCAAATCTGTGCATCTTCTGTGGCCACAAATGCCAATAAGAATTAAATTACTACTTGAGCATGATGTGCTTTATGGTATGAGGTTAGCTCTGTGATTGTGACTCGGACACTTTAAGAGATAGATTTTCGTCTATGATAAGTGAAATTAGCTTCAGAATTTGTTTAAAATTGAAAAAAAAAAAAAAAAAAACCAACTGTACAAACTGGCTTTCATCTTATTCAGGATCGCTGGATTTACATGCAACTGATAGTGGGTTGACTCGAGTCATTCTCTCTGATAGCTGATAACAGTTTTGAAGCCATTATGTTTGGGAGGAATCAAATAGAAGATGTCCGGTGGTTGTGCTCCTTATCAGAAACAGAACTTGTGAGTGTTAAATTGACTAAATTTCGGCTTCTTTTGGAAGAATCTGCACACTTGGAGAATGTTTTGATAGGTTTTTGTTTTCTGGAATTGTTTGAGTTTCTCACAGCAGTCATGTCCCCAGGATATGCTGATTTGGATGAAAAGGATGGTGCTTCATCGAGCCGAGATAATTGGCCATAAATCTTTGGCACAGGAATTTGATTTGAGGACTCTACGAAGCCTAAGTATGTGATTTCTTTATCTAACATGCCTCAGAATATTCATCTGTGGTTGTTGTCCTTTTCTTGATACATTGACAGTTTGACACTGTATTTATTTTTCGAATATTGGCCATAAATCTTTGGCATGTGATTTCTGTGTTTATTATATTTGTAAGAGGTTCAATATCTATGATGGAAATTTAGCATTTTGTCTTCTGAGTGAGGCCTGGGTAAAGCATGTATGTAGTTGGTAAATATGCTGATGATGAAACTCATATGGTCCCCTTTCGGGCTTGGGGTTTAGCAATGCCTTGATGGCTGTGTCAATATATGGGACTTTGTGCTGTCTATTTATTGGTTAGTGCACCACCAGCCATGAACAGATCATTTAAATACATCTGTAGAGTCATGTACTCTTGCATAAGTTACACCTAATAATGTATTCAACCAAATGTCTACACCTTGAAATTAAGAATTGAGTTTTGTGAAAAACCTTGAGAGTTTCTTGTCAAGACCTATATTAGGTGGTGAATGAGATTATATAGATTTTTATGGGGGTTAAATCTCTTAGAACTCTTGAATGGCATTTTGGTTTTCAGATCTTATTCTGGGTTCTGTATGACCATCAGATTATTTACTTGGACATTGCAGTAACTTCTCCTCATATGCGATTGAGTGATATCTTCATGTTCATGAGTCTTCGTGCAGGTTTAACCATGATGAAACATCTCATGGATCACCTTAGGGATTTGAGGGTTCATCCAAGCTATGCCGAAGCCATGAGAGGCTTAGGTGGATCCAATTTGTCAAGATCTCATGTCAATAGTGATTTTTCCTCAATGAGCCCAGAGGAATTGTGGGCATACATATGCCCTGAGAAGAAAAAGAGAATCGCGGAGATGTAAGAAATTTAACGCTTTTAGTGTGAATTTTGTGACTTACTGTGATGTTGCCCTTCATAATTCTTCTTTCTTGTTATTTGGCATGAATCTTTCTTCTAGAAATTGTCTGAGTGGCTTTTAATTTATATTATTGGTGTATTGCTTGAGTATAATCCATTTAAGCCCTTATATTATTTTATACCTATTGAAATCTGGACGAAAAGTAATTGACATTAGTTCATTTGTAGCCAAATCACTGAAAGACTTGATATGTTAACTATGAATTTGTTAACGCAGAAGACTTCTGTTATATTAATGAAAGGAAATTAGCTTTTCAATTTGTTAGGACTTCTTCACGGACTTTGTATAGCCAATAATTGTTTGCAGTTGAAGCCGGGTAGCTTTTTCAAGCAGATATTTCTTGCATGTTTCTGCATTTCTGGTTCCGTTAGTGACTATGTTTCTGCATTTCTGGTTCCTTTAGTGACCTTTCTACCACCACCCAGCAAATAACTGTTAGCATGTTTGGTTTTCTGCATTTCTTGGATCAACAGAGATATCTGCCTGGAATTTTCTTATCAGAAACCTCATCTTTCAGTGGAATTATATGGACTTAGTCCTCCTAATTGTTTTGCACATTCTATGCCAGTATGGTTGGTAGTTATGTTTCCCTTTCCGTCACATTGTCATTCTTCATCCCTATTCAGTGATGATGTTGCTACTCATTCCAGATCTGAGCCTTGTTAATCTAGCATGCTAAGTCCTGTTCTTATGTCTTGTACATATTCATACTTTGCTCATCTCGACCTCAACTGTGAAATCTGTAAAAGCTTGTTGTAGACAGTTGTCCATTACTATTCACTTCATTTGTTGTTGTATTAGGCTTGCTGAGGACAAAGCTCCTAGACAAAAGCGGAAAAATACCGATGGAGAGTCATCAGAGCAGACGTAGGGCAATGATTCCCAGATGGTTCTGTTTCTTTAAGGTGCTGATACCTGTAGAGAGCCATCACCGGCCTTCTCCCAGTGTATTTCTTTTACATTGCTGTATTATTAGATAGTGTTCGTTGTTTTCTAGTTTTCCAGCCTTTGGGTTAGAGCCAAAGGATAAAAGCTCCTCAATCATCCCCTGTAATTTTCCCCTTAATCCTACCGTAAGCACCTCCAAGTTGCACTGATAAACGTGCAAGTTTCATCATTATATTACAAGTATAGTATTTCACCGGTCACAATGAGTGCGGTACTAACAACATATTAAGGATACGAAGTGTTTAATAGTAGTATCTTATTATACGTGAGAATTTTAGCTTAACAAGAAAGCAAAAGTTATCTTCCAGAGTAAACGGAAGAATTAAGCTAAGAGAATGATTTTTAAGCCCTTAATGATCAGGAGAGACATAAGCATAAACTTAGGGCTTCTTGTGTAATAATAAGTCTCTTAAATGGATGCTTCTTCATTATACTCCATCTGTCCCAAAATTATTGTCCAGTTTGAGATTTCACTTTTAGTGTAATTTAAACTGGAAATGAAAACTCAAACTGGACAATAATTATGGGACGGAGGAAGTATTAAAGATGACGTAGAATTACATAATCTAACATTTCATAGAATACTTCTTTATAACTAATATGCAGGTACCTTTTCATCAAAAGAAAAAAAAAAAAAAGTGGAAAGGTAAAAGGGAATATCGAGATTTCCAAAAACATGGAAGCAGATTTTGTTATTGCCGAACGATTAAATCCGACTCCGAGTCGGAATAGGGTTTCTTTTTCTTTTTCCTTCTCCTACCGTTGCTGTTTAGACGGAATCCAAATAGGATTGGAATTCAGAAAGGGCTTCCTTTTTTTCCGAATTCTGCACCGATTTAGGCTTATGATCTCTCCCTATAAATACATCCCTTCTTCTGTTACTCTTGATCAACATACAAATCAATAGTATCCAGCTTAATTTCTATCCCTTCAAAACATTCATCACTATGGATAATCGTTCTCAAACCCTTCTTCTACAAACTCGGCAAGAACCCAATAATACTCTCAATGTTAACAACTGTTTCCTCAATTTTGGAACCTTTAACATCGACGATTGCAAAGCACCAGCAGATCATAGTGATCTCAAATATTCCTCTGTACAAATTCAGAAGACTCCAACTCCTCAGACCTTTCCTCTCGGAATTTACTATAAACAGAGTCGAGAAAGAGAAACAACAACAACTTCATCGTCGTCGTCGTCCTCATCCTCCTCTGTTAATTTGCCAACATCCCACGAGAATCTTGATGGCTACGATGCAAATTGGTCACCAATTAACAGCTTAAACCCCAGAAAGGATATCCGGGCTCGCCCTAATTTCTGCAGTAATGGTGGACCCGGAAACTCTGCTTCTCAAGATTCATTTTTTAGCACGAATTCTGTGCCGGCCAGCCCTTACCCTAGTAGTTCTTGCTGTTTGAATTCGTCAATTTATGGAAACCAAGGCCTCTGTTATCCTTCCGGGATGCAATACTCTTCAAGAAGTAATCCGGGTTTCTTCAGCCCCGGATTTCAGGATCAGGGAATGGAAGCTCAAGCTCAACCTCCTCCTGTTTATGCCCAAAGTTGCGAGAATTCTTCTGATTTGCCACCAGGGTTCAACGTTCTTGAGTTGGCTAAGTGCCCAGTTCGGTCTGGATATTTGAGGAGAATTCTTGAACAGGGGAGATATGTAAGAGTAATGTTGAAACAGGTTGTTCCATTAATCTTTGAGTTGATGTCTGACCGCAATGGATCTCGTGTATTCGACGTTCTACTCGATAAATGCGAAAATTGTGATCTTGCTGCAATTGTCAAGAAAATTGCTTCAGATAGTGAAGCTTTTGTTGATTCAGCAGACAAGGAAACGGGTTCCAGGTCAATCCAGAGACTAATCAAGAGGCTCAAGAACACAGGGTTTGAGTCTACAGTTGCAACGGTGCTGTCGAAATTCGCCGTAAGAATGATGACTCACAAGATTGCATCCCATGTTATTCGCCAGTGCTTTTGTTCTTGGGGTGAGCCACAGAATTCTGCTCTACACGACAGCCTGTTCAGGGATTTCAAAGAGTTGGCCATGGATCCTATCGGGTGCCTTACCATCAACAATTGGATCGACAACACGCCTGGTTCCCGGAGACCACATCTCCTGGGTCTCGTCGCCAAAGAAGCGCGTTCGTTGTCACGCGATCCATCTGGCAATTTCGTGGTGCAACATGTCCTCAAGCTCGAACTCGAATCGGTAAACAAGGCAATATGCCTGAATCTTTCGGGGATGTTTGTGGAGCTTGCTCAGATGAAAGGAGGAAGCCACGTCGTGGAGAAATGCCTTGAACTTTCCCACCTTGGGCGCGAGTTTGTGACTGAGGAGATTTCCAGGAACACGAGAACTCTGTTGATACTTGCTAAAGATCAGTTCGGGAACTATGTGGTTCAAAAAGCATTGATGCTTGCAAAGAGGTATGACCTAAATATGTATCAGAAACTACTGCAAGTGCTCAAACCGGAATGCTGGAAGCTTGTAGAGAAGGCTGAAAAATCATGTTATCCACTAGAGTATTAAGTAAATGTGTTAGAGAGGTTGAAAAGTTATGTACTTTCTGAGAGTTGTTTACCTAAGCTAGTAAAAAGTGTTGTTCTGCTTATTTTCCAACATAATGTTTCAATAAAGATTGGTATTTTTTTCAATGAATGAATATTTTCTCCATAGTTTGTTACTACTAAACAGGAATTTAGTCTGAACTCATTTGAACTTCCATGAGTCTTTCAACACCGGAGATTATGACTTAATTACAGTAAGTCAGCAGTCAACAGGAATACAGATTCTCTTGACAGTTGTATCATCAAATTAGGAGCTTCTTTTTTAGACCTATTTTGCTGTAATCATCCTTGCACATTTCCACTAGCAGATTGAAAGTCAACCCTCTATGCAAACAATGTACTATATGGCTATATGCTACAGCACATGGAAAGACAATTTGTATGAACTGGACAAGTCTTTTTTAAAAGGAGTTGACTTCATCGGATTTGCCCAAAGGAAAGGAAAATAGAACTTGACTTTGTCAGGCAAAGACTTTACAAAACTTGTTTATAGCAAAATTGTTGTATCATTTGCAAATTCCGTTGGGGGGACTATTCCAAAAATGGGGATCAGAAGAACAGCCAAGAAAAATCCCGAAGTTGCGATCGGAATTGATCTGGGAACTACTTATTCCTGCGTTGGTGTTTGGAAACAAGATCACGTCGAAATCATTCCCAACGAGCTCGGCAACCGGACAACTCCGTCTTATGTTGCTTTCACCGATACAGAGCGTCTGGTTGGTGATGATGCCCTGAATCAGGCAGCCATGAATGCTGTCAATACGGTCTTTGACGTGAAGAGACTAATCGGCCGGAGATTCTCCGATCCTTCGGTACAGCAGTACATTAAATCATGGCCTTTTAAAGTCATTCCAGGGCCCGGAGACAGGCCCCTGATTTCAGTGAAATATAGAAACAGCGAAAAGCTATTCGCTCCTGAAGAAATTTCTGCCATGGTGCTCATGAAAATGAAAGACATGGCTGAAGCTTACTTGGGTTCAACTGTGAAATATGCTGTGGTTTCCGTCCCGGCATATTTCAGTTATTCCCAGCGTCAGGCCACTGTGGATGCCGGCGCCATCGCGGGTCTCCTTGTGATGAGAGATTCTAATGAACCAAGTCTTGCTGCCATTTGTCACGCCCTGGAAAGCCAGAAGAATACCACCGCAAGTGAAGGTGAAAAAAATGTGCTGGTATTTGATCTTGGCGGGGGTACTTTGGATGTTTCTATTATCACCATCGAAGAAAACATATTTGAAGTGAAGGCCACTTCCGGAAACAATGATCTCGGGGGTGAAGATTTCAATGGCAGAATGGTGAATCATTTCGTTCAGGAATTCAAGATGAGAAATGGGATTGATATCAGCATTGGAAACAATTTCAGGGCTCTCAGGAGGTTGCGCAATTCGTGCGAGAGGGCAAAGAGGAGCCTTTCATCTACTGCTCAAACCACAATTGCCATTGACTCTTTATATGACGGGATTGATTTTTACTCCAGCATTACTCGTTCCCAATTCGAAGAAATTAACCTGGATTTATTCAGAAAATGCATGGAGCCATTGGAGAAGTGCTTGAGGGATGCAGGGATGGAAAGAAATTCCATCCATGAAGTTGTCCTGGTTGGTGGATCAACCCAAATTCCCAAAATCCAGGAACTAATCCAGGATTTTTTCCAGGGGAGGAAACTGTTTTCTCAAAGTACTGTTCAGCCTGATGAGGCTGTCGCGTATGGAGCAGCAGTTCAAGCTGCAATATTGGCAGGCGATGATTCCTCCATTCAAGATCTCCTGCTTTTGGATGTCATCCCTCGCTCTTTAGGCGTGGAAACTATTGGTGGTGTCATGACAGTTTTGGTTCCAAGGAGCACCACGATTCCTACCAAAAAGCAGGCACTGATCTGCGTTGGAGGTAGTGCGATAAATGTATACGAGGGGGAGAGAACAAGGACCAGGGATAACCAAATGCTTGGTAGGTTCAACCTTCCAGGTCCTTCATCAAATGATCCTAATAAGATGATCTTAATATCCTTTGATCTAGATGCCAGAGGTATTCTGAATGTGCATGTTGATGGAGTACATAAGGAAAAAGAGTCCTTCACCATCTTGGGAGAGGGTAGATTATCCAAGGATGAAATGGAGAGGATGATTCGGGATGCACAGAAGTACAAGTTTGAGGATGAACAACACAAGAAGGCGGCCTCGGCCGAGAAGATTGAAGCCAAGAATGCTCTCCAGAACTATGCATATAACATGAAGAACATGGCGAAGAAGATCGAGGATGCAATCGAGGAGAGGGTCCAATGGCTGCAATGCAATCAACTCGCCGAGACGGATGAGTTTAGGGATCAACTAAATGAACTGCAAACTAAATGCAACTCCATCATTGCAGAAATGTACCGAAGAGGTTGACTTATATCAAACCTCAATTGTGTGTTTCTCATCTTTTTGGGTGGGACTATGAGTATTTGTATTTGCATCTGTAATTTACCATCTTTCATTATGTTTTTGTTATTTTTGGTTTCAAGAAATTTGCTTACATTTGAAATGAAGATCTCAAACCTGCATCTTCTGATGTAACATATCATCATCTATACAGAAACATTCTTCTTTCATATGAATGAAACTCAAGCTCTCTAATTTTGTTGGTGCATTATTACATGGCCGGAGTTCAAAACTATTGCCTCGAACTAATCCGGTTTCGAGGCAGATAACTAAAGCAAATTACGCGCCCCTGTGTCCTAAGTCTTTAGTTAGTTCACTTGGTCATTTTTGGAATTGAATGTGCTTTACCTAAAAAATAAACTTATAGTACTACTATACCACCTAATATAAGAAACATTATGAAAATGGTGTAATTGGTAATGATCATTTCTCTTCATCAGGTCGATCAAAGCATAGCCCATATAATTTATTGGGCTCAAAGAGAACCATGGTCCCTAATCCACTATTCCTCGAGGCCCAAGTGCTTCTTTCTCAGTTCTTTACGGTGCACGTTAGCATTAGCCACAGAGTGAACACAGTCTGTAATCTGTAGTCCCCAAATTAGGCTCCGAAACTGAATGAAAATTTCCACCAAAATCTTTATCGATTAACTGAGAAAATCATCCAAAACAAATGCACAATCAGGAAGACATTCGTAAATTGCCGATTGATATCGCGTTTGCTCGTCTGGGAGGTAAAGTCGAGTTATTTTCTTTTTGTTTTTGTTGGAATTACTTTGAAATGCTGTTTTACGAAAACCAAAAAACCGAAGATGTTTCCTCTTTTTCTTTTTATTTTTGTTGAATTTGATTTGCTTTTGGTTGAAGAATGGCTGGTGGATCGGAAGAGAATTCCGGCGGACTGGCGGAAGCGATTGGCCGCGGTGAGAGCCAAGATTTCAACGGAGTTTGCATCACTGCCTAAAGACATTGATCCTTACTTCCTAACCCTGGAGATCGAAGGTGCCTTTTTCATTTTTTTTTAATGCTTCAGTTTTGTTTGATTTTGTTGGAATTGAATATATTGATTTGCTAAATTCATCCAGTATATAGTGAGCTCAGTTTTTATTAGTTAAAGAGAACTCTCATGCTTCTTGTTTAGTCCAGTAAATTACAGCAAATCCATAAGCTTTTAGCTCAGGTTAAACTCTTTTAGAAATTTGTGAAATACCATTTATTGCAAGCTAGACATAGATTAGTCTTTCCTGAACTCCAATTCTGAAGCTGTTAACAAAGAATTATGTAGTAGATTGGACTTTCCTCAGTTACAAATTTTTTATTTTCCCCTACCCAACTGACTTTGTTGAATATCTTTCCTTTTGCATTAGATATTACAGTTCAAAAGTTCTTGGCTGTCCATCTGAATATGATGTTCTGCATTTACTTTTCAGGGATTGGGTATCTTGAAGCCAAAAAAATATATGAGATTCTCCTAAAGTCGACTCCGGAAAGCCGTAATATTTTTGGCCGGCTTTCAGGTGCTGCTGTAAGATCCTCGAAGACATCATCATTAATACTCTCTCTAATTTTTCTGTGTATGCTTGTGTGATGTACAACTTTTTTCTCGTGTTGTGAAATATGTTGAATTCCAACAGGGTGCTTGGGAGGGTATTGTGCGTGCATTTGAGAAGGATTCGATATTTCTGGGAGAGGCTGCTCAGCTAATGGTTCAGAATGTTAATTATGAAATGTAAGAGAGGTGGCTTCCGTATAGGAAGTAACCATGCTATATTTTGGTTCTTTCAGCCTTTAGTGATCCCTTTGTTTTCAATTCCTAGCCCTTATCAGAAGAAGCAAATTCAGAAGATTCAGCAGCAACTTACTGAGTTGGAGCGCAAGGAGTCTGATATCAAAAGAAATGCGGCTCTTTCTGCAACTAAATATGCAGAGGCTTGTCAGGATCTTGGGTTGCAGGTTATTCTTTTGGATATATCTTTATTAACCCAATTAACTTCCATTCCATCTTTTGTAGAATTGATCGTCAGATGATATATTTTTGTGTGTTTTTTCAGGGAGTAGATGTGAGGTCAGAGCTTGTATATACTGCAAAAAGTTCACTTCCAATTACATTCAGCAAACTGCTAGAAGTCTTGAATGGTGATTCTGTTTCATTGGCTATTGAGTATTATTCAGCATTTGTCAAGGATGCTCATACTGAACAGGACGTAAGTTGGGGAATATTTTATAATATTAGCATTATATTTCAAAAAATGATGAACGATGGTTTGGAATGACAAAATATTATGGATTTGAGCTTTGCACTTTACTCTTAATGGGAAATCCTGTTGATAAGAAAAGAAGGGCCATTTTGGCATACCTTTAGAATAGGTTGGACTTAAACTAATATGTGGTCTTTTCTTTTTCATTGAAGTACAACGATGTAGTTATTGTGGCAATGTTCCTATTATTGCCTGATTGTCACCTGACAGAATTGTTTATTCTTATTTCAGAAAACTCCAGCTACGGTATTAGGAAATTTAAGAGAGACCCGTGAAAAGCCTCCTTCTCTTACAATTGCTGTCCACTCTGAAGCTTTTGATTCTGCAACCACTGAACCATTGCATGGTGAAGCAAACCAAATAATTGGAGAAACAGAATTTGCTGCTGATACGAGTATTGATTGGGATATCACGTTGGACACTGCCCAGATTGACTGGGATATTGGTACCGTAGAAGATACCGAAGAAAATGGCAATGGCCTTGGCCCTTATGAGATTGTTAATGCTAGTGATGTGTCAAATTCTCCCGAGAATGAAACCAGTGATTCTCATCAGCTCTCATCTGAGCAGTTTTCTGCTCCAGAAGTCTCAATATCTGATATCTCTTGGGATATAAGCGTGGAGAATCCTGAAATTAATGTGGCTGAGGAATCTGGTTTTGTTATTTCTAATGATCAATCAGAGTCGGTCATTCAAAACACTTTATCGCTGGTGCAAGACAGTAACAAAGAGAGAAGTCCCCTTTTGGAGACGGAATATAGGAATAAGATTCTTGATGATCTATTTGAGGTGAATATAATTCTACCAATACCAAATTAGCTGGAAACTGTAGGATCTTTGTTTGGTCATTTTTTAGTATTCTCTTTTGGTACGGTCCTTGACGGTTGCATGCATTCACCAGGTTAAAGCATTTCTGAATCAACGATTGTCTGAATTAACGAACGAAGATACTTTGTCTTTACAACACCAAGTCCAGTCAGTCGCTCCATTTGTCCTGCAGCAGTATTCTTCAGCTTCAATTCAGGCAATGCTTTCTGATGTTACCTTGGCTATATCATTGCTGACAAATAGGAAAACGAGGGACCTCATCATGATTCTGAACTCAAGAAGGTGATGGTTTTTGGGAACAAAGTTAAATGCCATCCTTCTTGTTATGTTGTTTCAACCTTCTACAGTGATTTGTCTGATGCAGGTTGTTCTTATCAGTTCAGCGCGTTACTTTCACCTTATACTGGATCATTTTTGAAAGTTCACGTCTTATATAGTTCAGATGTGTCCCAGTAATTCAATATCGCTTCATTGTCTTTCCTTTTTCTCCCGTCCCCTTATGGACAGGATGTCCATCTTGCACTATTTCGGGTTTTTACTATAGCTAAGTTCCATACTGCATTTGTCATGAATGTGCTGAGCTATTTTTTGGATCATTTATTAAGAATGGATTTATCGTGTTTCAGATTTTTGGATAGACTTGTAAAGACCTTGGAAGAAAAGAAGCACCATGAGATGAAGCTAAAGGAAGGATTGAAGGACTTGGCTATCAGACGTATGGAACTCCAGAATGCATTATCTTCATCATGGCCCAAACAAGTGAGTTATTACCCTTCCCCTAATAAAAAGTTCTACAGTATTTTTCTCGAACACCTGCTGTGTCAGTGGAAGATCACAAACATCTAAGCTGAGGCTTTGGATGCCGAGTCAACGTACAAAGCTTGCTATTGACCACCATCAATAGAACACCCTTTTCTCCTTGTTTCCAGCTATTTTTATTTTCTCATGGGTTTCTGTTCATGTGTATCTGAGTAATAATCTCCTACTTCCTTTTAGTCGGCAACTGGGCATCTGATTGCTGATTAATTACTTTGCATCTCTGAATGCAGGAAGTAGCAGTGGTGAAGACCCGAGAGTTGAAGAAACTTTGTGAAACTACACTTTCGTCCATGTTCGATGGAAGGCCTGTCAATATCATTGGGGAGATAAACACAATGTTGAATACTGGTTTGAGTGTATAATAGAGAGTGCTGATAGTCCTTGGTAGTTATAGACTTGTAGTCATGTTCTTTTCTTTTATATGCCATTCATCAGGTGAACAATGAACAGTAGTCTTATTTTGTGGAAACGGGTTTAGGTGGTTGGTGGAGTCCCCTAATAGCTTAGCTGGAACAACTGTAATCTGTGTTTCTCTATTTGATCTTAATTATAAGGTGATGGAGAATTCTGAGAAATTAGCTTCTACTACTCTGGAATAATAACAAGAGTTTCCATGTAAGGTTATGAAATGGATTACCGGGGACATGAGTTATACTTGTTAGAGCTTTTGAATTCAAAAAGTCACTCCATACCCTGCACAGCTGGCGAAACGCAAAGGGATGGTTACATAATCAAAAAACTATGATGAAAATGATAGAGAACTTTGTCTGAATTTGCACTTGCTGCAATCTTCTAATATTTGATCTTGGTATTCCTATCAGTACATTTGTTTATTCTATATGGTATGGAGCCATGGATGTTCGCTAGAGAACTGCACTACAAAACCTTCTGAACAAGTAAGCACCAGATTCATATGTTACCATCTTCAGAATGAACTCAAGTAGCTAAAAGTTTAAATGGAATAGTAGCTCAGCGATGGTGAGCCACAGAATCTGGAATCGTAAGACCGGTTTGATTGATTGAATGGATCGACTTCACTACTCTCTCCTGCAAGTGATCTACTGGTTGTCGAGGCCTGCTTTTGTAGCAAAAGTAACAATGACTCTACAACTTCGGACATTGCCGGACGGAATTCCCTCTCAGGCTGCATGCATCAATTCCAAATAGGCACTCAGACACACAAGACAAGTAAACAAAGGCAGATAAAAATCTAATTTTAATGCAGTGATGATGGTAACTAGCGCTGTTTCGGCTGAATTTCATAAATTTGATGGAAAAATACAAATATCTTCTTGATGATATTTCAAAGGTGAGCAGGTCCCTACGACTTTGTTCTACAGATGCTCATTATAGTACAAACACCACCCGCCCCCCAAAATCAATATCTCAGACATTCTTCAAAAGTGAAGGATTTGAATGCATTTAACTTGGAGGACATACCTGAATACAGAGTGAGACAATGTCAGCAAAGTGAGAAAGGCCCTGAGAAGGGATTGTTAGTTTAATGGCTGGATCAACCATCTGTTCCAGGTAGTCACTGTCATGAAGCCTTTTTGATGCCCATCTCGCCAGGAACTGCTCTCCAGTTGGTTTTGAACTGTTTCAGTTTCAGCAGAAGAGTGAAAACCAGTGAATATAGAGCAAAGTTCGTGGATATCATACACTCAAAAGTAGAGGTGTGCTTACCTATCGAAAGGTAGCCTTCCTGTTAACAGCTCCAAAAGTAACACGCCAAATGCATACACATCTCCCTTTAGGTTATCACCACTTGGAACATTTTCAGGAGCAATGTAGCCTCTATCAGATATAGCCATTTCAGAAGCCTATTTACAACCAAAAATGGACAAACAACAGCAGCTGATAAGTACATGATGTATATCAACCTTCACTCAACAAAAGAGAACATGTTCATGGGCTTATGATATCCACGAACGAAGTCTTCATATGCGTACCTTGAGTTTTACACTGTTGCTTGAGAGGGATCTCAAGATAGCTAGACCACCATCACTTATCCTTGGCCTCATATCTTCATCAAGCAAGATGTTGGAAGCCTTCAAGTTGCTATGGGCAACTGGCGGCATGCAGGAGGAATGCAAGTAACTGGAAAATTCAAAGATTGAATGAGGTGGTGTGTCTAAGTATTAAAACAAAAGCCAATCTAGTAAAGATGAGTAGAGTAATCTTCCTTATACATATATATCCTGAAGACAGTTGTACATAACAAAGCTATGAGTTCTAACTTACTTTATTCCGCGGGCTATTCCAAGAGCGATTCGAAGGCGGAGGCCCCAAGCTAGAGGTGTTGATCCTGAGTCATGCAAGGCTTCATCTAGTGAAAAATTCCTGACATATTCGTATACAAGGTGATGTGATCCATGCTCTGTACAATAACCGAGAAGTGTTACAACGTTGGGGTGCCTCAATTTGGCCACCTGTCGTACAACATTCAAGAATCTTTCCTCTTCATTGAGAGACAGTTCCACCATTTCAATGCTCTTCACGGCCATCATCTAGGAAAGAAGAAAAGAAAGGTTAAAGCTGGCTAAAGATGCATATATTTGTAGCATTTTATCACAGAAAAAAAGGAAAAAGATATTAGGGTTTAAATATGTTTACTTCTCCATCTGACGATTCTGCTCTGTAAACAGATCCAAGGGATCCATGTCCAAGGAGATGATCTGGGCTGAAGTTGTTTGTGGCTAATTGAAGTTCTGCTGCGCTGAAAAGTTTTACACTAATTGGTACCATGTTTCTCGTAGAGAAGCTTCTTCTGGCAACTTTGAATGGTTTAGTTTGAACAGAGTGTAAACGCCAGGATTTATATCCTGGAGGGGAGTTGATCAAAGATAAATGTGGACTACATTCAGCAGCTGTAGAAGAACATTCTGCACAAAATGACATGGAGAAACATAGAAAAAGACATGCAAGTGATCAGTGGTTCTGAAAGACACAGCACTGCAAGAAAAGCAGTTAAAGAAGTGTCCTAAATGCCCACGCCTCAAAATTCAAACTATGGATCCAACAGATTTTGAGAAGTGCAAAAAGAGCACCAGCAAATGGGATTCGGGATCAAGATAGAAACACACAAGGCTGATGCATTAAAGATAATAATGCATTATAGAGATAACACTGAGTGAGTAGAAGAGGTCCACGGGAAGTTAGTCCCTAACATGACATTTTAGCCGACATGTAAACATTTGAAGTAAAAAGGAAAAACAATAGAAAAGAAGTTTCGTAGATGTAAGGAAGAGCATAGAAGACAATAAAGTAAGTTGTGAACTAGATTGCAGATTTCAAGCAGCACATTGACTTAACAATATGTATATAAAAACCAATTGCAGTTAATTTTCATTGCTTTTTCTTACCTCTGCTGGAACTAGTTGCAAGAGACATCAGTGAGCTTTGCCTACATTCCCCCTTCAATGTTTGACTTCGCCGAATATGAATTACTGCAGCAGCAATTCCTGCAAATGCCGCCAGAAGAGTGCCTCCACCAACCAGAAAAGCTGTTGTGCCCCCCATTCTTCTTTTCTTCTGTCCTTTGAATTTCTTAGTAGGATAGGTTTCTATTGCATTGCTTGCTGCATTTGGTGGACTACTTATATTCTCCTCATAAGGCAAAGTGTCAAGGGGATACTTCCATTCTGGGTAGTTATCTCCTCTATGAAACTTATTACCACCAAAACTGAACACAAATTAAGAAGGCAATTCAGCATAAGAACAACTTAAGTTGCAACCAAAGGAATTTCAGGCAGGGATAACAGCTTACCGCAAGTTTTTTATTTGTTGGAATTCCTCCGGAATAACACCACTAAAATTGTTATCCTCAATGTTCCTGAAGAGGGAAGATATAGATTAGAGATAAGCACATACTGACGAAAACTGCCTGGGGCATTATAAGAACACTTACAAGTCCGTGAGGGGGAGCTTAGCCAGATACAATACTGATCCAGTAAAAGCATTTCCTTGCAAATACCTGAAGTGACAGACAAAATATTCATACATGTAACATAATACAGAAAGTATTATGGGTGACTGATAAGAAAATACAAGACACTCACAATTTAGAAAGATTCGTCAAAGATGCAAAAGAACTTGGTAGATCCCCGGTGATGTTATTGTGTGACAAGTCCCTGTCAGAAGAAGTTTACATGTTAAGTCAGTAATCCTCAAAAAGTTATATTTACAGCTAGTTCCATGTCTGAGGTTGCACCTAATTACATCAAAGTAATGAAATTACATCTGAAGTTAGCATGACATTTTGATAAAGTTGTAGTAAACCACTGTATTTGGAGCCCTAAGGCTTCCTTTTTATCATGAATGAAGCAAATGGAAAACAGGCGAAGACTGGAACAAGTCAAATGCATATGATTACTGCTATTTGCACAGCATTCAAACATTAAAAGCCGCGTAAATCATCATACATCTCTATCAGATTCTCGAGTCCAGTGAAGAAATCTCCCAATATTCCTGATAGTTCATTGTGGCTCAGATTCCTGGAGATGTGAAGATAATCAACCAGTTATAATATGCAAAATAAAACAAAATACTAATAATTGTCCAACAATCATAAATGATGCTTTAAATACTTACAGATGCCTCAGATTTTTCATGTAAATCAAAGAGTATGGAATGTTTTGGCTGAGGTTATTGCTAGACAGGTTCCTGAATCATCCAAGACCAAGTAAAACATAAGTAGCACAAAAATTATTAATCAGGTTCCCAGATGAAAGTTATAGTACATTAGCAAAGGAATGATACTTACAAGTCAGTGACATTAATGGGTAAGCCCAGTGGAATCTCACCCTGAATCTTGTTGGAGCTTAAATCCCTGTACGGAGAAGGGAATCAGAAATATAACCAACTGGACCATGATAAAAAAATAAATAATAAAATCCATCAATTTTGCTCACAGAAATAAAAACAGAATTTAAGAGACAGCTTACAACTGCTTCAAGTTCTTTAAGTTGAAGAGGTCAATCCCGATATTACCAGTAAGCTCTAATCCAGGAAGTTGGCTGTAAGGAAATTGTTGAGTAACCTAATCAATAACTGCAGCTTATTGTTTGCACATTTCACAGTTGAATATGGTTAATTTTAAGCTAATAAGCTAATTGAAATGTAAATTGTACATGAAGTTCACGGAGGATCCATTGCATGAAACTCCCGTCCATGATTCGCCACAAGGGTCGCCTCCTTCTGACGTCCACCCTTTCAACTGCGGTGGTCTATTCAGGCCATTGTACACAGATCGAAGTGCTTGAACTGCAAATTCATCATAACCCCGAATAGTAAAACAGTTGACCTAATCAACGATTTCTCTTAATTCAAGAAACAGACTACTTATTTTCTCAAATCATATAATGAAATCAGAGTCAAAGATTACTTTGACGACCAAAGGCTCGCAAAAATAATTCAAGATGGAGACCAAGAAAATTACAGAAATAAAAGATCCAAGAGATAGAGAGTACCATCAAGATCATCAGTTCCAGCTAAAACCTTCAATGACCAAACCGCTAAGAACAACACAAAGACGAGACAGAAACGTACCGAATTCTTGGCCATTAGTCCTGTGACAAATCCAAAGAAACTGCGATGTTAAACTTCAATCAAGAAAACCACAGATGAACAACCCCATTTCAAGAAAATCGTAAAAGTAGAAGGAAAAAAACAAACCCATGATTCTACTACGCGGAATTAATATGAAATTACAGCAAGAAAAGGCTGGAACAGAAATCGAAAAGCAGAAACAGATTACTGAATTTTGTAAATTAGGTAAAAGAAAAGTCGATTGATATACCTAGAAAGACTCGAGGAAAGATCCAAATTCTCTGTGATTTTTACTTTCTGTCTAAGCTGGAAACTATCTGATCGACCAAAATGTGGAAATACAACCGACTCTGCTCGACTTGTAAACAATAATCTTCGGTGAAAAGAAAACGGAAAGCAGAAAGATTGAAAAATGGAGTTTCAATGAAGAATTTATGAGAATTTGGGGCTAAACGAATGTAAAGCTCTCTCGCACTCGTCGGTGAAGTGTGTGTACTGAGTATTGGGAGAGAGAGAAAAAACGGTTTCAGTGCGTGACTGTGTGTTGCTGCCGTTAGTAAGTACTTTATTCTGCGATTTGGAGGGAAAAGCCTTCTTCATGGCGGTTTAGTTAGAGACGTATCAACTTGGGCCTTCTAGGATTTCTGGGCCAAAGCCCATCCATTTTATTTTCTTTAGTAATAATTTTAATTTATTTTAATGATTTTTTTTTTAAAGAAGAAAACAAGGCACGACGTCGTTTGAAAAGAAATTACCAGCAGAGTTAGGGTTCATCTCGCACACACAGACACACAGTGGGCTAGGGTGGACAAAAAAAAAAAACAGAGAAAAGATGGGAGAGGAAGGAGAAGCAGATGATTACATGGGAGACATTTCTCGCTTCGTACAGCCTCAACCACAAACAAAATCATCTCATAGTCATCATATCCCTCGTAAATCTTCCTCTCAAACATCGGTTAGTATTTTACCCACAAACTTGGGTTCTCTTTTTTAACTATGTAATTTATTTCTAAGCTAAATGTATCGGCATAAGCATACTTCTTCGTTAAAGCTGTACTGGTCTTTGTGTTTCTTACATTTTGCTCGTGTATCATTTTTGTGGTGTAATGTTGTTGATTTCCAGGCAACCCTTGATGTGGTGTTATAAGTGATGGTGAAGAGAGAGGAGCTTGAATTTGGGCAATTATTTTCAGCTCTTTTTATGTTTAGAAGATCATTAACTAGATTAAATCAAATTGGTAGGGGAGAGAAAGACCAGAAAAAGAATTCGAATGTAATTAGACCTGAAGTTAGATGAGATCATATTTGGATATTCCTGATGAGTGTTGCATGATGAAAGATTAGTTAATGTAAGCATGACCAGTGAGTATTCTAATAGATTTCCTCTATGTTGGAAAGATTATATGCGTCTTATTGTATTATTGTGTTCTGCTGAGTTGGCGCATTGTTGTTAATCAACGACAATTTCGAATGCTGCTTGTGGCCCTTTTAGATGGTTGGATTATGCTTTGTGATATGATGCGATTTTTTCGACAATGAGGGTATAAATTTGGTTATGTTTGGTGTCAATTACAGGTTTCTCATAGTAGAAGTGGTTTTTCTGCGAATAAAAAGGCCAAGACTTTGAACTGGCAAGAGCAGAGGAAGGTCAAAAGAGAGCAGAAACAAATCGAAGAAGACCAGAAAACAATAGAAAATACAGATAAAGCAATTCCACAATCCAACATTGGATTCAAGTTGTTGAAACAAATGGGATATACTCCTGGTTCAGCTTTAGGGAAGGAGGGGTCTGGAAGGGCTGAGCCTGTCAGGTTAGAGATTAGAAGGGGCCGGGCGGGGATCGGGAAAGAGGATCCCATGATCGAGAAAGCTCGGAGAGAGAAAGAAAAGTTTGAGAGGGAAAAGATAAATCAAGAGGAAATGATGGCAGATTTTGGTAACCGCCAAAAAGAGCGGTGGAAGGAAAGAAGGATTGTGATAAATTTTAGGAAAGCAGAAGCAGCACTTGCCCAGTTGGAGAATAGGGAAGTTGTTGAGGAGAAAGAAGACAAGAGTGATGAAGAGAAGGAGGAAGAAGAAGAGGAAGAGGAAATTACGGAGGAGGTACTAGTTATCAAGTTGTTGTATTTTTGAGGTCCACTTCTCAGATTTGTTGAATGTTTATACCCATTTTTTCATCAAAATATTTATGATGGAATTAAATCTGTTAGAAAATGCCTTCCTTTAGTATATTTTTGCATCTGCAAATATTTTTATTGTACAAGTTTCTGAGAGGTTTTTGATATAGCAGTGCCATCCTGTATCACTGTTAATATAATACCATTACCAACCATCTAGTAATCTAAGATGTAGGAATTTGAGTAAGATGACTTTTGGTTGAAATATGTATAAATTCTTTTTATCCCTTTTTATTTATTTCTGGCAGTTCTGACTGATGATAAATGTGCATCTGCTGTCAGCTTAGGGTTTAGGGTTTAGGGTTTATTAGGATCTTGTCTTTGCTCATGATGTGCCAGAAAGAAGTGTTAGCATTTTGATTCCAAGTCCATTATATTTCCATTTCACATTTGCCGCCATCCTGTTTATTGTCTTCAAGAATGTTCTTCCTTTTTATCAAACCCCTTTAAATAATTCAGGGTTGACCAAGTTGTTCTGTTCTGATGCAGGACTTGCGTGCCCTACTGATGAAGCTGAGAGATGAACACCTCTATTGTCTGTTTTGTGGTTGTCAGGTGTGAATTTCAGTGTTCACTTTTTAACTTGTTAGAAGTCAATTGTCAACGTTTAGAGCAGAAATCAAACTTATGCCTTTTCTAGCTGTTGCAAAACTAAATGAAAGAATGAATTCTGTTACGATCTGATAAGCTTCTTTTTTGCTGTGTCGTTTATTCTGCAGTATGAGTCAAAGGACACACTCTTATCCAGTTGCCCTGGTATAGATGAAGATGACCACTAATGGCGAATTGCAATATCCAGTTGCAGTCCGAAATTTGGCATGACAACTTGAGAACAGCTTCTGAGCCCACAGAGTTCAATGAAGTTGTCTTTGGTTCCCAAGTTTGCAGACAGATTTTCTGAAGACATAAAGTTCCCATTTTGAGTGATATTCTGAAGATAAAACTTACATTAAAATGTCAAGATGCTGCATGACGTCTAGAGCTGGCCTGGTTAAGGATTATGGGAAAGTTATTCTGCTACTATATAGATTGGGCAAACTTTTTTAAGCAAAAAACTGCGATGTACATATTTGTTTCGTGATATATGTGGATTATAATTTCCACAGTGCTGTCAAATTTTTGAAGATGATATAAATGACAATTGCACATTCATAGCATCATTTTCTCAGAAAGGTCCTCTTATCTTGGATGTTACGATAGGTCTCTTTCATTGGTACTCTCTCTAACCGGGCAAAGCCCTCTAAAGTTCAAATGCATGGAAAAATAGGCGAATAGTCCCTTAGCTACATATGGAAGTTTTAAATGTGTTCGGAGGGGGAGGACAATTACATCATATTATAGCTTAAATTTTGTGGTGGATGCTGTTAGTTCTTAGGTGCACAGTCTATTACTCGAAAGGAGCTTCATTTATTGCAATTTTCATTCCTACTGATCTTCTGTATCTAAAACAAATCTTAAGAGACCATGCAACAAGTAAGGAAAACAAAACAAATTAACACTCCCAAGTCTCCAACTTTTAACACAGATGAGAATCCATAGCTGATACGATAGTCAAGGCATCGCCAGTCAAGATGAAACTTGACAAAGGATACAACATTATTGCCAGATAGCCGATAAGTTTTTGAGTCTGGAAGGAAGACAAACGGAAAACATAAGATAATTGCTAGACAGCAGATAAGTTCATAATCTAGAAGAAACATAATGCCGATGCAGGTGACTAGACAGAACGTGAGGCGAGTCTCTGGAACAGAAGGAAATCACGTGATCATCAAAGAGACCAGTGCATGTTCTGCACAGGAGACTCGTAACCGCGAGAATGCTCAAGTCCAAGACATTCTCTTTCATTTGGTTGAGATGCCTCAACATCACAAGAAGGATATTGACTGGCAGCTGCCTGTGAAAGTTGATGTAATCCCAGATCTGGCGGGATGATCTCAGGCGAGCTTGTACTATTCTCGCAGCCCCTAAAGCCCCAAAGAGAGCTTGATGGGAAGTAACCGTTGACATTGCCATGGGAACTACCAGATGTAGGTGTCCCATCGGCATTAAGTAATCCATTTACCTGAAGACTCGAGGATTGGCTGTTCCTTGAGCCCCAAGATTGAGTTGACAGAAGAGAGAGAGCACGACTGGTGTCCGATGAGACTCCGGCAGTGTAACATTCTCCAGAAGGAATTCCAGAAGCTACGTAAGCAGCGCTCGTAGCTGCCGAATGCTGCAGTAGCAGCTCAGGAGGCCTTTCATGGTTGTTTTGCCAGGGATGAAGAAGAGATTTCCCCATAGCAGTCAGTTGATGATTGCTTGTTGCTTGCTCAGATGTTCTAGTATTCGGCCATGAATCCTTTCCACCCGGGCTGCGGTACGACGAAAAGTCCATCAGGAAGCTTCCAGTTCTGCTACTAGTTTCTGTCAACATTTGCAGCATACATTTTACTTTTGAATGTATAGGAAAAACAGCATGTCAGCTAAACTGTATAGAAAAGTGTCACATAATAGCACGAAAAATGAGTGTGAAGACAAGTACGAATCTAACCGAAAAAAGGTGAAGACAGAGTGCCAAAGCGAGTTGACAGGGATCCAGGTTGTGGTTTCCTCCTACGCTCATTATGCCCCGCTAGACGTCTGCGACAACTTCGCTTTCCTTGGTCAAATTCAGGCAAATGATGAAATCTGAAATTTGATTTCCCAACTGAAAATCAATTAGGTGAAGCCCTAGGATGATGCATATAGAGCTGGCTACTCAGACTTATCCCCAAAGAGACAACCTCTCAAGTTACAACAGCATGATCATGCGCCTTGATTTATATGGTTACCAGATTGAATGAAGCACCACCAAATTGCATTCAACGATAATTATTTACGCTAGTTTTCAGATAAATTATTCCATTTTACACCATTGAAACTTGGTAAGCACCCTTAATTTGATCATCAGAACTGTTTGAGAACTATTGCTATTTCAGTTGCATTTGACAGTAATTATATACGCAAGTTTTCAGAAAAATTATTCCATTTTACACCATTGTAACTTGGTAAGCACCCTTAATTTGACCATCAGAACTGTTTGAAAACTATTGCTATTTCAGTTGGTAATTCTTCCTAAACCTGTCTCAGGCCAAAGAGATTATAAACATAACAATACAAACTGGGTCATACACATATAAAACAGAAGACAAACTTATCAACTGTCCTCAAGTTTGGCAAAAAGAAAAGCACCATCTTGAGGCTCACATACTATTGGTTTCATCGTCTCCACTCCACTGTACTTTCTTGAGTCAACAACGTAGTATCATGACCCTAAGGCTTAATAGGCCAAACCAATTATCAAGAACACATGTTCAGTACCATTATGGATGTACTTGATAGAACTCGTTATGTGTCAGGATTGAACATGAAACTGTGTAAAAACATTACATCTAACTGCCAAGCACATGGATTCTATATGCAATGAACTGAAGTTTTGTTTTCTACTTCTTCAAGTGCGAATGAGCTACAAAAATTTGTCATAAGTAATGCACAAAGCTTCATTTAGAATTTGGCAGCGCACAATCATTCTGTTAAGATAAACTCCAACATTTTCTTCATAAAAATTATATTACTCTTTCAGTGACCCTCAACAACAAAAGCGTAAACAGTAGACCAACCCCTGACATCCAAAATGCTAATTGGAATCTTCAAAATGATAGTCATAGTATCATCAATGTGACTTTTAATATCAGTCATAGTGTCTCTGTTCTGCCTTTGAATCAAACTTAAAGACGCTTTGCCAACAGAATAAGTTGCCCACACACTTATCCCATTTTAACAGTGTCCTGTGCTTGGGTCACTGGCATACCAGTAACCAAGCATATATACATTGTTCCCTATACAGCAGACTCAAACTCACTGTATGATATTCTACTTATCCTACAGACAAATTCCACTAGAACAAAAGGAAACGGCAAATTCTAGAAATTGGCAGCAGCATGGAAAAAACATATTAAATTTATGATGTAAACATAAACCAGATATTTAATCCACTTAGTCCTTAGCAAAATTGCATCATCCAGACATTCTGCATTGATACTAGTCATAAGATGATTGGCAATTACCCCCTCAAAGATGCTGACACACTCTGGAGTTTAAAACCTGTTTTGACTTATAACTGCTCTTATTTTAAAAGGAGAAACATATAAGTACTAAACAGCAAATGAGTTGCATACTTACAAAGTCAAAACAGATAATTGATTGGCTTAGAGTACAATTATTAACAGAACTCTTATCCCAATTACATTGACCCATCTAAGACGGTTTAGATAACACTCCAAAAGCTTGTCAAATACAATATCAGCCACCTAACCAATTAAGCACTACGTATAAATGTAAGCCTTAAAAGACTAATGGGCTTGTTTTAGAAGAGCTAAAAACAAAGATAAGCATCCTACCGACTAAGTCAAGCAACATCAACGCAATTGATTGAATCTCAGTACAACTAATTAGTAAAACATCCATCATAATCAAATTCACCTAATAATCAAAAACAGTAGAGACAACATTTAATAAGCCTATCAACTGAACTATAGACACCTAATGAACTAATAAATACCATTTTCCAGTCAAAGAAAGACTGACTGATAAAACAATACACCAAAGGGAAAAGAAAAGATAGAAAAACTGACCTGCTACACTGCTGGCAAAACCTCTGTAGTTGGCCCGCAACAATTACCTGAGGAGACTTGGAATGAGTACCACAAACTTTGTGCCTTGAATAGTAAGGTTTAGCATCACTCAGATCTAGCTTGCAACCTTCAACTTGACATCTAGGCGGCTGACTACTTCCACCTCCACCACCTGGAACCACCCCACTTCTCCCCTTCTTAGCCGGAGCAGCTGGTGGCGGAGGCCTCCCCGGCGGCTCCTCTTCCACCAACTTCAACCGACCACCGGCAGCCCCATGTTTTCCCAGCTGCCTACCTCTACCTCCTCCTCCTCCACCACCACCACCACCACTACCACCAGCAGCCTCAAAGTAGATTTTCTGGCCAAATTTCAACCCCTGAAGTGAGTCAGATGGGCCTGAATTGGTATAAGACCCAGAACCCACGTCCATTTTTTTGCTCTCTTACAATTCATTCATTATCATCGCCATGCTCATCATCATGATCAAAACTTGTTCTTGCATTTTCTTCAACCAACTGGTCTAATTTCAAATATGTTTAACAATAGTAAAAAAGATTGTTCCTTTTTAACACTTCATAATGATTGGTCTACCAAAATAAATATAATATTTTGGGATGATGGGCTACTGTGTGACTGTTTTTTTGGGGTGTTTTCAATGGAATTGGAGTGGAAGTAGTGGCCAAAGGGAGTAAACTAACCAACTACTACACCAAACAGTTTATTCACTTCTACTATTAAAATCTGTTTCCCTGATAGTTTTAATAATAATTAATTATTCAGGCTGAAAAGCAAAATTGAGGTGAAAACTGAAAAAGGAGACAAGACAAGTGAAGGGGGGTAGTAGTGACGCTGTGACCATTCATTAAAAATGCCAGCTTGGGGAGTCGCACAAGAAATTCTGAATCCTCTAAAACAAGGAGCTGTGGGAATTGGGAAAATGGAAAGAAATAATGGGATGCATTAGTTTTTTTGCTATATTCACATACCAATATATTCCCATCACATAAAATCACCCCCGCAGTTTGCAGTTTTAAATGCACAAACTTTTTTGGGCCTATTTACAGAATGCAAAACTTTTACTGTTTTTGTTTGCCTTGGTAGCAATTATTGGTTTTTTTGGCAAAGGAAATAAAGATGTACTTTGATGGATGGGGGGGGTATTCAAAGTTGTCCCAAATTGTTGTTGATGTTGTTGACTGAAATTTTATTTAAAGTGAACTGAAATTGTAAAAAGAAAATGAAAATGACAGTTTAGCAGTGAGCTGAAAAAAAAAGTGAGGGGGTTGTAAAGCTGCTGTCTGTGCAGGATATAACTCCAACAAAGTAGTACCCTCTATCCACCCCACTTCCCCCCTTCCTTTCAATGTTTCTCCTTTTTTCTTTTCTTTCAATTCTCTCCAGCTTACAAGTTCCAACAATGTGTGCCTCTCTAATCAGAAGAGCAATAGTGTGTTAATCAACATTTAATTTCAGCCAAGTGACGAGTACTAAATACTTAACATCGATTGAAGATTAGCCTGAATTACCTAACGAGTGTTTTGGTATATGAGGTTATCTTAATGAGTAATGTATACACAGTGCATGGCTGAGGAAATACGAGTTTGGTGTACATTTTCAGTGCATGCGTGTCTGATTGTGTGAACTTCCCGATTCAACCACTTGTTTTCCCTCGACCACAAACAAGAGGTTGGAAGATCTCAAAACCAATTCTTTGTTTCTTTGGAGAACTCAATTCAGTGCACATTCTCACGTTTCTTGTTTCGTAAGTTCATTTTGACTTTTGATTACACAGTTTTTAGTCTTTTAGGTGCTGTTTGAAGTTTGAACTGTGATTTTGGAATTAGTTTTGTGGCTTTTTTTTTCTTTCTAAATTTTTGTTCAAGCACATACCTAACCGCCACCATTGTTGCTATAGTCCAATTTTTTCCAGATGAATGCTGTTACGCAATGATTATTAGATTGTAAGTGGCAAAAATTATTTTTTGTTCAAATGTATTTTCAAATCATTCTCAGAATCTATATGTTATACTACTATGTTTTAAATTACAAATATAAATCGCAGATCGTAATCTTATTTGCAAATCACGGTGTAAGGTAAATCACTTTTAAGTACACTCGAAGTGACAAACTTGAATATGAAACCGATGATTGATGTGCAGATTTGCCATAACACTCTCTAGCCATGTTATTAAATACCTCATTCGCAACATCACTCTTTTTACTTGAATATTCTTATTTAGAAAAACACAGTAATGCGGAAGAAGGAGGAGAAAGAAAGAAAGAAAGAAAGAAGAGGGTGATAAGAATTGTGACCACTATATGGGACCAAAATATTGGGAGAATCTATTGACAGAATCTACCGTACATCAAATCAAAGACGCAATAAAAATGAACTTATAATTTGTAATGTTAAAAAGAGAAAAATCCTAAAATCAGCTGTCTCTAGTATTTTTATACAGTCTCACTCTTTTCAACATATATGTTAAAGGGTAAGTTTGGACAAAATTTGGTGGTATAGCTTCAGAGTAATTTATTATGAAAAGAAAAAATTAACTGTCATTTGATTATTTTAGTTAATACAAATTAATTATATATAATTATTATTCTAATTTATAGTACCAATCAATTAACTCAATAATAGAAATATCAAGATGAAGTCGATTGGTCGGGAATCAAATATTTTGTCAGGGTTGCTGAAATCAAACAATCAACATAAATGTGTATCAAACATCAGCAAATCTTTCAAGACCTTATATATTAAAAACAATGACTAATTTTTTGTTTATTTTTTGTCTAGTATAATACATAATTAGAATTTTCTTAGTTTAGTTACTAATATAACACATTATAATATATACTTTGTTATCAAAGTTATCTAGTAACGTATATTACTCATTCATTAAAAGTAAATTATTCATATTGTAACACTATAATTATTCTTCATTGTAATATTGTTACTTATTTAGGATGAGATCATTATTCATCAGATTTGCATTGTTATTCATCTTTGTGAATATCGTTATTCATTGCAAAATTTAAATTTATTCGTCCATAACGTTGTCACTATAAGAACATCATTATTCATCGATAAGTATACCATTATTCATCTAAACAAGTATCGTTATCCATCAAAATTTTCTAAATTTGACGCTTAATTTTCCGGATTTCATTATTAATCAGTTGAAATTTTTTACTCCCATTGATTCTCCAGATTCATAAGTCTCGATGATGAATCATATTAAATTTTATCAAAATAAAATCATCGTTAAAAAAAATCTCATAAAATAAAATAATATAAAACTAACAGGATAAGTAAAAAAAAATTTAAAATTAAACGTGTGCTAAAAAAAGAGATAAAATTAGGGATTAACTGTCCAAAAAAAGGGATAGAATTGGGGGGATTAAATGCCAAAAAAAAAGAGATAAAATGACCACTTTCTTTTGCCAAGTTTGTGATACACGCACCGAGTAGGTATACCTTGCAAAGTATATCTAGGTGCTTGATATTATTTGCCAAATTTAAATTGAAAGGAGAATCAGAGATTAATTAGGAAACGTTATAGTACAAAAAAAAATAATTATGAAATGAGAAAAACAATCACAATTCTACGTTTAAAATTGAATGGGGACATTTTGCGTTGGGTTATTTATCATTCAGAATCACAACTCAATACATTCTCTTCATCTTCCATTTTCACCTGGACGTGGGTTACGCTAGCTTTAATTTTTCCCTTAATTAATCATCAAACAATTTATTAGTCTACTTTGTTAAATAGTGGTTGCTCAATAAACGGAAGGGGAAAATTAACCAACATAGACTCAATATTCAAAAGGTCAAAGTTTAATTCCACAATCAACATTCTATTTCCAATCTTCAAAAGGTCGGTGGCGAGTGAAAATTTTCAATTCAATCTGCTACTCAATATGCGAATCTCAAATCTATAGGTAATGGTTAGTGTATGTTTTTCTTGTGCTTTTTGGATGAGAGAGTTTTAGTAGTCTTTTTTCCCATGGTTGATTTTTTTCCTTTCCTTAATCTTGAATATGAGAGCAAAAAATGCACCATGATGTCAAGGTTGCTAATGTTCACTCTTTAGGTGATTTCCTTGACTACGTTTTATACTCATTTGGTAGCACCTTTGTCGTACTAATTCTGCGACTTTGCCTAAAAAAATTTCATCAAATCGTATGAGCAAACACATTTGTTTGGATTTAAAATCCTTTTAAGTAGAGTTTATTATGTAAAGATGTAATATCTTGGATTAGGAAATATATAGAACTTAATGGGACCAAAAATGCTATGATCTATTGATTTTAATATATAAAATCAAGGGATTTGAAGGTAATTTACAGTCTTATAACACTCTTAAATTTATATATAAAATGTATTTTGAAATTCATTTATGATATTACTTGCAGAGCAATCATGCCGATGTTGATTTTAGCAGATGGCATTGAAGAATTTTCTCACACGTCTCTTGTTCCTACAGTTTATCGATGAGAAACCTCACATGATGTTGTTAATCAAGTTTTTACATTTTTGTTTTTGCTTGTTCTTATGCCCCGGAGAATTGGGAAATAAAGGGATGGATAATGTGTTTTGGTTCGTGGGAATCAGCAGCAGAATGGCTATGTTAATGGATTAAAATAGCGGTTAATTGTATCATTAATATTCATTTTCTTTTGAATTTGAAAATGTTGTTAAAAAATGTGTCTATCGTCTTTTTCATATGATGGTACGCGCTTCGTCTCATAATTATTGTTCAGTTTGAGTTTTCATTTTTAGTTCAAATTGTACTAAAAATGAAATTTCAAACTGAACAATAATTTTGGGATAGAGGGAGTACTAAGTTTTAATGGGGTGATTGTAATTGGATGGAGGCAACTCACAACAAAGAACAAACCCTTGTCATTTGCAAGAGATTCAAAGACACACACTAAAAGGAAAATCGAAAACAGGCTTTTATTTGAGCCTTTAAGCAAAAGCAATGAAATGGGAAAGAAAAACATGAATACTGAGGCAGTTTTGTTCAGTTTTTTTTTTTTTGGAGTGTAATAACACGCCCACCACATCTCTCTGAAGAATGAGAAGATCGCATTGCATTGCATGTGGGAATTATTTGCTGATTCACTCACACAGTTTGCAACCTTTTCGGTTGCATCAAGGTTTTTTTTACTTAAAAAGGACAAGTACTTTTTGTCGCACACGCACTACACCATAAACCACACACACCTTTTATCATATTCTTCATTTCATTTCCCAACTCCCCACCATATCTTCTACTCTGACCAATTTGTATGCACATTGTTAGGCCTGGTCCTTTTTTTTTTTTTGAATTTTTCTTTCCTCATGTGTCATGTGTATTGAAAGTTTAAAATTGTTAAAAATAATTATTCCGACTCTGTCGTAATTGCACTACAAATAATAACTTTATGTAATTTAGAATCGATTTGGTAAACTAAAATCTCATACATTCTATTCTATCTAGAATCATGATTATGCAAATTGCGGTTCCATTTACTATTTGCAACATTTCTCTTCCAACGAAGATGTGACTTTGTTCCTTTTTTTATTGTACTATTTTTGACTTCTGACTTCTGACCATTTAAATATCTCGAAATGTAGGGATCACTTATACGTAGAGTTAGAAAATGCGGTCTTGATATCTCCAAATTGTAAACTGTGGCAACCGAAAGTGCAAAAGAATTCAAACAACTGTAACAAGGATTTAATCATAAGCCCACCCACTGACATATGCTGGTTCGGCCCATAGTGTAAGCCATAAGCCCATTCTGCACGATTGGAAACGTTTTTGGACTAAATGTAATGGCCTAGTTTTTCCGCTAATTTCAAACATTCTCCTCGTCCTCGAAATGCAAGCTCTTGGATCGAAACTCAGAAAGTCCTCTTGAAAGAAGAAAAATTTTTATATTCGGTGTATCTTTTTAATTCGATAAATAATACGTCCCAAAGTTATTTGTCCAATTTAGATTTTCACTTTTAATTTAATTTATATTAAAAATGAAAATCCAAACTGAATTATAATTTTCGGACGAAAGGAGTAATTTTTTTGGGACGTAACACCTCCATACAAGAGCCAGCAAACAGATCAGACGTAAAAGAGAAGAAACAAACTGAATTAAGGGGAACTCCAAGTAATAGTAAATTCCCTTAGCTGCCAAGAGCCTTTTTGATAACCTAATCATTGGCCAAAACAGAAAGTCAAGATAGGATAAAGAAAACCGTGCAATTCATCTGTTTTCTTCTACTTTGGAATTCCAGTGTACCAAAAGATGAAAATGACAGGAGAAGTTGCAACTCCACATCTATTCAAAGCATCAGACCAAATGGACACGGACCATGACGGGCAAAACACTTAATGTACATGTTTCAGCCTCGGGATTGAGTTTCGGTACTGCAATCCACCGGAGAAAAGTGAAAAGAAGGTAATCCTTCAGTCCCGAAAGGAAGAATAATGTTTAAGCTACATTACATTGTCTTGCTCATCTGCTACGGAGATCGAACTCAAAAAATTATTCAGTATTCACTAGCAAAATTTCAAGTGCACGAGATTGGAAGGAAAAAATGCTAATGGATTTTAAACCCTATGAGCTCCCAGCTGCTATCAATGGTAGCTTGCATCTCATTCTATTGTACAAAAATACACGGTATATCTGCAGTACTCCGGAAAAAATCACAGCAAACGGCTAGAAATGAAAGAAAAACCAAGGCCCTAAAATCGTGCATAAATCTTTGCAGAAAAACTACACCTTTGTCTGTTTTGGTGCATGTATGTTATGTCTTCTTTTGTAACAGATATATATGGATCCACTAACAGAGGAGAAGTGCATAGAACTTAGAAACATGATTGAGACTGGCCCGGGATCAAATGCATCATCATTCCATCTTGGGCGAAGATACATGCAACAAATGATCAACTGAACATAGGAGAAATCAATCCTGTGATGAAATAATCCCTTAGGACAAACTTTTTTGCAAACAACAAACTAACAAACCTTTGAACGCATGGAAGTGCAGCCAGTAAACCTTGCTTCAATCAAAAAGTACATGAAGCCCTTCACATGTTGCTAGAATGGCCTATGCAAATGTTGTTTAATAAAGAGACTCGGCACAAGAAAGGACAAGAATGACACGATACCACAGCCTCAAAAGAATGCATGAATGACGAGAAAGAATAGGATGCTATGGTAATCTTGACAGATCTGATGTGTTGGAATATATATATTATTTGATTATAATCATTCTTCTACCCTTGCTAATGAGAGGAGGAAAGCCTGTTTTATGTTAAAATGTTCGAATGCAATTTACTAACAAGTTTTATTTTATTTTCAGTCGAAAGATAACAGATTGGCGCCACCTGCTAATTCAGAATATTTAAACCTAGAATAAAATTTTGTAAACAAATCTTAATCAGTTGTTTTTGAGCACAACCTTCCTTACTGCAACATGACTTTGAAAAAACTAGCACAAAACTTCCTAAATTGCTGTTAGGAGCTTTGGCTCATTAAGTTCCTACATCACACATCATAGCTAAACTTTGCAATGAAATCATCTGAGACTAAAAGCTGAAGGAGCACAGGTACTTTACCTGAGATCTTTGCGCAACAAATCCCGTTTGCAACTCAACATTTGCAATGTCCTTCTCAAACTTTTCTGCTTAAGCCAACCACCTGGATTATCTTAGATATATTTTGTTTTACTGACTCCGGAAATTAACAATCTTCAATAACAGGGACTCTGCCTGACCAAAAGATGCCGTTCAACAGGATTTCTTTAAGAGTAGGTTCGACATTAACCAGGGGACTCCGAAGAGAAAGAAAACAAGAGGGGTTTTGCCAGATACCTGATTCTCCACTCTGGCAAAAGTAAAGACACCCCAACTTTGGAACAATGCATCAGTTGATAAAGAATTTTTTAGTTGACATTACCATACACATTAAAATGATAAACAAGGCAAATCATAGAGTAAACATTTCAATGAACAAAAACGCTCATCAAATGGACAAAAGGCTCTATGCTCTCTCAATAATAAGCAACAAAATTTCATTTGCACTCCACACCAACTTCAGCAGCACGGCGTGGCTTGTTCTTTCTTCTGCTGCCATTTTGTCTGAATCCAGTAGTCTTCATTGCATCAGTATTGTTCTTGTTCCCGTTTTCTTCTTTGACAGAATCTAAACTTTCCTTGACCTGTGAAGAAGGCCTTTTCCTCTTCCGACCATTGTCTGGGCCAGCTTGACTTTTACCTTCTTTGTTCAAAACAGAGCTCTTTGCGCTTTCGCTGTCATCCTCTTCTTCTATCTTTTCAACATCTTCTTCTTCCTCAAGATCATCTTTCAATGGTTTTTGTGGCCTTCCTCTTCTCCGGACAGGTAATTTCTCCTCTTCACCACTTCCAGCATCTTCACGAGCCGCGGCATTCAATTTTTTACCCTTTCCTCTTCCTCTACCCATTCTCCAACTAAGATTGTTAAGCCAAAAAGTAACTATATCTGCAGCAGGATTATTTGAAAATGAAGATTGTATACCACCAACGTTGACAAATACTTTCAAGGAACAAGATATAACAATTCTACTCAGAATATTGAGTAGAATTCCTTTCTGTGCCCTAAAAGGATATCACACACTAAAAGAACACAGAACCATATCTTAGAAAACCAATGAGTCATCAAGCTCACCATTAACTACACGCCAAACCCAAAAGCTTTGTCAGCTCACAAGCAAAAGGATCCATGCATTCTTCCAGTTTTCACCATAGTAGACCTAATGAAGAAATTTTATAAAATAAGGAAAACTAGAAACAACCATACTAGAATTTCGTTTCAATATTTTGCAGATATGGAAACAAGCTGAAAGACAAATGAATGAATAAGAAAACGACACTTACCCATGAAAACTATATATATATATATATATATATATATATATATATATCAATACATAGCATATCCAATTTAACCATCACATCTAAAACTGTAAACAAGGATGGATCTTTCCAAGATTTAAACCTTATTCTCAGGCATAAGAAGTTCCTCATTAAACACATAAGAAACAGAAAGCAACTTTACTTGCACATAATAAAAAAAAAAAAAAAAACCCACACTAACAATTTACATCATTCAGAGATTAGTCCACCATGTCAAAGACAAGGTATAAAGATTAAATCTTTGCCCTAAAATCACTGAATAACTTATCCTTAAGAAGAGACTCACCAACTGAAGCAGCCTTAATAATGAACAAAAACAGCCAACATTTGCATCTTTAACCACAAACCCACTTCTCAGCACATCTTATCACTGTTCCAATCAACAAAAAAGATTAAAAAGCACAGAAAGAGGATTATTCTTTTCTAATATGTCTGATTCTTTTGAGCTTTAAACGCTACAACCCAGAAGATAAGTTAACGGCAGAAGAAAAGAGAATGAAAAATTGACATACAAATGGTACAAGTTTGATCTGACAGGGAAAATAAGGAAAGCCCAGATCAAATGGAAGGTTTTAAGTAAAGGAACTGTTAAAAAAAAGGATTAGGAATTGAAGATATGAATCATTGCCATTGGAAGGTTGAAGAACTAAGGGGACAAAGAAGCAGAGGTAGAGAAGACTGCAAACCAAAGTGAAAGGGAAAAAATATATGTGAGAATGGGATCCTACTACTACTACTACTAACTTGTATGGTTTGGCTAGTTGTGAATGGATTTTTATTTATTTTTTTGTTGCTGTTTTTGGGCTGTTTGGGAAAAATTAGGGTATAGCGTGTTAAAAGAGAGCGTGAAAAGAAACTTTGTAAATTCAATTTTGAACAAGAAACTTCTTATTGGAGTAATTTATACAGTTTCTACCTTTTGACTAATGAGTCAAATTTCAGTGATTCACTTGTTAGTGGGGTGAACCAAAACTATTGCAAATTTCGACTTTCTGTCTTATATATTTTGGCTTTAATTAATTTGAGTAATGTACCACTGTTTTTGTCTTGATTAATTTTAGTTTGAATATATATAGTAGTGTAAAATGTGGATACTTTGACAGTATTGATTTATTATAAGATAAAATGGATAATGAATTTGAAAATTTTTTTTAATGAAAATGGTTGGCCATATTACATGCCTTTAACTTGATAAACTGACTAAACCCGAGCGTAAATGACAGCCTTTTTAATGCTTGAACTTACAAATGAGAGGGAACTTTTCTTAGAGCTAAAGTGTGATCATATTCAATAAATGTAATGACTTATGACTATTACTTATTAATATTTTCAGGCAACTACTAAGGAAGAAAGATAAAAATAATGATACACATTAGTATTATTGATAAAATTATATCGTTTCAGTGATAAGACACGTTTATCAAAATATTAAAATATTATTAACGACTTATTACAAAAATTAGTATTGCACTCAAGTGTTCAAGCAACACATATTTGAACAAACATAATTGGGAGTTACTTTTAATCACCCGTATTTTTTTAAGTAATGAGTTTTTAACATATAGAGACGCGCGAAAGAAAGGACCAGTAAAGCTTGAGGCAATCTATTGCAACCATTCTAAATCGGGGGAGGGGAAGGGGTTGGAAAGCTGCAACTAAGTCTCCATCCGTTTCAAAATAAGTATCGTTTTAGCAAAATAGAGAAATTTTAAAATAAGTGTCGTTCTCAAATTTCAATACACGTTTTGTCCAAAATTTTTAAAATTACCCTCAAAAGAATTAATACTATTGGTGCACATTTTTTTAATGGGGTTGATTGAGGAGATTCAAGTAATTTTATAACCCTATTTAAAAGTTTCTTAAATTATGAACAAAGTGTAGGATGATACTTATTATGGAATGGAGGGAGTATTAAAACATAAAGTAACAATTAACAGCAGATCACCTTGGGTTTCAAAAGGGTAATTTAATAAGTTTGAACATATTTAGCGAATAAGAAAACAATAAACTAATAATTGTTGAAGGACCATTCTTCTTAAAGACTAATAAGTATGTTTTGCTCACGTTTGTTGCTTCCCAGAAGAAAAAGGTTTTGTTTTCTTTCTTTTTTTTTCTTTATGCTTTTTTGGGGTTTTTCAGATAAACTACTTCCTCCAACTCGATTTTGTAATATGGAATTTTGAACTAAATTCAGTTTTAACTTTTAACATGTAACTTATAGATGAGACTTGAGGGAGTATTTTGATTTTTAAAGTTTCGAAGTCATCATAGGTACTAGAAATGGAGGGGACATTTTTTGATGATGTGAGAACATTTGACAAGGACATTAACAATTAGATCAGGTTAAAGAAATAAAAAAGACAGGTAAACATAATGAAATACCTTTAAAATCAGTAAAAATAAGTTTCACCTTTTTGCAATTTTCCATAAAAAAATTACATTTAATTATTGGATAAATAATTCACGTGATTTTGTCATCAGTACTTTCAGTATAATCGCTTGCTCATTGACTCGTTTTCACGTGCCCCCTGCATTCCCCAGAATTTGTCACGTCAACCACAACAATTTGGCATGAACAAGTTTTTGTTTTACCTCCTTGAATAATGCCTCACTGGTTTCACTCCTTTTCTTTTTTTTTTTCCCTTAATCTTTTTAAAGAATTTTCAATTCCTTTTAAACAAAAAAAGTGGAAGAGGGAAATTAATATCACAAATTTCACACAGCTACACAAACACAATAAATGTGAAAGCAAATTAATCTCAAACTTTTAAGAAATAGATATTATCGTTTGCTATCGTTTCTGTTTTTTTTCTAAAGTTAACATATTATTCATTTTACTTTTAATTTTGTCGTCTAATTTAACAGATCCGTTTCAATTGACTAGCGTAACGTTTAAACGTTTATCTCACAAATTCACTTGTCGTTTCTCTTGAATTCATTTATTGTCCTTATATGTCACGTGATTTCTCGGTATTTATTAGATGCGTTCATATCGTGATATCGTTGTCAGGTAACTAATAAATGTATATATTTTTTTATAACAACAACTATTGAAAATGAATTTTAATAAATTGAGAGTTTAAAATGAAGTAGTTTGGAACTCATAACTATTTAAGGACTGCTTTTTGTAAGCTGAGAAACAAAAACAATTATAATTTACTCATTTTATAGTTTTTATTTATTTTTAAGATACTAGTGCATTAAGGAGGGTCTCCCCTTTCCCGCGTAATGATGTGGCTGGCTGGCATACACGGGGAACAGAGGAGCTTAGCTGGACTGCTCAAATCTCTGATGGTGATGTTATGGTCTTTTACTGGGCCTCACCAACCCACAAAACTCAAAGAAAAACTTAAATAAAGCCTGCTATCCAATTGGCTCCCAAATTGCGGCTCAATTTGGATTTTAGTTTCACACAACCAATTGAATTTTGGCCCATCATATCGCTTTAATAACTCGATCTTTCAGGCACACATCTCTGCTTCATCAACTCTTAGTAATTGTTTGGATGAGTTTTTCTATTTTCTTTTTGGTGGAAAATGATAAATACCGCGAAAAAATCACACGGGAGAATTGGCTGATTGCAATAGCATCTATAATTTTAAGACCAGCGGAATTAGATACGATGTAAAGCATGAAACTAACTCCAACGAATACAGGTTAATAATATTGAAACACAAATACAAGATGTTTATGTTGACGGTAGTACAGTGGTTGGAGCACGATTTGGTCGGAGCCTCCTATCCGCGAATTGTTTAAAATATAAGTCCGTAGACTTTTTCCTCCTTTCATTGTACCGGCCAAAAATTATAAATACTTAAAAATGTACTACTATTAGATTTGCAGACCGGCAAAAACTTAACAAATACATCTATCAAAGACAAAGTACGACTGTACTTGGAAGATGATGCTTCTTAAATCATAATGGATGGCACATGTTATCCTAGGACGACAATTAAGAGGTACTTCAATGGTCCAGGAATACCTTAATGATATACACATGCAGTCCACGAATGTTGGGTTACAAACTGCAGCTGATTTCTGACAAGTAATCATGCTGGTAGATATATCGATATCGCATCTGCCATTCATACTTACCATCAATTCCCAGCAAAGATTTCCCCAAATTGTACTTTTATGTATCCCTTTGTATTCGAGACAAAAAGTCTCAAACTTGTGGATCCATTCTTGAGCTCTGGAAATAACCAGATGCTTTAGGTTGAGTCTCACAGAAACAACATTTTGAAAACATGACATTGATTCTTACCTCTCACCCTGCAAACGTGAGACACTACCCAAATATAAAACAAAAAGAACAAAAATGAACCAAGATGAAAGGCATAAAATCCAGCTAGTTGATTTCAGACAGGTGCTGTTAATGATCATAATAAAGGGGCACATGCATAATGTAGTACAACAAGAAAAACCCATGTCAACAATCCAGGAATACCGTCAGATACTCGCACATTACTGAATGTTTGGTTGCACACTACAAAATTCAACAAGTTGGTAGATAAATTGCTATCGTTCATACTTACCAATACCCAAAGGTTCCTCTATATAGCTCCTTGCATTCAGCAACAAAATAACCAACCAGCATAGCATTATTGAACTCAAGAAAAGGTCAACATGGATCATGGAATCCTGCTCTTCAGGGAGCTTCTTTCAACTGTTTTTATCTTCGTGATAGCCAAAATATCCATTCATATACTAACCTCCAAAGTATCCACTCGCAAGCACAAGCTTCCACCCGGACCAAAAGGATGGCCAATCCTAGGGGCTCTTCCGCTTTTAGGTAGCATGCCACATGTTGCCCTAGCCGAGATGGCGAAAAAGTATGGACCTGTTACATATCTCAATGTTGGCACTTGTGGGATGGCTGTAGCCTCATCCCCTGAGGCTGCAGAAGCATTCCTTAAAACCCTGGATATGAACTTTGTAAACCGTCCACCAAATGCCGGTGCCACCCTTTTAGCCTATCATGCTCAAGACCTAGTTTTTGCAGATTATGGTCCAAGGTGGAAGTTGTTGCGCAAGTTAAGCAACTTGCATATGCTAGGAGGTAAAGCTCTTGATGGTTGGGCTAGTATACGAGCCAGTGAAGTCAGGCACATGCTCCAAGCTATGAAGGAATCAAGCGAAAGGGGAATGCCCGTGGTTGTGGCAGAGATGTTGGCACAGGCCATGGCAAACATGCTGGGGCAAGTCATTCTTAGCAGAAGGGTTTTTGCTTCAGTAGGTTCAGAATCTAATGAGTTTAAAGAGATGGTGGTTGAGCTCATGACAATGGCTGGATATTTTAATATAGGTGATTTCATACCTTCAATTGCATGGATGGATTTGCAGGGAATTGAAAGAAGAATGAAAAGTTTACACAAAAGGTTTGATGCATTATTAACTAAATTGTTACAAGAGCACAAGACATCAATGAACGAGCGAAAGGTCAAGCCAGATCTTCTTGATTATGTGTTGGCAAATCAAGACAATTCCGAAGGGGAAAGGTTAAGTACAGACAACATCAAGGCTCTCCTACTGGTAAAACTTCTTGCATATCTGTCTGCCTTGATAATCAGTTTTAGTATTCCCAATCTATATATATATATATATATATATATATATATATATATATATATTCAATTCTTCTTGAAGATATAATTTGATGGGCCAACCCCGAAAACTCATTTAGCGTGCCCAATTCTATACATTACTCACTGTTTCAGTGAGGTCAAATGGATTCCTTGGCACAAAATATCTTTCAACTTTGCAAAAATATTGAACAACTAGTACTACTTCCTCTGTTTGAACATTGGGTTTACTAAGCAGTTACTTTTTCCTAAAGCTTTGATTTGTTTCTATTTTTTTATGCGTAAATTCTTCCACTAGAACTTGTTCACAGCTGGGGTGGATACATCATCCAGCGCTATTGAGTGGGCACTGGCAGAGATGCTACATAAGCCTAGCATTTTCAAGAAAGCACAAGACGAGATGGATCAAGTCATCGGAAGAGATCGAAGGCTTACAGAGGCTGATATACCTAAGCTCCCATATCTCCAAGCAATATGCAAAGAAGCATTCCGCAAGCACCCATCTACACCACTTAATCTTCCCAGAATTGCATCTCAGCCATGCGAAGTAAGTGGATACTACATACCAAAAAACACAAGACTCAGTGTCAACATATGGGCAATTGGAAGAGACCCCAATATATGGGAAAATCCAATGGATTTCAATCCAGAGAGATTTTTAAATGGACCAGATGCAAAAGTTGAAACCCAAGGAAAGGACTTTAAATTGATACCTTTTGGGGCAGGAAGACGAATTTGTGCTGGATATAGAATGGGAATAGTGATGGTGGAATACATACTGGGATCATTGGTGCATTCATTTGACTGGAAACTGCCAGCAACGGAAGTTGAATTGAACATGGACGAAACTTTTGGACTAGCTTTGCAGAAGGCTGTGCCTCTGCAGGCTATGGTTTTCCCAAGGCTTTCACTTAATGCTTATTCTACATAAGCATGCTACTAGTGTTTTACTAAATGCTTTCCCTAAATGCTTATGCTGCATAACCTTGCTTCTGCGCTTTCAATTCCTAGTGTGTGACAATAAAATTTCAGTTATTTTACTTGAGCAAATTTACCCAGCTTGATCATCAGTTAGCCTGAATTTGGCATTTCAGAAGAGGAAAAGCAAATTATCTAGTTTGAGACAATGCTATACAAATGGCAAATTTCTTCTGGTGTTTCTAGTTTTCGAATCATAGGCAGGCAATAGCATACAAACTATTCATTGTATGAGAACAGAAACTAGAAAGACAGATAGAATAGCCTAATATGAATAAACCAGGAAAGAGGAGAATGAATAACCAGTTTTCAAGACATCAGTGCATCATGTTTTACAAGAACAAACGCAGAGCAAATATTGATTAAAAAAATTGACATTGTAACAGGGCATTTGAATTGCAAAAAGTTATGCATCTCCTGTGGGCATTGCAATTGAATAAGAATCCACAACATTATGATTGTATATCACTTTATGTAAAACTGTGAGAACTTACTCTCGCCAAGAACGGTCCGTGTTTGTATTCTTTTAATCCTCCAAAGCCATCACTTCAAGCTATCTTAATTCTCATCGTCCAAATCTGCTTCTCGTGGATATCTCTTATTCCAAACTGATCCACAACCACATGTTAATGTGCATCTAGTAACATGAGACTGGTGTACACAAATATGCGACTTTGGGGTCAGATAGCAATACATAGGCAGCAAACACATAAGGTAACTGTAAATGCTAAAAAACATTACCATGTACAACCACACAGTTTCCACTTACGAAATTCCACAGAATGAAAATACCTATTATGAATCATAGTGACGCACAAAGTAAGATTTTGGTGTTTCTTCGCGCCCACGCTAAGAGGCTTATCTTATCATAACTCTGCATATAAGCACTTGGTGTATATTAAGCATACCAATAGCATTTTTATGAGAAAAGGAATATAAGTTTAATAATGCAAAGGCAAACGCAAAGTTGCAGAACTGAATTGGTTATAATTAGTCCAAGGTAATGCTGCTTTCACATGATTGATGACATCTGGTTTTCCTAGAAAGCCATCATCTTTATTCATTCCATTTGAAAGTCCAGAACAAAAGCGTATATACAAGGTATCTTGAGTAAATGCTGAAATAAAATGGAAAAAACTCCTCCATTAATCTGTTGATGCTTAGTCAAAGCCACAATAGAAACAGATTTTGCATTTACCTTGTGAGGAAAGAATCATCTAATAAGTGTAAACAACAAATTCTACATGACATTTTCTAAGGTCTGAGTCAAACGGTATCTACTTCATTATCTTTCATGAGAATATATTGTTTGCCTTAACTGTTCCCAGACTTCAAAGCCTTCAGGGCGCCGTTGAACATAATTCTCGATGAAAAATTTATCTCCACATGATACCAAAGTGCTCAGTGCCAAATTGGGATCAGCTGCACCCTGATCCTTTAGCCAATTATACATTGCAAGCCTATGTTTGACCCTTTGTATCTTGTAGGACGTAAACGTCGGAAATGACAGTAAAACAGAAACAGGATAACCCATATCCTTTACAAGAAACTCAATCTTTCTTTCAAGTACTCCCTTTGATAAATTAAGGATTTGGGGAGCTACTTTGAGCATATCTACAACGTCCTTCGGGTTCAACCCGGCACGTACGAAAGTGTCAAACCTCTCTTGAAGATTCGCTCCTTTACCTCGAAAGCATTTGACCGCTCTCTTCAATTCTACTGAATTTTCATCAAATCCAAGGTCCAAAAAAAATTTGGTTTTCATCATCTGCGATCCTGTCTCTGGTTCGTACTTTCGTGATTTTGGATTTTTCTTACGAATGAGCCAATTCTTAATAACTTCAGGGTTCTCCTTAACTACTTCACATAACCATTCCTTTTCGACATTCATGGTAGCAAGTAAGTTGTTCGTTCTCTTTGTAGCACTTGAACCAAGCAATGTAGCATTTGAACAAATGACATCTCCAATATCTGGGACATCCATTTCGATTTGAACAAGAAATCTATATGAATGCTGCAAATTCTCGAGAAACTTCCCAACAAGAATTTCAGGGAACTGCAGGAAAATAGCACATATCTCATCTGGGGTTGATCCAAATTTCGTTAAGAACCCTATGAGTAATAAAGTCGTGGCTCCTGATTTCTCAAATACAAGGTCTGGGCGACACTGAACTAAACCTCCCAACTGCTCCGGACTGCACCCAATCTCACCAAGCAAACGCAAAACCTCAAGAATCAAGCTCCAATTGTATGAATTCCCCTCCAACAAGTGCTTCTCAATCCAATCATTTACATTACCAACACCTTTCAACCTCTCTAGTATATCCAGAAAATCCACATATGCGTTTCCAACCAAAAGACGAGGACTGGAAGCAACAACCTTAATGACAATAGACTGTCTAAGACCCATCTTCTCAAACGACTGAAGTTTTTCCAGCAGGAACCTTTCACCATACCTAAAAATCTCAGGAGCTTCCTTATAAAAATTCCCAATCTTATTCCGGGAGATTCCATAGTTACACAATACATGATAGTTATTCATCAAAACAGGATCATCATTCAAAAAAATCAGCTGCCTGGGAAGTAACGATGAATACTCACAGGGCTTCAAACCCATACTCTCAAAAAAAGGCTCGAATTCGTTAATGGGATGGTACCTCAAGAACCTGGCGACTGCCCTTCGGATATCAGCCTGATTATTACTAGTATTTTCCACTTTCGTCAACAATTTTCCGAGAAAAGCAGGCGAGTTCTCGCTTATATTTTCAGCATCGGTAAAAAGCAAACTCCTAGTAGAATGCAAGTAATCCAACAAAGCAGCCTGCGCTTCTCTTCTAACTACCAGTGGAATCTGGAGCGGCGCATCATCACTTGATGACTTATTCCACCCTTTGGTTCCATACAACCTAAAATCTCTTAAGGCACTCTGACAACACGACCCATTTGCCCAAAGGTTGGTTCTTGATAACCTAAAGTTGCAGTTGACAAAATCCAGAGAAACCCATTTGGAAACAAAGAGATTCCTAAGCTTATCGAAGTGGGCCATGGCTAGTTTAGCTGGTGGTGTGAAGTTAGCAACGATAATCCGCAAATAAGACTGAAAAAGACTGCAGTTTTACCCAACAAGGCATAAAATAGAGAGGCATGTTTTAGTGGGTAATTGCTATTGTTTTGAGAAATATAGTGCTTACCTGAAGATAGCATATCATGGGAGTTTGATTGAATTGGTTGTGGCAGCCATTAAAGGTTGAAGGACGCCAATTTTCAGAGACGGAGGAGCAGAGCAATGGGAGTTTTACTATAGTGAGGGTTTTGGGTTTAGGCGAAGAGGAAACGACTGGGGAACTAATACGCGGGGATTTTAGTCAATACACAAGTGAACTTTTTCTTTTCTTTTCTTTTTTTTTTTTGAGAATCAACACTGCAGGAAAAAATGCCCAAGTACAACTGCGCCAGTGAAGATTTAAGTGAGTAATCACTATTAGAATTGGACCGAATTAGTGTAGTATAAGTGAAAACCAGAGTAATTCCAGATGCATACTTCTTGTCTCTTGAGAGGCTCTCTGAGGTCCAATCTGTTGGTTCTCCCATCTTCCTCATGTCCGGTGCTCATATTGGCATATTTATATTCCTTAATTTGATATGGTCAACAAACAATATATTTATTTTGGACTTAACGTAGCATTGAATTTTTTTTGCTTTTTTTTATTAATCTTGATTATATATCCGAATACAAGGATGGATTCATCATATCTTTCATGAAGCTGAAAGGGAACATTAAGTTTGACATCGGGTACAAGCCTTACAACACTTGAGAGGGCTAAAACTAACCACTAACCACCAACCCCCAGGAAGAGGGGAAAAATAAAAAAACAGAATGTTAACTGCCTAAAAAAACCTCACATTCCAAGGCACATCTTCCGTCCTAAGAATTTCCCCTTTCCTGATACCAATAATCTACGCTAATGGCAAAGCTGCACCGGAAATATAGTAAAGTAAAATCAAGGAAGATGGAAGCAGACTGAGAGTTAATTGATTGACATGGACTTAGGCGAAAGCCATATTTGTCATCACTGTTGCTTCGGCATATAATAAGGGTATCCTCCTAGTGCTGGAGGTACTGGTACTGTATCTTTTCTAAAAGGAAACTGGTTATATGAAGTCTGCAATTGGCCTGGATATCCAGCATTTACTACTTGTGGGCTTGGGTATGCCAGATTGGGATATGTGCTGGATGGCTGTTGGGGAGGATAGCCATAGCCGCCACCAGGGGTCCCGGCACCAGGGTGCATGTTATGAGCTGGTGGTGGTGGATACGCACCTGTCATATGCATCGGTGTCGGAACAACTGGTGTTGGTACCTGTGTCTGCGTAACTTTCCCTTTGTGGTTATCTGCAAGCTTCACAGTTATAGTTCTTCCCTGCAACATGATCAGAGAAATCAAACTCGCATCAGAAAAAGTTTGAGATGAATGATCATTCCTAACTACGTGAATGCAAAGAAAAAAAAGTCCATGGGTATGCAACACATAATCATCACACATTACACATTAAAAAACTAAACAGTTAAGAATGGAAGGCAATGCAGAACTTCGGTTAATATTGTAGCTCCCAAAATTTTAACGGAAAAAGAATTCCAGTTGAATGAACACAGTTCATCTTTTCAATCACATGAAGTGATCACATCCTGTTTACAGCTAGTGCATAAGGAGCATACCACTATGTTGAAAGGGAAACAAATGAGAGAAGTTTTTCTAGCACAACTTGCCTCAACACCAAAAGAAAGCAGAAATGACCTACAAGTTCTTGACAAGACAGATGGCAATACCCACCCAACCGCGCCCGGGGTTCCCAAAGGCATTAAAGTTCATCATCTAAAAAGATGTACAAGACTAGAACTCGGAAATAAAAGTAAGTAATTAACCATAAGTGTGAGAGAATTGTGTTCCCAGAAAAAATGGAATACAATAATTTTCCCATTAAAATATGTGCATAGCTCACCCCAAGCATCTTTTGTGGATCATCAATGGCTCTCTTTGCAGCTTCCACCGTCTTGAATGTAACAAAGCCAAAGCCACTAGAAATTCAAAATTCATCAGATTGTTTTAAGCAAAACAGATTGACTTAGTTCAGCAGCTGTAAAAAAATATATATATATGCGGCAGATTTCGCACCGTGATCTGTTTGAGTCCTTGTCATATGCCACCGAACCTTCTTCTATCTCGCCATGTTTCTTGAAGAAGTTGAGAAGCATTTCACTGGTGATTTCCGGTGGCAGGCTGCCTATATAGAGCTTTCTCTGGGCTTGATCGGGCGTAATGCTGGTGCTGCTCAAACCTTCACAAGCCAAGTTGCAAACAGCCATACGACCCTAACATGCATACAAAAAGCATAATTAAAACAGCTTTGTTCAACTGAAATATAATATCGACCACTATCACATTTGGGTTTTTCAAGTATAGCTCAGCATGAACAAAATAAATATTTAAAGAGGGCAAGCAATTACGCAATTGAAATGTTAAACTTGCCAATGTGATGTTGTTCTTGTAATGCCACAGACAGGTTTGCTGCCATGTATATACTACATCAAGTAATGAATGGAATTGGCGAATCATTTTGTAGGGACTGAAACAAGTTTACAGAAGATCTTCATGTAAAGAAACAATACACTTCGTGATGAAATCAAAACATTTGCTAGACTCAACGAGCTAAAAATCTCGATCTGCTACAACAGTATTGCACCAAACTACTTTTTGCTTGTTAAACCATATTTAAGTTCAAATTTTCAAGCTAACTCCAGCTAAGTTTATTTAGTCCATAAAAATAGACATTTTCATCGCACAAAAATTGCAGAACTTTATCACAAATACTTTTTCTTAATACAAACACACACAACTCCAAGTCCATGTCCTGTCATATTTGTAATTTGTACCCATTTATGTGTTTTGGACCATTTTCGAAAGAACAGACTTCCACAAGAAACAGTTAATGGACAAGTGAATAAACATGTGCCACAAACTGTGAGCTCTCCGGTTTATTTTTTTTATAGATTGCAACAGATTGCAAATTCAAGAACAAAGTATCAGCACGAAATGAAATAAACTCTAATAAAATGTCTAACAAATTAGTTTGAGCCAATTTCACAGATTAAAAGTGCATGATCATTGTGACCATGGAAGCATTCCACAATTTCTTTCCTCCTATGAAACAATGGGGGAAATTTTTTTTTATCTACATCTATTAAAGGCAATCCTAAAATTGTGTCCCTACGCAGTACTCCAAAATTCAAGAAACACGTTCTTGTATAAATCACGCGGCTCTTCAACAGAGAATCAGCTGATCATTTCATGATGCCTCAACAAACTAATCAAATTAGCAAGTGGCATTTCTTTTCCTCTTCTATTAAACAGCGGATATATGGGACCATATTGTTTTAAATTTTTCTCTTTGAATAACAAAATAGCAGATATTCGAAAGTAATAATTCTTTTACCCACAATCCTGTGAAAAATAATAAACACAATTTAATTGTTTACAACAAATAGATATGATGGCATGCATGACAGGCGACAATAAGAACAGCACGGGACATCAACTAAAATTTAATAGGGGTTCTTAAAATCAAATCATTGTGCTTGCTCAAGGGTAGGGGATAATTGCTTACATCAATCATCTTGCTTGGCGCTTTTAAAGCTCTCTGAGCAGAGTCCATATCTTTATATGTAATAAAGCCATAGCCACGTGATTTTCCAGTTGTTTTGTCTGTGATTACAGCACCTTCTTCAATTTCACCATGCTCTTCAAATGCCTACACAATGACAAACATATGAGATTTTACAATAAATTGAGAAAGGTCTAGGGAGCCATTATGTTGGCAGAAGATTCACAAGAATGAACACTTTAATGGTGGTAGCTACATCATTGGTCACCTAAACAAAATGATACCCATAACAATCTACAGACAACAATACACTCACAGCACACAAGGTCTCTGAAGTAGTTTCCCAGGCTAAACCACGAACAAAAAGCTTTCGAAGGGCTGGATCTGCTCTCGCAACACTTCTAATTTCTTCAGCAATAAAAGGATATTGGGAACCTCTTCAATCCAGCATGCAAACAAGCACACATGCACAATGTCAATTCACACAGCACGCCATCAGAAGAAAGGGATATTGCCACGTTTGGGACCAAGGCACATAACTCGCACATGCAAAACGAACTAAGGTCAATAACTAAGAAGAAAGCAGATGCATGCATGATTTAAAATTGCAAAATCCACTGACAAGCTGACAAAGATTTTGAGAATTATTTCTTTACCGATATTTATTTGCATACTGTGGGAAAGAGAAACTTAACAATTACTTTAAGCACACTATTTGAATTAGTGATTTCCCCAGCAGAATGCGGCAGGGGGACCTTCTGACCGTTAACATTTTCTATACAAGATGTAAAGATCTAGCACTCTATCATATGGGCTATTAGACTCTGATCTGTGTGCTGATTTAACCCCTGTACGGTTCTCATCTTAAATCCATCTATACGCCACAATCCTCATCGAAAAGGACGTAAAAGAAATCAAAATACCAAGACATCACAACTAAAGATACACATCCATACCAGGCACCATACAAATGTTAAGTGATACCAAGGGGAAACAATAAAAGAAGCTAACCATTTGCTCTGCTGTTATTATACTTTACACACGAAACTGTTCCCATGAAGAAATTTTGGAAGGAATGAATCCTAAAGTATGCAAGCAAGAAAAAAAAAAAAAATGGTAAAATAGATTCGCAGCAGCTACAGAAAGATTAACGAAATCAATTTCCTCATAAGGAGGTCTGAAGCTTATCTCAATTACTACAACGGACACTAATTATCAAAAAAAAAACAAACGCCCAAACAACAAGCCAAGCGATAACCTACCAAATTCCAGCTAATTATAGCATTTCAATCAAAACTCACAAAAACCCTTCGAAAAAACTCACAAAAAATTGAATGTTAATATAGAAATTTTAAAACATAAGAAAAAGAAAAGCCACTACCGAAGAATCCCAGCTAATTACAGCATTGTAATCAAACCCCAACAAAAATCCTTCAACAGTAACTCACCAAAAAAAATAAAAAGAAGAAAAAACAGTGGTCGGAAGAAGTTGGGGGCAGGGTTTCTGAAACGTACAGCTTAGCGAGGACATCAACCAGTTGTGGCTTGGGTAAAGGGTCGAGCAAGGAGTGCAGCTCTTCAATGGAGGCAGCAGCCTCCTCAGAAGATGAATGTTGTTGCTGTTGTTGTGAAGCAGAAGTAGAGAGAGTTAAAGAGAGTGAAGAAGGTTGGTCATCCGATAAGTTCAAATCGAATCGGCCGCCATTGATGCCACTTTCCTGTAGCTTCCGCTTCTTAACCTCCTCCATGGGTCTCTCTGAGTCGGACTGTTTTCTTCCACTTTTTTTGTCTCTATGGAGAAAGACTGCGAATAGATTGCCGCAATTCTGCAGCTGTATTTTGTATAATTAAAAACCAAATTCAGGGGGAAATTAAGAAATAATCCACTTATGGGAAATTACTAAAGTAGTCCTTCACTTTTCAACTTTTTCCATTTATAGTCAAAGCGCGGCCTAAGAATTGACAAATTTCATCTTTCTATCTTTGGTAAGCTAAATGGTACTCCCTCTATTCCAAAATAGATATCGTTGGGGGAGTTGCACAAAGTTTAAGAACACAATAAATACTTAGTTAAAATACTAATCTACCCTCATTTACTTTCAATTGAATCCTATTTTTAAATTATTTAGTTTGGAAGAATGGGCCATTTTATCCCAAGGTTTGAGCCACACCATCTAAAACATCCTAAAGTTTAAAAGCATGTCAATTTCATCCCAAACTTTTCAAAAATATGTAATATTAGGACATTTATTAATTTTTTCAAGTTATTAACGGTGATATTTCATTCAGTTTCTTTTCCCCCATGTTTTTTAGTCAAAAAAGTTTCATGCTTGCGTTTGGTAAATTTGGTCCATGCCAAGCAAAAAAGTTGCATGCCCCTACATCAATTATAACACCAATTTTTACAATGATACTACATATTTTAAAAAATAAATGAAATAGGACTTTCTAATTAGGATACACACAAAACCTCTCATGATTGTTATCAATTTAGTAGGTGAATCTTGAATTTTTTTTTCTTATTCTAAGAAAGGGAAGAATGGATGATTTGAAGATCAAATTAGGTTTAACTATTTTCTTAAAAGGTGGGAGTTAGTGGAACGTGTTAAATGATTAAAAGAATTGGGGGAGGAGAAACAGAATAAAGTACCGCCACTAATTAATTAACTGGAGTTAAAAATTTAACGAATATTCTAATGTAACATATTTTTAAAAAGTTTGGGATGTAAATGACATGTTCTTAAACTTTGGGATGTTTTGGATGTGTGGCCAAAACTTTGGGATGAAAAGACCCATTTTCCCTATTTAGTTCTAATATACTTCTACTTTAAACACAATTACAATTTCTCATGTAGGGGTAATGTTGGAAGAAATTGACATAACATGGCTCGAAATGCAAAAACGACATATATTTTGAAAAAAAATAAGTTTTCCTCCAACGACATCTATTTTAGAATGGAGGGAGTAAATCATTTTATTAATAAATTAAATAGTGACATTAAAACAGAGCTTAAGTGAAAATCACAGTGTAAAAGCATATAATGACCTCACTCCCATTTAACTAAAATAGCATCAACAGAGGTATTAACCGTTCATAACTTTTGAGTAAAGTTGATCGCAACTCGGAAGTAACTGTTTGTAAAAAGTAACCATGCCAAATTTCAGAGTTTCATATATCAGTATATCACACCAACTAGTGTCATAATAGCCACCTTCCAGGATTAGATTTTCTGTACTATTTTTGTATTAACGAGTACTCTAAAGTCTAACCACCAATAAGCGAACATTTTGGGACGACAAAGACAAATACAATGGCGAAAATATATTGAATATGTGCAATCTAGTTTATATAAATATTAAAAAAATGGCAAAAATGTGGTAAGTTACAGAATTTTACATATTCCCTCGTGTCCTCCTTATAAGTCATTTTGACTTTTCTTAGATTTCACCTATTACGCATTTTTCATTGAAAAAAAAACTTTAAAAATATTTCATAACAATCAAGAGAAAATGGCGAATATGAAAATATATTTTTGAGATTTTTTTTCAATGAAAAATGCATACTAGATAAAACCTATGACAAATCAAAATGTCTTATATTAAGTATCGGAGAAATAATATAACAGTGTCATAAAAGTACAACAAAAGATCCCATGCCCCATTGATGAGTATTGTGTAATGTTAGACGTGGTCCTTGCAGAAATGGGCATGTCGATGAAGCACTAGCACAAGATGGAAATGGATGAAGTAGAACGCTGATATATAATTAACTATTTATATGTAAATCGTCCTTAGTGAATATGTTTCACAACTTATCACTGAAAGGATTGGATCCCAATGTTAAAACTTTCATCCCGATCATGAATGTCCTTGGCAAGGTTGAAGCTGATTTTGTTTATAATATAACAAGTTTGAGAATTTCTCAAGGGATGTAAATATGATGACTCTGCAATTTATAAAATGTCCGGAGAAAATTTGATTGGGATTCATATAACTTATTAAGCGGATTATCGTTGTCTTGAGTTTGGCCATGAATTCGTGTTACTGGGATTATCTGGGGCTTGAAAGATAGTTTATTCAGATTATGGATACGTGAATTTCAAGCAGCAGAAGTTCAGAACTGCTTAATAAAATCATAGATGTTACCTGTTTTTTTAATGTTATCATATCGTAATTTCTGGGTTAAAATAAGTTGCATCTTTAATCAATATCACTTTATATATTGTGTGGAGATTGGAATTGAAATTTGGGGAGAGATTTGGTTTCAGCAGGTTTATCCTCCCTACGTTTAGTGTGGTTGACGATAATCAGCAGGTTCTTTCCCGCTCCAACTAAACATATTCTTTCCCCGAACATAGTCTATTGTAATTTCTATCCCGTCGACTATTTAGTCGACTTATATATCATGACGAGAGAGTCGACGTTGTGTTTCTTCCCCGAATATGTATATAATTTAGACCTCGTCGACTATTTCGTCGATTTTTTGTCACGACGAGAAAGTCGACGTTGTGTTCAAATTTCCCCACCACCAAAAATTCCAATTTGAATTTGTAATTTTTTCGGCTATGGTTTACAAAACAATTTTTAATTAAAAAATAATTCAATGAAACATGTAATGCACAGTGCACACTCTAAAGTCTAACCACCAATGGGTACCTTTTGGGACGACAGAGACTAATACAATGGCAAAAATGTGGCAAGGCACAGAGAGTGACATAAATAGCAGTGTAATAAAAGTGCAACAAATTAAAGATCTCATGCTTTTGGTTTCAATTCACAGTTTCATACACCATGCAGGACGCAGAGGTATAATCATGAATACAAACTGTATAGTCTCGAAACCAATGCAAAATTATGCTGCTCAATTTCCAGAATTAATCCACTGGAGTGATGCTGACTCTGTCTGAGTATGGAAGTTTAGCCTTTGTTATCTCGAGGAAACAATTATGATGTTCAATAAATAAAAATAGTACTATCTCTGTCTCCAAAAAATAATCGACATTGTGTTTTGAGATCCATTTAATATTATCTACTTCCTATGTCTCAAAGACTGTCCATATTGAGTTTCAAAATTTTTACTCAAAACTATAAGAATATCAAAACTCAGTGTGGACTTCTTTTGGGGAACAGAGGCGATAACTTATTTCAGATGTGTGTTTTACAGTTCTACTGAAATCAGAATTTCTGCATTTTCAGGTGAAGATGACATGCTGGGAGATGTATTGTCTTAGTTTTGAGATTCCAAGAGGTCCCTTGTAGTCTCTTGTTGCTTGTCAAATAGCATCATTTGCAGCTGTTTTGCTTGTTCTTCGATCCTCCGCTGCAGCCTTCGCTGAATCTGAAATGAAGATTGACGATAAAATTGATTCAACTTTTCAGACAAAAGAAGATAGTATAATAAAGGGAATGAGAACATTCTTGTAAGAACTTTGCACAGCAGATCAATAATAAGTAGTATCATATCCATCATGCTCCATCTTTTCTTGCCCAATGAATATGCTTCAAAATTTATTTTTTAGGCAAGTGATCAAGTAAGGTTGCCACCTCCAGTTCCTCATGAAGGCGCCTCTGGACATCCAATTGCAGTTGCAAGGCGTCCTTGAGTTGCAAACCACTGCCCAGAAAAATTGACAACTAGCATAACACTTTCAATTGAAACCAGTTTTGAACTTGAATTTTGATATAATGATGTAAATAGTGTTGTACCAAGGTGAGCAGGTTCAAAAATAGCATGCTAAGGATGCTTACTCTTTACTGTCTATTTGGCGCTACTCTGGCTCTTTTGTCTGGGCTTCCTGCCATTTCACAGATAGTTTAATGAGAACCAGCCAATGAATCAGATGTAAATCCTAATTCTGTCTCCGTCCCGAATTGACTATCCAGTTTTCGTACTATTTTCAGTATAACACAAAGAAGATAATCATTTTCATATGATTTTACGTAACCCGAAATTAATTAGCTATGACTTATACCGATCTCACGAATCATACTTTGTAACTAAAACTGTAGTAAATGTTTGCAATTGGAGTGTACCATTCTTCCTCTCATAGTAAAGAAGCTACATGTTGCAAGAATGTTTATCTTCTGTAGATTCCGGGACATATCCTGCATTTCGATATTTCTGCGAAAGTTTACAAGAGAAGAAATACTCTTCTGTCCCAAAATTATTGTACAGTTTGAGATTTCACTTTTAGTTCGATTTGTACTAAAAATAAAAACTCAAACTGGACAATAATTTTGGGACTGAGAGAGTACTATAATTTAGAAAACTGATTGTCAAGAACTGATGATGTTAATCAGCACCGCACAAAAAAAAAAAAAAACCACCTTTAAATGGCTTTTGACATGGAAGTTGATTAATCCCTCCCAATCCATCAGCTAGAGTGTTGTCTTTGGTGTAGCCTCCAAATGATGAATGATCAAGAAAAAACAATAGCCAATAGTGTCAATTTTCATTCCTGGTGTCCAGAGTAATAAAATTTGACATAAATGTTATCGCCACTGCAAACTCTTTTGTCTTCGTTAAAACCAACCTTTGGAAATTGGAACTGTACATGACAATGAAACGTTGTTGTTATCATTAGGCCAAAAGTTCTGCTGTTTCTGTGTGCCATATTCCTCCTCTCCTGTATTGACAACAATCCTAGATGAAAACAATTGGATCCCATGTTTGAGGATTGCCGTCCTCGACGGTTTTGGAAATCTGATTTTATAGCATGATCAGGGGGGAAATAATTGACAAATTCCCTCCATTTAGCATAATTAATTGGTCTTAAAAACATTGTTTTTGGCCGTTCATATTCATCCGCGGCTGTTGGAAATTCATGAACTTTTACTATATCGGTTCAGATTAAAACTTAAAGGTAATATGAAAATTTTGTATCGAATAATAGAACCGAAATGTGAAATATTCATGAACCAAGCTGTTATATATCTCGCTATATATGGAATTGGCTCGACAAAAAGAAATACGTATCAGAGATGTGGTAAGTGTTACAGAGATTGTAACACAAAAGTGTAACAGAAAATCACATCGCCCGAGTTTGGTATGTACTCGCAGTTTCCCACACTATGCAGTATGCACAAATACAATCAATAACATTGAATTGACTATATGAATAGTCTTAAAAACCAATGCAAAATTTTTTGCCTTGCAAAATTAATCCAGTCTCCTGGAATGATGCTGCGACAAGGGGGCTTTCAAGGGACCTCCATTCTGTCCGAGTACGGAATTTTTGGTCTTGATGATGTTGCTGAATCAATTATGACGTTCATCATGTAGATTAAAAAAGAATCGATAATCCCCATTTCATCTTAGCTTATTTCGGATGAGAAATGCGTGTTTTCGAGTTCTTCTGAAATGAGAATGTCTGCATTTTCGAGCGGGCTAGACGACATGTAACTGGGAGATGTAATGTTTGAGTTTTGAGATTCCAGGAGGTTCCTTGTAGTCTCTTGTTGCTTGTCAAATATCAGTTTCAGCTGTTTAGCTTGTTCTTCGATGCTCAGCTGCAACTTTCGCTGAATCTGAAATGTGTGTTAAGACATGCTATTGGTTCATTTCTTGGAGAAAAAAGAAAATGGATGATAAAAGAGATAAGAAAATTCTGGTAAAAATAAGCTCAGCTGATCATGTATAGTATCATATCCAAGCTGCATCTTGCAAACACACACAAAAAGATAAAGAAAAATGCTTCTGCAATATTGGTATATCATAACTGATTGCAGAATTTTTTTATGTTTTTTTTTTTGAAAAAAACTACTGATCAGGTAATAATGTTAATTGTTACCTCTAATTGCTCATGAAGACGCCTTTGGACATCCAGTTGCAGTTGCAAGGCTTCCTTTAGTTGCAAACCGCTGTCCAGAAAAATGTAAAACTTCAGTTTAAAAAAAAAAAATTACTTTCTTCAGGATCAGCACTGTCAACGTATAGGATGATCCTGGGGATCTTCATAAACCAAATTTGTAACTTTGAAATTTTGATTTAACTAGGTAAATCGTGTCGTATGTAGGTGAGCAGATTCGAGAGCCGCAGGCCATGGATACTTACTTTTTACCGTCGATATGAGCTAGATTGCAAAGGCTGGCCCTTTTATCTGGTCTTCCTGCAATATCACAGATAGTAGTTTCATCATAAGCGATGGCTCACATTATGAAACAGTGTCTCCAGGGTGAGAAAATAGTAGTCTTTCAATTATTGAAAACCACAGAATATATAATATAATGCAGCAGATTTGTGAAATTACCTCAAAGATTTCATAATCTACACCATTTCAAGAAGGAGAAAATGGAAGAAAACCAGTTCAACTTAAAATGTATGTGACACACAATATGTGTCAGTAAATTAATACATTACACTGTAAATTGAATAAAGATAGATGGGTTGAATGCATCTCAGACAATAAGAATTCTTTATATGCTTCATGTGAAAGCATAAGATTCCTAATGGTTGGTCACATTAGTTTAAGCATCAATCATAGGGCTACTATTTCTTGCTGAATTTAATAGTAATAGACTAAACTCTAGGTTTCCCACTTTTGCATTTTTTATTTTTTATTTTTTTTCTTATTTCGGTCATGGATCTTTCCAGCTAAGCGCCGTATTTCAGATGAATTCTGCGACTCGAAAATGCAGTAAGCAATACTAAAATACACATCTCATAAATCATACTCCTTATCAAAAACTACAATAAGACTGAAGCATTTCTCACAGTAAAAGAAGCTATGAGTTGTATGTATGTATGTTTTACCTTCTGCAGATTCCGGGACAAATTTTGCATTTCGATATTTCTACAAAACCAAAAAGTTGACAGAAGAAAGAATATCTGATTCAGAAAATGAACAACAAATCATTTTCTCAAATATTGAGGATGATAATCACTATGGAAAAACACCTGTAAATGACTTTTGACATGGAATATGGTTAATCCTTCCCATTCCATCAGCCTTAGTATGGCCTTTGGTGTAGCCTCTGAATGAAATGAATGAAACATGATTAAAAGAAAGTTTTGAATACTTGTCAGCATTGATTCTTATTTCTGTTTGTTTTCTTTCAGAAGAATCAAGTTGAGTGCATCCCAGAGGACTTACTTTCAGCACCACCAAGGCAGTTGACACATTCGACAAATCGATCATGCAGCTCCTGAGTCCACCTGATTCTTGTCTTGTTTACTGATCCAGGAGATGTTGAATTATTATTGCAGGAGATGCCTGAAACACCACAAGGCGGTCTCCCTGCTACTGGGCTCGAATTCGGATATTGAGAATCATACAAATTGCAGGGAACCTACAAGTACATTAACCCCAAAAAAAAATAATAATAAAATAAAAAAATTCTTGCATCATTCAATATTTCCTGGAAAATCAAAAGGTAACAACATGAGAAACTTACTCCAATCTCCTGATTTAGCTCCAGGGGATTCGGCCGTGGTCTCTTGTTTGAATCATCAATATCATCTAGTAATTTGCTTTTCAAGTACAGAAGTCTCTCCTCCTCACTAAGATTGTTGAAGGGATTAGTTCTGTAGCTGATTGAGGGTTGAGATTTTGGAACTGATGGAAAGGCAGCATTATAAGCCTGTGATGCATAACTTGAATCTCCAAACAAAAAGCTCCCTTGTTGTTGTTGCTGTTGTTGTACATATGATGATGGAATGTGTAAATCTTGAGGCCTGATCTTGGACATTTGGGGTGGATTAATATAATTGCAAGAGGGCTGATGATGATCACCATTCTTTCTGAAATCAAACTGTGGTGTTAGTCCCATGAAAATTTCTGTTGCAACCAAAGCAGAAGCTGGTGATCCAAAATGGTCCATAATAGTACTGCTGCAACATGATGATGATGATGATGATGATGATGAAGGGTTGTTGTCATTTGCCCAAAAATTCTGCTGCTTATAAATATTTGAGCTCTCTTCCTCTGTAGATGGTAATCCTGGCTGAGAATAAAATCCCATGTTTGAATCTGAGGATTGCTGTCCTAAACACTGATAAGGAAGCTTGTTTGGAAGCTGATGATAATCCAAAGCATAAAAATCAGTACTTTTGAAACAGTTTCCCATCAATCTATCATGGCTTCCTGCTCCACTCCTGTGGATATTCATCTTTTTCTTTTTTCTTTTTTTTTTCAGACTTAACTAAATGTATGATGATGATGATCAAAAGAATATATATATGATGATCAAGAACAGCAAAAACAAAAGTGGATTCTCTTAAGAAAGTGTTTGGAGAATTCCACAAAGTTTTTTTTTTTTTTTTAATGAACTATTCAGATTATATAAACAGTTTGTGTTGAGTCATTCAAAAATGTATTTGATATTATTTATTTGTTCTAGTAGTTTAGAATAAGACTTTAATGTATAAGATGTGAACAGCTCAATTCATTTTGGGTTATTCTGATTATTTTATTTAGTTGGATAAGAAGAGAACAACCGGATGGTTTTGACGAAAACAAGGCCAGTTATTTAAGTAGTGACAGGATTTAACCTTCGAACCTCTCAACAATAGGAAACTTCTTTTCATCAAATTTCTCCAATTTTTTTTTTTTTTTAACATTTCTTGTCTTATAATTAAACCTGTAAAAACTAGCCCTTTTACAAAAAAAAAAAAAAAAAATCAAACAAGAAAACTTGATCAGGAACTCAGACTAAGTCACGAATTAGTAGTTGAATGCTAGTTATTATTACCTCCGTCCAAAAAAAAAAAAAATCCACATTAAGTTTTGTAATTTGTATTAGTTTTAGTGCAAAATTTGAAAACTCGATGTGAACTATTTTTCTGGGACGGAGGAAGTATTAAATATAAATATAATTAACTTTTTTTTTTTTTGAATCAAATCAATTTTTAAACTTTCATAAAGTTACCAGTTGGCTTTGTGGATTTTGTTCACCCTTCTTGAAATTCCTAGATCCACCTCTATAACTAGGATCATCCCTTAGTTAATTAGATTTTCCCTTGAGAATATATAGTGAAGGGCATCTTGTATTTAATAATTTAATGATGAAATTCTGGCATATATTCATTTTATTGTGCACTGTTGTTTATATTGATGTTATTGTGTGTGTTATTCATTCTTATCATCAAAATCAAAATAGTAGTACAAGCGACTAGGCATATATTCACAAGTCCCCCAAAAAGACTTGAATTCTTCTTTTTGATTTATTTATTTTATTGTTCCTGATCAGGAGAGAATAGCTTTACGCACAGCCGAAAATGAATATTTGCGTACTTAATTCAAACCACTAGCCTTCGAAGAGCTACTCAAATCAAGAAATATTGGCTCAAAAAAAAGGCGCCAAATATTGAAAATCTTTGCTTGCAAAAATGAATTGGAAAAAGAAAAAGAGGATTAAATTTCCTTTTTGATCGAAACTCGAAAGGAAATACAGGTACAGGAATCAGTACTTCAGAAAATATGCTAAAAGTATACTGGATAAAACAGCAATTAAAAAAAATGAAATTAATTTTAAGATTAGAACATACTTCCTCCGTCCCATAATTATTGTCCAGTTTGGATTTCCATTTCTAATACAAATTGTACTAAAAATGAAATTTCAAACTGAACAATAATTTTGGGACAGAGGGAGTACTATGATTCAAATAGTAATAAAGCGGCAACATTAATTTCTTCGAATCAAACTCGGAAATAACAAGGCAATTGTAGGCTGTAGTTTGTACGGAACATTCATTTTCTTTTTCTCAATTTCCTTCCTTTTTGTTAACAAGACGTTTCTCGTTTTTTTGGAAAAAAAAAAAAGAAAGAAAAAGACCTTTCTCGTAAATGTTGATGTGGAATCACCGAAGATAAACCAATTCTCTTTTGATGCACTCAATGCTCAAACGAAATTGCCAAGAAGGAAAAAGTATCTGACTGCAGTAAATTAATACTCTCACCGTCTTGGAAATTTTGTTCTGTTTATTATATTATTTTAATACAATAAATAGTACAATTATTTTACAATAATAAAAAATATAATACTCATTCCGATGAAAAAATAATAATTCATTATTGTACTGTTTTAATTTAATAAAATTAATTATTTTTTCGTGACAGATAGAGAACCAAAAATAAAGCTATTAAAGAGTCTACTAACTTTTCATTCAGCCAAATGTATCCAAACACATGAAAACAAAGTATACAAAGAATTTGTTATACCTCGTTGAAATTGGATGGAATTGCGGGTGAATAAATATTAGTGGAAAATGACAGAGTCATAACTTATAAGTGAAAAAAACACCCCATAATTATGATTAGAGTATACCATGTTTAAACGCGATGTAAATCTAATTGAAGACGCTTATTATGGCTTGACATACAAACAATACAATACTCTATTTATTTTGATTGTACGGTAACTGATTTTTTTTTTTTTTAAAAATAAAATTGTAATTTCTTAATTCCCATTCATTTCGCATACCAAGCAGATATCAACACGAAGATTGACATTCCTTAACTCTAACAGACTAACAACGAAAACTACACTTCAAACTGGTGAAAAGCTTTGGGGTCGTGAAGTTTTAGGATTCTCGTTTGATACTGCCATAAGAAGGGTGGGTGACCGTCAATTTTTAGACGATAGTCCCTTTTGAATATTTTGATAGGGTATCGGGGTGGGGGAGGATTTGTTATAATTTAATGGATTTTGCTAAATTATTAATGAAACAAAGTTGTGAGGACACCCAAACGATACAGTAGAGATCGATAATAAGATATTCAGCTCATCATAACAATCAATACAAAAGTGTAAAATAATTAAACTTAGTACGCCTGATTTTTTTTTTTTTACTTACTCATAATCGAGAAGTAACGATCAAGCATGAAGCAGGAAACGAACACAGTTTGTTAATCAAGAAAGTATATAATGTTTGCCTATCCTCGTTGGGTGCATGCATGCGCTCATCATGTACAGGCTTTTTGGATGATTGCTTCCTTGATTACCAAAAAAAAAAAAAAAGCTGCACTTGAATTAACCACTTCAATGCATGCCTAGGTTAATTAGCAGATATTGGAATCTCTTGAGATAATTACTACGCTAACATAACATATATATGAACATCAAGAATAAAGTTAGTGGAATGAAGTAATAACAATCTTTAGGATCAACCGATTCTTTGCTTAGTTTAATTAATGTATATAGTGTTTGTCATTTTCAACAATTAAATTAAGCGGTCACAACCCTTTCAACATTATTGTCTCGTCCTTGTGATTTGTGAATGTGCATGAAATGATTAATAATAATTTGATCATGCACACGTACGTGTGTTCCTATCATTTGATTTCCCTCCACCTAAAAAACAAAAACTTTTAGTTTACATATATTTTATTCCTAAGAAAAGTCATATATATATTATTGAAAAAAATTCATTTCATATAAAAAAAAAGTAAAAAAAAAAAACCCAATCAGATAACTTATTCAATATGCTAGTATATTTTAGACTTAGCACCTTTGGCGGTATTATGTCACCATAAGTATTTAAAAAGGGGAAATTTCTATTTTGATCCAGGAACAAAAAAATTAAATAAACAAAAATGCTGCTGTTTGGTACAGAATGTGAAACTAATAGATAAATGTTTGTAGACAAAAAGGGTCGCCACTTTGTAGATTTCAGCATCTGAAGATGACAGGCGAATCAAATGGCAGGAGCTTTCGGCTATCGTTCAACTAGTCAGAATTGCGCCCCTTAAAAAAATAAATAAATAAATAAAAATAATCAGAACGATTTATTTTGAATTTTTCTTCTTGGGATGTTTATTCTTTTTATTTATGTTTATAAATAACTTATTTATTTTTAATACCATTTATACTTTCTTTCTCGAATCCTCACGTACAACCAACGAGTCACAATTTGGTTTGGTGGCGCAAAAATGTCAAATATTATTTTTGCTCACTTCAACGATTTTAAAATTAATAGGATTTAGAAATTTCAAACTTTAGCTTCTCTTTTTCTTCTTTTTTTTTCCCCTTATCTCAAATTCATATTGCTACTTATGGTTTTCAAAGGCAACAAACGTGTCCAACACTAGTAGTTTGATACGTTGATTAAAGTTTGACATTCCTTTTTTTCTGATTTTCTCTACCTTCTTCACAAAATTTAGCAAAACTAGAGGTACTAATATATTAATTATGGAATTTGGAAAATGAGAGATAATCTAGCATGCCAAAAAAAAAAAAAACACATACACACAATAAAATGAAATAATGAATAATGAAATTACAAAATCATTGACACTAAGTATAAACACCAACACAGAAGGTACAATCATTTCTTCTTTTTTTTTTTTTTATCTTCTTATTAGATATATAAGGACACTCGTTATGTATATAACACTTGACTACAAAATCATTTCATTCATTGTAAATTATTGTACAAAAATTATCGTTTTTCTTTGAAGTGCCGAATGGTACCTATCTTTTATCTATACGCGCATTGGTCAAAGTAGCATTTTCATTTGAGGTTATAGTGAATGGAAGGATTAGGGAATGATAATTGTAGTAGTAGTATATAAAAGGTAAAATCCATATTAAAACCTGCCGTTTAAGATAGCAACAATGTAGCCGTCAATGTCTTTTTTTTTTATCCCTCCAGTCAGTAACGGATAAAATTATTGTTGTGGTGTAGCCTCCAATGCCAGCTAATTAATCAGCCCTTTAATTTGTCTTGTTTTCTCAATTAACTCAATTATATTGGCAGCCCGTACACTTTTACTCCTAGCTAATTTTGAAAATTATATTTACTAAATGGTAATCATTCAAGTTTTCATTTTATCATTTGCATTTTTGGTCACGGCATAATACATAGTAGTATAGTATTTTCTGTTCTAAAATAACAAAATTATTTCATTTCGAGACAAATAAAATACTGTTTGAAATTCTGAATCATAAGAAACCAAAACATATATTTGAGTATATACTTTCCAAGTCTTCCTTTCGTTTATGGATATCATGTGGTAACAATTTAAACTTAGCCATTTAAAGGGTACAACAACTACCTTGTCCCCTAAAAAACAAAGGGGTAAAGACAAATTAAAATGAACAATGGGATCACAGAAAGGATTCAAAATGATTAATGGAACCATCACAATGGGACAAATTAAACCAAGAAATGCCCCCTTTTGAGTTTCTATCTTTCTCAAAAGACCACTTGGTTGAATTCATATAAATAAAACAATTTGTAATTTGAACTAATTGGAGCTGTTTATTTAAGTGACGAGCAATCAATTATTCAATTACTTGGCAAATCGTAGAGCTCGCCGAGATAATTCCAGTAAGGCATTTTAATTAATCAGTCAACATTTTACTTCTAAACCGAAAGTAATGGCTTTTCACAAATTAAAGTGAAATGTATATAAACTGCTTATAAAACATTTATTTTTATTGTTAACTTTGATCCAATTTTGCGTAGTCTAGTCATTTCTATGTAGTGTCAGACACGTATTTCATATGAAAAAAAAATTCTTAAGGAACGAACCGTTAGTCGAATCAAACACATTTGTTAATCCAATTTATTTGTGTGGAGAATAAAGTTATTGGCAAGCACCGATACAATTAATATTGTCAAGAAATAAATAAAAAACACAATTTGCTAGATACCCCCCACAACTATTGCTAAGTTAAACCATCGACTTTCCTTAACGTTGACCTTCAAGTTATCAACTGCATTTTGTTTTAAAAAAATTCACCCCAGTAAACCCAACTTAAATGTGGGTAAAAACCCCTCTTACAACCTTTGGTGGAAATCGAACCCTGATCTATTACCAAAAACGACAACAATCTAACCATCAAACTGTCATTTAATTCCCAGTTATCAAGCATGTATTTCCCTAGTTGTTTCTTATAATGGCGTTCAATTCTTACCTTGCAAACTGCTTCTACCTACCAGTTCCCCCCATGTATTATATAGTTTTTTTTTTTTTCATCCTGACGTTCCTAGACTTTCGTACATTTTTCATTTGTTTTCCATCTCGCTCGCACTTAATTTTTAATACATTAATAATTTAACAGCTGATTTGCAGTTTGGAACTTTAGGGAAATGATTAATTCGATTTTGTATTTGATCCATCCATTCTCGGTGGACTTTCCAAGACCATTCTCACACATATGAAAGAAATGTCGACATTTTAGCTAGGCTAGGATAATCAAAATAGTCAGCGGTAGTAAAATACTTCTTTCGTTTTGAAATGGCTGTTCAATTGAATTTTTTTATATTTTGTAAAAATTGTATTAAAACTGAATATGTTAAACTCGGATAATTATTTTGAAACAGAGAGAATACCACAAAGATATAGTTAAGTAGTTATGTTACAAGCATAATTAAGTGCATATTTTGCGAGGAAGTCTTACGTACCATTATATATAGAAAGCTCGCTTGATCAAGCCTTTATTAGAAAGAAGAAGAGTATATCATACCAAAAATGGAAGCCAAAAATAGAGGCAATTGGTATGGATGAATATTTTGTTCCATAGCATGACAAAAGGATAACGTAGTCTAATAGGTAGATACTAATTTGTGGTTCCTTCCAAAGTGAAAACGTCTTAAATGGGCTTTTGGCTTCGAAATGGTCTCTTGAATTGCTTCAAAGGACGTCAACACAGATTTGGAATATTGAGAGGAGAGCAAAGAAAAGCAAATGATACAAAATTCAAACCAAATATATATATTTTCCCTCGTTGTTTTTTCGTTCATTTCTTTTTCCCTCGTTGTTTTCATGTTTTGTCCAAAATCAAAATGGGTAGAAATTACTCTCTTGTTTTGGTCTATCTATTGATTTTTTTGATTGTCGAAATGATAATTCATCCCTGCGAGACCTAGTCCTAGTTTTACCATCAAAATTAATTAAGCTTAAGCAAATCGAATGGATAAGCTTAAATTAATCATATCGATCAAACTAATTAATCAATTTAAGCTGATGAAACACATGTTTAAATTTCTTGTGACTTGGAATAAAAGTTATCGAAAATGACGATTAAGTTGTCTTTATTGGTGTGTTCATTGTTATAGTAGTTCATTAGGATGGTGGATTCACTGATGATTCTGTGTCGTTAAAAAAGATGAAGGTTTTAGCAGTTATATGGTGAACGATTGTGTAGAGTGTCAGTCTACTCTATTTTGGCTTACAATCTTTTCTTAAATTTGATCGATTTATTAAAAACAAATTTGTGAACAACTAGCAAGACATACGTGTCGATTTTTTAAGCTCTTGTAACGACAGGCAATGCGAGGTTATTGCTATCCTTAATAATAATCCATCCAAAGTAGAATCCACCAATAATAATGAATATAATAATATACTAGAACTCATTCCAAACACAATAAAAAATAATAATAATAAATTAAAAAATACTGCCTCTGTCCTAAAATTATTGTCCGATTTTACATTCTATTTTTTGTACAATTTGAACGAAAAATGAAAACTCAAACGGGACAATAATTATGGGACGGGAGAGTACTTATTTCACCTCAAAATGATTGTTTAAATCATCAATCTCGGACGGGGAAATTATAGTACACAAACAAACAGAAAGGACTAAAATCACGCTGCATGAACAAATGCCATGACCGACTTCAACTCTTTTCCTCCCCTTTTGCTAGTTCATGATATTTCACTGTGATAACGCCCACAAGTTTAATTGATGAGATCGAAACATTCTGTTTGATCATGAAATTAACTTTGTTTTATACTCCCTCCGTCCCATAATTATTGTCCAGTTTTACTAAAATGAAAAATTTTATTTTTGGTCAAACTTAACTATATTTTACCTTAAACAACCGGTTATAACCCTACATAAGTAATTGTTTAACCACTAAGATTTTATGGATAATGTTTTTTACTAAGGACAAATGTGTAACTTGATCCAAAAAGTCATATTGGACAATAATTTTGGGACAAAATTTTTTGGGCAAAGTGGACAATAATTATAGGACGGAGGGAGTATATAATAAAGGATTGTAAAATGTTACCTTAAGCAAAAGATTTCTATCGCTTTTGTCTGAGAGAAAATATCAAAACATATCGACATAAAATAAAATTTCAGCAGGTATATATATAAAAATAAGTTGTTACTTTTGGGGGAAAGAAGAAGAAGATTTGGACTTCTTTTTGTCTCCACGTTAAATTTGGATCGACAAGAGGAATTAGAATCATAGAGCCAAATTTAGACCCGTCATTGCTGATTCATGATCATCAATGAACCCATACTTAAAAGTATCGTCATTTTCGAAAAAAGAACTTCAAATTTGTTCCGACCATAGTAAAGTAGAAGTATCAAATGCGGGATGATTATCTCACGTTGTTGTAATACTAATTTCTTATTTGAGTTGCTTGATTTTTTAGTGCTGAAAAAAAGGAGATTGATCTTTACTACTTAATTTGGCCACAATTCTATACTAGATACAGTGCTTTTTACTAATTAAAATTGCAAGTCCGTATAGGTTCATCAGAAAAAGAAGAAGATTATTCTTCTTGGATGGAATTTCCATACTTGAAGGAAGAACCATTCCTTCATTCGTCGAGTATATATAGAGTAGGTATATTTCAATTGACTACCCAGTTTTTCATCATGTGGTTGGTTTGTAATTAAAGAGGTATATTTGAATTGAACCTCCAAACACTGGGCTGTTGAAGTATTTTTATCCAGAAAAATACGACATTGATCAACAACGTGTAATGGAAATTTTTTATTTTTTATTTTTTATTTTTTGGTTTCTTAAGATATCCCTCCTGCCGATACCGAGAAGATTAATCTTCTGTCCCTACGATCAGCGCACTAAGCGATAGAAGATTGACCAAATAATTTGCTCCATTCACATGGGCAGAGATCGAACCCGTGTAATGGAAGATTTCATGCACCATAAAAAATATGTTACATCTTAATGTATTGTAATTTTTCACTGTAGCTTCTCGGTTCTCACCATTTGGGTCTCCCTTAGAGTAATTCTTTGCTCTCTCTTTTCTTCTCACTATAAAATCTCTAAATTCTTTTATTTATATATTAAAAAAAAAACATGTCAGTTATCAACATGGCACGTTTGATATGTACAACAACATAAAATAGAAAAAGATTCCAAATTCTCCAAATTGGAACACTAAATTAGTTGATTCTAACTGTACCCAGTTGTTGTCCTGTGCAAATAATATTGATCACTTCAAATTAAGCCACCTCGATTGATGCATACATAACATGTACAATATGCAAAGGCGAATGATTCTGTTTACACTTTAGATGGGGGAGGTCAGGTTCCTAATTTTCTATCTTCACTTTTGTTCAGGAATCCTTGTTTCTTTTTGGTCGTATCAGCAACCAATTTGTAATTCTGCCCCTCCAAGATAGTAACTTATAATTCTTTAATTTTTTATTTTTTATTTTGTTTTGTTACAATAAAAGAGGCCAAGCCTGATTATACATTTCTAGAGTAAGAAACCCCTCTAATATCATGTTCTATCTACCAACCAACTCCTACCGCTGGATCGTGAAGCAAAAGCAAGCCTCCGGAACCGTGAGCTGCTAAGCATGCTAGATAATCAACCACAAAATTTAATTCCCACCACACTTGAGTCACCACAACCTCCCAAGGTCAACTCAGCAAATCTTTGATCGCCCGAATCAAAGTATCATGAATGCCAAAGATCTCTTGACTATCCGTCACCATTTGCAAAGGACACTGACTATCTACTTCCGCAATGACCCTCCGTTCGCCAAGTTCACATAAATGTACGTAAACATTGTGACGAAGATCTCATTAGTAACTCAAAACCCAAAAAAAAAAATAGGAAAAAGAAAAAAAAACCCTAATTGCGGACTAGATTATTACCAGAATGACCATTCAAATTGGTTCAACATCAAGGAGTATTAGAATCACAAAAACAAGAAATATGCTTGACAATTCGACTATTTCGTTCCTAATCAAACATAGATAATATATCCAAAACAACTAAATTTTACTACCTTCTTCTCCATCCAAAAATGATTTTACATCACACGAACGACACAAGGGACCAAAACTTATTGAAATGAAAGAAATTTTCTTAGACATTTTTCCCTTCTCTAAATATATCTGAGCCCAATACTCTTAATTCTCAATAAGTTTATCGATCCAAATACAATGAAATATTGGGCTTTAACTTTTGGTATTAATCGGGCTACAAACATTAATATGTCGGTCATATTTATTATTAATGGGCCAAGAGCCCAGGACTAGTCTATTGCCATGGATGGTTTGTATTCTTTTCCGAGCTTCATCGTTGGCCATACCGTTGGAAGCAGAAATAGAGAATCAGCAATGCCGAGCAAGAAGAGGAAGAGAGTTGCGGAGAGGGGCACCATTCATCCCCGGAATAAATACTCCGAGAAGCCGCCGGATTTTGGAGCTTTGGCCTCCCTTTATCCGAGTTTTGAGCCTTACGTCTTCTATTCCTCCAAAGATGGTCGTCCCAGAATCGACTGGACTGATTACAATGCCACCCGGGAGCTCACTAGGGTATTACTCCTCCATGATCATGGCCTCAACTGGTAACTACCTATTTAACCCTTTAAGAATTTTTTCTGACACTTCTGGGTTTGAATGAAATAGCCGGAAAAAAGAAGGAAAATTTTGATTTGATTACAGTATTTGAATGTTTCCATCCGCATGTCCATTTGTTTTGTTCGGTTACTTTGCGTGTTCTTGTTTTGGAAAGTTGGTTTGGAGCCTGTAATTAGTAAGATAGCTTGTGTGATTGGAATTGGCAACTGCTGAGATTAGGACTGTATCAAATATTTTTCCTTGTAATTGTATGCTCTATAATATAAGGTGGGACAAATTTTAAGCTTGCTGTCAGTGTAACCCTTCTCCTACTTCCTGTATTGGCAAACCGAAAGCTTGAGCTTGATTTGATCCTTGTGTCCTGCCAAGCTGCATTCTCAGATTTGGTGTACTGGTGGTTTGATTCATTCCTCTGGATTTAGATGGTTGGATTTGAATGAAGCGGACAAAATGATCAAACGTAATACTAGATTGACCTCGTAGCAGATTTTGGTCGCTATGAGATTGAAGTCTAATCATTTGTCTTTTAATCTCGTCACCCAGAACTTGGATGGCACTTGTTTTCTGAATATGGTCTCATTGAATATTGTAGGTGGATTCCTGATGGTCAGCTTTGTCCCACGGTTCCTAATAGATCCAATTATATACACTGGATAGAAGATCTTTTGGCATCAGACATCATCCTAAATACTCGAATAGATGATAATGTCGTAAAGGGTTTTGATATAGGAACTGGGGCTAACTGCATTTACCCCCTTCTTGGTGCATCTTTACTTGGTTGGAGATTCGTTGGTTCTGGTATTCCCTTCCTCTTGTTTTCTTGCTTCTATTTCTATTCTTAGCATTCCAATTAATGGTTGGACACTTGATACCATGTAAACTATGCCAAGTTTATCTGCAGATATAACTGATGTTGCTTTGGAGTGGGCAGAGAGAAATGTCAGAAGTAACCCACATATCTCTGAGTTGATCGAGATTAGAAAGGTTCATACTAGGGAGAAGAATCCCGAGGAGGAAGATGTGCATGCTGAACAAGGTCCAGATAGCGATGACTCTGGGGGGTCTAGCAACAGGGGGGTTGCTGAAATAGGGCCTTCATGCTTACCTTCTGCCAAGCTACAGTCTAGTGCTCAGAAGAAGTACCAAGCTCCTCCCATACTTTTAGGAGTTGTTAAAGATGAGGAGAAATTTGACTTCTGCATGTGTAATCCTCCGTTTTTTGAGACTATGGAGGAAGCGGGACTTAATCCAAAGACTGCATGTGGTGGGACTAAAGAGGAAATGGTTTGTCCTGGTGGAGAACAAGCATTTATCGCTCGTATTATCGAAGATAGTGTTCAATTAAAGCAATGCTTTAGGTATGTAAATGTTCCAGATCCTTGCTGGATCGTATAGCACACTGGGGGTTTTCTGTTAAATATTGTTGATATTTCAGTAATTCCTATCTTTGCTTGTGATAGGTGGTACACCTCGATGATTGGAAGGAAATCAAATCTGAAATTCCTTATAGCAAAGCTCCGGGAAGTTGGCGTCACTGTGGTGAAGACCACAGAATTTGTACAGGGCCAAACTTGTCGATGGGGACTTGCTTGGTCGTTTGTGCCTCCTTCTGGGAAGATTTTGTCATCCCAGGTTTCTGAGAGCAATAACAAGTCTTTCATGCTTGAGGTCCAGTACTGAATGCTCCTCTATCTCAAGTTTCATTTTACTTTTCTGATCTACTTCTTCTTTTGTTCATTGTTAAACTTTATGAACCTTCAGTAGATGTGTTATCCCATCTTTTTTTTAATTATAATGACTTTGACCACATTACTCTTTGAGGAGTTCCAGATGTTAAACACTGCTGCTTAGTTTGAGTTTTCTAATGTGTTTCCTGTTCCATTGTCCTTGTTCCACTGGGTATCTTAAATGAAAAGGAAATTGTTGGCCTGCAATGGTTGAATAACTTAAATGTCAGTGTTCATTGTTTGGTTGTAAGTCTGTTTGAGGCTTTATCTATTTAGGATTCTTAACTTGTATAATATTAATCCCAATTTAGTTTGATTAGTGTGGTTAATGAGCAGTTGGCACTTACAACTTCGTCATATTTTCTTTATGCAAATTATGTTCTCACATGGGAAGATAAAATATTCTCCGTTGTCATTACCGCAACTTGTCCTATCATATATCTGAAGCCTTATGAATTCAGAATCATATCTTTACTTTTCATTCAGGGTGTCCAGCGCCAATACAGTGCATTTCACGTGTTGCAATCAGCCGAGTCCTTTTTCTGCAGTTCTGGCACTTCTTGCAAACTAGATTCCATCCAGTTTAAGATTGATGTAGGCATTGTTCATATCCTAGCGTTCTTTAGTACTGGCTGTCAAGGGATGGTCTCTGATTCTTTATTTTCATCTGTAGGTTATTGCTTCAAAAGATCAATGTGAATCAATGCTTACGTCCGAGACAGAACCGTATGGTGCCTTAAGCTATCAGCACAATTTGGAAATGCCGGATGTTTCAAATCAATTGGATTCTCAATCAATTGACCTGCATTTCAGTATTTCGGTAATCATTCTAGCATTAAATTCGTAGCAGATTTTTCTGGGATCATTGGATCTGGAATTTGTTGTATAAGCCATTCCTTTTCTCTAGGTATTTCAGCAAATCCCGGGTACACTTCTGGTGAAAGGTACATTGCAGCAGAAAGGAAATCCTAATGCAGGTAATTTCCTATCAATGCTAGTGAATTCCTTGTGCTAGTCATAGTAGAAAAAGTAGTTTGGAATGCAAAGGATCACATTTTAGTGGCATCCTAGTTCTTGTTACATACAGAGCCATCATGACTAAATTTGTTATCTTTTTGCCTTCATGCTATTAACAATCGAGCCTGTATTGTCTTTCATACCCGTTGGAACTTCTCATATGTGAGTTTCTTGCCTGACAGACCTTTACTTCGCTTTCTATCTTCATTCTTTCTCTTCTTTGAAGAACTATCATGCCGAGGATAGAATCACATGATTGGGTGTGGCTTCCATGGTGTACTGTTTCTCCGATTGCATAAAAAAGAAGTTTAAGTTTGAGAGTCGCTCTAACTGAACCATGCATGCGTCTTTAGATCTATTTCGAGAGGATAGGGTGGTCTTCTATCTCTAACCTATGGTTTATCTATTGATGCAGGAGCATTTTCACTGGTTTTCTCAAAACTAGAAGCTGTTCTGAAAGCTAAATTTTGTAAACCAAAGCCAATTGCAGAACTCTCACGCTCCAAACAGCAGAGATGATGTGCAAGGCCTTATCTAGCACTGCAGAAGTTATAAGATATCAAGCAGCTGCAGTGCTTTTTCTTTTTTTCTTTTCTTCTGTACTTAATAATTACAGGTAGAGAGATGAGGATAGGAAGCATAAGTCATAAGTAAAAGGAAATCCCAGATTTTTGTATGTGTTTCAGCTAAAGTTCAATGAGCAACAAGTTTATTCTAGGGTGAATTGAGCTTGTTATGGTAGAATTTTATTTTTATTTTCCAAATGGAACGACAAATGGCTGGTTAAAACTTACTCACTTATGATGTTAGAACTTGAATTTCCACCGACATTTGACTATCAAACTCGCAATTCTCAACTAGTCAGAAAAGTCAACAATATATAAGAATTTTCGCTGACATTTGACCATCAAACTCTCAATTCGCAACAAGTCACAAAAAGTTTTGAGATGGGTCTTAAAACCCCAAATACATTTCAAATGTGCAAAATTTACAAAATCTTGTCTGAACTTGCGTGGGCTGGGGAGTAGTAATTAATAAAGCAGTACTAAACCAACTTGGGGAGATTCTTCGGGTAGAGAAGTCTTGGTTTCCAATCTTAGGCTTTGTTTGTTTTGTTTTTTGGATGGTTTTTTCATAATAATAAAATAATAATTGTCCCATCCTAACATTTTTTTTTACACTTCTAATACATCTTTTTGAATTTCCAATATAAAAAACATCTAAAAACACACACTAAAAAACTAAACAAACATACCCTTAGTAACTTAATTGCTGATCACACACACCCCATTGAAATGATGATCCTGCCATTATTTTCACGCACACACTTAATAATATAGAATCAATATATACTGGTACGTACTTAATGTGCATGGCTCTCACACTCAACAAGCTAGAATCATGGCATATGATTCAATCACTACCAACTATTGAAAATCGATGATGGCGTACGTGTTTGAACACTTTAACATGGTGCGTAAGCTCCTAATGATATTAGCTACATTTAAAGGCATTAACGACTGACAAACACTTTACGTTCACGTCTCTTATTTAGACTTCTAACGATTATGTTACATAGTGGAAAATTTTGAAATATATTTGTAAAATCTCAACACGATTACGAGTACAGACTATTCGATTACCTAATTTGGAATATTGCTTATGGAACTTAAAAACGGATCTCATCATTCCCGTGTGCCGCAAATGATCATGAAGGCTGTTTTGAGGTCCTATGTCGAATCCTTGTATATATATATGTGATTATTATGTACGTACAAATGTCATGTTTGGTGTCTTGATGATTTAGGGCAAACCTTTTATGATGCAATGGAATGCATTTGCCAAAAGAAGTTCCAATGGCTGATACATGCAAATGCATTCACTTTAGAATCCTACCTAATTAACTTGTCATGTATTGAATTCAAGAAAGACCATTTCTTTTAATTTGTCATGTATATTTTCATCGTCATCCAAGTTGCAAGTTCTGACGTAATTTCCTAACACTAGCTAGGGTAGCGCGATTAATACATTTCATTCTATATCGACAATTAATTATGAGCAGGATGGAATCGAAAAGGCGAAGGAAATGGTGTGAGAAATTCAAAAATTTCGAAACCTAAAATCTAGCTAGATGAGCTAGAAAGTAAGAAAATCATTCATGGTGGGAACTTTGTATGAATATTGTGACCCCAAGGAATATCATAAAGGAAAGTACTTGTTCTACTGATAGTATTCCATATGTTCCACAAAAATGAATGTGGGATTTGGAATTGAAATCGAAAAACTGCAGCTTTGATTTTTCAGAGATCAACTGATTAAAGTTTGCCTTCTTGTTCCCCCAAGCATTATTTCCACTGTCTTTGCTTTACGGTTTCCGCTTTTTTATCCATATCCTTCAAGCCCAGTCCTTGTTGTGTGTTCTTTGGAAAGTTCACTTCAGAAGTCATTATGTCCATCTTTTCCTCTAGTGTGTGTGTGTGTGTGTGTGTTTGAGTTCAAAATTTTCTCATAGGATTCCCACTATATGTGATATACCTTTTGCATGCATGATTTGTAATGAAAACCAAGCTCCTTGTCACCAAGAAATGAAAGTATATCAGCATAATTAAATATATATTCCGTTACTTACAAGTCGATCATCAAATAGAATAATTATTCTCGGACAAAAATAAACATAAAATAAAAAAATCAATAAGTTGAATTACCATACCATGCCGGTAAAACAGATGCTAATATCTACTATCAATCTAGTTCCCATATATTTTTCCTAAAGAAAAAAAAAATATTCCAACCTCTTTTTGTTGGAGGCTTGAATTAGAAGCTCCTCTTTTACCATAGTTGTTTGTGTCTATCTTTACCGAACTAGCTAACTTTAGTTTGAAATTATGTCACTCAGAGAATCTGAAAGTTGTTTTGGAAGAAGTGACTTGTGACATCAAACGTTGTATTAGGGCGTCATGCCCTTTCCCTCCATTTTCCTAACTCAAAAAATTAGGCAAAGAAAAAAGTTTTTTTTTTTTTTTTCCCACTCAAAACTGAGATAGGAGGATATGATACTACGTCTGTGTGCTTGATAATGAATCATGGATATATTTATTTTCTCATCGGTGTAAAGAAGGAAACTAAAGTTAAAACACAAATCCGTAAATGAGAAATATCTTGATAAAATTGTGATCTTGTCATGATTAAGGTCTTCTTGTTGTTTGCTGATATTTTGGCTAAATCACCCTTCCTAACAAACATACCTCTGCTTGAGAATCAATTTGAGGGGGTTTAGCTGGATGCTGAAATAATAATGGTGATAAAATCCAGGAGGAGGGCAAATCAAAATCTTGGATGTGTTGTTTCTTGAAGTCCTCAGTCCAAACAAAACCTCTCTGTCAGCTAGGATTCGGGCGTCACCCGCTTTTCTTGCTGAAGGGGTTGGCGATTTCCAGTTGCATTCTGGAATTAACATTTAATTTAAATACTAACAATGTTCTTGATCTATAATACTCTCTCTGTCCTCAAAAAAAAAAAATCCACACTGAATTTTGAAATCTATACTAATTTTAGTACAAATATGAAAACTCAGTGTAACTTTTTTTTTTTAGAAAAAAAGATAAAAATAGTAAAATTTTAACGCATAATTATTTCGTAACATAATTCCACAAGAATTCATACTGTAATTTATTAACGATACTAAACATGATATAGTAACTTACGAAATGCAAATTAAACTATTTTTTTGAAATAAAGGGTGCATATATGCAACTGCATTGATATTGAAAAAGTGACACGTTTTGACACGAAGATTAGAGACTCGTTTCATAAACGCAAAATTGAAAACTTTGATACAAAATTTCCGACACATTAATTGAACAAAAACCTACTCCTTCCTTCCGTCTCAAAAAAATAATCCAGTTTAATAAATAATTTTGTCCCCAAAAAAATAGTTCAGTTTCAAAAAGTCAAAATAAAAAACAACTGAAATGACTATAACATCCTTCACCATTAAGCATTATTACAAAGCTTGTATCGGAGGCCCAAATCATCCGCCCATTTTCCTTAGTCGGAGCTTTTTCCCGATTTCTTCTTCCTCCGTTGGAGCTTTTTTCCAACAGTTTCTTCCACAGCCGTTCCTTCTCAAATAGCTCTTCCTCCTTTCTTTCATCTCCATTTTCACCTTATCCTTCTGATTAAATGAAAATTTAACATTAATTATCAACAAACAAATAAAAAATAAAAAGTAAAAGATTGGTAATTTCTTGATAATATACAATGGTAATTGATTGTACCTGTTGGGTGATGAAGAATCGATTTCGAACTGTTGTTATTGAATCTCGAAAGACAAGTCTTGCACAAGGAAAGTGAAACAACCGCTGCTAGTATCACGGTGGTTGTGGTGGTGGTGGCTTGGCGGAGAAAATCGACGCAACAAATTATTGGGCGGTGGTGGCGTTGTCATCGCACCACTTGTGCTTTCTCGGAACCGGGGAGTAGGGCAGCCGCCATTCCTATCACGTTTAGACTTGGTTGGCTGAGTTGAATAGTAGCGGCCGCCGAGATTTGTTTTTCGGTGGCATAACAATAGAAGATTTTAGGATTCAAATTTGGGCCAGTTTTGTTGGGATATAATAAGGGTAAAATTGAGAATTTATTAAACTAAAATGAGTTGTACTTTGTTGAGTTGACCAAATTAAAAAAAATTGTACATTTTGAAATTGGACTATTTTTGTGGTACGGAATGAGTATTTGATTATCCCAATTTACCGAAGATGATCCGGTAGCAATTATACACATGGAGGAGCAGACAAATTATCAAAACTCCAGCTTGCATGTCCGATTTCGATATAAAGGATCTTTTCTTAGTAAATCTTTAATTTTGTGCCCTATCTGAATGAATTGGCAAGTGATCGATCCAGATCCAAATTGTTAATTCCAATCGAGGCCATGCACGTAAATGTCGCTGAGAATGTCACAAACTAAAACATTAATTCTCAAGACTGGATGGCTAGCTTCGAAGGGGGAACCAAGTTGTAATAATTTTCATAATTATGCACTTTTTATAGTATTTTTTATTAACAACTATATGTATTATTTAAAAAAAAAAATGCAGGAGACTATGATGTGATGATTATTATCAGGAGGTTGAGAGTTTGACTCCCGCTGTGACCATTTAATTTTTTTTTTTAAAAAAATGAATTATTATTATTAAGAACAATCATACCAATATACTGAAATTGAATTGTATTAAAGATGGTACTATAATTTTAAATTTTATAATGTGAATTATTTTTTTCATTTATATTTGGCTAGTTTTCATAAATCTTGCCTATCTCATCCGCATGCATGCACGAACAATACTTTTACCAAGTTTTAGGGGACCTCAAATATACCTACCAAGATTTGACATTAATGAGTAAAACTTTGTAAAAATATATTAAAATTTTTACTAGTATTTAATTCATATCATTGGGAAAATAAGAACAGATGAGCACGATGGTAAATCTGATTGATATTTTACAAAAAGCTATCCAACAATTTTGTTGTTTTCCAGACCAAACACAAGTCTCGGACCTTGATTTCATCTCTGATTTTCTGATCATAGTAAAAACAATTAAATAGTACCCTAACTAGTAGTTGTGCAGTACCAAAAAATAAGTAGATTAACTAACTACTAGTGATTAATTAATTAATTAAAAATAATTAACATTGGTTTTATCATATTCGGCGAAGAATCAGCCTTGTTTGGCTCTTCGGGCTGCTGGATTGGACTTTTCTTTATTAATTCAATAAATAAATTATACTTCTACTAATTTAAAAAAGCCCCGGAAGAAATGGGCGGGCCAACAGACAGCTACAGTGATCATCGGCGCTTTTCCCTTGTCGTCGTGGACCACGTTTTTGTCCAAATGGCCTTCTTTTGCTGCCTCTATCTTTTTTCTTTTTCTTTTTTTTTTTTTTCCAATTTTGCTACATATTTTAGGGCGAAAATCTATTAGATTAATTTAAAATAAACCTAGCGGGTAACATTTGATAATGTCACCTAAATTTTTGAGAACCAATCTTTGACTGGTTTGACTGCCTTTTATAATTTTCTTCCAAAAAATTTAGGGCCTGTTTGAGAACACCTCTTAGTGCTTAAAAATATTTCATTAAGTATTTTTTTATTTAAGCATGTTTGATAACTAAAAATATACCTCTTAATTAATTAAGTAGGTCTGAAATTACAGTACAAAATATAAACGAAAGAAATTAACTTATTATTTATTACGTAACTCCTTAATGAATTCAGTATTTTTAGTTCAGCATTAAATATTTAGAATTAAGCACTAATTTTTATTAAACAGGCCTATAGATGAAAAGTGAAAACATAATCCTACATGAAAAGTGAATGATTGTTAGGAAGTCTTTTATCATCCAAAAGAGTCTACCCGTGTTGAATGAAGATAAATTGGATATAGAATATGAGTTCACTTAATTTATCAAATGATTCATGTACTAATAAAAAAAAATTATAGTAGGAGTGAACATGGAGAAAAATATCTGGCAAGTGACTCAATACTACAGGAGTTTACCCACACGTGTAGCTTTAGATATTTAGGAATTGAAAGCTATAATAATAATATTGTAATAACATTGTCACATCCTGATTTAATTAGCCTATTAAAGAAAACCCAAATAGAGTGACAATATGGTGTACGTGTAAAACCTTCGGTTCAAAATTAGGGCCAAATCAAGGATGATGAAACCATATAAATACACGTACGCCAAAGATACATTGTGAAGTAATGCGTGATTTTTTTGATCACTAGCTGTACATGTATAATTGTACACGATATTACCACAACAAATTTAGTCACACCAATCCTCCTTTTTTCTATTTTCAGAAACCATAACAAATACACCTATTCAAAAGCATAACCCTACTACCTTTATTTTTGACAAAAAAGAAATCATAGTACGTACCTCATAATCTGCTTTATTTGAATTTACATTTTCCATATCACACCTCTCCTTTTCTAACAGATTAAATATTCTTCCCGTTCCAAAAGAATTATTCAACAATACAATAAACAGAATAATAATTTTAGTTCAGACGAAATTTTTTTTTTCACAAATCCCTATGGTGGAAACATATGGCATCAAGATCCCTCCTATATAAAGTTATAAACTCTTGACCAAAAGCATATCATCCAACACAAACATAACATCAAGTACTCTTCTCATCTCACTTCTATCTTTTCCCACATAGGAGCTGAACTGAAAGGCAAAAAAAAAAAAACATCAATCAAGCAAGCAAGCAAACAAACAAACCCAAAGAAATGGCTGGCTCCCCTCATCCAAAAATCCTTCACCACCATCCTCTCCACTCTTTCTCCTTGAAATCAACTTCATCTTCTTCCACTCATCAATTGACCTCTTCCAAGCTCAAAAATGTTCTTCAAACCTTCATCTTCTCCCATTTGTACCGCATCCTTCGAGCCGTGGCGAAAGCGAAATCCATTGTCATCCAAGTCCTCAAAGACATTCAACTCTTGCATTTCAACCTACAACAATCCATGAAAAAGAACAGCAAGAACCTCAAGAACAAGCTGTTTTTGGGCTCATTCAGAATGCATTACAATTGGTGCACACCTCATGTTGTACCCGTCCCAATGCCACAACAATTTGGTGATCATATTCATAAAAAAGGCTATAATTACAACAATTCATCATCATTTTCATCCAATGATTGGTACTATGATTCATCTTGGAATGTTAGCAACAATGACATTGGTTCAACAACAGATTCTTCATCTGGAGAGTTCATGGTTGCTCATCAAGAACTTCATTCGTCGTCGGCCCGGCTTACCGGATATCTCCAATGGCTTGAAGAAAGAGACGATCAAGACATTCAGCATGACAAGGATATAGACAAGCTGGCTGACATGTTCATTGCAAATTGCCATGAGAAATTCAGGTTGGAGAAGCAGGAGTCTTACAGGAGGTTTCAAGAAATGATGAACAGAAGTATATGAAATACACATTCCTTGATTATTCCCCACACAAAAAAAAAAAAAAAAAAGTTTCTTTTCCCTTTTACTCTTTGAATTTTTGTCAATGTTGTCACATTTGGTGTGGGTAAAAGGAAGAATCAGTGGGGATGGATCGATGGTTCTTTTTTGGGTGAGAAAGTAGCCATTTACTCCAATGATGATGACTAGCATATGAACCTAATTAATTAATTATAAGTTAATGATACATATATAAAGTTGTTATTATGGTAGTTTTATATCTTAGTTTTCTTTTTCCTTCCACTCCTCACCATGATTTGTAAAATACTATGGCTTTCAATTTTGCTGGTTGGAACAAATTGAAATATTTCGATATTCCGTATCCATTACTTTCATTTGTACTACAATCTTAAACATATATAGTCGTTTTTTTTTCTCCAAAAATATATATATTTTTGGGTAACATTATGATTAGATTACATTTTGTGGTCATGATTTCCAAAGAACAGGAACTTTCTGTGTTGACTGGGTTATGATTAGGGTGGCTTTACAGATTAGATCAGTATTAGTTATTCATCAAAAGAAGGCATGCATAATGGATGACTTACCTGCAAAGCAGAAGCAAATCACGGCGACTGTAAAGATAATTAAATCAAATGAAAATTGTTTACAATATAACTCGAAAAAGGCAGTACTCCCTCCGTCCCATAATTATTGTTCTGTTTGGGTTTTCACTTTTAGTACAATTTGAACTAAAAATAAAAACTCAAACAGGACAATAATTATGGGACGGGGAGTACTATTTTCTTTTGTGGTAACATATATGTTCTGGATAAAAACTTTAATGCGGTATTAATAATGTTGAACAAATAAACTGCGCCGAATGAAGGCGATATTCTATTCACACAGAGAAAAAAGAGCCTAATCTTTTTGTTTGGCTTCTTGAGCTCATACATATGACCTACTCTAAACTGGATTGTTTAATTAATTACCACTATGTGTCTACTTAAATGGGTCATTGAATTAAGATGGTCACTCTTTTAACTTTTTTATTGTTCTATTTTACGTCACCATTTTCATCTCCACAAAATTAATTACACAAATGGCACTCCTTTCGTTCCAGACAAAAATTAAAAAACAAAACCCAAATGTTTTTTTTTTTGTTTCCAAAAAAAAAAAAAAAAATCAATGGTAAGAATGCTTTTAGACACTGTTTTGTTTCTTTATTCCAAAAGTCATTTCTTTGCTTTTGGAAGTTGAAATGTATTAGAGAGAACATCACTTTTTAAGCGGAGCATATATTTGGTTCCTTTGGTCTCACAAACATTTGTGTTTCCTCAGATTCTTTAAACTGTCCGCCCTTTACACAAATTTAATGTCAGTTTCCTCATGTTTCTTCACGTCGATTTTATTCTTCGAGAAATCTTCTTAACTCTGAAAAGATAAAAAATAAAAGAGTCTAGTAAAAGGCTAGATGCATGGTTATTAATCATAAGTATAATCTTTATTTTTGTTTGGTTAATCGTAATTAACCATAATCTTCACACATAATAGAGAATGATAACATTCATAATACATTAACCACCACAAATTTTAGTAAACTAAGTTTGTCAACGATCGATCTATTAGATTATGTTAGTATAACGAGTATTGATTTTATTTTCTTAACAGAATAAATACGTACTAGAGTTTGAAAATATTAGAAAGGAAGGACTGGCTAAAAAGGTATTAACAAATTCACTCTTGACCAAGTTGTGGAACTTAGCTAAAATGTTAGGAGTAACGATATTCAAACTCACTAAATTTATCTCATTCTTATATCTCATCTCATATGTCAATTATTTGGATAATCTATTTTTTACAATTGATAGAACACTTCCTACTCTAAAAGTAAATAATTCAATGTAAATATTATATTTTTTATTCTCAATATTAGTTCAATTGATGAATTATTTGCATTATTATAACTTTTCTCAAAAGGGTTTACTTTTTTTGAGGTTTGGGTCTAGTTATTTTAAAGTGTCTGGATATAAAAATAACCTAAAAATCTATAATCTAACAAAAAATAAATAAATTAAGTCAAAAAATTTGATTCAATAATTAAATGAAATGTAAGATAAGATATAATGGTGAGATAAATCGGGTAAGTTGTGCATCATCACTCAAATTTTACTTTGGCTGTCATCATTTGTAGCTATTCCCAGAAAGCACAAATTGGAAGGAGGGGAAAAAAAACAAAACAAATAAATGAATAAAAGAAAAAAAAAAGACCATAGAGCATATATAGCGACATGTCTACATGTCCATATTTCTTTTCTTTTTTTTTTTTTTATATATATATACTGAGGGAGCTATATGTCCATATTTCTTTATGTATATTCCTGGGCTTCCTACGGATTAAGGGAGTGAGACTAGCCCAATATCAAAGTCTCAAAGTCCAAAGACTATAACCCATGTCCCGTTAAAGAGTGATAAAAGTCAACAGAAGAATCTTTTTGATCAATTTAAACAGAGGTTGCATAAGCTACATGCGAACTCTGCACAAACATGGCTAACTCGAATATGAAGCTATACCGAGTCATTGAAAAATGTTGCATATACTGTTAAAGTGTATAATCTATTCCACATCGCCACCGTGAAGAGAAGTGACTTTGTACATAAATGCCAAAGTTTACCCCACTCATTACCAATTGATTTTGAGATGGGAGCCCAAAGTACTTATATACCGTTATCGAATTGCTTTCAAGGAATCATATCTTGCCACACATTCCAAACGGTTATTGGAGTATTTCTTCAATTAATGATGGCCTGCATTTTGGCTTCCTGCATTTTGGCTTTTACAGGAGGCTGCATTTTGCCTTGAATGTGATGCTCTTGATGAGCTACACTTCCCCGTGGAATGTCAAACTTTAGTAGCCTCTAAGTTAAGGACAGTTTTAGAGTTTGTTGTGTTTATTAAAGTGGAGAGAGAGAGAGAGAGAGAGAGAGAGAGAGAGAGAGACGAAGTGGTGGAGGTCTATAATTTGGCATATTACTGTGCTATATATCATGTGAATTATAATTTTGCGCTTTAATAAAATATTACCTCTTAAGCAGGAAAAAAAAAAGAAAAAAAAAACATTTCGTCATTCTGATTTTGTGTTTGTGATTTGGACAATGTGGCAAACTACAATGTTTATTTTCTTCATCATATGCATACAAAAAATAAGTGTTGGGGATTAAAGTTAATTTACGTACACAATTAAGAGTATTAGACCTCCGTTTCAAAAAAAAAAAAAAAAGATTATTAGACCTGTTGGGGATTAAAATAGATTCATATAGATAACACAAACTTATAATGTAAGAGTTACAAATACAAAACACCATTAGATTGTTGTTGCTACTGCATTTAGTATAATACTTTACATTTAGCTGTAAAGGCATCCAGTTTGTACCGAAAAGGTGTATTAATTGGGCAGCCAAATCCAGTCCAAGATACTCTTGATCTTTTTGGCTAGACATTCTTGTCTTAGCAGCTGAAACTGAATCTCTTGATTAGTTCTCTCAACATCCAACATGCATTTAGTGGTTAACTAGTTAAGCAGCTGGATCCAATTTCCTTAAAAAATCCCTCTGTCTGATTACTAAAATTATTCCTCTGTTAATTTACTCCCAGACGGCTGTCATATATATTTGAAAACTCAGAATCAGTTTAACAAGAGGGACCATTTCTTATTTCGTAGTTTGCCACTAGAGATCGATAACATATGCATCTGAAACTTACCCTTAACTTAATGCATTTTGCAAATAAAATTTAACCGCTTCATTTGATCAAATATTAATTAACCAAACAGCCAATAGGTTAAAAGAGGCCAAACTTAATTTATGTGGTTTTCTTTTTCTTTGTTTCTCCCCTCTTCTTACAATCTCCCAATTAGCTAATAATTCCTCCTAAATCTAAAACTGTCAACAAAACGATAATGGCTTAAAATGATTTCTATTGATCACCCTGATGGACATTTAGTGACCATCAAAATTACTCAAAGTCAATCAATACATGTAGTCATCAAGTATACATGCAAATCTAACGTGATTAAACCAGAACAAATTGATTAACGTGATCTTTCTGAATTAAGCATCTCACTATACAACGTTAATCAACAAAACTTGTCCTAAAAGTACAGCCAAAACAAAGAAATAAAAAAGTTAAAGAAAAGAAGACAAAGTCGTTTAAATTTACTAAAACAAACATCAATTAATTAAGCTCAACAACAACCTAATTATGCTAGTAATAATCTGAAAAAGGAAGTAAAAAAATGAACACAGGTAGATCAAGAAACAAGAACAGAATTGAAGGGCGCTGATTAATTAATCTGATTGATTGATCAATACAAAAAAGGCATATACATAAAATGCATTGCTTTCCTTATGGTTATATCTATAAGTTTTCCTTCAAACAAAAGAAATGAAATTCATGGATGATTGGCTAACTAATTCTGAATAGGATTGAACATGCTCGGAGGGGCAGTCCTCATGCTTTGCTCCACAGCTTTCTTGGGCTGTTGTTTATTCACTCCTCCGCCGATAATTACCTTATTCTGCGGATTTGTTTGCATACTAACCCTACTGCTTTTACCCTCTCCCAGGAGTTTCCTTGAATAATAATACTCTAATTGCCCGCCTCTCCCTGATGATGATCTTGATAATAATGCTGGAGTGATGATGGAATAATCAAGATGGTGGGATTTCAGGAACAAAATTGCACAAGATCCCATCACAATGTGGACTAAGATCACTGCAAAAACTGCAGCCAAAGTTCTCAACTTTATCTTCATTTATGATAATGATCACCGGATCATGAATTTACTAACTCCTAAAAATGCACAACCAACTCAAAAATTTGAAGAAAGGAAAGGAGAGTGAAATGAAGGTACGTTTCAAAGTGTTTTAGAACTAGCTAGTGATGCTTGAACCTTTGAGGTGATGTTGATGAAATTAAGACATGTAAAAATATGTGAGATTGGATTATTTGATTGGGAAGGTGTGTTATAAAAAGGGAGTTTTCCATTTGCTGACTTGATCCACGTGATTGACCATTTTGCTCGATCCAATGAGTAGTTAAATCCGTGTTTTTCTGGTTTCCTTTTTCATAAAATAAATATCCAACAAGTTTGCACTTTCAGACAGCAAAGATGCAAAATTATGTGTAGTTCTTACCTTCATGAGTTTTCTAGAATTTTTAGGTTGTCGTGTGTGTGTGTGTGTGTGAAATAGTTGATGTTACGCATACCAATCATTAAAGTGATTCAGATACTCTCAAGTATTTTCATGATTAAAGTTTATTGCTACGTACTTAAAAGGTCCTTTCATAATAAGTATGCACGACGTCCCTTATTTATCAGATGAATTGCCTCCTTTTGTCTCACACAATCAAATAGTCTAGTTCTCCCATCTATTAAAATGCTTATACTCAGAATTAATCACTTTTCTATAGTCCAAATGTTAATTAAAAAATCACTTATTGTTCTAATATGGAAGAAAAAAATTTCTTAACGAATATGTATTTCACCGTGATCTTTTTTTTTTTCCCAACAAAAAATCAGAGCTATTGAAGGAGCATGCTAATTACACTACATGACCAAATTGTCTTAAAACAAGGGTTCTGTCTGTCAGTGTCTTCTTCTTGTACACCTCTTTTCGCGCATCCATCGAATGCTGTCAGTGTCTTTTTCTTGGTGCTTACACTTCTTTCCGCGTGTCCATCGGATGCTATCAGTGTTTCCTTGTTAGGTGCTTAAAGAGTTTCCAACTGCAACCTTCTTGTATGCCTCTTTCCGTGCGTTCATTAGGTGTTTATATCAGAGATTAAAGTTGAGATGAAGGAACCAAGACTTGAAGATTTAGATCCAGGTTGATGTACATATTAGCAATTGATTGTGTAAATAATTCTTAGTTGTAATCAGGGATCTATTTTTTAATTAATTGTAAATATGTAGGCAGTAGTGTAAATACATGTTAGTTGGTTAGTTATAGTAGGGATTATCCTGTATAAAACTAAAGAAATACGGTTGAGTTGGTAAGATAACAAAATACAGTTTTAATACAATTTTCCAGATCTTCTCTCTTCTGTTCTGCACTTCAATGGCGGAAACCCTAGGAACCTTTTGAGTTTACACCTCTTTCCGCGCGTCCATCGAATGCTGTCAGTGTCTTTTTTTTGGGTGCTTACATCTGTTTCCGCGCGTCCATCGGATGCTATCAATGTCTCCTTCTTGGGTGCTTAAAGAGTTTCCAACTGCAACCTTCTTGTACGCCTCTTTCCGTGCGTTCATTGGGTACTTAAAGAGTTTTCAACTGCAACTTGTAAGGAGAGGTACCGTGGGAGTCTCTTTCTGTGCGTTCATTGGGTGCTTAAAGAGTTTTCAACTGTAACTTGTAAAGAGAGGTACCGTGGGATTTTGAACCTGGGACCTTCGGGTTGGATGCTTAGTCCTTTATCACTTGGACCACCTCTATTGGCGTCTTCTTCTTTTTATTATTTTTCTTCTTGTTTCCAATTTTTCAAACCCAAAAATAAATTAAAAAAAAACCGAAAAAAGAACCAAAGAATTCGTAGCTAGCATGAGCAACTTGCAGATGAGCATATGTATGTTCTTTGGCTCCCCGGAATTCTCGTGTAGCATCCGTCGTGCTTTGTATAGTTTTTCTTTGTGTGGTGACAAAATTTTTTTTCATTATTAAATATAGACTATAGTTTAGTTTTAGCAGCTTGGAACTTGGAATGAAGCAGTTGATGGCATGGTCATGTGACATTACATTTGACTGACTATATTAATTTAGAGTTTTTTTTTTATCCTGACGACTTTCATTGCGATCCTTTCGTTCTCTAGCCGAGAGGCATTTTTTTAATATTTATTAATTATTATTTAAAAAAAAAAAAGATGGCTACAAGTCTACAATCATGTGCAGTATTAACGTGACAAAGTAAAATACTATGCGCAAAGGGAGAAGAAAGAAAAATTAAAATGTGTGGGACTCCAAGTATCCAATGGAGTATTCTTTTTTTCTAGTTGTAACACAAAGGATTGTTATGCTCACCGAGCCATACATGCAATTTGTTAGATAATAATAATGGCATTACGATGAGAATCAGAAGAAAAAGGAAAAATTAATATCAGCTAATTAAAGGGCTAAACCTTGATCTTCTACTGTTTATGAACGTACTTGATTCAGGGGCGAAGCCAAATAAAACCGAGATAGAGGCAATTGCCCCAGCTGGATTTTTCTTCGTTACCTTAATTTACTACTAAATTTATTTAAATTTCTCAATATTTTTTATTTTTGCCCCAATAAAAATTCAAAAGACAAGGGACATAAACAAAAACTACAAAATAATTTTGATTTAGAGGAAAAAGTTCTTAATGGCGGGTTAATTTTCATTAGATGTATAATTTGTTATGCAGATTATTTTATGGAATAAAGAGTAATTTATAGGCGTTATATTTTTTATCCCACTAAGTATTCGGGGGTTGGCTCCGCCCTGACTTGATTCCTTTGTGTCGATATTTGAAGATCTAAATCTTAGTCATATCAGATTCAGCTCAAAAGCTTCATAGCTTTGACAGTATGTTGAGGGGGTGGTGGGGTGGTGGTGAAAGTGGAGTTGGTAATATATGCCTCTGAATTGCTTTAATCTTATTAGGCTGGCAAAGGAAATGGGGTGAGTGATCTTGGAAAGATTCCGAAGTTCCACATTGTGTGAAGATGTATTAAATTGCTTATATATTTCTATATTAGCTCTTTTCTCTTTTTTCTTGCTTCCCATGGATAATTTTGGATCAAAGTTGATCCCCCCTAATCTCGACTTCTTTTATTTTCTTTTGCCGGATATATTTGTGTGTTCAATTAAGTATCTATATAGTATACCGTATACGACTATATACAACTTGTATTTGCCTTATATTTCTTCCGTCCTATAATTATTATCCAGTTTGAATTTTCATTTCTAAGTAGAGAGTATACCTTTTGTTATGTAAGGATTTCAAAAACTAGCAAATCAGTCGACAACACTACGTATCCAACTGAATATTGCGACTCTTGAACTCTTTTAAGAAGCTTTTAAGTAAGACATAATCAATTAACTGGCATGTTTCATTTTTTTTTTATAATCCAAATTAGATTTTTTTTAAAAAAAAATTTTATGCATATAGAAAATCAACTAACTACTCCTACACAGACCGTACGATGCTTCAAAATAAGTACTGATCATGAGTTAACACAACCAAACATTTGAAGAGTCAACAATTTAGTTGACGATCACGGATGGTTGTCCTCCATTTTTTTTTTTCTGTGTCTTTAACCTTCATGGTATTTTCTTGAAGTAGTGTCGATCGATGAGCATATATAGTTGGTGGTGTACAGTAATTTGTTTGGATCAAATTGGTATCAGTCGTCGCAATGTATATGTCTCAGACCTATTTGAACACTGTATAGACGCTCGATTAATTCGGTCTCGTCTGAAGTTCGCTGATGAGATGATACCAGATCTAGATATGATATCTGATCATCAGGTTTAATGAAAACTGAATAACAAGCATTAAAAACTAATTTACTTTTCCCTGAAACGAAGAAGATTGTCATCATCAAGTTAAAAGAGGTAGCAGTATATTGATATCATCATCATCATCATTTAATAATGTCACATCCATTTATAGTACATTTATGTCTATCAATCAATAAATTAATTCTGTCTCCCGAAATACTTGTTGGGAGAACTTTGCCTCTCAAAAGGTACCTACCCGACTCGAATCCGAATTAGTCGGAACAATAACTCCAGATACCGGATGCGTATTACACTTAAAAAAAAAAATTCTCATGAACTACTCTATGCACTTTTAATAAACACACGAAAATGCCATTAAAATATGACTAATCAACGAAAGAAGCCTACTAAGGGAAATGAGAGTCGCTATTAATTTTTGAATACATAATCAGGGCCTTTTTGACCAATTGCCGCGTATTTGATTCGAGTATAGAAACAAAACAATGTTCATTCTTGCGATCTCTCTCCATGTAGGAAATCTTCAGCGTTCATGAACTTGGTCAAAAAGCAAAAGCGCAAAAAAGCATTATTCATCATTACTCTGGATGTCTAATGTTCCCAGTAGTCTCATTTTCAGTTCGCATATGCACACGAGCACACCTAAACTTACACAAGTAGTAGTATTAGCACCAAAAGTTACACTAAGAGTTTGTCGACAACCTTTACAAACTACAAAGGTAGCAAATTTATCTGTAGCTCTGTCAATGAAACTTGATCAGAGAAGCCCTGCCATCTCTGCAATTGAGTCGTGGACAGAGAGAATCCCAGTAGCAAGCACTTGGTGAATACATATCAAACAGTTGGACTGAACAAAAAACAGAATGATCATGTTAAAAAGGCTTTTCAGAGTCGAAAAATTATCCAATTAAGAAAATCCCTGATATAATTATTAAAGAGTCTCAATCCAACATCGATGTTGGGAGACTTTGAGCATCAATATATAAGCTCCATGAGCTACTCTCCTCATAGCCAATTGATTTTGAGGTGAAACCTCATGGGCTTCTGTATGGTATCAGAGCCACTCCGCCGACACTCGGATTCCAAAAAAAGCCCAACAAAAAAATAGGGCTGAGACGTGAGGAGGTGCCTAGGCTGAAAAAAATATGATAAGCCCAACCCAAAAAAATACGTTGGGCTTGTGGGGGAGTATTAGAGAGTCCTAATCCAACATCGGTGTTGGGGAGATTCTGAGTATCAATATATAAGCTCCATGAGTTACTCTTCTCATTGCCAATTGGTTTTGAGGTGGAACCCCATGAGCTTCTGTAATAATAAGATTTCAGCTCAAATCTACCTGTACTGGGGAGAGCTTGAACTGTAAGTAGCCCCACCAACAGAGTTGTATGGACTGCAAAAGGCAAAGGAAAATCAGTTTGCTGTGATACTATAAATTAAGATCATGCAAGAGCAACAGTTAGTTACCATGAAGAATATTTACCTGCATTTAGGACTGTAAGTTGGACTAGAAGGAGAATATGATGAAGAGGATGGAGTATAGGCAGGGGATGTGGGTGGAGAATAAGCTGGAGATGTTGAGCTGCAGAAAACAAACCAATAAAAATCAATGTCACGTTAATTAGGCAAGCAAATGCAATTTCAAATAGTGCATGGTTGCATGCATGCAGTTTGCTTAAATTAATTTGCAATCTTAAGACATATTGACCACCAATACACATGATTATAGATAATGCAATCAACGGGCCATTTTCTAGCAATAAATTAACAAAAAAAAGAATGGATATTCTACAAAAAGTGAGAGATATTTGTATACCTGTAACTCGGAGAGGAAGGACTGTATGATGGACTAGTCGGAGAGTACGAAAGCGAAGAAGCATATCTAACCGAAGAAGGATCATAACTGGGAGATGTAGGACTGTAACTTGGTGAGGTAGGGCTATAACCCGGTGATGCAGGACTATACGAGGGAGATGTGGGACTATATGAGGGTGAAGTGGGGTTGTAGGAAGGTGAGGTTGGGCTGTAAGTTGGAGATGCAGGGTTGTAGTTGGGTGATGTAGGGCTATAAGGGGTGTAAGTGGGAGATGTAGGGCTGTAGTTGGGTGATGTGGGAGAATACGCAGTACTAATGGTGGTGGGAGTGTATCCTAGCGACGGAGGATTATAGGTGGGAGATGTAGGGGTGTAGTAAGGAGATGTTGGAGAGTACCCAGTAGTGGGAGGAGTGTATGTTGGAGAGGTAGGACTATACGGGGGAGAGGTTGGATTGTAGATGGGAGATGCAGGGGAATAGGGTGGAGAAGTTGGGGTATAAATCGGGGATAATGGGCTATTTGTATAAGGAGATGGGGTGATATTTGTTGGTGATGGAAATGGCTGTATGTTACTAGTATAGGGGGAGAAAATGTTGAGATCAGTAGTGGTAGCTTGTGATGTGGTATAATGATTTGGACTTAGAATCGGAGTCATCATATTATGAAGATAGGGAGGTGTCATGTTCGGGAGATGGCCATCCCCCTCCATATAACTGGGAAGATTGATATCAATGACTTGCTTCAACATGTCCTCATTGAGAAGCAATTCGCAGTCTCCGGTGCCAATGGATGCAAGCTGGCCTAAAATAATGTGTTCGCTGACACCTTTGAGATAATCTGTCTCGGCATAAGCCGCGGCGTCCAGGAGTATGTCCACAGTTTCCTCGAATGAGCATCTCATTAAAGGACCAGTTTCATTGCGGTTGATTCCATGCCGAGTTATGGCCATCAGGTGACCTCTGTATGTCATGATCTCGCACAAGATTGCAAGGTGTCGATAGTTCACATATGACCCATCAAAAGATATCACAGCGCGCAACTCAGTTAGCAATGTCTTGCGAACCGCCTCGATTCCCAGAACTTCAATAACTTCAATCAAGTGATTACTGGTGGTTTTCTTTGCATGAACGTCTTCATGACACATAACTGCCAGAAGATTAACACCTTCAGTATCCAACGTCCACTCGTTTTTCATCTCAAATCCTCCATTGATCTCATCAAACTCTTTCTGCTTAATCTCCTTGAGGAATACCTTCCCGATGTCCGGGAAGCCCCGGAGAGGCATCACGTTAAGCAAGTTGCTCTCTAACTTTCCCAGGAATACATCATCCCCAACAGACTCATCCCTTACTTCATCCTTAGGAGCTTCATCATTGCGGATACGGATACGAATTATGAGCTTTTCAGCATTGTCATCACTGAATATACAATGGAGATCATCACCAAACTCTTGTTTAATTTTTTCTACAACTTCCCCCATACTTAAATTCTTAGCCAACATCACATCCCGATTCAACTCCATACGGAGCAACCAGCGAGACATCTTATCAGGATCAAACTCCTCATCTGGAATTTCATAATATGACTTGACAAAATCATCATCTTCTGGAATTATGGTACTCATGGGATCTGGTTCATACCAAATTTCTGTGGCTTGTATTACTCCCCTCAAAGTAGTGTATTCCAAAGCACATTGAACATTTCTTGCTCTCTCCATACTGGCGTCATTTGTAATTTTCGGGACAGGCTTTAGATACACAGAGAGAGAAGGTGTTTTTATTTTCTTTGCAACATTGATAATTTCCTTCAACCTAGGAACACCAAGAGTAACATTTTTTGCGCTCACACCAGCGAAATGGAAAGTATTAAGGGTCATCTGGGTTGCTGGCTCACCAATGGATTGAGCTGCAACACAACCAATCATTTCCCCGGGAGAAACCAGTGACTGCAAAAAGCGCGACTCTATTTCACCAACAACCCAATCCAATGCATCCTTTGTAAGTCTATAACCTTGCAAAACCCTTTTACTGGCCAAGGTACTACGAAGTAGCATGCCAAAGAGCTTAGTAGCGTTCTTTTGAGCTTCCTTGCTAAGAGCATCTTCACCCTGCACAACCTTGAGCCTTTCCTCCAACTCAGAAACACGGAACATTGCTCCCAATACATCCAGATCCGATGGCTATCGCAAGTCAATTTTAAAGGTCTTTTGTGCATTTGATATAAGCCTGTTGATATTCACTGGCAGAGGCAACATTTTATCACCTGAAGTAGCAATCTCTTTTGCAAGTTTGAGCCTGTCGTCTTTAAGTTTCTGAACTTCCAAATCACACAGATCTCGGATTTCTGCTGAGAATTTTAAATCATTAGCTGCTTCTGCTGATATGTAATCTGGATTCCAATCTATGTTCGCCAGTTCAAATTTAAACATGGAATCAAATTCAGGATTTGAGAGTGTCAAAGAGTCAAGCTTTTGAGATTCAACCCATACAGCATCCATGCCATCTTCCCCATAGAGAAACTGAATCACATCCCCAAGAGAATTCCTCACTGTACCATCATACTTAACCATGATATCCTCCATGGCCTTCACTAATCGCCTTTGGATGTAACCTGTCTCAGAAGTCTTCACAGCAGTATCAATAATGCCTTCCCTACCACCCATAGCATGGAAGAAGAACTCTTGTGGAGTCAACCCACGTAAGTACGAATTCTCCACAAAACCACGACTTTCTGGTCCGAAATCATCCTTGGTAAAATGAGGCAGCGTCCTGTCAATGAATCCAAAGGGAATTCGCTTACCCTCAACATTCTGTTGGCCCACACAAGCAGTCATTTGAGAGATGTTGATGAAAGTTCCCTTCGATCCAGCTGTAACCATTGCCTTGAGATTGTTACTTTCTGATAAGCTCTTTTGGGCACTACTTCCTGCATCATCACGTGCTTTGTTCAACTCCTGCAACAAGCAAATAGGATTATATCACGCAAACATATTAAAGGAAAATTAGTAGAAGTGCATTTGAGATAGTCATTACCTTGTTTACTCGATTTTCAAAAGTTTCCATCATAGTTCGACCAGCTTCACGCTCCAGTTTCTTCTCCTGAGCATCCTTGATGAGTTTTTTCACTTCATTCTTTGCTTCTGAGATACGTATATTAACTTTTTCCATTGTAGCAGCATCAGCAATCGTATCCCCAATTCCAACACTAAAACCATTCTGCAGAACCCAGTAGTTGACAAGCCACTGTGTATGTCCAAGAAATTTCTGTGCTGCATCAGGACCAACTTCTTGCCAAATAACATGAATAAGACTTCCAGCAGAATTTCCGAGTGTCTTCTTGCATAAGGTGCCAGAAAGCAACTCCCCTTTCTCAATACAAACTTGAGTGTCTCCGAGAGTAATGGGTCCTTTCTCATTATCGTCATCCCCTGTTGCTGTTCTGTGGTAATTTATTTGTCTTGGTATGACCGTCCAAAGAGGCCTGGGCTTCAAAATGGCCGGAGCAGGTACCTTTCCATCAAAATCTTCCCACCACATCATGATGTTCATGAACACATCCTGTACCATAAAGACCAGAAGGACTTAATCACAGTCAGCTCTGAATAACTGGGGAAAAATATTAGGAAAAAAGAAAAAGAAACAAAGCAAACACATTATATGTACCTTCTCAATGAAAGTATCTCTCTTGGTTATCAGAAGGCTTCCTAAAAGGGTATCCTGCACGATTCCCATAACTGGCCGATTTGATTGAGGTGACACTATGCATTTGGGAACCATCATAAGCTCTTGAACTTCTGCCCTCGCTTCAGGTGACTGCGGAACATGCATGTTCATTTCATCTCCATCAAAATCAGCATTGTACGGTGAAGTAACAGAGAGGTTCAAGCGGAAAGTTGAAAATGGCATTATCTTTATTCTATGCCCCATGATAGACATTTTATGCAGACTGGGTTGCCTGTTAAATAACACTAAATCACCATCAATTAAGTGCCGCTCCACCTTATATCCAATCTCTAGATGTGGTTCTTTCTGATAACGAAGATCAAGCCTCTGCCCATCATCCCTTATGATGTACTTGGCACCGGTTTTCCCTGGTGGCGGATTTGGGCCATGCTCAACAAGTTCCTTCAGTCTTTCAATGTTGAATGGAGTCACAGTTTCTGGATATGTGAGATTTAGAGCAATACTCCAAGGCACGCCCAGTTCATCGATGTTGATGGTAGGATCCGGCGTAATCACGGTCCGAGCAGAGAAATCAACACGTTTCCCCATCAAATTACCTCTGACACGACCTTCTTTTGATTTCAATCTGCAACATATTGATTTAATAGGTCTGCCTGATCTCTGTGTAGCTCTTGGTTGCCCTGGCAGTTCATTGTTAAAGTATGTGGCCAGATGGAACTGCAACAACTGAGAAAACTCTGAGATTATATGAGGAGGCGCATCTCTGTGTAGCCTCTTTAGATTCTCATTATGCCTGATTATCATAGCCAATTGATGGGTCAAATCATCCTCACTCCTTAAAGAAGTGTCCATCATAACAGAAGGTCTAACTGAAGGTGGAGGTATTGGAAGAACTTGAAGGATCATCCACTCTGAAAGAGAATATTTTGGATTGAATCCTAATAATTCACAGTCTTCATCGCTTATTCCCTTCAATATACCAAGAACCTTTTCAGCAGATAGATACTGTTTTCGCTCAACAGGTTCAGGCAACTGCTCTTCTTCGTCATTTTTCTTCTTCTGAACCTTGTACTCGGCAACCATTCTCATACCATCAATAGAAATTCTTGGTTGCAGAGCACCACAGCCGCTCCTCCTTGATTTATTTACGAATTCATCGGAATCTTGAAATTCCCCCTCAATTGCATCTCCGCTTTCACACTTATGTATGTTTTGGCAGGCAAGCAAGATCCTCCTGAGTCTATTCTTAGGATTCCTTATCCTCTTTGCTTCTTTCACCTTAGTATTGTTCTCCTCATCAGCTAATATTTTGGAGCAGTTAAAGCAAACGCAACGCATAATACCAATGTTGAACATAGGCTTCGCCAGCTCAAGATGGCCAAAGTGCCCCGGGCATTCTGCCATACTACCATTACAGGTCTCACACTTCACCTTCCGATCAACCGTTCCCATCCGCGGATCGCTGAGACCGCCCGGCTTCGGCTTCCCCCTCTCCGTCGTCTCACTATGAACAATATTCACCACCGACATCCGTCGGATTTCATCGGGGCTAAGCACGCCGAACTGAACCACCCGGACTTTAGCGACCTCCGCCGGCGAGTACGGGAATTGTATATCCATGGCAAAGCAATTTTAGGGTTTTCACCAGTTGACAATTGTACCAAATCGTTCTTTAACAAAACAAAGAAAGAAAGGCGGTTCTTCTCTTTATAATTGAATTAATTCTGTTCCCGGTGTTAATTTTTGTTTTAATTTTTGAAATCAAATTCAATTACGTTGCAGGTCTAAAATCTCTGTCGCCTCTCTCCGAGAGGAGGAAGAAGACGAGAGAAAACTAATTCGATGAATCAATTTGATAATGAGGATTTTGAGGCACGGGGTCTGTTTAAATAGACAGGAGCAATTCGGTTTGTCGGCCTCCCTAATAATGGGCCAAGATTAAATTCCAACGAAAAAACCAGTCTGAGATGGGCCGCCCACCGCCTCATTAACCGATACAAGCCACCCTATATAATCAACTCTTACCATTTGATGTGATGTGGACTAAAACATAATTCCTCAAAACTTCAGGGGGGACTATATGCAAATTTAGCCAAAGTTGTTATCTTATCGTCGGAGATCTCTGCCTTGTATCGGAAACTCCAAAACCTCGTCGGATTTCGCAATTATTGTTTTTCAATTCATCCAGAATTCGGTCCTCCCCTCGGGAATACTAGCCTAATTTAGCAGTGGTGAGTCGTTGCAATCATGATAATGATTTGTATTTCGTTATTCAGAGAAGGAAAATGGCATCTTGTTCCCCCCTTTTGCCATTGTAATTCCTTGTACTGGGTTTTGTATTTTCGTAGTTTGATGTTTCTCTTCGACTTTTTTTTGGTGGAAAGTTGTAGTTGTGACCAATTTAGTGGTATATAAACCTTATCCAGTCATATTGTTGCGGTAATATAGTAGAGTTTAGGGTTTTGGATCTTGTTACATTCCAGCTTTATTATAGATGAAGCTTCTGTTTGAATATGCATTTGATATTTTAGGTGTGCTTGGAACACTAATATTATATGGTTACAGTTAATTGTGTACATGCGCAAAAAATTTCTTTCTCAATCGGAACGAAGCTTCAATATCGGTGTCGTTAATTTTTTTTCCTCCTTTTTTTTTTTTGGTATCTTTGGGTCCATTTAGGAAATGAGATAATTAGTTAAAAATCTTTGCTCTTTGGAGTAGCTGTAATCTCCTTTCGTATCCTTCTTTGTGGAAGGAGCCATGCTTGTTTCTGTTAAAATGGTTGGTGACAAATTGATGCATACGTTTGTGAAATATTGCTTGATTTTTATGTTTAGGTGGGGTATATCTATGAGTTTGTGGTTTGAATATTTTGGCAATAGCATATCTTGCATGATTTTATCCCTGTGATCTCATTTGACTATTCATGATGTCGTCTCAAATGTGATCATTTGACCATTTCTTTTGATTTCTGTTAAGTTAGATGTTGATTCCCCCTTAATTACATTGGAAGGGAGTTTGCAGGTGTTTACTTGACATTTTATTTTGCAGATAACCTTGTGCAGTGTGCCCTTGTGTAGTGTGCCATTGAGAGGTTGATATGTGATAAGAAGCTTTATCTTATCTTGTACATCCTCAACGAATCTTTAATTTGATACTAGGGAAGGGAGACTTGTGGCTTAATCCTCGTGAGGTTAGTAGTCTGCTCCTGGGGACGGTGCTTTTGTTTTTAGACTTACTTGCTTAAGCAGGCAACATTCAAACAACTAGACTTCCTTACTCGTGTTCGGTCTGTCATTCGATGTGAAATTTTTAGGTTATAATCAAAACCATTTTGGAGTCTTATATAGCTTATTAGAAATATCTGGAGACTATCATTTTTTATTCAGAAATCCATGTGATCACTCACTGAATCGGCCTACATTATAAAAACAGCAAAGAAGGGTTCTCTTGGTGCATGTATTTGTTTTTTTTTTTTTTGTCATGAGTACTATATCTGTGTAAAATATTGCATATGTTCGCCTGCAAATGTGCGCCAAAAAAATTGTAAAATCGATACTAAGTTTGTAAAAGAAATTGTATGGGCACCCTGCAAATATGCAAAAGAAAATAAAAGAGATTACAGTATTTGCAAATCCAACTGTTATGGAGTTACATCTCTTTGGATTTTTTCCAGTGCCTGAAAGCTTTCGTATAGATCTATTACCATTCCAAACATGCATAGTGATATGGAGCTTCAGATCCACATGCTGGAGCAAGAAGCTTATCGCGCCATTCTCCGTGCTTTTAAAGCACAATCTGATGCGCTTACGTGGGTATGTGGTCATCCTATCTTGTTTCATAAGTCTTTGAGCAATCTTTTCATTATTGACCTTGTTCAGATGCTCTCAATATATTCTCCCAGGAGAAGGAAGAATTGATAACTGAGCTGAGGAAAGAACTCCGAGTGTCAGATGATGAGCACAGGCAATTACTGAGTAAGGTTAATGATGATGGGCTTATCCAGCGAATTAGGGAGTGGAGGAAGGCAGCACCGAGCATGTCTCAGCCCATTCAAGATCAACTACAGGCTCCAACTGATTTAACATCTCGAAAAAGGCCTAGAACATCTCAGCCAGTACAAACTCAATCAGTTGTGGGAACCAAACATCCATCAGCTTTGCCTGCGAAAAGGGGCCCTGGTACACCAACTCTCAGCCGAAGACATCAGCATGTGCGTCGTTATCTGTAGGAATGGTTCCTAGCTTTATTTGTGAAACTGATTATATCCTTGCTAACCTTTGTTTGCTTCTCCCTTAACGTTGCAGTACCAACAAAGCAACCATGAATCGCCATTCGCTGATGAATATGTTGACAAAACAAGTGATTCCTCATTATTGGGGAGGAAAGTTATGAGAAGGTGGTCGGAAGATAACAACTTCTATGAAGCCATTATAATCGACTACGATGCAATAAAGGTTTCTCATAAAGGACTTTGCACTGCTCTATTGCTGATGTTTTCTTTTATTTCCTCTCTAGAACAAAAACCGTGCGGAGTGAGAAAGTTTTCTTATTTTGACCTTGATGAAAGTGGTAGAAATATGAAATGGTTACACTAGGGAAAAAGTTGTCATGAAAGTTTCTGGATTCTTGAGGAAAAGAAATTTGAGAAACATCTCTTATGTTTTTCTAGTAATACTTGACCTACACCAAATATTTGTGATTAAATTTCTACTTGTTTTTTCAGGGGATGCATGCTCTTGTTTATCAAATCGATACACCAAATGAGAGTAAGGAATGGGTTGATCTCAAGGAGGTGAGATCCACAGTTTTCAGTTTTTCATCATACATTTTCATTCTTGTCTTACCATTTTGAACTCTCTAAATTGGCATACTTATGTACACATTTCTGCTGAGATAAGGTCAAAGTTTTGCATGGCCTCTTTTACTGCATTTGAGCTACTTATGGCTTGCCTTATTATCTGTTTTCTGATTGACATTGCTCAATTTAAATTACTGAGTTGATTTGCTTTTTGCGCTCATTGCTTCTCTGCATTGCGCTACGACATTAAGTTTCTTTTGTTCTCATGACCGTTGCCGTTGCAGATTCCTCCAGAAGATATTCGTTGGATTGGTGATGATCCGGTGATTTCTCGACAAAACGCTCTTAGTGCTGAAAGAAGTCGAGGATCCTCACGAGATCAACTCAGAAATGATTCTAGGCCATCTCAGAATGGAGCAGTAAAGAAGGCTTGGGGTGAATTCGAAATACTACACACAGACACACTTTTATGGAAGGTGTTGGAAAATGTAACTCATTCAAATCTGGCAGTCTTATATGTTTGGTTCTCATCTGTTCTCTTATATGTTTGGTTCTTGCAGGTGGAGAAGGTGGTTGAAGCTAGTCATCCTGACCTTCGCGAGATTGAAAAAGCCAAGAAAATGCTGGAGGTTGTAAATTTGGAGGGGTTTTCAAAATGTACTTCTTATCTTTTGCTTTCGTAGTTGTGAGACTAATTTGATTTTTGGTGCAGGAACATGAACAATCATTGGTTGAGGTGATTGCAAAGCTTGCAGAAGCTTGTGATGATGGAAGTGGTAATGAAGCGAGTCTCACTTGGTTATTCTTCTGCACTGCAATCTGAGCATTTAAGCTACTTTATTGTGGATTTCGATTTTGTTTTAGTTTTTTGTTGTCCCCATTTATTTCGATTTTGTTTTTGTTTTTCTGTTGTACCCATTTTCATATATGGCATGCAAATGAAAATCACTGTGCTCATGTTTCCTGTTTCTCCAGTTTTAAGACGTGATGTCCTGGCGATGTTTTAAGCTAGCGTTTTTGTTTTTGCTGTGTTTAACTTGTGTGGCCTTTTCTTTTTTTTTTCTTTTTTTTGTGTAATAGATGGTGATAAACAGTACTCGCGTGGACACATTGCGCCAGACATGAGACGAAGAAGTACCAGTAGTTATGATATTACCAGAGATCATATACCACAGCAAGATGATGAAGATGAGGTTATGGTTTTGAGATGAGGTTACCAGAGATCACTTCTACCCGTTCTGTTTCTAGCTTCTGACATTGTTTTAGTCCTAGTTCACTACAAAGTGTTTCAATCTCATAGATTTAGTTAACTCTAGTATAGAACAGTTGTTTGGATTTGTAAAGAATTATGTGATCGGGTCACAAGGCTATATAGGTTTGTTTGTTATTCATGAATCATGCTCAGACTTGTCATTTTGTTAAATAAATCCGTGTACAGACCATGTCAAATTGTGAATTGACTTCTGGAGTTTGTCGACTTTCTCGTCGTATTGTCTAAGTCGACGACAGAGTCGACGAAACTTATTTCAACGAAATAAATCTTTTATTAACTTCTATATGAAAGGAAAAAAAAACAAATGAGTAAACGACAAACACTATTGCAGCATGAAGAAATTATAAAAAAATAAAAATGTTATAAAATAATATATATTTTTCCCACCTCAAAATCCTCAGTTTTGTTAAGTAGACAAAAAAGTAACTAAAAAATCTTCAAAAAATAAAGAAGAAACATTTTGAAAGTTTTAAGATGATAGAATATTTTAATTTATTATCGAACAATAATAGCTTAAAAAAATTGTGAAACTGAGTAAAACATTGAATTTTGTTTTTTGTTGGCTTTCCCGTTGCTTGGCGAACGAAATAGCCTAGATACAATGAAAATCTATAAATTTTGACGTTAGTTAGTTTTCTCGTCGCCATGGCTAAGTGGTCGAAAACACCGACGGAAATAATTTCAGCAAAAATAAATTTTTATTAACTTTTACATGGATAAAATTAAATAAGTTGACTACTAACATTAATATCATCTAAAAATTTATAAAAATTGTACTCCCTCTGTCCCAAAATTATTGTCCAGTTTGAGATTTCACTTTTAGTACAAATTGAACTAAAAATGAAAACTCAAACTGGACAATAATTATGGGACGGAGGGAGTATAAATTTATGGATTTTCTCCGTCAAAATCGTTTTTTAATGTAGACTTAAAAATCAACTCAAAAGTTATCATCAATAGAAATAATCATTTGCGAATTTTACAATGATAGCGATAATTAAATTGGTTTCCAAACAATAATAACTTTAAAAATCATAAAAATGATTCAAAACAAGTCACTATAGGATTTTGGGTTTTGCTATCAATGCATATCCCAATGGTTGTTAAAATTAAATAAGCGACTTTCAGAGTTTGGCATGGAGATCTCCATCTTGACGCCAAACTGAACGAGCAAAAATACACAGAGAGAGAGAGAGAGAGATTCGTCGACTTGTGCGTCGGGTTCACTATATCAACACTATAGTCGACTAATTTAAGTTTCAAAAACAATTGTAGTTAATGCAAAACTCGATGAACAAAAGCAACAAAACCTAAGTTCGTCAACTTGGCCATTGGGTTCATTATCTTGACTTTTTATTAAGAAAATTGAGGTTAGCCGTGTCGGATTCACTAGCTCCTTGTAAGTCGACGAAACAAAAACAAGAAAAACTTAGACCAAAAGCATAGATCGATATAAATTAACGTGAATTAACGTGAACGTACATGCTTCAATTAAACCAAACCATAAGAGAAATGATGAGTGCCCAACTGCCCATCCTAGTTTAGGCAATGTTACAAACATGTCATGTACCTGCATATTTGCACACACAATATGCGCGCACAAAACCAGCCTCAAAGCTCAGCTGAAGTTAATGTACTATTAAGCAATAGTATGTCTACAGAATTTGATATATACCATTCAGGTTTTTCTTATCTTACTAACTAAAAAATCACAATACTGACATCTCGAGAAGTCACAAAAATTTCAACCCTCAACTTGCAAACTCAACTACTCCCTGATTGCCACATTATGCAGCAAAATCAAAATGTACACTAATATATTCACTGAGACTAGTACGTAGTTTCAAGCTGTATGTATGTCGTCTGTACACAAATCACAGCCTAAGATGTCAAAGTTCTAAAACTCAATGATCATCAACAACACAGCCTAATCACAGATATATCAATTCCAAAAAAATGAATGAATTAGGTCGCTACAGTAGTATTTAAAGCGTCCATTTCAAAAGTCGAGAGTGGAACCTGAATCACCCTGGTTCCTGTTCACCTTGCAAAGACTGAATGAACTGAACAATGAGATCAACACTCCGGGAATCATACTCAGGAGTACCCTCCAATTGGTAGTGAGTGGCTCCCTCAATCAGGAAAGTTTCGTTGCGCCCGGCAGCAGTTTCTAACTTGTTTTCGAGTTGTTTCACGGTGGCGCAGCAATCTTTGGTGCCCATTACAAACAGCTTTGGCTTCGTGGATTCAAGTATGGCTCTGTGGTGCCTTCCAAACAGGATTGAAGCAGCTAAACCAAAAGGGTACCCCAAGCTCACATATCCAACCACTTCCTCTATCTTGTCTACTGCAGATCCAGCAATTGCAGCCCCTGTAGCAATGCATTGTCAACCGTAGGATTAAGAAAGCATCAATACATATATATGTAGCTTTTTTTCCCCTTATCATCAGAGTTTTAATAGTAATTTTTCAAACCTCCATATTATCACAGAGTACCAATATCCCTTTTCGAAAAAACAGAGTACAGTATCCCTTTTAAAAGAAACAGAGTACGGTATCTCTGTTGCAGAAACAAAAAGGAAACAATTCTAGAGCTCAAGAAATCAAAGAAACATAGAAGAATATCTACTATAATTCTATAACAAATAGCGTTAAGGATTGAAGTTCATCAATTTTATTCAAGATCAACAGAAAATGGTGGGCAAAAGATGGCAAAAAAGTATTGTTATAATTCAAGTACAGAGATCTCAAAATTCAACAATTATCTTATACGGCCACAAATCATTCTTGAAATCCGAAAATAAAACCCCACGAAAATAATTATACTGAGGTTTGCTTGCATCAATATTTAACTCAGGAAGTTCAGGAGTAGACTTTTCTATTTCGGTTCCCATGATACATGCAAAACTAATAACTTCTCCAATGGCTGCAAAACACAATTTCGATATCGACATCAAGTAAGCAGATTCAATCTTTAACAAAATCTTTAAACTATATAATCAAAGAAGAACTCCATTGATCAGATTTTGGCATTCTGCCGGGAATTGATGGGGAAAAAAAAAACTCACCAGCGGATGAACCGACGAGGAGAATGCGATGGGTGGCGAGGGTTTCGGAGGCCCAGTGACAGACGGCGATGACGTCCTCGATTTCGGAGGACCCGCACAAGGACGGGCAGCCGGTGGATTTTCCGGCGCCTCTCATGTTGAAGGTGACAGCTGTGAAGCCCCGTTGGGCGAGTTCCAGAGCAATTCCTTTCATGCGGCCTTGTCGACCTCCGAGAATGGTGTAAGGGTGAACCAGAACAACTACCAGAATGTTGTCGGCGGCGGACGGAGGCGTCTCCCGCGGCATGTAGAGCCGGGCGTCAAGAATGGCGCCGTCGCTGGTCTCAACGGTGGTTCGAATCGGCGCCATGCTGGATGTATGTAAGTAATGCTGCTCAGTGGAAATCCCGAGAAAGATTGTTGCGAGGGAGATTGATCAATTGCTGCGGAGAATGGAGTCAGTTGCAATTTCTTGAGTTTGGGAATTGGTGTGAATGAATGAATCAGTTAGTTTGTTATGTGTGTGTGTGTGTGTGTTCGTTTCTTTTCGTGTTCGGGATTATTTTCCCGGGCGGTTTTTTCATGTTCTTGACTTGGGCATAAATCAAATAGTACTATTAAAATTACGTGGCTGGAAAAATATAGTAAAACGAAAAACTTTCTGCTCAAACTGCAAAAATGTATTTATAGATTGTTTTGCTAATTGTCATGTATCCAAAATAGCTGAAAGAAAATGATAGTTACTTCAAAATAGTGACAGAGCCAGACCCGATTATTCGGAGGGTCGATTATAACTAGAAATTTTTTTTTCCCAAAAATATGTAAAAATTCTAAGGTATTTTTTTTAAAAAAATTGACCATCGCAGAGTCGACAGACCCCCTTTGCTCCCCCATAGGTCCGTCCCTGCTTTAAAAAAAAAATGATAGTTTCTTCGTAATCATGCCTACCAATAAAACAAGATCAGCCCCCAGATTATATATGCATACAAATAATATGTCAAAAACATAGCACCCTTCTCTCCCCCGAATATTTTATTTTTAATTTATTTTACCTTGATCCCAAAACTGTATGATTTTTATTCAACAAACAAGACTCTTGGTTGAAATAAAATAGTTTGAAATCTACTTTTAGGAATGGGTAAAGGCACGCACTAACGGAAGTAACATTAATTCTAACCCAATACCAACCGTTTATTGATGAGAAATGATGTTTGGGCTATTTGAAGAACTATAAAGAGTGTAGAGAATGTAACTAACTACATTGAACGAAAAATCAGTCATCACCCAGAGAAAATTCACTGTTATTTCTTTAATCTGTATGTTGATTGGCTTCTTGCATTGAACTACATATAGCCATGCTGGTGGGATTACAATGAAATTTACTTTCAAATATCTTCCTGACACTAACTAAGCAATTTGTTGAGTCAATCTTGGGCCATTTAACACACTAATCTAAGTCAAAAAAAAATGACACAATTATACTTGTTGACATAAATCATTGGGCTAAACAACCAGCAAATTACTGAACATTTGTGCATTCAGTAAATTCTTAGATAGTATTCCCCAAATAATCATGCATATATATACACAAACTCAGAAGCGAAGAAACCCGGAATTCAATGTTTCACAGGCCACAAGGGGCTTGCACCCTTCAAACAAGTAAATGTTGACCTTCAATAGTACTCAACGTGCCCGTCTCAAAGGCCTACAGTTGAACATGATTACTGTTTCCCTCTTCACAGAGAAATCAGAAAAGGCCTCAACGCCAAGCGCAAGCCCTTGATTTACAAAGATAGAATGAATTCGACAATGAGATTAACCATCTGAGCATCATAAGCAGGACCCTCCATTTGGAAGTGACTGGCACCTTCAATCAGGTAAGTCTGGTTCCGGCCAGCAGCATTTTTCAGCTTGTTCTCTAGTTGTTTAACACTGGTGAAACCATCTCTTGTGCCCATCACAAACAGCTTTGGCTTTGAAGATTCAAGTATGGCTTTATGATGCCTTCCAAACAGAATCGAGGCAGTCCAACCAAAAGGGTATCCCAAGCTCACATACCCTACCACTTCTTTTATCTGATCTACAGCAGATCCAGCAATTGGTGCCCCTGTTGCCCACCATTTGAACATCATAAAACTACTACTACTCTGTGATAGAAGGAATATAATTGGCTTTGTACAGCGAGCCAAAAGAAAAAATCAACTTTTTTTCAAACCATTAGGATCTAGCAGTGAAAACTTAATTGATTACAGCATTATTGAGATAGATCATAGAGAATTCGGAACTAAAAAATTTTGGGGGTAAAATTTAGCATAACAGTCAAACATCATACTCAATTAATCAATTTTCTCTATGCTACTCTTGAACCAATTTTTCTTATGAGGTTGAAGCAGACCAGAGCATTTAATGAGAGGGAATTGGAAAAAGGAAAGTTAATGTAAACCTACCAGCTGAAGAACCGACGAGAAGAATGCGATGGGCAGAGAGATTTTGGGTTGCCCAATTGCAGACGGAAATGATGTCATTGACTTCGGAGGATCCGGTAATGGAAGGCCTGCCGGTGGATCTTCCGGTTCCCCTCATGTCGAAAGTGACAGCTGTAAAACCCCGATTAGCCAACCCTCGAGCCATACCTTTCATCAGACCTTGGCAACCTCCCAGGATGGAGTAAGGGTGAACCAGCACAATTACTAAGCCGCTCGAGTCTCCTCCTTCTGCGGCTGCGGACGGTGGCTCCGGCTTGAAAATTCGGGCATCGAGCTTGGCACCATCGCTCGTCTCGATGGTAGAAAACTTGCTGGATGTACTACTAGTCATTTTGGCCCGGTGAAGATTTTGCAAAAGAAACAAATTCGTTGGCGTTTTTATTAAAGGACTTGAAAGTCGTGCTTTGGGGAATGATTTAAAAATTTCTTTGCTTGATTTGTCGTGTGCCTTTGTGTGTAGAGTTTCTTTTCTTCTCTATTTTTTCTTTCTAATTTCTGTGGTTAGGTTTAATGGTGTGAAATAGTAAGACTCAACTACCAGCAATTAAATGAAGGTCATCAGAGGAACAAGACTTTCTGCAGTTTGGTTTCCAACTTCTGTTGAATTTCTGAAGAAAGAAAAAAAAAAAAAAAAACGTGTTGTTATAGCAAAACAAAGGCTGGCTGGCAGGATACATTCTAAAATGTTGCATTAGTGGTTGTGGCAGAAGGGTTGAAGTGAACACCATTCCATGTCGAGAAAATGACTAAAACCGAAATCAACTAATCCCAGGCTGCAATTAGAATCACCCAAAATACAAAACGCTAGATGAATCTGTTTTCCACCAGCATCACTTTCTTGATCTTTTTCTTTTGTGGTTTGTAGCAACTGATTCGCTTTCTTTTCCATCTCCCCGGTTCCGTTTACCGGTCACTGGAGGAGGTGTTGCAGGACCACCTTTCTTTGGTGGCCTCCCAAGTGATTTCTTCACTGGGCTACTAGCAGTACCTTTTTCCTTCGTGGACTTGGCTTCTGAAGTAACCCTAGTCGAAGAAGCTTGTTCTTTCTTTCCACTGGACTTTCCAGTCTCGTTTTTCTTAGGCTCTGATCCACCTCCTTTAGTAAGTGAAGAACTCTTTATTGCATCTAAAGATGCGCCGTTATTTTTGGAGGAAGAACTTTGCTTCATTCTGTTCAAGAAGGTAGCTGCACTACGTTTCTTTGGATCCGTGTTTGAATTTTTGCTCTTATTTTCACTTTTGGGCAGCTCCAGTTGCTGCAAAGATGACCCTGCTCCCTTCACTTGGCTTTTCTCTGAAATTTGTTTGGAACTTGGGTTGTTGCCAGTAACGGCATTCTTGCCATTCTTCTTCACGTTGTTTATGGTTACCGAACTAAATCTGTCTCTTGATCTCTTCTTAGTGATTCTTGGTTCCTCTGTCTTAAACAGTTGCTTTGAATCGGGAACGCCTTTCTCCTCCCCCAACTTCGATGTTGTTTGCTCTTTCTTCTTATCAGATCCTGATGATGATGCCGTCCCTGATGCTTTTGCGGCAATGGAGCTGCGCTTCCGGCAAAATATCAAAGGGCCTCCTAGCTTAGGTTTCAGAAGCAGAGATTCAGATTGTTCAGAATTTTCTTTTTTAGGCAGCAGGGACAAGGAAGATGTTCTCTGCAATGAAGATTGCTTGTCGGATGAAGAATCTGACTTGGCAGCGATTTTCTGAGTCATCTTACTAGATATGAGATCCCGAAGCTTGGTTGCTGCGACGAATTCAGTACTTGTCTTACCGAAAAATACCATGGCATTATTGACCAGTAGTAGTAGATCGCGAAAGAACTTGAGGTGACTGTCTGAGTATGCACCTTCTTTAACCCTTGTGTGAACTGTTTCCAGGTCGATATGTTGCCGGATCATGTTCTTGTAGTTTGAAGTTTCCTGCAATGCATTATAAAGTTAGAAAATTCAAACACCAAAAGAGTTAACATGTTGCAAATGTGCTTAGTGTTTCAAAAAAATTTAATTAAAAAATCAGTCTTAAAAAAAAAAAAGAAGGGCAATGATAGAGACAATAAATAGAAATTGACTCAACCAACTTATTAAGGGTAGTTAAATATTTATACATATGTCATACACTCACTATCCTATTTCACCATCATATTTTCGGAAAATTTTAACAGGAAATGTGTTTGAATTTGAACTCTTAAATCGATAAACCTGTAAAAGTAAGTTTGAGTCGTGGACGATTATGATCCATTCTATATATATTTTTTTTGCAAATTTTCTGTATAACAATTATTACTCTTTTTTTCTATATATTAATTTCCAAAAAGACACTCTATGTCCGTCTATTCTAAAATAATTGTCCTATTTTTAATTTTTATTTTTAATATTATTTGTACTGAAAAAGGAAATGTCAATTAAAAAATCAGTTTAAGACGAAATGAGAATAACATATTAAGATTAATGAAAAAAGATTAAAATATGATTTAAATTTTATAAACAAGAACCGATCGATTTTAAAAGGAGCAAAAGGTTATTAAAAAAAGAAAAAATATTGGATACAATTATTGTATCCTTATTCTTAGTGCAGAAAGTATTAGTACCCAAATTTTGTTACTAAAACTCCAATAGAGGATACCACTATCCCGAAATAAATATTTTACCCTATTTATTGTGTCAATACATAATATTTTTTCATTAAAAAATGATGCAGAATATCCAAACTCATAAAAATGATAGCATCCAACAAGATCTATGTCTGAATTTACTCAATTGAACTAAACAGGTAAAAAAAGGGAAAAGGCATGACAGAAGACCTACGCCCTACGGAGTCTTCATATACTCTACAATTGTAATGTACGCATTTCTGACGTCATGGTCCCCACAAAAACTAATCCTATAAATGAATATTTATCGCCAAATACACAGAGAAAACGAAAAAAAAAAACAAATTTTCTCAAAAAAAAAAAGAAAAGAAAAGTAGAGATTTACCTGACTGTCGAGCCGGCGCGAGAAAACTAAGCCGAGCTTGTGACGTTTCAAATCCTCCAGAAAGTCGATCAGCGGCTGACATTCAATTGAGCCTTCGATTTTTACGGCTGGAGATTTACACTTCTTTTCTACGTCGCAGCTCCCGCGGGGCAGCTGATGACTATCTCCGTCTTCCCTCGATTTTGTCGCGGAGCTTTGCACGTCGGAGCAATCTTCCTTAGCCGTCGTCGTCGCCGCCTCCTCCTCTTTCCCGCCCCCACCTCCTCCTCCGTCCTCCTTCGACTCAGCCACCGATTCCACTAACTCGGGCGAGTCACTCACCGATTCCGGTTCGATTTTCACTTTCTGCTGAACCAGTTCTGGGTCTTCTTTTTCCACGCTATCTGAGCTTCCGTAACACGAATCTTCCTCCCGAACCGGCTTCTCCACTCCGGCCGGTTCAGTTTCTTTTCCCTCCCCCGTTCGATCCGATTCTTTCGCTCCTTCCTCCATGTTTCCCTCTCTTCCAGCATTTTCGTCATTAATCCTCCGATCAGTCACTCTATCGTCGTTAGCCGATTGCTCGTCCTTGTCGGAAACTGGTTCCCCGGCGACCGATAACGGAGACTTGTCCGGTTCTTCTTTGACGTCTCCCATAACTTCCGATTCGATACGATCACTCTTTGCATCCGCCTTCACACTTTTACTAAACAGATCTGATGATTTTTTTTCTCCTTTTTCACTGTTACTCCGCTCTCTATCTTCCTTCATTCTCTCCACTTTCGATTGCAACGACCTGTAATAATCATCCACGTCGTAGGAAAAAAGATAACAAAAAACGTTAAAAAGGAAAACGACGCCGGAATAGTGTTTCTGATCGGATGGAGAAAATAGGATGCATACACGATAGAGAGATCGTAACGTTCAACCTCGCGGCGGAGCTCGGCGACACGAAGCTTACGCAGCTCTTCTAGTAGAGGTACTGATTTATCGGTGGCGACTATGTCGCCGTCGACGTCGCCGCTTCCGGCGCCGGCACCGGCGCCGTCGGAGCAATCACTCTTATTGTCCCCGACGAGGAGGCGGTTGCGGGTGAAGAATCGACGGGTAAGATGTAAGTACTTCTTCCGGCAGCTTCCCGGCGTTAACAGAAGCGGATTGGGAATAGAGGAGCGCTTCTGGATTTCGGCGGCGACGGACTCCCAGTTGTTTGTGCCGTAGCGGTTGACGGCGCATGCTAGCAACAATTCCTCCCATGTCCCCCACTTTGAGTCTTCTTCGCCTTTGTCTTGCTTCTCCTCCGTCATCTCCACCTGGTGCTCGGATTTGATATGGTTGTCGGCGATGCCGTTGGGTTTGGCCATGATTTTTTTTTTTTGGATAAGAAAAAAAAAAAAGTGGCGGTCTGTGGTGGTGGCCCGGCCAGTGGTTTGGGGTGGGTGGACGGCTATGTTTTGCCCGATTCGTGCTCTTCCTATTTGTTTTTTTCCATTTTTTATTTTTTGATTTTTCTTTTTATAAATTTTATGAGTGCTTTTTTGAAGTCTGAAATTTCAAAGGTTGAGTTGTGCTTTTTATGTCCTGAGCTATTTATAGTAGGAGTAAATTACTGCTTGGGATGATGATATGGTTAATTGGTTATCTCTACTGGTGTATATGGGCTGGACTCGGCTTGGCTTGGGCAACTTTGTTTTATAAGTCTCGTGGCTGGTACCTTTTTTGGTTTCTTTTTTCTGGCTGAGACTTTGAAGTTTGATGAAGTGAGAATGTAATGTAAAAAATGGTGATAGATTCAAATTTTTTTTTATGGTTTTTTCAGATTAGTTTATTAATAAATATCTCAACTTACTTTTTTTATATTTTTAAGATATAACTTTTTGTATTCACAATACAAAAGAAAAACAAAAACGATCCAAACACCTACAATTTACATGAATATATTTAAATTTTATAATACAAATTAATTTTATGGAACGAAAAGAAATATTTTTATTGTTACCACTTCAATTTTTTATTAGTACAGAATAACACTAAAATACAAAACCAAAAAAAAAAAAAAAAAACAATACGTAGAACTCTCCATTGAACCAAAATCATTTTCTTTTTCTTTCATATTTGATGGTATCCGTGGGCAATATTGGTTCTCTTTGACTGGTTTTGTTTCGTCTAATATACTGTATTTGTCTACTCAACACACTTTTTTATATTCACATTTAAATTCTCCACACAAAATGATGCACCCAAAAAGATCCAAACAAAGCCCTTCTTAGGATGTTTTCGTAATAGCCATGAAGTCATTTGGCAGACATGACGCCATGACACAAAACAAAATTACAATGAGTTTGTCATTCTCCTTTACTTATATGCTACCACTGGGCCAATTTTTAACAGTGTTTAACAGAATGTTCAATCCTATTTTTTGTTGGTGACTTACAAACCGAGATTATTTTTTCCCGATCAATTGGGTCATAATGGTTTCCATCAGGTTTAAGAAAATGTCACAATAATTATTTCCCCATAAAAATTTAAGTCTGATCATTCAAGCAAAACTCAATGTTCTACCGGTTATACAAGAATTTAACACTATAGACATGCTTTTTTAAACTCTTAAGCCAACTAATGCGTGAAAAGAAATGATGACAATGAATTCCCCAGAATTCAAAGTCATTTACCACCCTTTACTCCACTCTTTGACCCACCACCAGTCACATCTCCTTCAATGGCCTTGGACGATTTCCCATCCGTCCCTGGTTGTTTCCGATCAACTCGACCGCCGCCGTAGCCTCCGCCGGCAGGAGACAACGAAAAGTCGGCAGATATTTCTGATCTCAGATCATCCAATGCTTTCCTCAGCAGCCCATTCTCAGTTTGAATGGTTTCCAGCTGCTTCTTCATTTCCAAACACGCCCCAGACACGTCATTATTGCCGGCTAAATTAGAGGAGCCCGACCCGTTTACTTTTGTATCTTTCTGGGCCACGTGTTCGATCGAGATTTTATCCATCAAGAGCATTGGCAATTTTGCAAACGAAATCCCAGCCATTGGCTTATTCGTCGCCCCGACTAATACCGCATCCTCTTCCCCTTCCGCCGTCGCGTTCGGCGGAAACCTAAGGCACCACCGGAGATTCGCTATCGCGGCGCCATTCAGAGGGAAAGCTGTCTTCGCTTTGATCTCCGACCCCGTTATGACATTCTCCATCATTCCCGTAGCAACCGCCGCGGACTCAGCCGGCAAAACCGCGATTTTCCCGGCACCGGCAAACAGCCCAGGCCCGTCGACGGCGTACCCGTGCTTGACCAGCGTAGTCTCATCGCCTTTCCCCACGCCTGCGATTCTGGGCTCATTCTTTTTCACGGCAGCGGTGGAGGCGGAGGTGGATGTGGAGGACGAGTGAGACTTCTTGATCGAGAAATCCCCGAATTTAGGCTTGAAATGGATGAAGAAACTGGGGTTTTGGTTCCCGACAAAGTTGAATTCGGCACTCATCGTGAAAGGGCTGGAGATCGGGGACCCGAGATTCCCGATTCCAGTCTTGCAGATGAAGCTGAAAGGGTTTTCGGAATCATTGGGGCGGTAAACGATCTTGAAAGCAGGGCCGGCGTCAAAGAAAGTGCTGAGATTTAGCGCTAGTTCTTTGGATTCACCAGCGACGACTCCTGATTGGAAAGGGAAGCTGAGAACATTCAGAGGGATTTTAGCTCTGAGTAAGGGCTTCTGCTCCTCCCGGAACTTAATTGAGGCTTTCATATTGATGACTCACCCGCCGTCGAGTGGGAAGAATTCTGGGTGTACTCTGTGTGTGTGTGTGTGTGTGTGAGTAGAGAGGATAGAGGTGAAGTGTGTGATGATTAGGCTATGCTATTTAAAGGTCTCTTTTTTGTTTTTTTTTTTTTCTCCCACGATTATTAATGAGTTGGACAAAACAAAATATTTTTGAAATTCAAAATTATATGATTGGGAGCTTCAGGACGCTCCCTCCTCGCTGACGTTTTGACAATTTTGTGCAAAAATTAATTTGTTGGTATTGAAATTCAAAACTGCAAAAATAGCGCTAAATTTTGTTACCTTCTCAGCTTGAGCAAGATTTCTTTTCATTATTTGGAACCGTTACTTAACACAAGAATCAGCTCAGATTTGGTCTTCAAAGTATGATAGGGTTGACCAGGCTATATATGGTAGATGACTTTCCTAATTCGGATGAAAAACTGCCCCAGACGAGTACAATTTGACAAAAATCACATTTAATACGTTTCTAATACACTTTTTTACATTCTCAATACAAAAAATTCTTAAAAACAGATATTAAAAAAACGAAATAAACATACCCTACATGATACAAACAAATGGATTTTTGAGACTCTCCACATTCAAATAGTGGCCTGAATTTATGACCATCTTTTTTTTTTTTTGTTGGTCAAAAGCCATATTCATTAATATCTTACTATATTAGAAACAAAAATCACACTAGTACCACCATTTGTCATGTGCCATTTTCACATCATATTTTTAAAATAAATTTTTATTTCCACATCTCCTAAACTTAAAAGGCAAATACAGTCCAAATTTATTTTCACCTCCTATTTTTGTCAAAACAAACCAAAAAAAAAAAATAAAAATCACACTTAAGAGAAAGCACCACTATTTGCCATGTGGCATTTCCACATCATATTTTCAAAATAAATTTTTATTTCCGCATCTTCTAAACTTAAAAGGCAAATGCAGTCCAAATTTATTTCGATCTCCTATTTTTGTCAAAACAGACAAACAAAAAAAACCACGGGTTCATAAAAAACCCAAATCCTCATCCTCATCGCCACGACAATCGACTCCTTAATCAATCCCTTCTCCACAATTAAAAAAAAAAAAAATTCCTCATCAATCATCAATTGAGAATACGTGGTGAAATATACTCCTTTCCTCTTAGCATGTTCAATCTTTTCATTAGTGATGATCAACTACATCCTAATCGGATAAAATTTTAACTTCAAAAAAATTCTCTTTACCTCTTTATATAAACACAAAAGAAAAAAAAATTATCCTTGATCTTGCTTCGGCCGTTGTGGTGGTGCCATTACAGGTATTAAAATTTAAATGATTTTATTTTCACAGATAATTGGTTTGGCTTTTATTATTTTTTATTTTTTCCGTTCAAGAATAGTGTTATTACTATTATTTTTATGCATCCATCCGTTACAGCTATTGGAGCGGTTGTCAGGTAGTATGATGTGATTTCTTATTTGGTTAGTTAGTCTAGAATTTTTGTATGATTTTAGTTATGTTTGGATTGAATTGATTGATTGGGTTTTTGTTACAAAGTGTGGTTTTTTAATTTTTTTTTTTTATGTTCCATTCAATTAGAGTGGTTTTCTTTTTTTAATTATGGAGTCTCAGGTTTTTTTTTTGTATATGGCCTGTTATGAAGTGTGTTTTTTCTTTGTTTAATTGCTTTTGATTTTGTTTCATACTCCCAGTTGACCAATTATTATTATTGTTATTATTATTATTTTATTTACAAATGAAGCACGTTTTTTTTTTGTGTTCGGAGTTTCAAGAATATACTTTTTTGTATTTGGTTTTTGGACTTTTTTTAGTTCCTCATCATATAAATAGTTCAGGCCGTTTCTTTTAACTAATTTGTGGGGAAGCCTTTTATGAATTTGAGGTGGAGAGGGAAAGAATGATGTTTCTATGTTTATTTGTGTTTTTATACATCATTTTTACCTATAGAAAAAAAAATCTCAAATTTTAATGGGTTATCTTTTACTTTTTTTTTTTTATTTGCCATGGTGATGTGAGTTCTTTTTTGCTATATCTTGAAACCTATGCAAATTTACATTATTTTCATTCTCATATTTGTGATCAACCAGTTTCAACAATTAACCAGTATCAAAATCATATTTTTGATATTTTACTACCTATAAACTTTTGGAAGAAATAGTTCCAATAATTAAGCGTATACCCTTCGGAGGAAGCTAACTACAAAGCTATTATAAATCTCCAAAACTAAGTATTAATTTGGCACAACCAATGGAGAACATCAATAAATTATCTTACTAATATTTAAACTTATTAGGATGGTTTTATATTTTTTCTAACATTTACTTCAAGACATATATTTGATCAAGTTTATTTATATTTAAGAAGTAACAATTATAAAATATTTTTAAAATCTTCAAACATTTCTAAAATTCAAATACAATTTATTCCCCTGGGCGTACTAATCCATGCCCCTTATTAAGCCAAAACGTACCGGGCCAAATACATTTATTTTTATGCCAAATACAAACATCACACTTATAAAACATTTCTAAAATTCTTCAAATATTTCTAAAATATATCGGGCCAAATACAAAATATTTTTTTGCCAGATACAAATATTTCTAAGATCTACAGATATATTGGGCCAGGATCGCGCATTAGACATCACTAATATGAAAGAGATATGAAAGAGTTTATGAGTATTGTTTATTTATTTATTTGCATTATTTTTCAACTTTCATACCTACTTTTTGAGTGACCGAGTGGTTCATGACTGCTAGACTCATGAATGAGGGTCTTATTCATTGGGCCAAAGCGATTTCAGTCTACAGTAAAATCTTCAGGCCCAACAGCTTGAAGATGCTTCCTGGACAGGAATTCCACTCTCAGTTTCTCATTCTACTTTTTTTTCTTTTGCGAAGTTTTTTTCATTTCATCACTGATCACCCTCATCTCCACCGCCTTCCCAGGGAGCTAACCAAAATTTTGCGGCAAAAAAGAAAAAAAAAAAACGAGAGTAAAATTGAGCTTCAGATGCTTCGCAGCTTCGCGCAGTGGCTGAAATATGATCTCATTTTGGCATTTTGCTGCATTCGTCCCAGTCAGAAAACTCAGGCAATTGTTCATTAGGCCATAAAAGAAACAGGACCTTTTGAGTTGCATTCCTTCTCTTTATATCCTCTCATTCCTTTAAGCTTCTGCTTGGTCTGTGGCAACGATGAAGCGATGGAAGGATGCTAAAGGCTGCAGTTTTGTAAAATGCTACTGGTTCAGTGTTGATGAGTTAACAAATTAAAACCCAAAATAACCAGGGAAAGCTACAATTGAATCTTTTTTTTTTTTTTTTTTTTTTTGTGTGTGCTGATATTTTGTTTGTTTGATATACTCTCCACTCAACGTTTAAATGGAATCAATTTTAATGTTATTGAATTCATGTTACTCATTTAAGATATCACAATATCGAATTATTGTGATGTGTTTTAAGTATTCGTCTTTTAAGTGAATTAAGGTAATCCCTATGTTCCGAAATTATTGTCTAGTTTTAAATTTCACTTTTAGCATAATTTCAACTAAAAATGAAAAGTCAAACTGGACAATAATTTTTGGACGGAGAGAGTATTATAAACTACTAATAAATGTATAAATATATGAAAGCCGAAATTCATCCAATTACCAGTATATGTTACCAAATTTCGACAACTACTACGAAACAAAATTCAACGATTCTCTCATAATACATAAAATGGAGTGATTAAATGTCCGATACGAGTTTTCGTGTTTTTGTTTTTTTTTGGAAATGTGAGTTTTTGTCCGAAACATGAGTTTAGTGTTGATTATGATGAAATTGTGACATTTTTTTTAACATCAAGTAAACTATAATTAATCTATTATAACTCATGTGATACTTTTACACTCCGTTCGTCCTAAGAAGAAAGACACGTACATGTTTGTTTTAGACTTTAACATTCTCGCTCAACATTTAATAAGGTTCTTCTAATCTTGGGATGGTTTTTTTTTTTAAAGAAAAACTCTAAAATAGATTTAGCATACAACTTTCATACGTAAGCATTTGTTTCGTGAGAGAATTTGTTTGGTAATCCATCCAAAACTAAGGGGCTAATTGTAATTTTCCTCGAAATTTATAATAATCCGTTTTATAGTTCACCTTTTGTTTTCCCCTATAAAAAAACATAACCATATTCATAATCCGCGCATAACACAAGAAGAAATTTCACAAATCATTAAAATTTGTTTGGGATTATTAAAAATAAGAATTCGAAAATTGCATAAATAAAAAAATTCGGATCTGAGACTCGTCGGAAGTCATCGGCGCTTAAACCCGCGGGGGACACACACACACTTTTGTCTTCGGTCTCGTCTTTTCTTCTTTCCCCTCATCTGGAAAACCCTAAAAAGCCCCCGGACTTCTCCTCCCTTTTTTTTTTTTTTGTTTTCTGAAAAAACTTCCTATCGAAAACCTCGAAAAACTTCCATTCTTTCCGCCATAGATCTCCTTCAATCCGCTCGTTGTCTTTAGATTTTTGATTCATAGCCGACATTGAGCGGCTCCTCTGTAATTTTGGCTCCACTTTTTTCCTTTTTTTTGAAAAAAATAATCAGTGGCGGTTTTTTTTTTTTTTTTGGCCGAGGAGTGGTTATCAATTTTTGTTTGTTTGGGCGCGGTGAAGATCAAGAAACTCTTTTGCCCGGTACGTTTCACTGCATAAAGCTGTTTTCGTTTTTCTGTTGCGTTTTATACGCATGCAAATATTTGCTTTTTATATGCATTGTTTTTTTTATTTATATATATATATATATATACATAATCTTTTTTTTCTCATTCTCGTTTTCCTTTTCTTCTTTTACTGAAAACTGGAAATTGGATGAAGTTGTTGGTGCCTTTGGTTGGGGGCTGTTAGTTTGCTGTAGTAGCGTGCTGGTGCTGTTTTCTGATGTTTTGACCCGTGGTTGCCGCCTTTTAATTGCGACTGGTTTCTGATTTTATTGCGTAATCCGTCAAACCCTAGTTAAAGTTCCGGTCTTTTGGGGAAAATATGTAATGTGTTGGAGTTTTTTATGTGGAAAAATTTTGCTGCACGCTGGATTTTTTTCCTTTTCTTTTTCCTTTGAGTCTTTGGTTATAAACATTGAGCTGAGGTGTTTCCTCCTACCTTGTTCTGGTGGTTTGATAAACAAAAACTAGGTGCGTAGGGAAAAGGGCAGGGGATTGTTACTGGAATGAATTTTGGTGTGAAAAAGGGTTGTTACCATGGGTTAATAATGTTTATTATAGTTCATAATCTGAAGCACAATAAATTGTAATTATGGTTTTGTATTTTCATTATTGAGTTCGGTACTCGACAGAGGTTAGTCCTGGTTTACTATTGTTTGAGTATTTCGGGGGCGACTCTAGCTGTGTGGAGCTTAGGAAAATATTGAAAAACTTACATTATATGTGTTAGGTCTTTTTCTTGAAAGTTTGCACCCCTAAATTATTGACATTGATGGAAATGACTGGTTGCTTGCTGACATTGATAATGCCGATGAAATCCTTTGCTTTGAACCCTGAACATGGTGTGTTGTTGCGGAAGTTAGGAGAGGGCGTCATCTCTGTCTGCTTAGAGGATGACTAGATTTAGTTTTAGAGATGTCTGCCCAATTTTCTTGTTCTCTGTTTAGGTGTGGTGGTTAGTTATTCAGATAATGATGCTCATTAGTACTTGTGTTAACTATGATACTTGTGTCAGAAGGATTGCTTCCAGTTTTTATACTTGGTGGCAAATGTTTTGAATGTTTATTTTATATATATATATATATATATATATATATTTCATGAACTTAGTTCAGTGCACTAGTAAGAAAAGATCTTGTGCAAGAGATGGTCATGAGATGTAATTATCTGAATGTAGGATCTCGTTTTCTCTCCAGTACCATGTTACGACCATGGTGATCACACACTTTTCATTTTTCTGGTGTGTTATTCTGACTGGAATGGTTATAGTCTAGTTCTTCTGCCAATTTTTATGACACTCTCCTGGCCGTTAATCTACATTTGGACAAGTGCATCCATCCTTTGTTGGAGCATAGTATGTTGAGAAAAGACGAAAGGGGCTATAGTTCATTGTATATTTTACATATAATACACTGTTGTTTGTTAGAGATACTGGAAGTGAATTTTCTTAAGTACTAAAAGAATATCTATGATTTTGCCCGAGAAGGACCAATGGTAACCTCGTTGGGATATGATAAGTATGGAATTGTATTACCCCAAAAAAAAAAAGAAGAAGAAAGAAGTATGGAATTATTGTTAATTGATTTACTTGTCTGTTGGTTTCCTTTTCTCCGTCTCATTGTTCTTTGGTAGGGTTTATTGTGTATGGTTTAAGTGGAATTGTGACGTAGTGCTCTAAATGTTGTTTTAACTAACTTTGACATTACGGATGAGTATGTTCTGTTCTGTATTTTCTCCCTCCAGCATGTGTGTAAAAATAGCTGTTTTTGGATTCCATAAGAACAGTGAATTTGTTGTTTCTTTAATCATCTGTCAAATCTGATGAGAGATCTGTTGATCTTTTCCTCCATTTCAAAACCATGATGCAACATATGTGCATAGCTGCTGATTATACCAGCCAGCAATGTTGGAGACGTAACGATCTTTCTGTCAGTAACATTGGGAACAAGTACGGAGGGTAGAGAGAGGGGAGACGAGCTACTCTTTTTGAGTTTCAAGTAGATAAGACTCATTTTTATTTTTTCTTTGCTCAAGAGCTTCACTTGTGACATGATGTTAGCTCTTTAGAAGGGGCACATGCTATTAGGTGTATGATTGGTTGCATGTCATTAGGTGTTGTTTTGATCGATGCATACCAGCTGCATTTGTGATACCTTGCTGGTTGATAATTAACGTTTTTGTTTGCTTAATTCTTTGTATTTACTTTCGTTTGTGGAAATATAAAGTGTTGATCTTTTGGTTTGGTGGTAGACATCTTATTTGGTTTTTCTTTTTTCTGTTTCAAGGTTTGAGGATGACATAGGGATTTGAAGTACTCATGGCCTCCAAAGGTCCCAGGTCCAAGCTTGACCATGAAACTCGAGCCAAGAGGCAGAAGGTAAGAACTAAGAGCTGGAGCCTTCTCCTTGTCCTTTGATTGCCATTTTTTGTCTGTGATGTATGATGGGGTCACCGTTAGTGCCAATTTTTTTTCTCATTTCTGATGCTATTTGTTATTGGAATAGTTCTCTTCATCTTCTTTTGTGTAGAATGCACAATCCTCAGGAGCTTACTTCTGAAGTATGTTTAGCTTTTTGGTCATTGTAACTGCTCAACTTGATTTGTTCATATTAGATTAAATAAAGAGTTCTGTTGTGGAAACTCTGAAACCATTCACCTAACAGTTACAAGTTTGCAGGTTGCTGTCAGACGATGAAAATTTTTTCTTTAATTCTCAATAGTTTAGCTTAGCCATTTTTGTTGACATGGATTATTCTCTGGTTTTAAATTCCGACGCTTCTTAATTTGGTGAAGTTGCCGGACATCAATATATCAATGCACCAATGCATTTTGGGTCGTACTACTGTATTGAAATACAGTAGTACTGAAATACAGGGGTAGTACAGGGGTAAGGCTGCGTACATCTGCACGCCCCAGACCCCAACTGAGTTGGGAATATACTGGGTATGTTGTTGTCGTTGTTGTTGTGGATTATTCTCTGGTTTTCTACCCATAATATGGGGGAACCTGCATCCCATGCATTGGCGGTTGGCCCCAGCTCAATTGAGTTCTGCCATCCTGATTAACTGTAATACATGGAAAAATTTGCTGTCCGGTTACTGGTACCATGTTTTAGTGTGAATGATATTTAATTAATTGAATACTGTAGCTAATATGATAACAATGAATTATTTCTGGATTTGTGGTCCATGATTGAGATGTTTAAGATTTGTGTTTAGATTCGTTTCAATATGTTGAGAAATATATAAGCTGATACTAGAGCTGGGTTTCTTTTCTTTTTTCTTGTTTTTTTCCCCATTTTCTTTCTCTCCTTTAATGATATCAGCAAGCTGAAACTATTGTTGATTGTCTTCCAGGTCAAGCATTTAGAGATTTAGAACCTACCATAAAGCTATGCTCTTTCTTGAGTTCTTAAAGTTGGCAGGCCTTGTCTGGAATCTAGCCATAGTAACTTTCAGATTTGAATGTTAGTTTAGAATATACGGGGCTAAAAAAGGGCACGGATTTTCATCAAGCAGATGAGTGACAAATTGAGGCTTTTAGGATGTGCAATAAGTTAGCTTGAAAGAGAAGCCTTGAGAAGCAACTCTGACTTCACTACTCACCGTTGTTTAGGTTACCATGAATGTATCCTATATGGACTAATTTTTCATTCTAGAATTTGATGCATTTATTGAGATGACTGAATTTAATTCTTCAATTTTGAATTGCATAGTTTTTCATTTAAGGTTAAGTTTCCAATTGTCAGAATTTTTTTGGAACCGTGCAACTTTCCTAGTAAAGATTTTTTATAAACTGACGTTGGATCTGATTGTTGATAATTTTACGTCATAGGCCCTGGAAGCTCCTAAAGAACCTCAGCGTCCTAAAACACATTGGGATCATGTTCTGGAAGAGATGGTTTGGTTATCAAAGGTAACTGCTTTTCTGATTGCCTAATGGAATGAACATCTTATTCAACCAAAAACTTTGAACGAAGAATCATATCTTTGAGACCATTTAACCGAACAATTGTTCAGGACTTCGAATCAGAGAGAAAATGGAAACTTGCTCAGGCAAAAAAGGTTGCAACAAGAGCCAGCAAAGGCATGCTGGATCAGGCCACAAGAGGCGAAAAGAGAGTGAAGGTTTTGTTCTCGGCCTATGTGACCTTATCTAGTGCCACTTTTAGATGAGAACAACAAGATTCATCTATTTCCTGGATTCTGTGCTGATTTCATCATCTTGTTATTGTATTCACGTTATTAGGAAGAAGAGCATAGGTTGCGAAAAGTTGCCCTCAATATTTGCAAGGATGTGAAGAAATTTTGGTTGAAAATAGAGAAGCTGGTACTGTTTTAAAGCAATTTCCTTTGGCTTTCCTGTGACATGAGGGTTGAAGGTTGAAACTTTTTCTTTTTAACTATCTTTTGTAGGTTCTCTACAAGCATCAACTGGAACTTGATGAGAAGAAGAAAAAAGCCCTTGATAAACAACTTGAGTTTCTCTTGGGGCAAACTGAAAGGTATACACGATTCAATGTTCCATAAAATTGATGCAGTGTCCTTTTCTTGCTTTTGTTTATTGGGCTTGTTTAGTGAATACCTGAGCAAACCCGCTTTTTTCTAAAAAGATAAAATAAAATAAACTTGCATTAGGTATTCCACAATGCTGGCAGAGAATCTTGTTGGTTCACCTGCTCAAGGTAAATTGGTGAATATGAGTTCACCTCAAGAATTGAAGAAGAGTGAAGATAAAGAGGCTGAGAATGACAAGGCTAGTGATGGCCCAAATATTGGTAAGAAGTTACTGTCGTACATTGTTGTTCTACTTATGATTAATGTTTTTTTATTTGTTTTTTATTTTTTCAACATTTAACAGAGTCCCAGTCAAACGAACTTGATATGGATGAAGACTATGGTATGGACTCCGAGGATGAACCAGTAAGCTTTTTTTTTCCTTTTCTGTTTCTTGTGCACAGTTTATGAATGTTTGCAGAGCACTTTTTATGGCTCAAATACATTCATGGAGCTCTGTGATCATGCAAATTAGTGTTGCTGTGGCTATCATTTGTTGAATTTCCGTAGATAGTTTGTCGTGAGTTTTTGTACAGTGTGAATACTGCTGTTCCTAAGCTTTCTGTATTTGTGAGTTTGATATAGTAACTTTTTGGCTTTGGGTGTGTTCTCAATGATTTGTTTACAGCTTCTTAAATTAAGTTTGATTTTTAGTGAGGCATTTTTGTACTCTGAAACATTATTATGTGGGCTTCTGTTTGAAGTAGATTTCCCCGGGGGGGAGGGGGGTGTTTATGTCTCGGAAGGAGTACAAGAAATAGTGCCTCTACAACTTCCGCTTCAGTGTTTGTGAGGTTTATGTGTTGACCAGCCAAGTTGAGGTTTAACCAAGTGTGCAATGGAGGCCTACAGCTTGTTATGGCTGTGCTCAAAGCCTTATAAGTCCCAAAACTACAGCCTAAAAGACTTTTGCATTTATTGCTTAATTTACCTGGTTTCACCAGTAAATGAATTCATCAGTAAATAAACCATAAAGCTAGGAGATAAATTCGAAGTCATTGAGATTGATTCTCTAATATTCCGTACAAGGAAGAGCTTGATTTCTTAAAGCTTTCATGACAGGATTTCCTGATACCCCTAACGTTATTTTACATGCTGGCATAAATACTAATTGAAACGGGATGCAGTTACTTATCTGGCATGATCGCAGCATTATGCCTTAAGTTATGTACTGATTGATTTAACAACTTTTCAATGGTATGCTTTAGGAAGATGATGAGCACACTATAGAGGAAGATGAGGCTCTGATAACCAAAGAAGAAAGAGACGAAGAGTTAGCAGCTTTGAAGGATGAAATAGATCTGCCTTTGGAGGTGCTTCTAAGGCGCTATTCAGGAAAAGGTACTTTTTTTGTATTATACTTCTTCTAAAGAAATTATAGGAATTATTTCTTAATTCCAAATTGTGGTAAAGACTGAAGGGAAGTGTCCCTGGGATATAGTAAACAGAAAGTACTGGAGGAACAATAGAAAATGTTGAAGAAATATCATGGAAGTACGATGTGTAACAGATGTGTTACTTTGTTTTTGTTTTTTGCTCTTTTTCCCTCACGATGGTAATTAGTAATTACACATTCAATTTGAAGTAAATGTTTGGTGTAAGGCATGTATTGAATTTCTAGCTCTTGTTTGCCCCACTTACCAAATTTCGACTGTTATAAATTCTCAGTCAGCAGAGAAACCAGTCCTGAGCATACTCATGTTGATGGATCAACTCAGTCAAGTGAAAATGGTGAATGTTGTTACGCTTTTAATGCTCTGCATTTTATTTGGTTTGTCGTACCTTATCGTCTGTTCTCTAAATTACCATGATTCCACAGGCAACAAGAACGAAATTGCAACTATCTTAGCTAATGGTGGAGTGAGCTCACCTGAATTTCCTGGTCGTCGTTGTGTAAGTTGTATGTGTTTTATTGTTTGTTGCAATGTGTTATTGTTGGGTCTCGATTCCAACTTAATATTCGTGGATATTTTGCTGCAGGGTGGAATTAATGGCTTTTTACAGACCTCGGGTAATCATCACCCAGAGTTTGGAGTCCACAAAGGCAGATCTAATAACAAATTCCAGGGATCGGACAATAAGTGCTTACTCGAGGATCTTACTGATGAACAGGTTAAGCTGAATTTCACGTCTCTCTGTGTTCTTTTTATTCAGCATTTAAACTATTACCTTATATTCTATTTGAAGCGTAGAAAATGACTCCTTTTCTATATTTCAGTACATCAAGACATTAATTTATTGATTTTGCTCAAGAGTTTAATCTTCTGATTCTTAGTTCAGCTTTCTTAGTCGTGATAACACTGTTATGATCATTAGAGTGAAGAAAAACAATTCTGATTGAATCAATGCTAACCATTGACATTGCAACTTTATGTAGCTTAAGAGAAATTGGGACTCATGATTGCATGATTTCTCCGTAACCCCTTTTTGGCACATGAAGTAGTATCTTTCTAGATCTCTGTCTGTTGTGTAGCTGCCTCTCATTTCTTTTGCTATATGTGTTCTCTGCTCCATTTGTGATTCCTAGGAAAAGAGTCAAGATAGACTTGCATTGTATCATTGCAGATCATTTTATTATGCATCACTATCATCTCAGGGATTTATGGGAGCCGAGTTTGTTGAATTTGCTTTTATTGGTCATGTTTGTGTGTTCAGGATGATGAAGATTTCTACCTTGCCAATGGAGAAGAAAAATATGAGATGGTAAGCCTCTTATGTTTAATACTGCTTGGGTGTGGGAAGTTGTTTGCTTTGTTTGGTCATGGGAAGTTGGTAAAATCCTGTTTGTGGGAACAATTCCAGTATTAGTGGTGATGAGTAACTTTTGTTTAGTTCATCGGTAATTGGTTTAGGAAGTTTGGAGTTCGTTTGAACAGGGTTTCTTTTGTGAGGAAAGAACCAATGTCAAAGTGTATATCTGTGTGTACCTGTTTCAATACCCATTTTACAACGCATTGGTCTTTTGGGAGATATGCTTGATATGTCCAGATGTCTTTCTTGAATTTGTCGTTAACGTTTTGTTTCTTAAATTCTTTTTGGAACATCTGGTAGATGTACTTGTGCACTCTTATTGAGGTTTTGCATTGTAGTGATCTATTTTTTTTTTTTTGGATTGCTATTATTTTGTTTGTTTTTTTGCGTACATGAGAATGAATTCGTTCTATAATTCTTTGGCATTTAAATTTTAGGACGATGAGACAACCATTTTAGAAGAAGAAGAACTTGCAAAGGCAGAAACCAATGACTCCCAAATGGAGGTAAATCCCAAACGTTAAAGACTTCTATCTGGTTATCATCAAAGCTCTTTGGTGTTATGATTTTCGTTTGTGCCGAATGTAACTTTTTGAGTTAATATATTTTGTTGGATTAAATGGCTGTCTTTCAGATTTCTTTATTGCAGAAAGAGAGTGAAATCCCCATAGAGGAACTGCTTGCAAGGTACAAAAAGGTATATTTCGCCCTTCTCCCTTTTTCTTTTTTGGTTCTGCGGAACTTGGATCCAATCGCACAGTATCAAACAGTGTATTTTTCTTCTCAGGAGTGGAATTCTGAGGAAGAAGATGATGATGACCATGATTCCGAAAATGCTTCAGCCTCTGAGAAATCTGTGCATTCTTCTGCCGAAAAGGAATTTGAGCCCAAGCAGCTGAATGTTTCTCTGAATAGGGAAGATAACTTTAGTGCACTTGAACCTGCTAACTGCTCTCCGGCAGATGAAGGGAATACTGGATGCGTGTCAGAAGGTGAAGAAGAGGGGGAGGGTGCAAATAGAATTGCTGATGCAGCAGCAGCTGCAAGGTCTGCCCAGCCAACTGGTAACACATTTTCAACCACAAAAGTCCGCACAAAGTTTCCGTTTCTACTCAAATATCCTCTTCGTGAGTATCAACATATTGGCCTGGATTGGCTTGTTACTATGTATGAGAAGAAACTTAATGGAATATTGGCTGATGAAATGGGCTTGGGTAAGACGATTATGACTATTGCTTTACTGGCTCACTTGGCATGTGAAAAGGGGATATGGGGTCCTCATCTCATTGTTGTTCCGACGAGTGTCATGCTCAATTGGGAAACCGAGTTTCTTAAGTGGTGTCCGGCTTTTAAGATACTGACGTACTTTGGAAGTGCAAAAGAAAGAAAAATAAAGAGGCAAGGATGGTTGAAACCGAATTCGTTTCATGTGTGTATTACAACTTACAGGCTTGTGATTCAGGATTCTAAAGTTTTTAAGAGGAAGAAGTGGAAATACTTGATCTTAGATGAAGCTCATTTAATAAAGAACTGGAAGTCACAAAGATGGCAGACCCTTCTTAATTTTAATTCCAAAAGGCGTATTCTTTTAACCGGTACGCCATTGCAGAATGATCTAATGGAATTATGGTCCTTGATGCATTTTCTGATGCCGCATATTTTTCAGTCTCATCAAGAGTTTAAGGACTGGTTTTGTAATCCAATTACTGGTATGGTTGAGGGACAAGAAAGAGTGAATAAAGAAGTTGTTGATCGCCTGCACAATGTTCTTCGGCCCTTTATTTTACGTAGGCTAAAGAGGGACGTGGAGAAGCAGCTTCCTTCGAAGCATGAACATGTTATCTACTGTAGACTCTCTAAGAGGCAGCGCAACTTGTACGAGGATTTCATAGCTAGCTCAGAGACTCAAGCCACTCTAGCAAGTGCAAATTTCTTTGGCATGATTAGTGTCATAATGCAACTTCGTAAAGTATGCAATCACCCTGATCTGTTTGAAGGACGCCCAATTGTCAGTTCTTTTGATATGAGTGGCATTGATTTGCAGTTGAGTTCATCCATTTGCACTATGTTAGTCCCGGGTCCATTTTCCTCGGTTGATCTTAGTGGTTTAGGGTTTTCATTCTCTCATTTGGATTTAAGCATGACTTCTTGGGAAAGTGATGAAGTGCAAGCTATTGCAACGCCATCGAGTCTGATTGAGGATCGTATGGGGCTGGTTGAAGAGATTGGCCATTCGTTTAAGCATAAAAAGAAGTTTCATGGGACAAGCTTTTTTGAGGAAATACAGAAGGCTCTTATCATTGAGAGACAGAGGGAAGCAAAGGAACGGGCACAATCTATCGCATGGTGGAACTCCATTCGCTGCAAAAGGAAACCCATTTATTCTACTGGCTTGCGGGAGCTTGTCACCATACGACATCCTGTGTATAATATTCATAGTCGGCATCATTTTCCTTTGTCTTACTCATGTTCGTCTGTGTTTGCCGATATTGTCCTCTCGCCAGCTGAACGATTTCAGAGAATGGTTGATCAGGTGGAGAGTTTCATGTTTGTGATCCCAGCTGCACGTGCCCCAACTCCAGTTTGCTGGAGTAGTAAACGTGGAAGTCATGTGTTTATTGAGCCATCTTTCACAGAAACGTGCTCTTTAGTTTTTTCTCCTCTTCTCACTCCTTATCGGCCTGCAATCGTGCGGAGGCAAGTCTACTTCCCTGATAGACGACTCATACAGTTTGACTGTGGCAAATTGCAAGAGCTTGCTGTGTTGCTTAGGCGCCTAAAACTAGGAGGACATAGAGCATTAATATTTACCCAAATGACGAAGATGCTTGATGTTTTGGAGGCTTTCATCAACTTGTATGGTTACACTTACATGCGGCTTGATGGTTCTACACAGCCAGAAGAGAGGCAAACATTGATGCAGCGGTTTAACACAAATCCGAAAATTTTCCTCTTCATTTTGTCAACCCGCAGTGGAGGCGTTGGCATCAACCTTGTTGGGGCAGATACAGTTATCTTTTATGATAGTGACTGGAATCCTGCCATGGATCAACAGGCTCAAGATCGGTGTCATAGAATTGGTCAGACACGTGAAGTGCACATTTATCGGTTGATCAGTGAGAGCACTATAGAAGAAAATATCTTGAAGAAAGCAAATCAGAAGCGCGTACTTGATGATTTGGTTATCCAAAGCGGGGGTTATAATACTGAATTTTTTAAGAAGTTGGATCCCATGGAATTGTTTTCAGGTCATCAAACAGTGTCCTTAAGAGACAAGCAAAAGGAGCAAACTTGCAATGGAAGCTCAGAGGTTCTTCTGTCAAATGCAGAAGTGGAAGCAGCTCTGAAGTTAGCCGAGGATGAAGCAGACTACATGGCACTGAAGAAAGTTGAGCAGGAAGAAGCAGTAGAGAATCAAGAGTTCACTGAAGAAGCGATCGGGAAAATGGAGGACGATGAATTTGTAAATGATGATGATGTGAAGGCTGATGAGAAGGCGGATGAGCCTTCTGAACCTGGTGGTTCAGTTTCAATATCTAACCAGGAGAGTGTGGCAACATTGAATGTGAAGGATCCACTTGAAGCTGGGCCCCTCACTTTTGCTGGTAAAGAAGATGATTTTGATATGCTTGCTGATGTCAAAGAGATGGCTGCTGCAGCTGCTGCTTCGGGACAGACAATTCTCTCCTTTGAGAATCAACTACGTCCAATTGACCGATATGCAGTCCGGTTTTTGGAGTTGTGGGACCCAATTGTAGATAAGACAGCAACTGAATCCCAAATACATTTTGAGGAGAAAGAATGGGAATTGGATCGCATTGAAAAATTGAAGCAGGACATGGAAGCTGATATTGATGACGATGAAGAACCTCTTGTCTTTGAGAGTAAGTTGTGATTATTAGAAAATTTTGTTCATGGTGAATTATTTTGTTTACTATTGTTACTCATACAGTAAGTGCTTCCCAAAGTGTCTAGTGTGCATTCATCTTATTAAATCTTGTTCTAATTATGAAGTCTAAATAGTGTCTTTTGTACTGTTGATCCATTCTTTGTATGATACGTGGTTGTGGATCAAAACCTGATGGACTTTCTACTGACATTCCAGATTGGGATACTGATATTGCAACTGAGGTTTATAGACAGCGGGTTGAGACTTTGACCAAACATCAGGTTCGTCACCTTCGTATGCTATAATGAAACACTTGTAAATATTTCCAGATAATGTGTAGTTTAGTAACTGATGAAGATTTTTTAATATACTTGATAGTTGTTGGAAGAAGAGGAAAATGCAGCTTGGGAGAGAGAAATTGCAGAGTACGAGAATTTAAATTCTGCAAGGTAAGTATATTATCTAATTCTTGCTAATTGTCAATTACAGTTGTTTCTAGGCGGAACTTCACTGGTAGGCGATTACTATTTGGGAAGAGTAATTTTTGTTTGTTGTGCAGGAATCATACATCTAGTATTCGAAAACTGAAATCAAAGAAAAAGACTAAGAAAGCGAAGTTTAAATCTCTGAAGAATGGTGGGTTGGCTGATGCATTCAAAAGTGTCGAGTCAACTCCGGAGCTGATGCCCATTGAGGGAGAGATTATGTATGATGACGAAATGACTTCTTCTGGCAATTCATCTCCATGTCTGAAGCGAGAGAAAAAACGTAAGCAGGCGCCATGTAGCGAAGAAAGAACGACAAAGAAGTCTAAGAAACTCAAGAAGACTGCTGAGACACCTTCTTCAGTTTTAAATTCCAAATATCTGGGAAAACGGCAGGATGAACCCAAATACTTTAGACATATCGAAAGTAGTGCAGTTGATGCTGATCTCAAGCTAGCCAACAGAAGTAAAGTGGGAAAGAAAATTTCTATCACTCCGATGCCTTTGAAGCGGGTTTTGACGATAAAAGCGGAGAAACCTAAGAAGAAAGGGACATTGTCAAAAGATCCTTTACCTGATTTTTGGTTGCCCCAGGAAGATGCTGCTTTATGTGCTGCTGTAGATGAGTATGGGCCAAATTGGAGCTTGGTAAGTGAAATCCTATACGGGATTTCCTCCGGTGGGCGTTTCCGTGGGAGGTACCGGCATCCTGTCCACTGTTCTGATAGGTTTAGGGAACTTGTACAAAAATATGTCTTCTCTGGCGTGGATGCTGTAAATAGTGATAAGGCATGCAATACTAGCTCTGGAAAGTCGCTGCTCAAAGTTACTGAGGTAAGGGGATGGAATGAAAGACAAAATGTTATGCTTGAATTTTTCTTTTGAGTTTTTGATGACTAAATTAAGCAAAGTAACTGAGGTAAGGTAATGGAAAGAAAGACTAAATTTTACCTTGGAGTATTAAATACAGTGCAAGTTTCTGATGACTAAATTAAGTACATAGTTAAGTTTCTGACTGGAGTTTTAGTTTGCATTGCTAATGTCCAGCTTGGTGGGAAGTTCTTTTTACTCCCTTTGTCAAATCTTATTCCAATTGGATTTTTAATGTTCATCGTTGAATGGTATCCAGTTTGTTGCTTACTAAAGGACTACTCTGTCTATGTATCAAGTTATTTTACTCGCTGCTTTTTTCGTAAAATATGGCTTGTTATGTTTTGTACTGATTGTGAATAAATTTTAAATAGGCATTATGCTTTTTTTTTATAACATAATATGGGATTTCTTCCTTTACCGTTTCTTGGCTCAGCTACCTTTTTCTTTGGAAAAATGATTTTTTTTCCCTTATATGTGGTAAAATTTTGCTGTAAGGTTTTAGTTTTGTGCTTTTGTTAACACATCACACTTTTGTTTCAGGACCACTTTAGGATTTTGTTGGATGTAACCTCTCAGCTGTCTGATCCTGAACATCTGGTTCAAAAGCATTTCTTTGCGCTTCTTTCTTCTGCATGGAGGTTCTCGTCTCATAGTAATCACCGCAGCACTGTCCCTTCCGAGAATGCCTTGTATTCTGCTGGCAGGAACCACTTCCAGAGGGGTCTTTATAGGGAATCACCTGAGACTGTAAAGTTTAGTAATTTGACTCTTTGCGGCAAGTTAGTGTCTGCTGCCTTGTTTGATGATGAAACAGCTAAAAAGGATGACAACCAGCCAATTTCCAATTCAATGAATGAAGCTTCTGTAGCTTCAGAGAGATTGGATATTACGCTTGAATTACTAGACAGTGAGCATGGTATTTCTGAGCATTTACCATCAGTTGTTAGTGTTTCAATACCTGGGCATGGATTTCCACCATCTCCAGAGGTTGGAGAACCAAAGCACCTTAGATCCTCCCAGAATTTAATTGAGAACCGGTTCAGGTACGGTAGTTACAGAATTGATTTTCAAGCTTTAATGTGTTTTGTTTTTACTGTGTGAGTAGTTGCATTCTTTCCAATCAGCTCTGTATATGTTGGGAGTAAAATATACGCTGTTTCTGCGTTTGATGTCTTATGGAATGCGACAAAGATTGTCTTTTCCTTGAATTACTGGAAACCTCTGTTTTCATGCAGTAATATTTTCATACTTGCGTAGCAGGCCTCTTTTTCATATTTTGTTGATCTGGTACAACTTACAAAGGTACAAGTTGACTACGACTGTTTTACAATTTCAACCATCGAGTACTACAAGTGGCTGAAAGTGGCCTATACCTTCTTTCTCTTGATTTTTATGCCTGTGTTTGTCAGATTTGAAAAGTGGTGCGGTTATCACCCCCTTTTTAAATGGATTTTCAATCTTTTAAGCGTCCCCTTTTCCCATGAGACTTTGCATACTGTCACCATTGTGGGATCATTGAAATTGAAGAAAAACATAATGTGAAGTCATTCTTTTCTTTAAATGACGAATGCTAGGTATTTGATGTTGAGCTATTGTTTAGTTGGTAATCCATTGCTCCACTCATGCCTTTTCCAGAGTTTCAACTAGTTCTTGCGTTGAAGACACTTCAGCAGCTGTTTCAAGTGGAGACACAAAGTCACGACCTTCAGTGAAGTCACAAGGTTTGGGGAAGCACAAACAATTACTTTCTGATTCGAATAAGGGTTCCAGAGCAAAGTTAAGAAAGACTGCCGTTGAATCAAGTCATGCTCGCGTTCTTCCGCCTGAACGAGCTTTTCATCCTATTTTTGGTGATTTTGGTGCAAAACATCAATTTGCTTCTACTAGCTTTACTGAATTAGGGATTTCTGATGTTGATTTCACTGCTTCCTTCGATGATGAACTTTCTCCTGCAAGGGAGGGCTCGGGTTTGGTTCCACATGAATACGATCCAGACTTCATTTCTGGGTTGGGTGATTGCTGTCTAATGCCTCATTTCACTGATGTTGGGTAAGATTGAAAGGAACTCTGATATTTTTGAGATTCGAGGTGAGGCATGCCTTAAAACGTCAGCACGGGAAATGACCTGCAGTCAAGGAGGGTACAGCCGTCCAGGATAGTTAAGGCTGGGGAATCATGTTCATACTGCTGGGGCGGGACAAAAAGAGGTGTGATGTAACCGGGATGGATGCTTTTGCAAGAGGCCGGGGTTCGGCAGCCCAGTGATCAACATGGAAACGATCCTGAAAATCTTGTATTGAAATTGACCCTTGCAGATGAATGGGCAGGGCAAGTTGGGGGTATTTTATTACCTGAGGCATATGATTAGAGGCCATGGAGATATCTATTTGTATTTTTTTTCCTCTCTTTCAGCGGGAACTATATGCTTGCAATTTTTGATAAAATTATGGAATGGTTATGCAAGCAGTTTCCCCTTTCAGACCAAATGAAAAAAAACATATAGATTCAATGAAAAAGCCTTCATTTTTGTTTCTACTTAATTTTCTGTGTGTTTGTGGGTGTGGGGTTCCATATTTGATGAGAGATTCTTCACAAAGGTTGAATGTGAGTTTGCCGCTAACATGAGTGTTTAGCTCTGATGCAGGAAAATTCCCTAAGTTTGCATCTATTGGCTGAAAAAGGAAGCCAAATAGAGGCATAGGTAATTATTTTTTTAACTCAGTTTGATTCTATTTCCTTCTTTTATTATTATGTTATAGTAAAAAGGATTAAATGACGATTGTAATCAGTTTGGTTATTCTTTAATGATGAGGATGGTAATCAATTTGGTTGTTCTTTACTCTTATCTGGCTCCAATATTTGTGTTCGTGTAGATATATTTGTTTGATTATAGCTGGCTTCGGTTTTTTCTTTTTTCCTTCCTTTCATATTTTTAGCTTGAAATTATATTGATAGAACATCGAAATTTCCTAATCATATTTTCAGTTTGTTTTTTTCTTCCAGAATCGTTTTAGGAATAGGAAATCTTCCGTTGTAACCAGACCGGAAAACATCACAATTAGGACAACTCGCAGCTTTTTATTATTCAGGTTTCCAGCTTCCTTTAGAATCAATTTTTTTCTGGTCGATTCAGGTAAATTTTTTCCCCTTCAATTCTGTTTCATTCATTCCTTTCAAACTGGTTGCAAGATTATTGTTAGCTTCGACATCTACTTTTAAAGAGTTCCTTGTTACGATTATTCTGTCGATTATTTTCATGTTTTCGGTGCGGACAATTGTTTGCATTTACTATTTGACTATTGTTTGGTATGATTTGCTTATTGACGATAATTCATATCATCGGTTTAATTGAAGATGGTAGTTGTTTCACGGACATATGATAATATTTACAGTGGAGTAATCTGGTTTGTGAGTGTTGCCTTTAGGTTATAGAATGGGCTTTTTGGTTGCCCTTTCTGGGTTGTACTGAATATGAATGCTGAAATGTGGAACTTTACTGTGTGTTTTGATAATTATGCTTATTCTACTGCCGTTAGACTGTTTTTCTTTTGACATGGATTTAGAGATTCTGAAGTTGAAGCTTGTTCCTGGCAATGCTAGCAAGAATTATTCCTTCTAATTCAAACTTTTTGCCTCTTGTACTCAGGTCGCTTTCTCGAGCTGTCATATTAGTAGTTGTCTAAATTCTGCTAATAGTTAATTCATGATACATTGATTGATTTAACAATTTTTAACATTATGATTGTTAAAATAACAGCAAACAAGCTATGATAGTAGCACAAGAAGACTGCTAATAGCTTTCTGATTTGTACCTACAGACCGCATAATGTTGGCGATTATGGTTGTTGTATAATAGGATCAAAATATAAAGATAATTTTTACCTCTAGACCGTTAATATTGTATCGGTTATTATTCAATTGCTTTTTGAACAAGGATGACAGCATGTTCTAGGTTACAGTGATGAAAACAGTGGCTCTTTTTCTATATTTTTCTTTATTCCAGTATTCGATGCAGTTGTAAAAAACTATTGGGGTATTATTTGTAAGCTAGAGTGACTGTTAGTTATTTCACTTATTAACACTTGGCTCTATTTAACCTGAATGATGTATCCCTTCCTTGGTAATTCCAAAAAAAACAAAAGAAAAAAGCCAGAATATGAATTAGATTTGGCTCAACCGGTTATGGTAAGAGTGCACAATCGTGTCTCAACCCGAGCCATGTCCGGCTGTCTCATCAAAGCTAGTATAAGAGAGAGATTCTTTAGATCATAAGACATCCGTATTATTACAACATCATTCTTCTTTAATCAAAATCACGGGTCCTCGTCATGAGATATGTGAAAACCAGAAGAAGGAGACTAGAGGTGTCATCCTTCGTTCGCTGGGATTTCTCATCAGTTTCAAATTAGGCTTCTCATTTACAAATACCTCAAATAAGTTTTAATGCTGGAAGGGCTAAATCAATAGCTCTTTGAAAAAGTTTGCTCGGCTTTCTTTTTTTTTTTTTTCCTTTTCTTTTTGTGATCATTTCTTGTAGACAGTGAAAAAAGGAAATTTAAAAATATAGATAAGAGGAGGGTTCGCACATCTCCAGATAGTGCCTATTGCATTTAAAACATAAGATGAGAGTGAGAAGGGTATCAAATCAACATTGGTTACTATCTTACTACCTCCGTTTTTTTTATCTGTCGCTTTAGGGTTTGCACAACTATTAAAAAAATAATGATTGAGAATTTAATTTATAAGGTATGTCTTTCTTGTCCCTAATTAAAAGTATTGGAACTCTAAAAACTTTGTATTTGAAATAAAAAAGTAAATAGTTGTCATTAATATATATCATTAAAAGTAGAGAGAGATAAAGGTAAAATTGAAAAATCTGTATTTAATGTTACATCGGAAATGAAGTGCGATAGATAAAAAAACACTTTGAGTTCACCCTAAAACGACAGATTAAAAAAAACAGAGATAGTAAAATTTATTAATGATTATGTAACGGCACGATTAATATTTGGAGTAATGATCGAGATAGTAACAATTAATAGTGAGATTTAATAATGAATTATAAAAAGACATATATATCATTCACAATAAATATGTGTATTTATTAACTACAGATAAAATTGTAACTTTTAGGAAAAAATATAATTTAACTAAAAATTGGTAAAAAAAAAAATAATGGGACCAATAATACTCTAAATCACTCACCGTTCTTTTTCACTAGTATTTTTTCACAATACATATTGTTTTCTAATATTTAAGGAAAATATCTTGTGAAAAAAGATTGTTTTCTAAATCACTCACCGTTCTTTTTCACTAGTATTTTTTTCACAACACATATTGTTTTCTAATATTTAAGGAAAATATCTCGTGAAAAAAGATAGTGAGTGATGTGAAGTATTATTGGCCTTATTTTTTTGGATCAAAGACATGTTGTATTCGGATGAGCCCATAAAAGTTGTATCCAATCCAACTGCTACGTCTTGAGAAGAAAAAGCCCGAGCCCATAATGATATGATAAAGAAAAAGTATAAAAGGACACCCACCCACCCCCCCCCCCTCACACACAACCCATTGTCTTTCCACAATGGGATCTGATGAAATTGGCTCACCGCAACCACCGTCTTCCTCCGTCGTTGGACACGTGTCCAATGTTTCCGAGCCCGCTACCGTCGCCTCCGCCCCGACCGAGGTGAACTCCTCCCCTGCTGTTCCTGAAACGGTGTCGTGCAGGAGGGAGAGGAGGAGAGGAACGTCCAAAAAGCACAATAAATCAGGCAAAGCCGCCGGCGGTAAGCGGGTTTATCCTTCGGCGCCGATTTCTTCCCTAAAGAAAAAGAAGAAGAAATATCAGTTATCATCGTCTATTGGTAAGTACAATATGTCTGATTTGATCTTTTTGCTCTTTTTTGTTTTTGATTTTTTTTTTCGGTTGCCTTTGCTGATTAATTTTTTGATGCTCCGTCTGGATGTTTGTTGGACTCTGGTTTATGTTGTTTGAGCATTGGTCGTTAGATTTGGATACAGCATATATTGTCATTACTGAAAAGTAACGATTCTCCGTCTTTGCTTTTCTTGATTTGTTCCAACAATTGGGAATGTTGGATTAGATGATTGTTTACGATTGTTAGAAAGCATGTAGTACTTTGTTTCTACCCTGATAAGGCATTAACACTCATGACCTAGTTTAATTATACTCCCTCTTTAGCAAAAATTATAATCCAGTTTGGATTTTCACTTTTTAGTACTGTATGAACTAAAAATGAAAATCTAAACCGAACAATTATTTCGGAACTGAGGGGGAGTATGTATTTCTCATGGCCTTAAGTTTTCTTGTCTTGGAGTAGTATGCTTATATATATTTATAGAGATAGTTTGGCCTTTTATTTTCTGCACATAAAACCAGAAGTTAGAAGGAAAAACTGACAACATAATTAACCATCCGATCTTAATTAGGAGATGATGAAGGAAAGATGACAACAATACGGGACAAGGACATGAAGAAGATGGAGGAAGTAGGAGGAGACGATGATGATGTGCAGGGTTGCATACCAGATGCAAAGCTCAAGGCCCGGGAAGCTGCAATTCAGAAGAAGTTGAGAGAGTTTCTTGAACGTACTGCGAACTATGATTTTTGCTACAATTTAGGCCCTATTAAGCTCGTACCTTTGTCCTAAATAATTGGAGGTATTATTAACTCTAGATCTGCTTGTTTTCGGTTATGAAAGCAGCGTTAGTTTTCTTGAGATGTATACGAACAGTAGCTATAATCTAATTGGCAATGATGTGAGTTCGGTGCCAGTGTTTGATGTTCAGTATATGTTAAGATTGTTAAATCTTGTTAATGAAAGCACTTGAATAGTTAGTTTGAGTTCTGATTTTGGAGTGATTAGACTTGGTCTCCGAATGATGATCTGAATGTTAGTTGTATGAGCCTTGAATCGACATTTTAATGTTGATGTAGTTGTGGTGGGAACTAGCTAGGGTGGTTAGTTTCAGGGACGGAGGAATCTCTTTTGACAGTCCAAGAAACTTCACGAGTCTTGGAGTATGGTTTGGGATTAAGGAACATCTCTTAGATCGTCGATGGAAGCCTAGTGAAGGCGACGACTTCGAGTCATCTTAGGAGTCGGTTTTGTGCCAAAACCTAGAAGATGTTGCATATAGAAGCTGACTCTGGTGTCAGCGGCGAAGAGTATAAATAATGAAGCTTGGGTTGACCGCAATGCACAACCCTAGTATACAACCTAAGCTTCAAGCTTCAAGCCTCTACCCTTTTTACTTATATGCCCTTATATGCCCTTTTTACTTTTCTTTTTGTCGCACTTATGCTCTAACTTCCTTCACAGTTTCCTTGTTTCTTTTAAGTCTCTTCAACCACTTTACTTTGATTTAATCATTGTATTTCGCTCTTAGATGTCCTTTTAATCATATCTAAGATTGGCTGTTCGGCTGTTTTTGATTATCTTATCCCCTCATATCACTTTTGCCATCAGCGTTACACTCGTTGTCTTGTCGGAGTTTGGACTTTGTGAATTGCACTATGGTGAATAAGTTTCTACTACTTTTTACTCGAACACAAGTACTCCTTCCCTTTAAAAAGTCCACATTGCATTCTACATATTATGCTAGTGAATAGTGATAGTGCCACATCTGTGCTAAAAAAAAATATACGCATCGGACGAGCAGGTCTTGGCTTACCAGAACTGTTCTTGGCTTTCTGCGAAATAATGAAAGACGAGCAACATTTAAAAAAAATAAAATAAAATAAAAAAACAAATGAAAGACAAGGCAAGGGATGGCTTTCCGAATGGCAGATAGAAAGGAACTCAAAATCTTGGTTGAAGTTTTCAAAAGAGAGCACACTGCAACTCCACAGTATAGAAGCTGAGGACAGTTATATAGAATGACATTTGATCCGAGTCCATTGGCATTCAAAGCAGCTCATGGCAAGGCTAATCTCATTTGCTACTACAAACAAACAAGACACACTGATTGGGCTTCGGAATTTTCGATTGGCCAGCAACTAAATAAAGACACTAACAGAAATTTCCCCGGGCCATACATGGTACTCCCACAGCAAGATGCGTAGTAGCAAACTGAAAACACTGAATGATATGTAGTCAATGGATCTTCTTTTGCTTCTTTGAGACTTCCAACCTGATTACAGAAATTAAGAAGGGTTAAAACATCAACTTAAGAAGTAGATTTGGATGAAGATTTTAAAGTAGATTTGGATGAAGATCAATGGAAAATTGGTGGCGAACAGACAAAGCAACAGCGGATGAACCTCTTTATACTTGTGGACTCCTTTTTTCTTTTGTTGGATTTGTTGGAATGGTCTCCGATGGACTGGTGAAACAATGGATTATCCAGAATACTTTGAACATAAGTATTATAGGATGGATGCGGTTTGGTGACAGCACCTTGGATAAACCGTAATTGCCCATCATAGAGGATGCCAACCTTCACTTGGACAAGGTCGAAATAGATTGGGCTGTAGTAGTACATCCAATCTACACCTATCAGCATGTCCATCTGACCTTTCAACCCAAGATTGGAAATGTTCAAGTCGAAGCTAAATCCCATGTCATCAAAACTCCAATCCACTTGACACATCTGTGAAACAACTCCTCCCTTTCCACTAAAACCAGTGCTCTCAAATGATTTTATACTGATGGGTTTCAACCCAAACTCTTCAACAGTGGAAGGACTAATGAAACTACAATTGGATCCAGTATCAAACATTGCAATAACCTGACGTTCAAGACGGTCCTTAAGGTACCCAACAAGAACAATATTAACCCTTGGTAAAGAAGAACAAGCCACCCTTTTTGTCAAACTACCACCACCACTCGCATCCATATAGGCGGCTTTTAGTGTTCGAGAGTGCCCGTCGATCTGGAGAGTTATACTGATATCTTTGAAATCGAAGATGACAGGGCTATACTCAAACATCCCACTATACCAATTAAAACCTCATGATCGTCATTGTGATTGTCTCCGATCATCAATTCCAATCGATTCGGTCTGTCAACAACCCCGTCAAGAATTACTTCCACCCCATGGCACACTTTAGTAATTGAAAAATGGTGCTCTCCAAATCCTTCCACCTCAATTGGTGGGATTAGATCGGTAATTGGTAACCCTAGGGAGGAGGCCTGAGATGGGTTTATGAAATTGTAATCCCGACTGCCTGTATCGAGAAATATTCTGAGTTTGCCATCTTTAATCCTTCCCGGAAGTATCATTCTTCTTCCCACTGCCGGGTTAGAGGAGTCTCCGGCTGATGGATTCTTGTAACTAATAACCACCATTATCTATGGCAGAAGGAGGATCTTAATCGGGAGAATAACTAAATTGGTTGTAAGTTGAATGTAAGAAGAAGTAGAGTAAAATACGAAATACCAAATGCTGTAGGCGGATCGCCGCGTCGGAGATGGATCATGCGGCGGCGGGGTCCGCCGGGATGGGACCTTTCCAATCTAATTGATGGATTCTTTATAGACTACTAGTTCTTTAGTCAATGTACGAAGACGAATAGTCATCTGCGAACAAATAGGAATTTCGAAACTATTGTTTTTTGCCACTTTCTCATTAATTCTAACTGGATTATACAAATATTAAATTCTTTCTTTGCATGCTCTTTTGAATTCCTAATTTTTTTTTTTTACCAATATAAGATGCAAAACGCCTAAATCGTTCAAATGACCACATTATGTAGATATAAGACATCACGATATGAAATTTTGAATCGGTGGGAAATGTTGAAAGACTGATTCAAAATTAGTTGAAGTAATTTTAGGAGTTTGATATTTAGAACATCTTCATCAATAGCGTAATTGGAGTTTAATCTCATAAGGATTACACGTTGAATCCAATAAAGTAAGTTCAATATCTTTTGTGTGTAGAACTAGTTTTGAGCGCAAAATTTGCTTCCTTTTTCAATTAAAAAAATTCTGACTGGCCCACGCAGATGGGAGCATCAGTCGCACTTTATCCATTTTCTCTCTCTCTCTCCATTTTCTTTTCATTTCTGTTTCAGCAGTCCCGGTTTTTTTTTTAATTCAACGTCATTGATATCCCATTTTTACTATTTTGAGAATTTTTTATCACTTTATCCTAGCAAAATTTGAAAAAATAAAAATTTCTTTATCCAAAATCTGCAAATCTTAAAAACATTAACACAACAGATAAAACAATCTGCAAACTACTTGTGTTTTTTTTTTTGAAATTTATATATCGAGTCATGACGCGGTTTAATAATAATTAATATTTTTATTATTGTTTACTTGTGTTTTTATTTTTTTTACAATTTTTTTTTCTAAATACTAAGAAAATTATATATTTGACGTAATTATATTTAAATGTAATAATTTTAGATAAATAATGCAGTAATAGTGAAATATTAGTGGGGTGGTAAAGAGTGGGGTAATTGTGGGTCTAATATTATATAGGTGATGAGTGTAATATTATTGGAATGAAAAGTTGAAAAAAAAAAAAAAAAAGAATGTGAATGGAACGCTGATATGGCAGTGTGGTTGGGTGTAGTGTTTTTTTGTTGATATGGAGATGCTTTTAAAAAGAGTTCTGGACTAGTTGATGATTAGAAAATAGGAGTTTTTTTTTTTTTTTTTTAACGGTACCTAGAGAAGTACCTGCACTATTACACATAGCTTTGTTATATGCCATATTATGCATCCCTGTAACATGTAATCTATTTGCTTCAATCAACATACCCGAAGAAAAGGAAGAAATTAAGAACATTAAAATAGGAATAACTTGTCGTGCTTTAGTAACAATGTCCCGATTATGTAGGCCGAATGTGATAAGTTCATAACATCCATTTGGAAAGTCGAGAGAAAATTGAGATCCACCGGTTTGACTTGCATTAACGCCCCTAATGGGGAGGTTATTTTCCAAGCCCAAGCCGCTTCCCAGTGTTGGGATGGAAAGAGCCATCAAAGAAAGAGCAATCAAAGACTAAAGTTGCCAAAGTCGGGTCATCCGCATCCGCGATCCTTTGTAATTGATTATTTGGGCTGGGGTTATTCGGGGGCAATAAAAGATTTTCAGAATTACTCATCAATCACAAAGAAGTGTTTGGTCCTCTTTATATCTCTTTTCCAGATCTTATTTCAGACAGAATCGTTAAACCTGACGAAAATTATCGTCTTTTTCCAATAGAAGGGTTTGGAACTTCGCCATGCTAGATTCTAACTCACTGGTTGAATCCTATTTTTTCACGACATCGTAATTATTATTACGATCTCCATGAATACCTTTATTTAACATGCATTCAAAAACTAACCCTGTCTTTGACGATGTGATGATGATGATTCGGCACAAGTCGAATATAATCTTATAAACCTGTTGCTATGAATAAGAGATCGCTATGATTAATAAACAATTGTAAGCTTCCCTAGTAATTACGCAAGAAGTCTAACCAACACGCCAGATAACAAATCATCAGGACGATTCCATTACTTCTCCACAATTTTATTTTTTTTTGGGAAAAATATTATTTTCTCATAAATAAGTTGACGAGAAAGACGAGTTTTTTTTTTTCTAAATTAACCCAATGCGTGAAACTATGTCCTTAAATAACACAAATTAGAATTTAATTTCATACTTGACTTTTTTACGGCCACTATATTTATATTGATTTTTTTTTTTTTATATATATATACTAACCTAATTTGTCAAAATATGTCCATAAGTAACACAAATTAAAATTTTATTCCTTACTTGACGTTTTTCACAGCCACATAAGTATACAGTTGACAAATTTTTACCTTTCATCTTCCTTATTATCCTTTTCCGCCGCTGCATCACCATCCCTCACAGTCCTATCTTAAAATCCATCCTTATCGTTTCTTCAAAATTCAAAACCCCACAGCCATGTTTGTCCTTTTTGTTAACTTGGCTCAATCATAAACTAGGCCTACCCTTGTGAATTGCTTTATTTTATTTGAGTTATCTCATTTGTTGCAACGGCCAAGAGGCACAAGGTGATTTTTTTTGCAGCGTAATATTGGAGTTTTGGAGTGTGATAGTGGATTGGGAGTGATGGTTTTGGTATTTGTTGGTAGCTGCTTGCGCCGTATTGTTCATTGTCTTTTTCTTCTTTTTTCTGTGTCATTTAGAATTTCGAATAAATTTTTCAAAAAATTATTGGTCAATCTCTTTTCCACAATTGGGATATTGATTGATGTATTGAGATGTTCTTTTAATTTGATTTCACTATGTGGTTTTGTCAATGGGGTTGACATTTCTTTATTAAAACTATGTTTGAAACAGCTTAAGTCCTTTCATCGAAGATGATGGCTATGGTTTTCCTTTTGGTGGGCTGTAATGGAGGCTGAAATGCAATGAATTTGAGCCAGAACTGCGGAAGAAAATTTATCTTTTTTAGATATGTGGAAGATCATTGAGCATGCATGGAGAGGAAAGAAAATTGTAAGACAATGCAATTAAAAAAAATGAAGAAAAGACGAGGCACAATGAATCCTACTGTTGAAAAATAAAGAAAAATTATAGTAGGATTTATTGTGACCCGTCTTTTCTTCATTTTTTTTTTAATTACATTGTCTTACAATTTTTTTTCCCCATCCGTGCATGCTCAATGATCTTCCACACATCTAAAAAAGATAAATTTTCTTCCGCAGTTCTGGCTCGAATTCATTTGCATTTCATCCTTTACTACAACCCACCAAAAGGAAAACCACAGCCACCATCTTCGATGAAAGGACTTAAGCTATTTCGAACATAGTTTTAATAAGGAAATATCAACCCCATTGACAAAACCACATAGTGAAATAAAATTAAAAGAACATCTCAACACATCAATCAATATCCCAATTGTGGAAAATAGATTGATCTGTAATTTTTTTTTGAAAAATATATTCGAAATCACTTCTAAATTACACAAAAAACAACAAAAAGACAATGAACAATACGGCATAAGCAGCTACCAACAAATACCAAAACCATCACTCCCAATCCACCATCACGCTCCAAAACTCCAATATTACACTGCAAAAAAAAATCACCTTGTGCCTCTTGATTGTTGCAACGAATGAGATACCTCAAATAAAATAAAGCAATTCCCAAGGGTAGGCCTAGTCTATGATTGAGGCAAGTTATCAAAAAGGACAAACATGGTTGTGGGGTTTTGAATATTGAAGGAACGATAAGGATGGATTTTAAGATAGGACTGTGAGGGATGGTGATGCGGTGGCGGAAAGGAGAATAAAGAAGATAAAGAGGTAAAAGTTTGTCAACTGTATACTTATGTGGCTGTGAAAAAAGTGAAGTAAGGAATAAAATTTCAATCTGTGTAACTTATGGACATATTTTGATAGATTAGGTTAGTATAGAAAAAAACTTTGAGGAAGACCATCGGTTGTTATATGTACGGACGCAATTTTTCAGGGCAATATTTAAGGTTTTATTCTTGGGTCAACTTGCTACTCATTATGCCCTAAAATTAATTATTGTCTAATTTAAGATTTTAATTTTAACGTAATTTGAACTAAAAATAAAAATCTAAACTTGTGACGGAGGGAGTATTAGGGTCTATACATAATCAACGCATATAAATATAGGACCAATGATGTAATTCATTCATCTTAACAAAACTTCTCCAAGAAGCTTGTACCAAGAAGGTGGGCTCATGTCTACCACTTCTCTGTCCATTTTAATTTTTTTTTTAATGACAAAAATAATTTAAAATTTTCCCAAAACTGAAAATTGAAATTTTCGAGGAACAAGAAACAAAGCCCGCTCAATTTTCTCCCAAATTGCCCCAATTCATTTCAATTTTCTCGTTATTCTGAATTCCCTCCTTCTATTGCTCCACTATTTAAAGAAAGCCCTGTAATTTTTTTTACTGACATCTTCTTTTTGTTCCCAAATCCTCCTACTAGGGTTCTTCTGTTTGAAGTTTAAAACCTCACTTCAGAAATTACTGCGCCCAATTTTGATTGAAATCTAGACGGTGTAATCAATTGTGAGCCGAAAATATGGTTAAGCGCGAGCCGGTTTCAACTCGCAGCGGGCGGAGTCGGAGATTGGGTGCAACTCAGGAGAATCAAAGGGACCAGAATGAAACCGGAGAGCCAAGTAATTCGAATCTCGGAGGAGATAGTAATAATGGTGGAAATAGTAGCAGGAAAGAGGGTTTGGATCGGAGAGTTCTTCGTGGCCGCTATATTAAGGTCAAGAACAGGATTTGTGGTGGGTTTATCTTTTTCTTTTTCTTTGTTGTTAGTTTTGACGGTGTTTTTTCATTAATTCCTTTTAGAATGGTTTAGTTTTTATTTTTTTTTGTTAGTTATCCCGATTTTTTTCCCTTTGAAATTTATGAATTTTGTGGCCGAAGTTATGGGCCTTGATGGATTGTGTGTAGTTTGCCTTATTCTGCATTCCGGCTTTGTTGGGAATGTGAATTGTTGTTTTAGAGATGTAATTACGTGTTTGTAAAACGGGAAATGAAATGCTGGTTGAACAAATAGATGCACGAAAGTGTCTGTTGTTCAAATACAGAGTTATTAGTAACAAATAGATTTCATTTGCTTTAACTATTGAGCTGAATTTTATTTAAAGAAGCCAAAGTGGTTTTTAAGGTTATGTGGATAGTGCAAAGTCTGTATCTTTTTTAAAATTGGTATACTTGTTGAGTTTATTTTAAATTCTTAATATTTTGTTCATCTTTATGCAGATGAGAGGGATGATTTATCCAAAGCAGATTCGAAAGCATTAGAGTCAATGATTGAATTGGTTGATAAGTTGCACAATCTTGGTAGGTTGGACTTCTTTATATGTTGTTGTGTTTGTATCTTGGATAATTCATGGTGATTGGGGATATACTGATTTGGAGGGACTTACCGAGGGTGGTTTGAAATAGATTTAAGTTGATTGACCATGACTTGCTTCCATTGGGTTTAACTTTGACTACGAGATTAATACATTTTGGAGTTATTATCGCACATGGAATGTTGCTCAGAGTTTTCACAGATATAAAACTCCGATCAACTATTTTGTTACTCCATGCAGCTGGTCTTATTTGATTAAAAGCTTGCTATTCTTTTGTGGTATTTTACAGTGGAGAAACCTAGGGAGCAGGTAGCTGATGCTGAGGCACTCTTGGATATCACAAATACCTTGGCCTCCTCTGTCCAGGCTCACACTGGTGATGGACTTACTCCTGCAGATTTTGTCAGTTGTCTGCTTAGGGATTTTGCACAACAAGGTGGTCCAAGCACTAGTTCTGCAGATGTTCCTAGGAACTCGATTTGTTGGAAGGAAATTGGTCTTAAAGTCTCTCATTTTTTAAGGAGTGCTCCAGGATGTTCCACCATGTAAAATTTCTGCAGCTTCATTTCTTTTCTCTTGTCTATGGAACTAAAGTTTTGTGTTGTTTGATTGATATTCTTACTAGTATTTTTGCTCTTTTAATGCTTATACAGGGTTGGCCCAATGAATACTGAAATCAAGCAGCGCAAACCCATTGTTCGGAGAAAGCGTGCAAGGCCCTCTGAAAGTGCTCGACCTGAGGATGTAAAGATTCTGTCACTAGGCTATTCTTTAAATCTATTTGTACATTTCTGCAGACTAAAAGTCACATTCTTTTGATTGTATGTGCAGCTCAATAATGCTGAAACTGAAGAGCAGACGGATACTGACAAAAATATGGCGACAATGTTTGGCATTTTGAGGGGGAACAGGAAGGTTTGCCTTGAGAATTTGATAGTGAACAAGAAGTCTTTTGCTCAAACAGTTGAGAATTTGTTTGCATTGTCATTTCTCGTGAAGGATGGGCGCGCTGAAATTACAGTTGATGAAGAAGGAACTCACCTAGTTTGTAAGATTTCAAACTCAAATGATTATTTTCTCCTCTTTAGTTCATCTATTTTTTTTAATTTTTTTTTTTGATTTAATGTTGTCTTTTAACTTGAAATCCAATTTTTTTCAGCACCAAGGAATGCCCCTGCAGCTGCTGCAGTTCATTCTGGGGATGTTTCTTACAGCCACTTTGTCTTCAGATTTGATTTTAGTGATTGGAAGGTACGGTGAGATGAATGTTAACATTGGACTGATGGTCTAGATTAATTTAGATGAATTGGTGTTGGTTGCTTTGTGACTCATAAAAAATTGCTCTCAAAGGTAATATGTTCAAAATGACTATGAAGTATGTTATGGTAAATTTTTCCCTAATAGTTAAATGTAGCAATATATCAGCCTTGGGGATTGCATTCATCCATGTGCCCCTTGTTTATTTTTTTCGCTGGTTTCTGCTTGGAGTCTAAGCAGTCTTTTTGTTGGTTTCATGTTCATCATACTTTGTTCCAAAGTTCAACTTTGTGAGGAATTTGCTTGTCTATGTGGGTACTCTGTGTTCGGTTGACATATTTGATGCTAACTAATGTATTCTAATCTACATATTACTGGTCTAAATTGCAGCTAATGATGGCTTGTGTTGAGGATGGGGAGGAACTAATGCCACACAGGGAGTATGTGGATGACCATGCAAGCAATACTCAACAAGCTGATGGTCCAACTGAAGAAGAACCCCAGGCAACAACAATGCAGACGACACCGATAAGGAAACTTTCCAGAAATCGTGGTCTGGTTATGCAAGATCAAAGAGTGGTTGAAGATTCCCCTGAAAGTGATGACTTATCGGCAAGAGCTGCTGCAATCCGTAGAGGAAAACGGAAGCTCGTTTAAGTGAAGTTAATAATAAATTACACCCTTCATTTTGGCAAAAAAATGTACAGTTCCTTTTGTGAGTTTGAAATTGTGGAAGAGTAAAATTCGGTTTAGATGGATTAGATTAGCCCTTCCCCAGGTTCCCCTAGTTCTTTTTGCTGCAGTCACTCATTACTTTAGCTGTCAACCAGTTTACTTCTGGTACTGCTAGGGTTGGGTATGTATTTAGACTTTAGAGTATCCTCAAGGGGGTTGGTTGTACTTGTAACCTATTCATTTTGTTGCTTTGCAGTCTGCAGTGTGTTTTTTTTTGTACAGATTAGGGCCGAAGATCAAACGTAGCCTTAAACTCTCATGGGCTGCCCGCATAAGAAATTGGGTGTACTTTGGATTTGGCTGTATGTAATTCGGCCCATCAGATATTGCTTCAGTCAATGTTTAGCTTTGTCAGAATTCAAAGGATAGGAATCCATCAATTTATAAGCTACAGAAGAGGAAAGAAGGAAGGTTCGCTATTAAAAAAGGTCATGTGATGTAAGGAGCTAAATTTGACAAAAAGATGAAAACCGGTAACCCTATTACAATTTCAATTATTGATTCTATCCGCTAGTGTAGTAATTGTATCTTTTATTGTTAGAATTGGTTAACAAATTGTAACTTTTTTCCTTGTTAGAATTGGTTAATAATTACGCTTTTAAATTGAATTATTATCTAAAAATCGATTTAGAAAAGGATCATAATTTTGTCCAACTCTCTCTCTGTATAAGTCATCCACCGGTGCGTTAACCAAGAACTACCAAATTTTCTTTGAGGGTTTGCTGATTTGCTGCCACAGAGAAAAAGTTGAAGAGAAATAGGTATGTTTATTACTGCTGCTGCTTCTCTTTTTTCTTTTTTGTTTGAAAATTACTACTGCTTGTTCGTCCTGATCTCTAGATTTAATTAGATTTAAAGGTTTCAATTTTACTGCATTATGAAAAAGATTCCTGTAATTTTTTTTTTTTCTAACGAAGGCTTTGCATGATTGTGTTCTTCGATTTTTTTTGTTTTTTGGTTCCTTTTTCTGTTATATAGTATCTGGTTGGTCTAATTAATGCTCTTTTCTTCGTTTTTTTGACTGGTGCTTTTAGCGGTAAGGTACTAAAAGGCGGAAAAGGAAAGCTCAGGAAGATTATCAATTAACGAAAGGAAGAAAGAAAGATGTATTACAAGGTTGCTAAAGCGTCCGAGTTTCTGGCTATCACCGGAGCCGGAATTTCCGACATCAAAATCACCAAGAAGGCCATCATCTGGCCTTTTCAGCGATGCAGAATCATCGATGTCACTCCGGTGAACTACACTTTTGAAGTTCATGCTATGAGCTCGGAGAAGTTGCCGTTCCTTCTCCCTGCCGTTTTCACAATTGGCCCGAGAACGGAAGATCTCGAGAGCCTCATCAAGTTCGCTAGGCTTCTCTCTGAACACAGCAGCGATTCGCACAATGTGAGGGAGCTGGTTCAAGGTGTGATCGAGGGCGAAACTCGGGTTCTCGCGGCTTCCATGACCATGGAAGAAGTCTTCAAAGGGACTAAAGAGTTTAAGCAGGAAGTGTTTGAGAAGGTTCAACTGGAGCTCAATCAATTTGGGTTGGCAATCTACAATGCTAACATCAAGCAGCTTGTTGATGTTCCCGGCCATGAGTACTTCTCGTATTTGGGCCAAAAGACCCAAATGGAGGCTGCCAATCAAGCTAAAGTTGATGTCTCTGAGGCTAAGATGAAGGGTGAGATTGGAGCTAAGGAAAGGCAAGGATTGACCCTTCAAAACGCAGCCAAGATTGATGCTGAGACCAAGATCATCACTAAGCAAAGGGAAGGTGAGGGAAAGAAGCAAGAGATTCAGGTTCAATCCCAAGTCCAGATCTTTGACACCCAAAAGCAGGCTGAGGTCGCGGAGGCGAATGCTTTGCTTGCTACCAAGAAGGCCGGTTGGTCTCAGCAAGCAAAGATTGCTGAAGTGGAGGCTCAAAAGGCTGTAGCCATAAGAGATGCAGAGTTACAGCAGGAAGTCGAAAAGAAGAATGTCTTGGCCAAGACTGAACAACTTAAGGCTGAAAAATTGAGCAAGGCCACAGTTGACTACGAGATTCAGGTATTTTTTCTTTTTATGCTTTGATTTCACAGATTTTTCTGTTAACTAGATATCTGATATGTTTATTGATTCACATTATGTAATTTACACATCTTTTTGTTTAACTAAATAGGTTCAAGAAGCCAATTCAGTTCTCTACAAGAAGCAAAAGGATGCTGAAGCAGTCCTATACCAGAGGGAAAAGGCAGCAGATGCACAAAAGGTGGAAGCAAAGGCTCAGTTCTTCGCGAGGCAACAAGTTGCGGATGCTGAACTGTATGCGAAAAAGAAAGAAGCCGAAGGAATGGTGGCTCTTGCTGAGGCCCAAGCCACTTATGTCAGCAAGCTGTTGCAATCGTTTGGTGGAAACTACCATGCCATGAGGGATTACCTAATGATCAATGGAGGCATGTACAAGGACATTGCCCAAATCAACGGGAACGCGATTAAGGGATTGCAGCCAAAGATCAGTGTGTGGAGTAATGGCAATGGTGGAGAAGGCAAAGAAGGGAGTGCTATGAATGAAATCGCTTCTGTTTACAAGGCTTTGCCGCCATTGTTTCAGACAGTGCACGAGCAAACCGGCATGCTCCCTCCGGCTTGGATGGGCAGTCTCCCTAGTCCTACAAGCTCAGATGCTAGTCAAGTTGTCAAGGCAAATTAGGCACACATTTATTTCTTTGACCAGAACTCTACAATTTTAGGTTTGATGATTGGAAGTTGTTATTCAAATTATTATTAGTAACTAGTTGACTTGGTTTCAGCTCTATAGTTGCTGCAAAGACTAGTTCAATATGTCAAATATGTTTTTGACAAAGCTTTTGAATTCTCGAAGGTACAGTAATTTTTACTCGATTAGTTAACGTTAATCTTCTGGCAGGATCATTCATGCGTGTTGTATCAAAAATACCGAACCACCAACATTCAAAAACGAGGAATGGGTCACCCATACAAAGAGCGTGTCAAAACTTATGATTATATATCGAACAAATGTAACTTGGGCCTATAGCTACAAATCTACTCCAACAAATAATGGACCTCCAAAAAGTTGGGCCTTGAATAAAGAAAATATTACGTCATCCCAGTAAATCAGAGTAAAAGTTTCATACTACCTCCTTCCTAAAAAATAGTTCATATCAAGTTTTGAGATTTGTACTAATTTTAGTATAAATTTAAAAACTCAATGTTGACTATTTTTGTGGGATGGAGGTAGTAATAGTTAATGATGATGGCTCTTTATTAACAACAAGATAGAAAAAAAAAAGGAAAGAACCAAAATTTGCTAAAAGATCATATTCACCATTTATGTTGTGAACGAAAAGTGAGAAAAGGAAAAACAAAAAAACAAAAAAAGTTAAAGACGAAATTAACTTATTACTACTATTTTCAAAAAAAACTTATTACCACTATTTTATTTTTTTTTGAAGATTGATCGAAATATAAAGCGGGGCAAACGTATGACGGAAAAAAAATTATAAGGAAAAAAGCAAAGTAATTAAATGGAAATTCTAATTACACATTTATGATCTCCTTCTTCAATTCTGCTACGTACTACAAGCAAAGTAAGAAAAGCAACATTATTCTTCCTCCTCCCCATTTCTCACTCTATAAAAGTTATCAATGCGTTTGGGACTACCGTAAAATTTCTTCCAGGGTTTTGAGATTTCCGCGGCAGGAAAAAAAAAAAGAAAAAAGTTGAAGTGAAAGCAAAGGTAAAAAAACCCCTCCATCCCTTTCGAAGTTTAAACCCCTTTTCTTTGCTATTTCTTTTTAGAATAATCTATTCTAGCGGAGAATGTTTGGAACCTGTAAAAAAAAAGATTTTATGGCGGCCCTTTTACTGTGTGTTTATACGTTTTGTAAAATTCTATGGTACGTACGGCTTTTCTTTTGAGGGTTTTTGACGGTAATGGCTTTTGACTACTTTCTTCTGTTTGCGTCGCTCTCGCCTTACAATTTCTATGGTGATTTCTGTGTGCTAAAGGGCTGAAGTAAAAGCCAATTTTTTTTCACCAGCTTTTGTTTTGTTGGTTTTTTCTTTTTCGAAAATCGTTTTGCTCCGTCTAATCCATGAACCGATCAATGTTTATTAACGTTTGTATGTATGATTTGGGTGCATTATTATTTTATTATTGTGTAAATAAAGACCCAATATAAACAGACAAGTAAAAGACAGAAAGGGGTCGTTAATTGTAAAGTCGTAACACCACAGCTTCTTTTGCTTCCCTGGCATTTCATCGACTTTGGTTTTGTAGATTTATAATCAATTATGCTTGTAGAGGATTATGAAGTAAGATTTCTTCATAGATATCTTGTTGTAATTTTTTCATGCTTCATAGACCGACGGATCAAAATTAAAATTCATGTTTGTGGGTATTTTATTAGTGAAGCCTTGTTGGTTTTATTCTGAAAATATGGTATAGAGTTAGACAGATGTGTTAGTGCAAATAATATGAAAAAATCTTTGCTGCTGTTCTGTTTTTCTATTTCCCTTGTATCTAGGAAGATTTCATGTTAGGTTATTGCTCATTGATTCATGATTGTTTTTGTGTCATGGCAGATAATTTACTACAAAGAAAACAAAGATGTATAGGGTTGCCAAAGCGTCTGAGTTTCTGGCCATCACTGGAGCCGGAATTAATGACATCAAGATCACTAAGAAAGCTGTAGTTTGGCCATTTCAGCGATGCCGGGTCATTGATGCAACTCCGGTGAACTACACCTTCGAGGTGAATGCAATGAGTGCTGAGAAGTTGCCTTTCCTTCTTCCTGCTGTGTTCACAATTGGTCCGAGGGTGGATGATCATGACAGCCTCATTAAGTTTGCTAAGCTTCTCTCTGAACACAGAAGCGATTCGCATAATGTTAGGGAGCTCGTTCAAGGCATTATCGAGGGAGAAACTCGTGTTCTAGCTGCTTCGATGACCATGGAAGAAGTCTTCAAAGGGACTAAAGATTTTAAGAAGGAAGTGTTCGGGAAGGTTCAACTGGAGCTCGATCAATTTGGACTGGCAATCTACAATGCTAACATCAAGCAACTTGTTGACGTTCCTGGCCACGAATACTTCTCTTACTTGGGCCAAAAAACCCAAATGGAGGCTGCCAATCAAGCCAAGATTGACGTGTCTGAAGCGAAAATGAAGGGAGAAATAGGAGCCAAGGAACGACAAGGATTGACGGCTCAAAATGCTGCCAAAATTGATGCTGAGACAAAGATCATATCTAAACAAAGGGAAGGCGAGGGAAGAAAGCGGGAGATTGAAGTCCAGTCCCAAGTCCAGATTTTTGACACCCAAAAGCAGGCTGAAGTTGCAGAGGCAAATGCTTTGCTTTCTACCAGGAAGGCAGGTTGGTCTCAACAAGCTAAGATGGCGGAAGTTGAGGCCCAAAAGGCTGTAGCAATTAGGGAAGCAGAGTTACAACAGGAAGTTGAAAAGAAAAATGCGTTGGCTATGACTGAACAGCTTAAAGCTGAAAAATTGAGCAAGGCTACAGTTGATTATGACATTAAGGTGAGTTTTTCTGAAGCTTGATCCTGCAGATTGCATTAATGATTTTTTTTTCCCCACATGAAAATTCTGAAATCTGAAATGTTATTTGGACATCACATTATATCTGAAACTTTTGTCAAACACTAGGTTCAAGAAGCCAATTCAGTTTTGTACAAGAAGCAGAAGGAAGCTGAAGCAAACCTGTACGAGATTGAAAAGGCAGCAGATGCTAAAAGGGTGGAAGCAAAAGCTCAGTATTTCGTGAGGCAACAAGCTGCAGATGCTGAACTCTATGCAAAAAAGAAAGAAGCTGAAGGAATGGTAGCTCTTGCTGATGCACAAGCCACTTACATCAGCAAACTGTTGCACTCATTTGGTGGAAACTACCATGCTATGAGAGATTATTTGATGATCAACGGAGGAATGTACAAGGACATTGCCCAAATCAATGCAAATGCTATTAAGGGATTACAGCCGAAGATCAGTGTTTGGAGTAATGGTAATGGTGGAGAAGGCAAAGAGGGAACTGCTATGAATGAAATAGCTTCTGTTTACAAGGCGTTGCCTCCGTTGTTTCAGACAGTGAATGAGCAAACTGGCATGCTCCCTCCAGCTTGGATGGGCACTCTCTCTACTTCTTCTAGTTTAGATGCTAGCCAGATTGTTGTGGCAAATCAAGCTAGCTCCAGAAATTAGGCTTTGAAGTTGGAAGTTCTTTTGCTTATACAGGTGGTTTGAGGTTGCTTTGCAGTTAGAATATGCCAAAGATATTATCAGTAGAAGTAAATTGATGCACTTATCTTTTTTCAACGTGGAGTACTACAAACATATGATATTTCGAATTTTGACTTCAAAATCGATGGTTTTGGATTGTGCTCTAGACTGGTCTCACTTCTTTGCCTCGTGAATGTTTAATTTTGATTTAATTTTTTTTTTTTTGTCTCACCTTTTTTTTCTTTTTTTTTTTGGATATTTTTCGTCTCACCTTTTTGCTGTGTGAATGTTTATTAATTTAATTTAGTGGTGAAGCAGCTTCATATTTTATCAGTTGCGTACAACGTGCAAATGGTATAGAAAATGGATTATCCAATTTGCCTGAGAATGATTGTCGAAATTGGAAAGGAGAACATATTTGCAAAGCATCAGGGTCTAGTTTTTATTACATGTAAGTTTTAGATTGAGTACCCCGGCTTGGGCTTGCAGTTAAATATAAATAATTCACCTTACCTGACAAAAGGTGTGCTTGAAGAGAGTGTTTTCCTTAATGCTGCTTCAAATACGGGGAATTTTGAAAGAAACTTTAGGATTGTGATTACAACATACAAAAGCAGAAGCTCAACCTGTTTTTCTTTCGGTTTCTCTAATATAATAATAAAATAGTACAACTACCCTCACTTCAAAATGAAGCCCTAGTTGGCTTGTTCCTGAATACCGGCAATGACTCAAACCTTATTATCAATGTGATATCTGGATACAAAATCTACGAACCATATCAAACATCTAGCTTTTGTTGTCTTTTGGGATGTCAAGATCACGGAAGACCGGACTATCAACACCTACTCCCATTGCATTCAGCCCATTATCAACATAAACGACAGCACCAGTAATAGCAGAAGCCAAAGGTGATGCTAAAAATGCAGCGGCATTGCCAACCTCCTCTGTTTCATAGAATTTATATCTTAGTAAGGGAGAAGCAAAAAGAAGATGAACAGACAATTGTGTGCCTTTGCGTGTGCATGTGTGCCCCCCGCATGTGGGAATTAGAGGAAGCCAAGTGAAAGAGCAAAATTTGTTCAAAAGAGATGATGTATTAATTACCAGCAGATAGTTCCTTTTGCAAGGGGGCATTTTCCAATGAATAATCAATCATCATATCAATGAAACCAATGGCTTTAGCGGCACGACTTCTCAAAGGACCTGCATCAGGTCAGGTACAGTAAGCCCAAGTCAGTGAGTGTAAGCAGTTCAACAAATAGATCCTAGGAGGAGCATTAGGTCCGTTAGAATATTTGACCAACCACATTCACTAAAAGCACCCGATATTGAACCAACAGCTGTTTTCTGTTCACAAGGTTTTTAACTGGGTATGAACCAAGTAATCTCACTGGCAAAGAAATGTTAAAATCCAGCAAGGACATGATTTTGCTGAAGGAGAGTTTGATTTACCTGCAGATATTGTGTTCACTCTGATTCTGTGCTTCCTGCCGGCTTCAAAAGCAAGCACCTTTGAACGAACAATTGAAGTCACTAAGTAGTAAGTATAAACTAACTACAATCCTCATGCATTAGATATAAAAAAAGAAAGCTCACCCTTGTGTCACTCTCCAAAGCAGCCTTAGCTGAACTCATGCCTCCTCCATATCTGGTAGACTAGGAAAAATTAATTTAAGGATACGCAATGGAGAAACACCGTAGATTGAAGGAAAGGAAAACATACCCAGGTATAATGCTTTCAGATGCAATGTATGTCAGCGAGATTGTTGCACCACCTGTATTTTGGAAAAACCGACAAAACTTTTAAGGCAAAATTTCCCTTACTGGTGAAGCATATGACATCTAGAAACAATTGATTCAATGAGTGCCGGTAAAACAACAGGGACTGAAAAACAAAAGATACCTGGATTCATTAAGGGAGCAAAGTACTTCAGTAATGATATAAAAGAATAACTTGAAGCAGAAACCGCTGCAAGATAACCATATCTTGATGTCTCCAAAAGAGGCTTAGTAACCTGCAAAATTTTTTCGTTTCAAGTCAAACAACCTTTGAATGGTGAGACAACAGCTGAGATAAAGAAAAAAAAAAACCAAAAAAGGGGAAAAGGAAGACAAGTACCTCTGGACCATTAGCAAGTGAGTGTACAAGAATGTCTATCGTGCCAAAGTCTTGTTTCACAGACTCGGCCACTTCCTGCAATATAAAGCAAATTACTATGCTCAACTTGCATTGCAGCATTTATAGATGCTAGATATGGCAACTTCAATCATGAAAGTCAGTTCAATGTGCATCCATTCAACAGAAGACCAAATTTTGAAGTTAGAACCATTATTCTTGTTATTGCTTGTAAAATGTATGACTACAAGTATAAGAAATCAAAATTGAGCAAACCCTGTAAACTTGCAATTTCAGAAAATTATATGCACACAGAGGATTACCCACATTTCCCTTTTCAACACTTAATTGCACATTTATTACGCTCAAGTTCACTAAACTAAAAATTTCTAGTGACAGACTTTAACGAATACAAAAGTCAAAACAAATTATGATAACATGTAAAAAGTTTGCACTGCAAGCAACAACAATTGTGAAGCAGAAGCATTTCTCAGGTGTGCCTTTTGAAGTAGTTAACAGCAAGGCACTGTTTTCAATTCATATGGTCCCAAATCACAAATTCACATTCATGCATAAGGAACACAAGAAATGGTTTTGACACTCTTGGGTTGCAAGAATCTACAGAATGATTTTCGTCCGCTGAGAAATCCATTGATAATGGAGAATAACAAGATGAGCATAGAACAGATCATACAAGAGAAAGATGACAGGAGATATGAGGTCCTCACCTTGACAGTCCAGTTTGAAGAGCCTGCGTAGCGTTTGTTTGCCTTAACCTGTAAAACAAATAGAAACAAACTTCTCATCTATGATGACATAAGGTGTCTTCGGTTACATCCGCTTAAGCAATTTAATAAGAAGACTTGAGCTTACATCTTCAGGAACATCCTCGGGAGTATCATAGACTGCATCTAAAGGGTACACCTTTTTAATTTCCATAAGAGAACCGTCTGGAAGCCTGAGAAAAGAAATCAGTCAGAAGTAGGCTGAAATTGGAAAGCACATACCCTTTCATGCACGAACAAATCATTGCTTACACACGGGACTCGTCAAATTTTCCACGGCGTAAACTGGTCTCAAATATGTTCAATGCCTGGTAAAAAGAACAATAAAGATAAAAGTTTCAGAAAGTCAATGAGAAGAACAATATAGTAAATCCAATCTAATTGACCAAGAAGTTGAAGGAAATACATACGGGCACCCATGTACCGAGAAGAATTTCAGCACCAGCAGCTGCAAGGGACTTTGCTATTGCCCATCCGTATCCATTATCATCAGCAACACCAGCTATGAAAGCCCTCTTTCCTGCAGGCGACAGTGTCTGCTATAAGCTTATCCATCATGATTCATATAACTTTAAGAGTGATAAGTTTAATGCAATTCCATTGTTTGAAGCGAATACTTCTAACCCTATAAATGGATTCTAACTCCAGAACTAATGCAGAAAATTAAAAATGTGGGCGCCTATACACAGAAGCAGATCTGCAACAGCTTTAGTTGGCCAACTAGAGTGAACATATGAAATGCAAAACTCAATCTGTGTAGTAATCATAGTGTCCAGAACAACTGAGCGGACAACTGAATCTTTGTCCCTCTACGCGGCTCAATTAAATTTCTACATGCCTACCATATGCCAAATTAAATTCCCACCTCTCAAGTCAATAGGCAATCCAGGTAGAGTCTCCTTGTCACTTTGTGCAGACATTGCTTTGGTGATAGTCCTCTGATACTTCAAAGGGTGGGAGTTAAGCTTCTGGCAGAAGGACCATGTCGATGAGATGTTCGATGAGCTTCTGAGCTTTGCCCAACAGTCAGATTTAGTTTCAGACCCAAAATTAGCGACATTTGATTTAAAAGTTTTACGAGATGCCGAAAGGCAGGGCTTTGGGACTGCAATATGGGTTCCAGCAGTTGCAGTTGCAGCCATTTCTCTTGATCTGATTCACAAGATAAGAAGAATCTGCAAAGTGTAATCAGCAATCAGCCATACTTCTCTTAAATCCAACTAGCAGACAAAATTGCAGGCAAATAGTTTCACAAACTGTAGTATAAATGTCACCACAAGATCAAATTTTGCAATTTCATAAATCATCCCAACTACATCATTCAGGATAAGTAGCTTTTATCAAACAATGTAACATCAGTTATATGATTAAGTATCTCTATCTGTTGATACCAATATTTTAATTGAGATTTAATTTAGAACTTATCTTCTCCTATAGCTTCTTTCTAAGTTCTTTTTGGGCTTCCTCTCCCCACTCTTAATTTCCTCCCTTTTTATTTTGAGTTTAAGTTACTTCAGTTCAAGTCTTTCCGTTGCCTAACTGAGCACCATTCTCATAATACAAAAGGGCCATTTCTTTTTTCCTTAAAAAAATCCTCATCCATAAATCAGATTGGCATATCCAACACAGCTCAAATTAAAACATTATAAAATCATTTACACAAAACTACCAATGTTCAAAACCAAAAATCACAAGATTATTTTTGACAACCTGCAAACTCACACAAATGCATACAAGCAGCAAATTAAACCGAAATGAACAAAACAACAGAATAGATTAAGGCTAAACACCAGAAACAAGGCAGCAAAGCTTGCCACCCTCCAAAGATCTCATCTTTAGCCATCCAGAAATCCAGTTCTCAAAAAAAAAAAAAACCCTCCTCGGAAAAACACGAGAAAAGAGCAAATTGCATGCCGAATGGATCAGCATTGAAGCAATGCAAGCAGAAAAGATCATCGACATTCTAGAGACAAACGGGGTAAGCAAGCAAGAAAGAGATAGACTCACCTGAGAAATGGAGGACGATTAAAACGAAGAATTTGCCCAAATGAAAGATGACTAGGAGGAGAAAACCGAAGAAACCCCGAGGGTGGAATTGTGTGTTTATATATATATATATAAGAGGCGTATGAGACTTTAAGGTGTTTTTCGATGAAATCGATGTATTACAGTGAAGAGAGAGTGATGTGGAGAGGGGGAAAAGGTTGGGGGTTGGTTTAACCGTTGTGGAACTTTGATAGTGCCGCAGTGAAGACGGCAACTAAATGACTGTTTTATCCCCCACAAAAAGAGCCCATATATAGTGTCTTTCAAGTAAGGCCCAAATTACGCTTATCTTTTGGGTTCAGATTCTGATTTAAGAGGAAGGATCAGCCCATATCCTGACCTTTTTGTGAATCCTTTAACCGAGGTAAGGCCCAAATCAATATATAGTTTTCGATTAGTATTTTTTTTTCCCCCCAAACTTCCTTCCCACATTCCATGGCAGTAGCCAGTAGTACAACCATGGCTGATTTCGGAGCATCACAATTCGGGTATTGCCGCCTTCATTCGGGTCTCCATTTCGGGCAAACCGTGATTTCCCTATTACTCCAATTGATATCGGAGTGCGGTAACTCCTAAGCTTTCTAAAATTACTCCCATTTTCATATTACTATTTTGAATTTCTTCATTTTATTTCCACGAAATTATGAAGATGGATTGTTGAAGTTTTGTGGTTAAGTCGTTGTTTTGATGAAGTTTTTGCTAATGATTTTGAAAATCATGATGATTTTGCTTTAGATGTTATCAATTTCAATTTCTATTTTCTTTTCTACTTAATCATAATCTGCAACATCTTTTTCCAGTAAACAAAAGGAATTTCTGATAAGATGCGTGCCTAACGAAGTAGAAGTGTTAAAAAAATCAATGATGTTGTAATGTACGTTTGAAGCTATAATTTCAACGTGATTTTATAATCCTTTACCGTATTGCTTATTTCTTGACCATAGAAGTGGTTGCTTAAAAGTTTTTGTTAAAATCATTAGCTCAAGTAACATGATACCTATATGGACAGGCGTTTTTTTTTTTACATTGATCTCATATAGGCATTGAAATTTCATACGGTTTTGACATGATGGCAGGTTGATTCGTATAGCATATAGGCATGAATTCAAATAATTAAGTGTCTTGCTCGACAGCTAACCTTTTATTGATAATAATTGCGTATGATTCTGAAAGGTAATATAAAATGCTGTTCAAGAAAGGCTGAGCTGTATTTTCCTCGGGCAAATTTGTTCATTTCTGTAACGGCGATAGACTGATTCTCAACAGGTTTTCCTGGGTAAAACCTTTATTTACCAAATAAATGTTTTCCTTCAATTGTTGAAGTCCTAAAGTGTGAATTATTCTTAAGATTGCAAGTTGATTACTTATAATAATCCGATGGTGGAGTATGGATGTTGTATTATCTATCCCTTTCAATAGTACTTTTTGGCTGTTTTTGAGGTCTCTTTTGAACTAGATGTGAAATTTTTTGGTATGCACGGAATGGTAATGATAAACACTGGCTTGCCGATTATTAGTTTTGTTCGGCAGCGCAAATTAGATAATTTCCAAACAGGTTCTTGAATGGTGAAGCACAAAAAATCCGGTACAAATGAAATTCTTAAATTCAGTCATTTATAGCCGGAGTATAATACAGTTCGAAATGCCATGTTAGTACTAGGCAATTTCTTTTCGGTGCATAATTTTCTTCTGTAATTAAAGACTTTTTAATTATTTGTTAACCTCAGGTTTTATTGTAGTATTTATCGTGGTGCAGGAATTTGCCACCAACGGGATCTGTTTGTTGGTTGCGAGTTGGTAATTTAACTATAGGAAGCTTTTTCTCTTTATGAAGGAGTGGTGCCACCACTCACTTACTTGGTTACCATATCCCATATTAGATTTAACTGATTACTGATGGCTAATTTCTCTTTTCAGTTTTCCATTCTTTGGTAACTAAATTCTCAACTTTTGTATTATGGGGAGGTCTTCTGTGCTTGATTGGTACTTGATTAAACTAGTCGCATCATCTTGTACACAAAAATATCCCTTTTTGGTAGAAGTTGATATCAGTTTTATTGTTATATCTCATGCAGAGACTGAATTGTTGCTCTAGAATACCACTGAGATAGTCATTCCAAGATCTCGAGGTGATTCTATAATATCCACCATGAACGTACCAGGAAGTGGAATTTCTCCTCGGCTAGGGTCGGCTCTCTACAATTCTGAGGTACTTAAGCTTAACTCATCTAGGTCTTTGTTTATGCCATTCAATTTGCGACAAATGTGTTTTAGGCCATTTAATTTGCGTCAAATTTGTTTATTTGCCTAAAATCTGTGTAACTGCAGAAGGTAGAAGATGAGATACGGTGTGTTGGTTTAAAAATTAAACAACATGAAGAGAAAATCAGTTTCTTGAAGCGGCAGAAACAATTGATCGATGAAAAAGTTCTAAATATGCGAGGTATGCCCTTTACCTGTTTGTATTGTTGCCTAGAATGGAGGTTCTGAGAAGATGATGATATAATTTTCTTGTTTGCCTTGTGAGAAAAAGGCTTGTTGTTATTGTTGTTGTTCTTGTACCTCTTCAGCAATCTATTTAATCCCTTTGCCTTTCTTTTTATATTTCACTTTTTGCATAGTTGCTTTGGGAAAGCATCACTCAACTACACGTATGTCGGATAATGAGGATCCTTCTTATGAGCATTGTGACAAGGAGACAGTTGAAGAAATTATGAAGACTGAAAATACTGCAGCTGCCCTTTTGTGCCAATTGAAAATCCATCATGACTCCTGGGCTTCTCAGCTCACATGGATGAAAGATGTGGTTGGTATTGTTGCTTTGCTTGGCAGACTTGAGGATGATAACCTTAACAGGTCTGTCTTGTTTTAGATTCTACAAAATCTCTGTGCATGGACCCATTTAGCAAGGGAGAACGAGTTTTTTTTTTCATATATTGTGTAAATCGGTGTTTGGAGATAAGACAGTGTTCATCTTTTTGGATAGTCCACTATATGTGTGTTTTCAGCCTTATTTGTCCAGTAAATATTGGGTTTTTGATTTGATGGATGCTTTTGTAGATTATCTGATTTTTGTGTCTGACTGCGGTTAACACTAAATGAAACAGCATTCTGTCTGAGTACTTGGGAATGGAAACCATGTTAGGAATTGTCTGCAAAACACATACTTATGTCAAATATCTGGAAACTTATGATAAGGAGGGCCACATACTTAAAACTGGTCTTCATGGCCTTGGAGCTGCCATTGGAAGGAATTTGGATGGTCGGTTTCTTGTTATATGCCTTGAAAATATCAGGTTTGCAGTTGTCTGATCTTGTATAACTTGAATTCTGCTCAGGGATTTTCTTGCTGTTTCTGAAATTTTTTTTGGGCTTATTTTTAGACCATATGATGGGGACTTTGTGGCTAATGATCAAGAAAGGAGGCTAGCTATTCCTAATCCAAGATTGCCAAACGGAGAAACTCCTGCTGGGTTTCTTGGATATGCTGTGAATATCATCAACATTGGCCAAAGCAATTCATGCTTCGTAACCGGACATGGTCTCGGCTTACGAGAGAGACTCTTCTTCAACCTCTTTTCCTGCTTGCAAGTCTACAAAACAAGGGAAGATATGTTGCAGGCTCTCCCTTTGGTTGGTGGTGCTGCTGTTTCACTTGATGGTGGAATCATGAGTAACGGTGCGATCTGGCTGGGGAAACGGTAAGAAAGTCTGTCATTAAAGGGGATTCATTCTGTTCCGAGTCTTATCCATTTCTTTAATATCTCGTGCATACAGGAGAAGTGTGGGTTTGAAATTTCCAAAATGCCCAAAGAGATCAAGTGCACATCAAGTCTCTGATGATGAGACTGAAATGAAGGAGGAAATACAGAAAAGCGAAAGGTTGCAGGATGATGTACAGAGAGAACAAATGGAGTTGAACCAGGTAATGATTCAGTACGAAAACAAGAAACAAGAGTTTGTCCAGATGCTTGCTCAGTTAAATTCAGATGCCCAGGTTCAGGTAATCCATTCTCATGTTTCACGGCTCTTTACTCATTCGATTTGTGCCTTCTATTATAAAGAATTACTATTATCACTTACATTAACATTATCAGTTTCTGGCATTTACTATAGATGCACCAATGATTTTAATTCAAATTAACCTTTGATACTGTACTTGTTTCTTAAAGTTACAAATGCGTGTTTTGTATCAGCAGCGCGCAGGCCGCGTCGGGGGAGATTAACTTGGGGGAACAGACTCAAGCATCATTGACATAAAGAAGCCGCTCAAGTACTAATGACATATTTGAAGTTCTGAAGCCACAGATACGGTGTTTGCACATTTGATGCCTGTGTTCTCTTTTTCTTTACATAACCAATTTCGGAAGCTTAAAACTCACACAATGCATGCTCATTGTTATTTTGGGGAAACGAAATCATAATGGAGAATGCCGGTGACTTATGATTGAATTAGCCAATTTCCTGGGTTTTTTTCTGTCAACTTTGTCGTTAACTTCTTACTGTTCAGTTTTTCAGTGCTATTTTACTATATGGTATGATCAGTTGTTGCCGTATATATGCGGTAGTTTAATGCATGCAAGGCAGGCAATAATAGTACTGCTTGATGTCAAATTCAATCGTCAATCAAAAAGCACTTGGGAGTTTAAATCTTTGTCATTATTTTGGTGCAACAAATTCGTATATGTCTTGGATACATGGCAAAGAAATTCGCTCAAGTAGTACATATGATTCACAAGTTACACGAATTGGGCTGAACTATTGGACACGCGACTAAACTTGGGCTCACCGTCTTAGGTTTAAATTTGCCACCTTTAACTTGGGCCCCCATCCGCATTCTCCCATATTTATCTTTTCACCAAAACTTATAAAAACTTTAATCATTATTTTAGAGCAAAATATTAACGTGAAAAAAGAGGAAAATCTGCTCGTACTCTCTTTCTTCGAGACCTCTCAATTTTCTTCTTCTTGCCCGAAGTATCGAAGGCTTAGCTAAAACCCTAGAAGACACTATCACCGCTAGGGTTTTGCTATTAGCCCTTTGTTTAAAATAATTGCATTGTTCTAGCTGCTGTGATTTCAGCTCAGCAAGTTTCTTTTCGCAAAGTTCGAATCTTTTTAGGTTTTTTTTTTCCCCTGATTTTATACATAGCTGGCTGATTATTTTGAAGTCTTGATCTGGGTTCGAGCGGGAGAAGCCAGCCATGGATGCTCGTAAAAGAAACAGAACTGAATTTAACTTCAATGCCAATGGCAGCTTCAAGAAACCTAAATCAGGTTGAGTTTCTGAAATTTTGTAATTTTATTAATTCTTTTCTTTCTTTTTTTTTTTTGGTTTTTTGGGTGACTGGTATTGATGCGTCTTTAGTAGATTTTGCATGTAGTTTGTCTTTAACTTCAATAATTTGAACTATGTTTGTGTTGCGCCTTCTATTGAGCTTCCAAAGTTTAGATCTTTCTGGGAGATAATAAGGAGTAAAATGTTGGTAAAAGCTGAATTCACCTCATATTTAATCTCGATAAGATTTATGTTATGTTCTTCTTCCTCGTGACCCAATGTGTTGAGGATAATTAATTTGGAGTTTCCATTTTTTTTTTCTCCTTAGGTCAAAGAAGTATTTTATTATATGGTAAATGATTAAAATTCTCATAAATGAGAAAAATAGTCATAAATTTTAATAATTGCACCATGGGAAGAAAATAAAATTATGTCCTTTTTTCTTTTATCGGCTTGACTTACTAAAAAATTGTAGCATCACATGGTTCCACAGGTAACCTGATAATAATTTTGTATATTATGTTAGATAATGCATAGAAAGTTCAATCATACTAACGGGAAAAAAGTAATTAATTTGTAACAGAAATGGACTCCATAGCAACTGGTGTAGGAAGCAAATCGAAGCCTTGCACGAAGTTTTTCAGGTTAAAATCTTCACTTACCTAAGAAATACTTCAACTTCTAATCCTCTTTTAATTGTTAAAATTTGAGTGAGATGATTATTCTCAAGGTTGCAATTTGTAACGAGTGATAATAGTGTTATGGCTGAGTGTGTATGTTCTAGTATCTATCCTCTTGGGTTCATAATCTTGTAAAGACCGTACTTTTTGGAGTTTTCTGAGGTGTTGTTGGTCCTTGGATTTGCATAGGAAGCTTGTTTTCTAAGATGTATTGGCTTTCTGATTAAAAGTCTTTGATTGGCTGTGAGGAGCTTGAAATAGATAAATGCTGAAACAGTTCTTGAAGTTCTGAACAAGTGATAAAACTGTTACATACCTCTCAAATTCAGTCATTTATTGCCTGAGAATGCCTTTTCTCTTTGTCAGTTTGTCAATTTCTTTTCCGCACCAGAAGCATAAACTTAATCTGCACATGTTCAATTAGTTGTTGAATGTTTATTGTCTGGTGAATGTTATATTGTAGTATTGATCACACTCTATTTTCGGAAGGAAAGTAATTTGGTTAAACTATGTGTCAAGTGTTCAAAGCCGATAAGACAATGAACAAACAGGCCAATCCAAACCAGCTGTAAAATAAAAAAAAAAGTTCAAATAGCTGCTAGACAACTAAATATCTATGGGAAATTTGTAAAGTTAAAAAGTATCCATGCAGGCGTAGGGGAAATCCAGCACTGCTTTTAGTAGAAGATAAAGCACTGAATCTCAACCAAAACAGTATTCATCTGTTACGGTTCGTGCACCGTTAACCTTGATAGTTTTCTACTAGACTGATATGCCTGGGAAACTGAAGATTGTACATACTTCCTAAGCCTACAATGTTGTTGGTTATGTGGATCTCGCCAGTAGATAAAATTGGCATTATATTATTTGTTTTGTTCCTGATGTTTGAGTTTTTTGTGGGCTAGATCAGGTCATTGAGATGGTGATTTTCTGTCATACAATTTTGTTGTTATGTGAGTCCAGTTTTGCCAGCCATTTACTATATGTGATTGGATTTTTTATACCAGGTGTCAAATATTGAAGTAGATGTTAGAATCAACTGAAAATGAGGCAGCAGTCTCTCTTTCTAGTTTTCTTTAGAACTCTGACTGTAGGGTATGTTATTAATCAGTTTAGGGAAATACATGTATACATCCTTAATTACATCAAGACTTTCTTTGTTATTTTACACCAATCGAGCAATCTCTAAAGCTATAAGATCTTACTTTTGAGATCGATGTACTTTTTTGGTGACTGATTCTTGTAGATTTGTTATTTGACGAGCAGTGAGCATGTGTATAATCAGAACGTTTAATATTGTTTTATATGCAGCACCGCGGGCTGCCCCTTTGGCGAGAGCTGCCATTTCCTTCATTATGTTCCTGGTGGCTACAATACCGTGGCCCAAATGATGAATCTGCCTCCGGCTCCTGTTCTACCATCAGGCCCGAGGAATATTGCTGGCCCACCTTCTGTTCAAACTGGGTCTGCTCCAACGGCAACAAAAACGAAGCTCTGCAACAAGTATAATACTGCCGAAGGATGCAAATTCGGCGACAAGTGCCATTTTGCTCATGGCGATTGGGAACTTGGCAAGCCTATCCCTCCATCACCTCCTCACTCCATGGGTGGTCCACTACCTGGCAGTCGCTTTGTGGGCAGGATGGAGCCGCCACCTGTACCAGGTCCCGCTGCAAGTTTCGGTGCCTCAGCCACTGCCAAAATCAGTGTGAACGCTTCCCTTGCCGGTGCCATCATTGGAAAGAGTGGGGTGAATTCCAAGCACATTTGTCGCCAAACTGGTGTCAAGCTATCTATTCGAGACCACGAGAGTGACCCAAACCTCAGAAACATTGAGCTGGAGGGTACATTCGAACAAATCCAGCAAGCAAGCACAATGGTGCGTGAGCTTATTTCAAGCCTTGGGCATATTGGTAGGCCTGAAAGGGCAGCTGGATTTGGTGGCGGCCCAGCAGCACCCCCTGGAAATAATTTCAAGACTAAGCTATGTGAGAATTTCGCCAAAGGTTCATGCACTTTTGGGGAAAGGTGTCATTTTGCTCATGGGGCTGCCGAGTTGCGAAAATCCGCCGTGTGAAAATTTTTATTGGGTCATCTACTTTCAGTGTCCTTCCCCTTGTTAGCTGCATCTACACCTTGGTAATTCCGATAATAGTTGGTCTAGAAGTGCAGAGACTGTGTAATAGTGGAAATTTTCTTCGTTTTGCAGTATAAGCTTTTGCTTTTTGATAGTATTTGGAAATCATGAGGTATTTTTAGCACCAATAATATGCCATTCTAGTTTTGTTTGATGGTAAATCCATCTCAAAGGATGCATTTTGTTATTTCATTCCGTTTCTGTTTGTCTTGGTGGAGTATAGCAGAGATATTAATTCGAGATCATAGAATACCAAATATGGATACATTAATAACACGTTCTTGGCGGGTAAGTTCGTTTGGGATGAAATGACCAAGATGCCCCCGGCGCTCTTTGCCTGTCCGACCAGAGGCTCACTCCGCTTCTTGCTCCTCACCCACTCTTTTCAACAAACTATCTCTCAGTTCACTCCACTTCAGTGATAAACGCGCTTCCCTCTCCGCTCTCCCCACACGCGCCGCCTCTTTCAATGGTTGCTTACGTTTCAATTCGGAGCCTCCCCAATCCGGGTTTGCTTATTTTCCCCATATCCTCCAAACCCGTCAACCAAATTTTCCAAAGATTCCCTAACCTCGGCAAGAATGGGGATAAAGTAAAAGTTAGCTCATTGTTTACTTGTAAAGCCATGGTTGCTCAGACCGCCGGCGTTCAAGGGGCTTCCGCCGCCTATGCTAAAGAAATGGAAAGGCTTTCTGCTAAAGAGTCTCTTCTCCTCGCCGTGAGTTTGTAATCAACCTCTTTCCTATTTGTTACTGTGCATTTCTATTTTTATTTTTTGTACTCTAATTTTGCTGGTACGTTTCGTTGATTGGATAAAATGACGAAAGGTCTTCATTAAGTTTTTCATCGTCTTTTTTATTGTTCCCTTTATCATTTATCATCTGCATTCCTTTCTAGCTCTTGGTTATGGACTTCGGACTATATATGCATCGTATGATTAGCGGTGGCGATTGGGTCGTTTTTCTTGTTTGCAAATTCTGAAAATTTTTGTATCGATATTGTATCGGCTAAAACAAACAATTTTTATATAGCGTCCTTCTTACATGCGACCCAAATGTGTCATGTTTGTTTGCAATATGATTAACGTGCCATTGCAAGTTAAATTAGTATGGTATCTTAGTGTTGTATCACAAATTTCCATCCTGTATTAATCCCGCGCTAGTTTTTGTTGTCATGAATTTCCATGTGTGTTGCTGTAATCTGAAGGAATTTTAATTTTTTTTTTTAGCTTTCTTGATTTGTGATGAGTAAACTGAGTTTTGATAAAATGTAGGTTCCATATTCATCATGCACTACTCAGGTTATTGATTTTGGTAATAATGATTTAGATCATCATTCACAATTCATTCAGAATTTGGTATCTTCATGATTGATAAAATGACTTACAATTGTGATTTTTAGTTCAAAGATGCTGGAGAATTTGAGGCATTAGTCACTGGAAAAACAACTGATGTTCAGCGGATTGATGTGAATGAGAGGATAGTTGGTCTTGAGAGACTCAATCCAACTCCTCGACCAACAACGTAAGGTGTTGAGTCTTCTTTCTGGGCCGCTCAATCTACTTCCACTTGCAAATTTACCAATTTGGTAACTCATTGTTTCTTTTTCGTTTCTTTTTTATGGAACTATTCAGGTCTCCGTATCTTGAAGGCCGATGGGATTTCAAGTGGATTGGTGATGGAAGCCCTGAGTTTTTTGTTGCTAAATTAATATTCGAGTAAGTTTTCTTTTAAAAGAGATTCTCTCATGGACAAGCAGAGTTGGATTGTCTTTGGTTGTGTTTCTGTGCTAGAAGTTCTCGTGCAGAAAAGGAGTTTGTTGCAACAAACTGTATTTTCTGCTTAAAATGCTTGTATAGAAATCCTTGATTTGTTGTGATTGTTGAAATGACGGTTTAGTGAAACAAAAAATGCAGATTTCGTGTCCCTTTTTTTTTTTGAATTTCTTTTGATCCTTTTTCTCCTATTTCTTATCTTTGCAAGTGGCCTTTTTCTGTCTAAAGTCAGGAATTGAATGAAACGAACACTTCCTATAAATCTAACGGATTAAAAATTGGGGATTTTAGATTTTGGGGTCCAAGTTCCTATATTGGCTCCATAAGTTAATCTCGTCATATCTAAAAGCATCTTGATATTTTCTATCATCCATCTTGTATGTTGTTTGTTGGGAATTTTAGTCGATATCATCTGGGCAGGGCAATACATAGTGATAACTTATAGAATAGAAGTTAATACCATGTATTTTGCAGGAGATTTCCCACCACAATAGCTAATTTGTCAAAACTTGATTTGCTGGTCAAGGATGGATATGCAACCATCACTGCAAGTCTGAAGTTTGTCAATTCGGTAATATACTCTTGGGTGGCTGTGGGTTGCACAATTGTTTACTTGTACAATATTGGTTGCTAGTAACCTTTGAAATTTGTTTATTCTGTTTTGCTCTTCGAAAATGAGTTCTGAAGCCAAAACCAACAAAATAATACTTTTTTTACCAAATTTAGTTCTGGGTGATGTGTTTGCTGCACTCTTACGAAATCTGTAAATGTTCTGTCTAAGTGATATCATTGCATTTTAATTTGTAACTATGTCAGTAAATTAAGTACCATATTTGGATTTCACTTGAGGCTGTGCACGTTGGTAACCCTTCTGCCAGAATAAATATTGTTTTTTGAGCTTCTGCCCGGCAGTCAAATTTCAATATAGTGAAACAAGCATGGTTAAATGCAGATAGAAAGTAAAGTCATTATTACAACTCGGTTATCTGTTGAGGGACCTCTTAGATTGAAGGAAGAATATGTCGAAGGGATATTTGAAACTCCTAAGATCAATGAAGATTCCATACCGGAACAGCTTAAAGGGGCATTTGGTCAGGCAGTTAGCACTGTGCAGCAACTCCCTGCTCCCATTAGAGATGTTGCGAGCACTGGATTGAAAGTCCCTCTTGGTGAGGGTTTACAAAACACTTTACATCAGTTTTTCATTTAGTATATATATCTTTACCCAGGATTGAATTTGATGAGACTTAACAAACATAAACATAAGTCTCTCTGGGTCCTGTTTTCTTGGAGATGTTTGATGAGGTTTACTTTTATGATGTCAGGTGCTGGGAACTTCCAACGACTGTTCATGATATCATATCTTGATGATGAATTCTTGGTGAGTATATCTTTTCTTTTTGTTTGCAATCTCAAAACTCTATCCAACCAGTCAATCCTGGTGTAGAAATCATTTGATTTACTCATTTTAATTTCATCATATCTTCCTCCTGTGAACTATTCGGTTTTGTTGTACAAATGATTTGATTCACCCCCTCCCCCCTTTCAAACAATGACATTCCTGTTTTAGTAACTTTTTTCAGATTTCAGGCTTTTATTGTCATCCAATTGTGTTGAATCTAACTTATGAAGGAATCATATATTGATCTTGCAAGAAATTCAGCTTCACCTTTCATTCCTAAGAGCTGATGTGTCATTGTAATTGCTAAAACGCCATTTTACCATCTGAAGTTGACACTGTGTGTATGACAATTATACCTTGTTGAACATTGCAGATAATTAGAGATGCCAATGGTGTTCCAGAAGTGCTTACAAGATTGGATCCTGCCCCCTCACCCATGGAAGGAGATTCAATAACAGAATACGAGAGTTGACAAGCCTAACCGGCAACTGTCAAAGGACTCGGATTCACTTGGAGATGCATCATCATACAATGGAGTAAAATAACTATCAAATTGCTTTTGATGTAGTCACATCAGGCCACCCATGAGGATGATGAAACGGCAGAGACCAACCATGCATTACCGGGCAGTAATGTTGGTTGATGAACTCAAACAACTGTTGCAACTCTGCTGTTCTATTATTCAATTGTCTGATTGGTTGGCCCGGATGTTCCTAATAATACCAGTAATGTTATGTAAAGTAGAAAAGTGTAACTCAATAATCCCATCAATGAAAAAATCTTCATCCTTGTTGAATGGTTTGACGATATTGGAGTATAACTAGACAATCATTACGGGAAGGGATACAGTATAACTGTAGAATTCAAATATACTTACTCCGCCGCCACAGAAAAGGATGTGCAAATTGCAGGGTTAAAATAATGATACTGTTAAATCAGGACTTGGTTGGAAGCTACATTAGTCGACGCTTTCTTTATAAAAAGAAAACACGAGGCTTTGAATTTGGTCTTAGTTCATATATATGGGTTCTATTTGTTCAAGTTGCTTCCCATGTTCCCATCCACCTAAACATAATGCAAGTCGCATCCGTATATATCTCTATTCGATCGTCAACTAAGAACTTTTGTATGTAATTCTATTAAAATATGAATTTAACTGGCTATCAAATGTTACATCCATCGTTGATTAAATTAATAGTTGACGGTCTAGATAATGTATATATTGACTTGACCTTCTTCTATATGCCTAGTCATTTACTATTTTACATGTACAGGATTTTAATTAACCTCTCATTTCAATACTGTATGCCAATTCATTTGAACTCAATACGTTTTTTTTTTTTTTTTTTGGGGTTGTAGTAAGTTCCTTTCTTGTTGCTTTCTAAATCCAGAAGTTACGAAATATGCAACTGGAGAATAGTATACACCGTGAAAATAAAAAAAGAGGCTGGGGTAACAAGTGTATAAATATTAATTATTTTTTTAAGTTAATAGTTATTGAGACTTGAGACAGTAATTTGATGTTTTAATCTGAATCACTATCTCATTTCACTATTTATTTTCAGTCCCTCGGCTTGTTGCTTCAAAATATCTGATTGTCAATCATCATCTCTAGGTTCTCAACGTTCCTCTTTGTATACACATTTTGTAGAAATTTGACATGCATACAACTTCAAAAGCATCGCAAAAATCTTGTCAGTAAAATAGGATTCCCTCGTTTCCTTCATATTGAACGTTGTGATCGAAGCTTTCTCAAGTCTATTCTGAGGTTATCAACTGCATGTCTTTGAAAACCCAAAATCAAATTCGTGAGGAAAACTTGTCCAAATCAAACCAGCTTTAGATTAAGCATTCATAAATCATAAATATAAACTGATGAATCTTGCAAGAAAAGGAATTGATAACATTGGTCGAATTTCCATTGCCCCCAAAAGGAAAAGGCCAAAAAAAAGAAAAAAAAAGAATAATAAATATTCCAAGTTGGTACGCCGAACTGTTTCTCTCCTGTAAGAAACAAGGGGACATGAAACTAACTGATCCCAAGTACAGTACTTCAGATTGCCATTGAATTAATGTTGAGAGATTGAGACAAAAAATAATGGAGTCGTGAAAGCGTTTGATTCTAGCTATACCATTCATAATGAAACCAAATATATATATATATGTATAGTACTACCAAATTTCTTCCGAAATCCACACTAAAATCCGAACAAAAAGATACAAACCTAATCCCTTGTTGAAATTCTCAAGGACAAGACACAAGAATTCCCAATTGAAGTAAATCACTCAAGATTCTTGAGATAGAGCCATATGGAGAACATTTAAAGAATCATCATCATCATCATCATTAGAATACAATGAATTTCTTTCTCATAAGAAATGCCAACTATATATTTAATGAAACCTCTTAGTTGGACATACCTAACTAGTACATGAATCAACACAAACACTACTACTACTATTAAATCCCACAATAATAATTAATTAAGATAATTAAATTAAAGAGTGAGAGTAAAACTACATAAAATTGTTCTCAAAAACCCATCAAAGTAAGTTAATTAAATAAATGAAATTCACTAAGTTGAACTAATCATCAATCATTAATAATTAAGCAAGGTTGGAGGAGGAGGAGGAGCAGCAGCAGATTCCATAGGAATAGAAGGAAGCAAAGGGAACTCATGATGAAGCTGTTCCATAAACCCTTCCAATTCAGCAAAACCACCCAAATAGCCTCCACCTGAATTTGCATTCCTCCAAATATCTTCTTCCCCTTTGAGAAACCCACTCCTTAGTTCCAATTTGGTTGCAAATGGCTTGTGAATCATGGCTGGATGATGGCTGAAACTGTTGTTGTTGTTAATGTTGGTGTTGGCATTAGTAGCACTGAAACTACTATTGTTACTACTAGTACTTCTTGATGAGGATGAACAATATTGTTGATCAGTGTTTCTAGGCCGCTTCTTCTTGGTGTTCATGGAGGAGTTGTTTTTTGATTTGGTCATTTCTTGTGGTGTGGGCTTTCCTGTGAGCCTTTGCACCAATTCCCTGAAATTTGCAACATCTGTCTTGATGATCTCCGGTGCAAATATGTGAATGATGCGAATTTTCGGCTTCGGTTTCGCGATGATTTGCGAGTTCTTGTGCATCCCAAGTGGCGCACCTCCAGATAAGGATGATAGTGTGGCTGTTGTAGTACCACAGCTTTGTTGTTTCTTCAACATATCCTCCATGTTGTTGTATGAATGAAAAGGGTTTTGAGGGTTTTTGAAGCAAAGTCTTGAAGGGGATGTGGTGATGATGAAGAGGAGGAAGGAAATGGAAGAAGGAGGAGTGTAGGTCATGAAATGAATGTATTTATAGGGAAATTTGTGTAAGAAAATATTATAATAAGGATGGGTTTTTTTTTTTTTTTTGTGGATTTGTTGGGGGAAGATGTGGGTACATTTTATTTATTTATTTATTTATTTTTTGAAACGGATGTGGGCACATATATATGAGAAGAATTCTGAAAATGGGAAAACAAATCTGTTGTCTGTTGTGGCAAAAAGGATTGGATGGATCTTTGTTGTGACATATTGAAACTTGGATGGAGTCAATAAAGTATGAAATTTTTTATACATTCACATTGGGGGTGATTTGGTGATTTGGTCCCCCACAAGTTAACATGATCTTTAGTTAAATTGACAGAATACACACCCCCCATGAGTTAGGTTGATAAGAATAATATCATGCAACAACATCAAGCTTATGCCTTTTATGTATCAGTTCCATTCGTCTCAAAATAATTGATACATAAATATTGTAATCATCATTATTTAAAACACTAGTTTAGTGAAATAACGTAATTTTATATAAATTATTGACGATGGAAATATCTTAAAATATTAATACTAGTAATAAAAAGACAATTGATACTAAAAAATTGAGACATATATTCTCATCCTTGTGTATTACTAAAGTTCAAGTTGAGGGTTGATTATGATGAAACTTATCAATCGCAACTAGCTGTTCTTCGACTAATTAAATCACATAAATTTCAAAACCCCACTGGACCCTAAATTAAATTCAACTATGGCTATAACTTGATGTTGGGATTTCATCATCCCTTAGAAATATATAGGTGCATATTGATAAAATCAATAAATAATTCGCTTCATTATATACACTATTTTTTTCGAGTCAGAATTAAATATTGTTGAGGCCATTTATTCAAGCATGCATATTTGTCCTTTTCGCTTTGCTACAACAAAAGCCTCTTTCTTTCTTTTTTCCATTTATCTAAGCTTGTTTGTACAGCATTTTTCCAGCAATGGAAAAAATGCTTGTTTTATTGATACCATTTAGCAGGCCCGAGCATAGTGGTGCCGAAGGAAAAAAAAAAAAACTAAAAAGGTAGTACATGAATCTACTTAATAAAATTGACAATGAAGAATTCGATTATCTTTTTTTTTTTTTTTTTGGGCCATCAGTTCTAAAAGCAACCTTGTAATCACTATTTTTTTAATAGGAAATTTATGATAAAGCATCGTTTAACCATTAAATTACTGTGGCTTTTTATGTTTTCCATTTGATTTTTATTTTTTTTTCCCCCGAAATGCGAGAGGGAGAATATAAAGAGAAGAAGAGAAATGAAGATATGAGCACGTAGGGTTTTGCAAGTGGCAGAACATGGGGATACGATATATAAAAGGATTGCATACAAATATATAACGTGAGACTCATTACACAATTCCGCGTTGCTGGAATTATACAGATGATCACCAAAATATTGGTGATAATCCTTCGAGTGGCTAGCTAATTAAGGGCAAGAAAAAAAAATAACATTATGCTAAAATGGTACCAAATGTCATGGCTTGCATTATGTCGATTCATTTTTGTTAATCCCACCTTATTCGACAGTTAAGAATTTGTAACTATATTTGCTAATTTTATAAGAGGTATAATTAAATCAAACTGATTATGATTATCTTAATTTTGAAAGTATGACTATTAATTACAATAGTAGATCCGAGTATGTTCTTGAGATCGCATGCATGTTATTTTCCTGTCTTAAAACCTTTTTTTTTTCAGAACGAAAAAGTAGTTATTAACTGAGATAACGAAGAATTAATTTATTTGAGGACCTGGCTAATAAGAACAAGAAAAATGAATACTGATTTGGAGAAAGAATAAACTCTATAAGGATAGATAATCTTACTTACTGGTATATATGATCATTTTGGTATTTCCGGCACACACAAAGAAAAAAAAATGGTAATTAAAATAATCCATGGGTGTGTTTAATTAATACTACCTCCGTCCCAAAAAAAAAGTCCACATTGATTTTTCAAATTTATATTAAAAATAGTACAAAATTTAAAACTCAATATGGATTATTTGTTTGGAAGGGAGGGAGTAATAATTAATTAACTTCCGCCTGCTTGCCTGACCGTCTCTCCCCATTTTTATACTAATGTCCCCAACTTGAAGAATGGATTCTCTAATCCTCCAATATAATTATATTTTTCCTCGCAGGAAAAAGTGGTTTTTTGTTGTTTTCCTTTTCTTATTTCTCGAATAATTATGCACTTCCAAACTGATCATTTCGTGTTGGAACTTGGATGTTTAGTACTTGGCCGTTTTCATATATAATTGTCTGCCGCCTGTAGGCTGTAGTATCACCATCACAAAAAAATAAACCCGTTACATTTAACCTTAGAATCCAAACAATCATAATCTCCCCGCTGCAAAAGTGTACTTTGATATATATATATATATATATATATATATATATATATATAAAACAATAAAGCATTTCAAATTACAATTCAACTAAATGTCTATTTTATTGTACTTGTATCGTTTGTTTTATTAGTTTGCTAATTACTTCTTCTAAATCATTAGTTTCGTTAATTTGCTTCGGTTTTTTTCTGACAGAACAATCAACTCCGGCTTTTATACAGATTTTATGAACAGTCAAAAATGCATCTTTTTCCTCCTTGTTTGTTAACTTATCCTTTACAGTTGTATATCTAAAGTATTATATTCTCCGCCTCTCATAAAAAATTAATTCACATTGAGTTTTGAATTTTGTAATATTTTTATTACAAATTTGAAAACTCAATGTGTATTATTTTTTTTTTTTTGTGGGACGGGAGTAGTATAATAAAGTGGCATCAACAATAGTTACTCAGTACTCCTTAATTACTTCAAAACAAGTTTAATGCTTATTGAATTAAAACAATATAATAAATTATAACGGAAAATGAGTATTTTACTAAGTGCTTCCGGTCGTTGATGCACAATCACCGTAGTGCAATACAATTTGACACCTTTTTGGCCTTTCAAAATTTTCCCCTTTTTCAACCATTTCACCTTAGTCTATTGAACTTTACTGCATGTAATTTACCTTTCATACCTTTTACTATACTCCATGTTTTTGTGGCGCCAATGCTATCGAAGTGTAAAACTGAATTGAGAACTGGCCATGTCTAACCCAAAAACCGTAACGCATTTAAACAAAAATGAGACCTCAAATATATGCGCAACATACACTGAATAAAAGATAGGAAAAAAAGATGAAGAAGTATAACCATGCACATTTTTATCAACTTTCTCTTAGAACTATAATTCTTAGAAATTCATCTTGTATACTGAGTTTTATGATATGTTTCTTTCGTCCCCCCCCCCAAAAAAAAAACGAATTATACTTTTTTTTTTTTGGATATAGAGGGAGTAGGATTACATTAGAACCATACATGGAATTACTACTAATTACATAATCTGTTAACTGTGGTATTAGATGGAATTATTGTTGGTTTGCTTACGCATCAACACACATGCGAAAAGCACAAAAAGCTACACAGAGGATATCAGCCGTTGGATCTGAACGTGCGCATTGTCAGAGTTGTGTACCATCATCATCATCATCATCACAGATATCTCGTGTGGGTTGTTCACAAAATGATACCACCAATCCATCAACAGCCCAGGCCCATTAAAATCTCCCCTTACGTCATCCAATATCCAGCCATCAACACACTGGACTCGTGTGTTCCGGCCCATATCCAGTACCCCCCGCACGAGGGTGGGATCCTCAACCTACCACGTGTCGGTGGTTGCTTCATCTGGTTTCCATGAACTCTTTTTTTTTTTATGCAACTTTGTTCTAAAATGTTTTTTAGGAGAATTTATGTCAAATATTCCCAATCTCACTTCTCTAATTCAAAAAAAAAAATTTTTTTATTAAATTAAATATATTAACAAAAATGTCTATTTTAAGTGGACAAATGGAGTAATAATCTAGCTCCAAACATTGGAGAAAATTGTTCCATCAAACGTCTATTTGTTTAAGCAAATTATTAAAAAGTTTTTTTTTAAAAAAAAACAAAACACGGATAAATAGCTGTAGTTTGGCTGGTGTATTTGCAGGTCGTCGTAAGAGACAAAGAGTATACTTTTATTTTTGGAATGAAAAATTAAATTTTAGAACACCAATTTGACGTGTTCTCCATTATCACTTTGCACGAGTGGCTGGCTAGTTTTATTCACTTTCATAATAAATTCAGTTCAATAGACATTCAGTTATAATTTTTTGTTAATTAAAAATTACAGTATTATATGTTATTGTCTCATCCCAAAAAAAAAAACAAAAAAACTTGGAGTTTGGATACACGTTCGGTACGGACCAGTACTATTCTTTAGGGTTTTTTTATAGAAATTTTATGGAAATTATCTTGTGTTCTTCATATAGAAACCAACGGGTGGACTACTTTTCATTTCTTTATCCGTCGACTTTACTTTATCAAGTCGACTACTAAAATATCCAGTTCTAATGAAAAATAATTAAAATAAAAATGCACAGAATTGTAAAATATAATAAAACTCGATATTATTCTCATTTGAATCAACAAATATAATTTCGAGCTAAGTAAAATCTTGCAGTAAATATTTTAAACATTATTATATGTTTTATTCTGATTTTTTTTTAATTTTTTTTTTCCTGTCATTTGGACCAAATACTTGTTTTTATACAACCAACAAAGATCTTCAGGGGTAGGCTTCGGTTCAGCGGGATATGTAATATGTTTCACACAAGAATTTGATTAGCTAAGGTGTTTTAGACTTAGTTACCAGTTTTTGTAGTAGTGATCTCTAATGTAACAGAACTGTTTGAAGAAATGACAGTTATTAAAATCCCTTTTGCACACCAACAGAAAGAATAGCAGGATTCAGGCCAGTTATGAGAAGCATTTCACCAGTTATGGAAATTGTTCCAACTCAATTGAAACCGAATGTTCGATAGGACTAGAAACACGAAAGAAACAACATCAACCCTAGAAAACACTACATGGAAAATCAACACAGTTTTCCACCCAACCAACACAGATCAAGAAAAATTTAGAGAACAAATCTCTTCCCCACCTTGGCTGACCTGCACCTTACTTTGTGCAACAATACAGAGTCAAATCAGTTTTTCTACCCACCCTACAGCTTGTTTTTGTACCAGAAAACACCTTTGTTCTGGTCGCCTTCCTCAGACTCAACATAAATACATTCCTTAACTTCCCTCCACATTGCCTTAAAAATTGGCGTCGAATCAAACTGGTAGTACTCTCCCAAAATTGGCTTGATTGCCTTGGTAGCCTCCATTGCATGATAATGTGGCATGGTTGAGAACAAATGATGAGTAACATGAGTGTCAGTGATGTTATGGAAAACCTTGTTAAGGATCCCATAATCGCGGTCCACTGTCGCCAATGCGCCCCTCAACCAATCCCATTCAGAGGAATCATAATGAGGCAATGAAGGATGGGTGTGCTGCAAGTAAGTGATCAACACCAAGAATCCATTCACCACAAGCAATGGACCAAAATAAACACAGAATGCCCAAGCAAGTCCCTTGGCAGCCACCAGCCGGTACAACACGTATGAAGCAGCAAGAACACCAGCATCAGAAACAAGGATTTGGAGCCTCTCCCGATCATTGTAGATAGGTGCTTTAGGGTCGTAATGGCAGGCAAAACGATCATAAGGCCGGCCAGACACGTTGAACATTAAGTACAATGGCCAACCTAGGGTTAACTGCACTACGAGGGTAAGAACCCTTCCAGGTGGATTGTTGAGAAGCTTTGCAGACCAGCGGAGATCAGATTTGCGTTTCGGCACAAATACCTCATCACGCTCCAGGGAACCAGTATTCGAGTGGTGACGGCGATGGCTGTATTTCCACGAGAAATACGGGACAAGGAGAGCCGAATGGAGGATTAGCCCAACGGTGTCATCGAGCCATTGGTAATCACTGAAGGCGTGATGACCACATTCATGGGCTACAACCCAAACACCTGTCAAAATGCAGCCTTGGCAAATCCAGTAAAGTGGCCAAGCAAGATAAGCTAAGCTAGGATGAGGCAGAAGAGGAATGAAGGTTGTTGCAATGTAGTAGAAAATAGAGGCGATTGCGAGGTCATAAACCACATAGGAGAAAGAATGAAGAACAGAACGCTTGAAACAATGAGGCGGGATGGCCTTTTTGATTTCTCCAACTGTGAATGGAGGCTTAGAATATGGGACCCTTTTGAGGACATCAGCTTCAGATTTAGTCCTCTTTTCTGCTGTTGTCTTGGGAACGTTCATTCTCCCTCCAGCACCCATTTTTGCTACTTTGAGTTTCCTTTTTGGAGCTGCAACGGGAAAAATTACCATGTCAAGATAGCACGGAGCATTTGTTTATGGAAGCTAAAGATTGTGCTGGCATCTTAGAAGTATAAACAATTATAGGTTAACATTACCAACAATGACAGAATGGCTGAACTAACTACAACAAAGATTGTCAGGACGAAAGCTGGAGAAAACAAGTACTGTATCTTTCTAACAAACTCAAACTTGATGATCATTTGATGTCATAGCGAACATCTGAATTTCTGCGGTCCTATATATTAGAGCCAAATATTATCCAAAACGAACAATAACTCAGTAACCAAATTCCATGCGAAAAATACCAAACCTAAAACAATCCAACTCCTCAAATCGGGATTCTGCAACGATTTTCCGTTTTGCTAAGCGTTATTGATTTCACTACCTAAACCACCACAACAGAAACAGAATCATCAAGGCATACAGCATTGAGCAACTGATTCGTGACCGTTACTATGCAGAGTCATTAAAGGTCTTTTTCCCGTGGGGAATTGGTACTCGTGAGTGGTCCATGTGGACGGTTACAGCTTATGATTAGAGTTTGCAAGAAATTCAAATAGAATTGCTGTCTAAAATATACATATGTTCTTTTTATTATTATGTGCATATCTGTTATAAAACAAAATAACTAGTCCCGATTGGGATATACAACAACTAAGAAAGAATTAAAAATGTCATACGCACTTTTGCCAAATTAGGCGCCAAAAATAGAGATTAAGAATGAATTTTTTAAAAAGATGTTTTAATGAAAAGAATGTATAATTTGGGAATGTGCCAAACTAGTAAAGAGCATATCCGATTTCCTGCCGTGTCATTTTATGAGGAACAAGGCCACCGCAGAAAATTTATGGACCAGAAACAACAAATAGAAGATCAGCCCAGACAAACTTTTCAGATTCCACCAACTACAAAAAAATCCAATCTTGCAACTACTTTAATTATTAATTTAAAGAACCTAATTGAAAAAAGAAAAAACCAAACAAACAAAAACAAATAGGGGAGACAAATTAAAATGCACCAGGGAGTTGTCTTGTCTAGGAACTCAGACCAAAGGTCAAATTTGAAAGGTGAACAGTTGGGAGAACCATGGCATCACTGGGCAAAGGTTACTAAAGCCTCAAAAAGTAATCCAAAAAAAAAAAAAAGAATACAAGTTTTTACTTTCTGCTTTACTACCTAACCAATATTAATTTGTTTAGCTTTAAATCAAAACTGTAAGCATAACTAAAAGATCTTATAGAGGTTTATTTTTTGAGCTAAATCTTTGAGTCCTACAACAAATTATGTAATTTTAAAATTATTATTATCTCTGTTAAGACGGGAATAAAAAAAAAGTATAAAGCCGACTTGCATAAAAGGAAGAAAGGTCAAACTAAAGCTTTAATAACGAATGTATTCTTAAATTTGACGTGCCGAATCAGTCATCCGCATCCCAAACCACCCACTTGTGGATCCCGACCCTTTTCGTAGTCACGTTGATTAAGCAAAACTAATTAGTCTATGTAGGGTGCCATCACACTAATTTTCGGACTGTGAAAAGCGGAAACTTCATCCAAAGCCCATGATATCCTATTTTCTTTGAATTACAAAGATTCCAGCACATAACACGAAATTAAAATGTTCACCATTCAGGACATCAAAGAGAATTATCATTTTCAGACTGTGAGAATATGATATAAAGTTTATCATTTTATTTATTTTAATGTAGAGTAAATTCAATTATCAAAAGTTTCATTACTCACAAAACAAAAATGGAAAACAAATAAAGAAGGTCCCACTCCTCAACATTATGTGATTAATAATTAGCCATAATTAGCAAGAGATTACCAAACTCCTCCTCTAATTTAAGATATTCTCCGCCGAAAGAAATACGTAGAGGGGGAAAAAGAACAAAAATCAGTTAGTGGGCAAGTGTTAAGATAGGTTAATAAGCATGTTACGTAAATGACCCACAGCCCATGTTACTCTGGCCCATTAGAAAATACATTTATGCAGAGTGCTTACTAACCTGACGCTCTCTCTTCTCTAATGCATTTTTTTTTTAATTATTACGTACTCTTACTCTCTGCTTAATAAGGTTAATTATTAATTAGGGCCCCTGAAAAAATCTGAAACCATAAGTATCTTTAATTTTATTTTATTTTTTTAAGCATGGATCTCGAGGAGAATCTGATTTGGTTGGTGGAACAAAAGTTGCAGCTGCATTGCTGATCAAATGATGAAAATGAGAGTAAAAAACTCATTTAACCATTCATCAATTTCTATCCAAGAAGATATTTTTTTTTTAATTGAAGGGAAAGAAAGATAACAATTTGGATTTGTAAAGGTTGTCACACATATCCAGCATCCTCAAGAAACAAAAAAAGATACTCAAAAGGAAATTCCAATATTCCTTTTCTCCATTGGCAGCTTTCTCTACCATATTTTTAGTCATCCAACAGAGAAAATCAAATTCAGGGGGGTTGGGTTAAATAAGGACTTCCCAAGTTCACATTATTGAATCCAACCAATTGATATCTAAAGGGGCGGCTCTGTTTTGCATGGTCGTATGAATGAATTCTTTATTAGAATCAAACCAAAATGATAGCCCGATATGAGCGTGTATGCATAAATCAAACGATTAATCAATCAATCATTCACAGATCTACGGCTTCTATGTTTATTCACCTTTCAATACACCCAAGAGAACGGGAAACAAAAAGGGAAAGAACGAAACAGAGCCCACGAATATATATATATATATATATATCTTTTTAATTTTAGTAACTAATAAAACACACAGACACAGAAAAACAGAATGCATTCATATATCCTCAGTGAAAAGAGGGAGGGGAAATAAAATGGGATTCGTGTAATCTGAATTCAAAAAAAAAAAAAAAAGAAATCAAAGAAAGCCAGAAACAGAGACCAAAAAAACAGAATGCATTTTATACCTGGAAAAAAGGAGGGTCAGTTTCTCTCCCTCTCTCTCTCTCTTCGTCCTACGTCGTTTCAGATACGACTCTCTCCTCACCGGCGGGCGGCGGAGGACGAACGGGGAAATGAGAGGCCGAGCTACAAAAGAGCCGGCCTATTTTGATGGTGGGGGCGGAGAACTGAATGGTGAGGCTAATTGGGGGAAATGAGGGGTGGGCTTTTTAAGCTTAACGGTTCCCTCCTTCCCTTTGCGAAATGAACGCCTTTCGTTATTTTCCAAAAAAAAAAAAAAACGCCTTTCTTTAGCTGGGTCCCACTCTTTTATTTTTCAATCCCCCAATTGGCCCACAAGGTCGCCTGCTTGCATGTCTTTTTGGACTTTTCCGTAGATGCCAAACTCCCCAGTTTGTATGTACGCTAGTATCCAACTATCCATCCGTATTTGAGTTTCTACTTCTCTTATTATTTTTTTTTTAGTTAATCACTTAATCTTACGTAATTATACGTACAGATAAAACTGTCTGACTCGATTATGAGAAATGTCCTAATTTTTCGAGAGAATTATCAGCACACAAGTTGCAAAAAGTAAGTTAGAAAGATCTTAATTGTGTCTAATTATGCCCCCGAGTATTCAACATCCTAATTTCAAGAGTCAAAACTTAAATGCTCTTCTTTTAACAAAAGCAACCACATAAAATTTCTCTAGTTAAATGACTGTTTGTGTTGATTACTTCAAATTTAAAGTTCCTACGTAATGTGAATAAAAAGCTTTAAATGTATTGTTCTCTTTGCTCATTATGAAAGTCCCATATTTTATCTAAAATACATATTTGCTTAATCTACATTAATCCAACGAGATATTCATCTTTTAAAGACTGCTGCAAATCTGAAGCCAGTAGCACGTGAAGACCATGGATGGCAATGGAGTACAAGCTTCTAATTTTGAGTAGTTTTTAGGTCAATCGTTTATGTAATTCCTTAATACATTTTTTTCCAATTTCTTCACTTTTGTTAATCAGAGTTACTAGTATTTTTTCCTTGATCTGCTTAGATCTGATATCTCCGGATATCTATGATAGATCTATAGCTATCACTGTTTGTAGTTGTAATTGCTTAGGATAGCTATTTGGTTTTTTTTTTATATATATAAAATATGTTATCATTTAGACAGAAAAAAAAAAACAAAAAGAAAGACAAATATTTATAATAAACTAAAACAATACAAGTTTTAAAATTAAACGTAAATTATATTCTAAATTATTTATTTGCGGGAGTATGCTTACAGAATATTCTTTTCTGAATTTAAATAATCATTGATAAAATGAGACGGAAATAATAACTTTGGGTTGATCGATTAGTTGTGGAAACACTTTTTCAAAAAAAAAAAAAAGATTAATTATGGAAACTTTTAATGTGGAGTATTGTGTATTGTATATTGACCACTCTAGTGGATGGTATTCTAATGTAGTACTTCGCACTTGTACTTATTATGCCCACTTGGAAGTTGGAAATATCTCACGCCCTTCTTGGCTGCTACGCACTTTTACTTTTCCGTCCCTGTACTTTTCTTGACCTTTTTTTTATCAATCTACCATCATTACTTTGAATATAATAATCCTATTCGTCACCTTAATACGTGATTTACTTATATTTGTACGCCTAATAGTTTCCACAGCTAGATATTTTATTTACAACTTTATTGATTGTAGTTAGGTAGTATTTGTTTGTTTCATTCTACATATAGACTGGTTTCGTGGAATAGTATTAAAAATTACTACTTCCTCCATCTCAGAAAAATAGTCCAATTTGACAATATATAATTTTTTTTTAATTTGATTAACACACTAAATGTACAACTCATTTTATGCCCCTAACTTCCATTAATGTCTGTTCTAGTTATTTTTATAAAAGTTAATTACATATGCATTTATTTTACAATTTAAATTTGATCAAAATTTTTATCTCAAAAAATATTGACAATGGATCTTGATGGAAAGATTTAGTTACGTAGATTAATTTGATGTATAGTACATTTTTAATTATTCATATATTAAAAGATATAATCATTTGAAAAATGAGAGAAAACTAAAAAAAATAAAAATCAAAGAAAATGAACCTTGTTTTCCTTACCACTACTCTTTTGGATATTTAAGTCATTTCAATTCAATTAATTTTGAATTTTGTGAAACTGTATTATTTTTTGGGATAAATTTTTTTATTAAACTGGATTATTTTTGTGGGACGGAAAGAGTAATATTTCTTGTACCCCCCAAAAAAAAAGATTGCTAATATTTCTATAACTTTATTAGCGATACTATATCACTCATTTTTTAATGATCAAATGATTATTAATTGGTAATATTTCTTGTTAGTATTCTTCTAAAGTTACAATGTTTGATGTTCGGATGTCAAATACCAAGCTTAATATTTTTTTCCATATTATCCAATCATTATAGCAGTGTTGAGTTCTAACTAATAATCTTGAAAATTTAATAGGCCAATTTCTCATTACTATTGTGAAGTGTAACTTGGTTAATAATTTTTAGAATTAGACTTCATGTATGTTAATAAGCTGTCTCCCCCTAAATTGTACATACATCTAGCGAACTGGTTAGATGGAATATATTGGGGGCTTTAGCTGGAAGAGGGCCAAAGTGAGATCATTAATTTGACAGGTATGGTAATGTATGGTTAATTAATATTGAAAATGTTGGTGAGACATGGACAGAGGTACCTAAGACGGTTGAGAGGCAGAAGAACGCTCTTGATGTAGTAGATTAGAGATGTTCCTCTGAGGAAGTGATCATGGATTTGGACATTATTAGGTGATGGTGGCCGGAGAATCCCACGAATGAGAACCCTAAAAACTGCAGTCTCTCAAAGTAGATTGGCTGATGGGATCTGATGTTATACGAAATCGGGATTTAAAATTATAATTTTTTCTTGATAACAATAATAAAAAAGCAATAACAGTAGCTATGTAATACTCTCCATGGAGAAAATGGACAAAAGTCATTATAATAAGGCGCATATGCATCAAATTTGACTAAAGGCGTACTAATAAATTATTGAAATTTTGTGCAAACTAGAAGTTGCTTTAATGGATCGAAGTCAACAACATTAATTTTTTGGAAGAACTTGGGCGTGACGGGATTAAGATACACAATTCGATGATTGAGCTATTGTGATTTGCTATACATGATTTTTCAATTCATATAGGAACAAGTATATCACCTTTTCTGTACATGTGTTGAGAAAGTTAAATAGGTCAGATTGTGACAACATTTCTAACAACTAAAACAAGAAATTTCTAAATAAATCTACGAAAATAAATATAAAGAGGACCGATGATAAGATAAAATTCCAGCACCGATTTAATCTAAACTAAAATTGAATGTTTTGGTAAAATTATAAAACAAATTTAGAAGTTCCAGATCTGGAGGTTTTCCTTAGTCTTTGTGGCGTTTGACTCTATGTTTCTCCCAATACCTTGATTTATTCTCAGGTACCTCTTGGATCCATGTTTTCCATCAGAGGGGGCAAGAAAATGGATCTGAATTTTGAAATGCTTGTTGTAAATAACTGGTTCATTTCCATGTCCAGAATGTTCCAGGTGCGCAACAACAGAGACGAAAAAGCATGTGATGTTTGGTAGTATTATTTATTTCAATGTCCAGCATAACATATTTATAAAAAATTTACTCATATATTTACTGCTCCTCATGATTTGCTTGAGGTAATTTTATCTCCACCAACAATTTGTACTATATTTGTAAGTAATTAAAGGGAAAGTGTGTTTATTTATCGCTTGCGAGATTTCCAACTTAGCATGTCGCCGGACTCCGTCCAATAGCTGGGCTCCGCAGTCTAAAGTCAAGAAAAGAAAGCCAAACCTCAAAATGGCAATAAGATTCGGGGATTGTACTACTAACTGCGGTATCCGGGGGACCCCAAGCACTAGATTTAAAACAAAGCTGCATGCTAGCCACTAAATAGAGTCGGAGTTGGAAAATATCTTGGAGGAGGAATCACGATTTCACGTGCAATCCAATTTCTTTTTTTTTTTTTTTTTTTTTTTTATATAATGTGGAAGCCTAATGGCTTAGATACAAAAGCATCCCTCTAATACTGGGATGTCTCGACAGCTTCACTTTCCAAAAGCTCTAAGATTTGGGATGGAGGTGTTGGCAAAACTTGCCTTCCATAAGGACACAAAAGGCCAAGTTTTGCCAACTCGTCCGCCACACGATTTTGACTTCTACTGGCATGAACTATAGTTACCTGCCATCTGAGGTTTAGCAAACCTCTGATTCTACAAAAGATATTACTATTTACAGTGACAATATCTGTATCCGATAAGAATTGGACCGCTGCTACGCTGTCCAACTCCAAAATGACATTACGAAAGCCGAGTTCCCAAGCAATTTGGAGGCCGAAATATGCCCCCAAAATTCAGCTTCTAGCATCGCGAATCCAGCATTTGCTGCAAATCCCATTATCCACTCACCATGACATGTTCTAAGAACTCCCCCCGCTGCTGATTTTTTCACGGTTTCGGACCTGGCCCCATCAGTATTTATTTTAACTGAGTTATGGGGTGGAGGGCGCCAGTGTTGTACTTGCAAAAGGAGATGACTTCGGCCTTGACTCTGGGCAAAGATCCGGTTCGATCTAGTGATTTCCTTCACGGTCGCTTTTATGAGACATTTTAAGGAGCCTTCCTCCACAATCTCGTCCCCAAATACTTCCTTGTTCTGGCGGTCCACGGTCTCCAAGACGTGATTGCGAACCATGTTGGCCAAGCAAGACCTTCCCGCAAAGCAGACGACTTCAAGTTACGGATAATCCATTCATTCCAATCCGAACCTAACCAAAATCGGCGCCCAAGTTGTTGTTGCAGCCACGCCAAATCTCCTTGCTGCGGTAGCGATCTCGAAGAGGTGGAACAGGATTCCTCTTCTCCACATATATGACAGTGCGTCGTTTGTCAAATGTCTTCTCATCCTCTCCGAATTCACCCTTAGAGCCTTCGTATAATAGCCACAAGAAAATACGGACTCTCTCGGACCACACCACTTCCAGTTAAGGTCCACCTCTATCCGCTTCTTCCCATCTCCTTGCATAAGAAGCGTGTAAGCCGTTGTTGTTGAGAACCTCCGGATTGATCGGCCCCAGACGACATGGTCTTTGGTCGAGTTTCTTTGCGGTGGAGGGATTGCCCTTAATCTGTCTGTAATTTCCGGCGTCAAGAAAGGAGATATAAGACTCC